GTTTGCTTCTTTTACGTTCAATTTCCTCGTTTCCCTCCGCGCTTTTCTCCCGCGCTCCAAGCAGTTTATAATCACCGCGCACGTCACGTCTGTGAAGGAGACTCGACGAAACACAGACAGATTTTCACATTTTAACGCGAACGAACGAGCAATCGACACCGATCGCATCGATCTCACCGCGGTGTCGCGTCGCGACGCGGCAAGTCGCGCCGGTTGAAAAATAGTCAGATGAATCGAGGAAATGCATAATTGTGGAATCGAGCGTAGTTTGGTCATGGCGCCTATTTTTAGTCCGATCCTGATTGAGTGTGCAAACGGAAGGCAAAGACCACCCCTAGTGTGCGTCCAACATTTGCTTTACGTTGAGTGAGTGAGCGAGCGAACGAACAAACGGCTGGTCGGTCGTTCGTTCGTTCGTTCGTTCGTTCGTTCGTTCGTTCGTTCGTTTGGCCGGTCGGTCGGTCGGTCGGTCGGTCGGTTCACACTCTATCGCACTCCCCCCCGCCGCCCTCCCCATTCTCGCCCTCGCAGCCACTCGTTGCTTTCTAGCTTTTCGCTCTTCCAGTTAGGTCGATTTTCCGCTTTACCGAACTTTCGGTACGATCTACGTGGTACGCCGTGGAGACGACAACGTGCTGAATTTTTTCGACTCACATGTGAATTCCGCGCCCGGACGTGGCAGGCACGTTCCGATCGAAAATCGCGAAATATACACAAACAGCGACAGACGTAGATGTGACGGAACGCGCGTAATAGTGTCGTAATCGGCGAATCTCGATGCCGATAAATTACGAATGCCCGATGCGCGACGGTTCGTCCGAGCTCGGTATAACTTAGATAAAAATAGAGAACGGCTTTTAGGTAGAGAATGTGCACGTTTGTGTGTGTATGCGTTCGCACGTGTTAGTAAATAATGACAGGATACGATCGAAGTAATGTATTAAAGTATTTACAGAGGCTCGCGGTAAAAGCGATACAACGTTAAAGTCACCTCGGACTGGGCGCTTCGCGTTTATCGTCTATCTGTTCGCTCGCTCGTTCGCTCGCTCGCTCGAATCGCGTCGTGTTCGGAAGGACGGTGTCGTCAAGCCAAGTCCGGCAGAAATTGATGGCGCAAGGTGGTCTTAACTCCTTCACTTAACTCCGACATTAGACTCTGTCATGTTGCTGGTCAGCTCTGTGCTACGTTCGGCGTGCCCGTTCCGGTATCATTGTTTATCATGCTCTACGTCACTACTTATCATTGTACCTTGTTGCAGACTAATCGGATTACAGGCGAACGATCGTGACCTAAAATCGATCGTGTCGTTTCGTGGTACACTGCTGCAGAGCGGTTAATTATTCTACCGCGAGTCACGGGGGAGGGGCAGGGAGGAGCGAGAGGAGGCGAGGGTGGCAAGGGGCTAAGGGAGGAGAAGGTAACAGTACGGGCTTTAATCGACACATTATCCAGTATACCGTGCGCGTAAAAAGCATATACAGATATACGGATCGAGAGGGAGAGTTTAACGGGGAAATATGTAAATCGCAAAATCGCGCACGGGCGAACCAGAGCGTGAACGACGCTATGTGTGTGTTCGCACAACTGGAAAATTAACGATTAAATATCTCTTTTACAGAGGTACAAAGCAAGAGGTTGAGAGAGAGAGAGAGAGAGAGAGAGAGAGAGAGAGAGAGAGAGAGAGAGAGAGAGAGAGAGAGAAGGAGCAAATAGCGAAGGTCTATGGTTTGATGTCGAAGCGCTCGCAGAAAACTTTCACAGATACGACACGCGCATTAATGCGCCCGCGATTCGCGATCACCCTCCCGTATTAAGCGCGCTGCCAAAAAGGCAAGATTCTTTACCTACGATCCTCCAATCTATATATCTAGCCGAATGTTGTAGAGATTTTGATACGGATACTCGGAGCGTAAATTTCTCGCGATTGATGAAACGGATCGCCGCGTGATGATCCGCGGCCGCAAAGTCGTGGTCGCGGCCGCGGATGTTCGACGCAGATCTCGCGACGACGTAACACGGCTCCGGTCGTCGCGACGAGAGGCCTCCTCGTAAAACAATCGCCGCTCTCGAGTGTTGCGAGTCGCGGCAGCCGCGAGAGCCGTCAGCCGTCATAGCCACCCCTTGTATTATCCCTACGCACAGCCCCACGCAGTTTCCCGGCGGCTCCGCGGAACGCGATTACGTGCTATACCAGCCGCGTATATATCGCATATATATCGGCCGCGCGGCCTTCTGCGTCGCGTTTCGCGTCCACACGCACAGCTACACCACGGCGAACATAACGAGCACGACGAGCGCTGCGTCGCTCCCCGCGCTTTACGCGGAGAGCAATGTCGAGAGCGTGCTATGATGATGATGATAATGATGATGATGATGATGATGATGATGGGAAGGAGGAGGAGGAGGAAGAAGGAGAGGAAGAGGAAGAGCAAGACAGAAAAGAAAAGAAAAAAAACAAAAAGAGAAGCGACAAGTCAAGTCAAGGCGAGGCGAGGCGATGCGAGAGTGAGGGCGAGGGTGAGGGTGAGCGCGTGGAAGCGAGAACAAGCGAGAGACGTACACTTTTACTCGAGTCCGTGGCGGATAAAACGGAGAAAGAGAGAGAGAGAGAGAGAGGGGGGGGGAGAGAGAGAGAGAGAGAGAGAGAGAGAGAGAGAGAGAGAGAGAGAGAGAGAGAGAGAGGAATCGATCTTCGGCACACGGAGAGACGCGAGACACTTACGGCTTCCCGCGGGCAGAGCGGAGCGTCCGTTCGTCGTCCGTTCCGTTGGCGAAACGAGCCGTCGTCGACGAGAGACGAGCCGACAAGGGGCAATCCCGTGGTCGTCGCGCTTCCCGTGTGTATATGTGTGTACGTGTCTGTGTCCTCTGTCGCGCGACTCGTCGGGGTAGTAGATCACGCGATTACTTCGTCGGGTAACACGCGTGATTATATATTGTATACGATACTTTCCGCGCACAATGTCCGCGGGAAACAGTCCGCGCGCCGCGCGTCCGAAAAACTACCCTCGAAGTGCGCGAACCACCCTTGGAGTTTTCCTTTAGGCCGGCTGTCCGCGGCGGTGGCGGCGGCGGCAACGGGGTGAGAGTGCTACGGCGAACTGCTGTGGAGGCTGCGAGTCGCTCGCGGAGACAAAGAGAGTAAGAGGGAGAGAGAGTGTCCTCCTCTCTCGCGCTTGTCTCGCGTTCCTCTCGCGGTGTTACATCGATGTGTCAGGTCGGGCACATCGCGAGCACCCCTGAGAGATGACGGTGTAATCGCGACGATGACAATAATGATGACGACGACGACGACGACGATGAAGACGACGACGACGACGATGATGTCGATGATGACGACGACGACGACAATGACGACGACGACGACGACGACGACGACGACGACGATGACGACGACGACGACGACGACGACGACGACGACGACGACGACGACGACAACCACAACGGCGACGACGACGACGACGATGAGGGCTGGCAAGACCAACGCCGAAAAAGCAGCAGAGAGAGAGAGAAGTAGGCCGGTTAACCGTTCAGGCCGCACTGAAGAGTCGAGCGAGCCGCAGGTTAGTGAGGGTGAACCGGCCTGGCATCCCTCCTTTCGAACGCACCCCGCTTCACCCGAGCACCTTCACCCTCTCTCGCCGCCGCTACTACCGCCGCCGCCGCCGCCGCCGCCGCCTCTGCCGCCGCCGCCACCACCACCGCCACCGCCACCGCCGCCGCCGCCGCCGCTGCCGCTACCGCCGCTACCGCCGCTGCCGCTGCCGCTGCCGCCGCCACCACCATCGTCATCAGCTACCCGCTCTCGTTCCGTCGCTTTCTCTCTTTCTCTCTCTCTCTCTCTTCCTTTTTCTCCTTCTCTTCCTCTCCCCCCTCTCTGTCTCTCTCTCTTCTTTTCCTTTATTCTCCTCTAACCCCGCTGATGATTCCTGACCGACCAACCGGCCTGTACGCCGAGTACCTCGTAATCGCGACGCACTCGAGTGCGAGTATTTATTCGAATCGCATCCCTTAGAAACTCGGTCGATATTCAGCTGGATCAAGCAGATGTCGAGATTATCGCCGAATGGAAGGAATGGCGGAGAAATCGGAATTATCAGTGATAATTCAACAGCGATTGGAATGTCGGCGGAGTCCGCGTAAGATTTGTGATTTGCGTGAACTTTTCACCTACGACAAACGGCAGAAAGTATACATTCGCCACAGCTTGAAAGAAGAGGAATCGACCTGATCAGTCGCTTTTAATAAATATGAACAGTCTGAGAAGGAAGAAATGGACATCAACTTCTTTTCCTTGCAATATACAGATTTATCTAATCCCGGAATAAGAAGTCTCTTTAGGTACACAACAACGCACATGTGCTCATTTATAAAAGTTATTATAAATAAATAGTACGCCAACGACTACAAGTCGTGCGGCAACGATATCTAAAACAATAATAGCAGCGACTAAAATAATAATGTAAAAAAAAATAACTATACGATCCGGAGAAAGAAAGAGGTGGAGAGCGCCGCCTTAAATTAGAAATCTATTTTGAAGTTGACTTATACTCCTGTATTCAGTGAGTCTCCGAGAAAGAAAGACAAGGTTTCGATCATTTTTCCGCAAGAAACCTTCTTACATAAAAAAAAAGCAAAGATCTTTCTATCTAATGATTAAGCGATGCGGTAGTGTCGCGAAGTCAAGGGCGTGAAATAAAGTGACAGGTCGACGACAGGTCGAACGTGAACTATTGTCCGCGATAAAACGTCGAAGCGCTACAAAGTAGCTTTATACAGAGCTTTCTCTTCAATCGAAGCATTGATTAAAATTTCTCGAGTACCGGAGCCGCGCGTAATCAAAATAGTGCAACGGTACTTTTCTGACAAAATGTCGGTGTAGCCTCGATGAAAATCGGTGCATCGCGATCTCGAGATCTCATACATGCAATATTAAAAAATTCTTTCCGTTCATGTGCACGCAATTCCGGTGCGCTAAATTTTTCTATCTCAACATTCTCAAATTCTTAGCAATTTTCCGCTTAACCGCTAAAGCGTAAAATTATTAATAAAGCCAATAACATATGAATAATACTATTAAAATTGTTAAAATAGAAATTTATTTTATTCGAAAAGTATCATTATAGAAAAATTACTTTTTACTCGAGACAAATAATAAAGCAATTATTAGTCAATCTTCTTTTTTTACATTTTTCTGTATTTGATAAGATATATCTCTCTGAAGGAGAGAAAGCCTCCCTATCTTTCTTCCTTTCGTTGCCAAGCGCAACGGCGCTGCGACAAACATCGATCTCGCTTGGTATCGTCGGACTCGTATAGACTTTGATACTTTTCTCAGCCGAGGAGCACAGGCGAAATCTCTTCGTTTTTTCTTATGGCAAACGAAAAAGGGCATCCAGTGGTAAAAATCAATTTAATACATCTCTACAATATACGCGTTACTATACGTATCGCGGACAACTGATTAAATAGACAAGTGTCGGAGCTGTTTACAACTGATTACTCCACAAATTAAAGCTACTAGCCTTCTTTACAATCTAATCTTAAGCTAATCCGTCGGAGATAAAACTCGGTACTGCTGGAAGATTTACAGCGACTCAAACATTTTAAAGTAGTATATACAATGCAGCAATTAATTACACTTACAAATTGACGCGACATGCACGTCCCCAAACACGTGCATTCCCTAAACACGTGACAAATGAATGAATTCGATGAGATTATGTCGTTTAATCCGTCGTTTTCATATTCGCGAACAATAGAATTCTTTCCAAGAATCTCGAGAAGAGAAAAAAACACAAACCCACTGCGTATTCTCATCGGTGTTTCGATTCTCTCTCTCTCTTTCTCTCTCTCCCTTCCTCTCTCCCTCTCCCTCACTCTGTCTTTCTCTCAGAGATTGACAAGTGATCGTTACACAATATCATATACGATATCTCAATAAGAAATCTTATTGCTGAAGTATTTAAGATATCGATTGTCGTACGTATATATACGCTGTCGCATTCTTTTTAAGAGCAGTTTCATTTGGACTGTTTTCGTAATTGCAAGCAAAGGTTCTTCGCTTATGTGAAACACGGACAATTGTATTTACGGATCAAACTTGCGGTTGACATAAGACTCATATGTAAGAATCAGTCACAAGGTTACTTTCCGATTTTGCGCATGTAAATACTCCAAATAAAGGTAATTAAGACGGAATACGAGGCTACAAACAATATTCAAGGATTATATGTGTCAGTTCGGTCAGATACTCAACAACGCGGATGTAAATTCAACGGTCCTATATTTCTTTATCGCACTGCTTCGATTTCATCAATTTCTCACGTACATGTCGGTTTCGTCTTTTTGGTTTTGTCTATTGTTGCGGTTTGTTCTTTGCTTTGGTTTTGTCTGTTTATTTGTACCGTTTATTAAGTGCGCTTCCGGATTTTGTTTTTTGCTTTTAGATATTGGTAAGATATTAAAATGCATGTCAACTAAATTCAAGAGCTCAATGAACAGTTGTAATACTGAGTATCACTTGTTAATTCATGAAAATAACACTGCTGATGATCGCGATCGCTTCGATCGCAAATCCGTCAGGCGCGATAATAAGTTGCGATCGGATGTCGGTGATGGTAACGAACTAGTAGTAACAAATTGCGCGCGACGTCAAGAATAATATTCCAAGCCCTTTCTTCCAGTTCTATCGCGAGGTAACTTTCTGAATCGACCATATTTCCTACTTTGTGCAGAGAAATGAGGCTCCTCGCAACGTTCGGACTTATCTTGATCTGTAGCCATACCTGGGCAGCTGCTGAGAAGGACCTTTATGGTAAGTATATATATGTATATAAAAAGTCAAAACTGTAGAATATCTGGAAGAATATAAGTTTTATAAAAAAAAATGTTTTAAATAAAAGTTATATAGTTTAAATAAATCTATTTATTGATTTTATCAGTTTAACCTTGGGTGGCGTCACCAAGGTCAGGATAAGGGCGGCACCTTGAATTTTTTAAATAAAATCCTCTACTTTTTATTGCGTATTCTTATAGTCTGCGTTGAGTTTTTTCAGAACTCTATAATTTTATCCACTTTAAGTCAACCCTTTCGAAGTTATCGAGCTTTTTGTAAGATGTCTGCAACTATAGCTTTATGCAAGATGAAATATATAAAAACCACCACTATCATGTTGTACTTGTGTGCACTGGCGAATTCTAAAGGGATATTTGGGGATTAAAACTCCTCCCCCTTCCAAATTAAAAGAAATCAGTCTTACTAGGTCCGTTTAAAAAATTTAGGTGAAATGATACAGGCCGACACACAGGCACCCGTGAATCAAATTCTTATGTCTAGGATTTACTGCATCCAAACTGTCCGATTTCTGATATACAATGTCCGCTGTTGTTTGCTGAGAGTCTATTAATAATTATAAAAATTAGTAATAAAAAATAATAATTATAAAAAACCTCAAAGCTATAGCATTATTGTATTTACAATTTTATTAAATGCCCTCCCCCCATTATCGACGTCAGGATCCGTTAGTGCTTGTGTGTATGGAAAAGGAGGGTCCCATACATCACCTATATCCCTTCTTCCTCTATAAACAAATATAATACCATAGTAATATTTATATTTATCTTATATTAAAGCTATAGTCGACATATTATTATAAAAGAAATCGATAACTTTGAAATAACTGATTCAAAGCAGACAAAATTTAGTATTTTAAGAAGATCTTAAGAACTATAAGAATATGTAATAAAAAGTAAATAGGGAGTCCTATTTAAAGAATTCAAATTGCTCTTTTTCCTTGACTTTATAGCAATACTATCCAACGTCAAAATCATATCATTCATAAGATCAGCAAATAGATCTAGCAATGTATCGAACGGTATATTTCTATAGGATCTACAGCAGTATTTACCTTTATCTCGTGTGTTTATAGTCGCGTCCTATTTATCTCTGAATGGCCCATCGTGTTGGGTCATCTATTCTCGCAAATTTATTATTTTTCGATAACGATTCTGTCAGCTGTACATTTTCAAACAGGCTATCTTCGAATAGATTGTTTTTGTGCGCGTAGTTCTTTTAAGATAACCGCCTGTCATCTCGCAGATTTTAATACTGTTTTTACTAAATGGCAACATCTTTCCATATTGTTATTTCCATATTGATTTATGTTTATTGTACAGACTGTTCCGTAATTGATAGTATACCCAAAAAGCGGACTTTCTTAGAAAAAGACGAATCAAGAATTTAACGTCCCGCGGAGAGATTTCATTAAATATCGTCAACTCATCGTTTTACGAAGAATCGTTACTTTTTCGAACGCATTATCATCTAAGGGATATTATATGTAAGATAAAATTTTGCTTTTAACTTCATATGACACGAATCTTGCAGGCACCAAGTTAGAGGACTTTCTCGAAAAATTCAGAAGCTCAATTCGAGATGGGAACAAGGACTTCGGAATACCGCCCCTCGATCCGTTTAAGAGTGACAAAATACCAATTAAACTCAACGAAAAAGATATTAAGTGCGTATCGATTTGATACCACATCAGATCACACCTGATGTACTTACGAACGCAGTAAAAAAACGTAAGCAGAAAATTCTATTCTCTCTTTATACAATGTCTTTCTTCAAAACTCCAGTTTAGACGCACTTCTCACAAAAGTCAACATGCAAGGTTTGTCCGGGTACAAAGTCAATAGCGGTGACTTCCGCTTAATCGGTTTGAAGGTTGTGATGGATCTTACGTGGCCGTTGATATACGCAGTCACTAATTACTCCATGAATGGTACCGTGGGTGGTACGGTGGCTCTTTACGGCAAGGGCGATATTGAGTGAGTAAAAAGTTGTGTTTTTTCCGATTCCAATAGAGACCGACGGAAGAGAAAACGTTAATATTTATGCTTCGTGGAAGATGCATCAAGCTCGATTTCTTGACTCAAAATATTAATATAAATCTTACGTACGCGGCAATAATAAGATCGTTTCTACCGACACCCCTCCCCCCCCATTCAGTGTTCTATCGCGCGGTCTAAACCCTTTGAAACATGGTGGGATTCTATAATCCCACCTTTTCTTTCTTCATTTTTAATTATTTAAGCTATCTTTTTGATATTTTCGTCCGAACTTTTTTCACTTCTAAGATATGTTAGGTATTGAAATACGTGCTAAAAATGTAAAATGTAAATTTTTTTAAATTTTAGCATGTAAATATAAACAAATTGCATAAAATTATATATTTTTTAATAAAAATTAATTTAACGGGGTGATCTATAAAAACAATCGTAACAAAACTTGTTCATTTTACGTTTTTAAAGTCGCCGATTACAAATCTGGGGTCAGAATTTCAAAATTCAAAATGGCGGATCTAATGGTGGTGGACAAAAATGTTCCAAATCCTTCGATTTCGACAGAAATAGGTATATGGAGGTTTTTTGGGTCGCTGATCACGAATTTGTTATCACATTTCCAAAATTAAAATCCATAATATCATATCAAAGTTAGCCATTTGAAATCACCATTGGATCCGCGATTTTGAATTTTTTAATTTCAACTCTACATTTGTCATCTATGATCGAAAAAACATATATATATCGAATTTTGACTCCAGATTCGTAAGCTGGCCAGAAAACCCTTTATATATATATATATATATAATCAATTCATTCTTTCATTATTGCATAGAAAAATTCGCGCTTCAAAGAGTTAAACTTGATAAATTTGCTGTACAAGAGACAAGCGTGTCCTGTCCACCAAATTTCAGGTCGGCGCAATTGCGCGCCGCTTTTGTGTTGTTGCTGCGATGCGTTTGTTAACATAATATTAATTAGATATTACAACATTGTAGCTAACGACTGTATTTATCGTAATTGCACATTACAATTATTCCCGGTTCCGCACCGCCCACCCTTCGTCAATCCGCTCGTTCGCCCACAATCTTGCGCTTGTTCGACGTGTCGTTCCATTTCGCCTCATCTATATTAAATACAACGATTGAAATATGCACGCGAAAAAAAGGGGGAAAAAGAAAAACGAGAGAGCTGCGGTGACTGACAATGAATCAGCCGTTCTTCATTCAACCGCGTTCCCGACTTTATCGAACGCCCGATTGCGACAAAGGGCGTTATTAAACCGCGACTGAATTTATCTGACTCGCGTGACATGCGATCGTGCTGATCTCGACGAGTTTTCTTACAGTAGTCGTTACCGGCTTTAGCATGCACGACGCTCAAATTGGGATCAGCTTTGACGGCCTCCGACCGAATTCAAGATAATTAATAGATTGGCGTGAAATATGTTCGTCGTAACTATCTACATACATAAAACTCTCATCGAAGATAAAGAAGCGAATGGAAAAACGTTTTTCGAAAAAACGCGAAGATTATTTTTCGTTTTGGAAGAAAGTATGTGTGCTGACTATCTCGATCAATTAGGAAATAATTTTCATATGAGTCGTTTTGTTTTCAATTTTATTGGAAAAGCACGATGAAAATCTTTCGCGTTGACTTATAATTGACTTATAATTGAATTCAGGTAATGTATTCGTATCTGTTCCAATTTTCCTCCGATAGGGAGGAAAATTTCGAGTCACAGAAGTGTCATTAAGTGTATAAAGAGCTACGAGCGAGTTTTGATCAAAGTATATAGATGTAATGACATATATGAGAGATATGCACTAAGAGGGCACGTATTCAATTTTCAGAATTGGTGCCAAAGATTTGGATATCTATCTGGAAGTTAGCTTAAAAGTCAAAGGCAAATACCTGGAAGTCAAATCCGTAACATTGAAAATTTCTTTGCGCGCGCTACAGGTGAGTCAACCAGCTACAATTCTTGTCACATCTCTTTTTCATTCGCTCTCATTATTTCCCAATAACCGGAATCCGCTTGCAAAGAGATAAAAAAGATTTGTCGCAATTAAGTTTTCGTCGAAGAAGATTATCTTCAAGAGTCAACTTACAATTTTTGCTATTTATAAATGTATCAAATGGACTTAAGGTCGTTTTCTCTGTAACTTTTCAACGCGATTCCCGTTCTTTCGAAAATACGATTTTGAAGGGACTTAAATATTTAAGCTTTTTAGATTATGTCCAAAAACTGATGTACGATTGATCGATCGTTCGATTTTTACAGTTTACAATTACGGGTCTCTTCGACGACAAAGACATGTCCGAATTAATAAGCGCCGTGATTTCGGACATGATGCCCAAGCTGATTCAAGATTACCAGAGTGATATCGTAGGCGTTATAAATCCTATCATCGAGGACAAAGTTAACGGATTCCTGGCCGATAAGACAATCTCGGATTTATTAAAATTATTGGGTTAAATTCGTCATCACCCGTTATTTTTCTTTTATTCGACGAGCACAATTGGCGATTTCAATAATACAATTACAATAATAAAGAGCAAATTTTGAAAGCGCAACACAAATTCACGCAATGAAATAAATCATACAAATTACATGATATTTCATTGATATTTCAGTCAAATTTGCGATTAAATTTCTCTGACAGCCTTTAGGCGACTATTTTCTTATCCGCGCACATTTATTCTCTTCTCTCTTATCACAATTTCCCGAATTATTGATATCGAAATGACATACATTAAAGTTAAATTGTGTATTCATTTATATACTTATGTTAATCGTACTTGTTTATATATCTATATATAAATAAATTATTATTAAAATTTGATATATTGTTCTTTCTTTTTCGCTCATTCTCTCTCTCTCTCTCTCTCTCCTCTCTCTCTCTCTCTCTCTCTCTCTCTCTCTCTTTCTCTTCCTTGTTTTCCCTGAGGCGATTATATGTAAATTATAATTGGCATTAACCTGTTATATTTCTGTAATGGATAGAAAGTATCACATTCTTTTTGTCTCATATGTGTAAAACACACATAGGTAAACGCGTTATCAAGCATAAGTGAGACGGATACTAGCCGAGAGTCACTGTTTTATCGACATCACAAATAATTGAGGAGTACCGACAATAGTGAATCATTTGGTAGAAGTGCCTGAACGATTAACCTATATATGTTGCGGTATTATTTTAATGATTGATCGTCTTGTAGTGATTTTTTATATGCATGCAAGGCAACATATGCATTTGCATAAAATTACACAGATTACAGATTTGCATGCATCTACATGCAAAATGTTTTTATGGTTTCATTCGCAAGGTATTCACCTTTTATGAAGTATTGATTTTCGATAAACTTAATAAAATTTTCATTATAACAGATACATGAAACTCACCCTCGAGGTTCCCGATGAGAATTCACAAGCGAAAGCTATCTTCGACAGATCGCAAGTGTAGAGTTCGGCGATCGGAGGTTTCCAAGTTCGAACGGCCATGACACCACAGCGCGCGATCCTTCGTTCACCGTTCCCGACAGTCAGTCACATGAGATATTCGTTCACAACAGCAACCCGACGGTGTCTTGAATGACAAATGCGTGGGAATTACTTTCGGTATTCGATGAAATGATAATCAGCGAGTGAGACTTAATCACGACGATTCAAACTCACGAAAAACACGGAGCAGCTCTTCGAATCCGACTTACCTCACCATATTGTATTTCCCAACGAACGTACGAGTCGCAATTCTTGCGACCTTCGCAGTATCGAGTCGCTCGACAATATCGACTCTCGCACTATCGAATCGCTCAGCAATATCGATTCTCATCGACTCTCGATTATGGTAGGATGCTCGATTTAGAGCAGCACTGTGTTACACTTTCTACATTTAGTGAGAGATAAATAATGAGAATTGCCACAAAGATGTGAGAGAGAGAGAGAGAGAGAGAAAGAGAGAGAGAGAGAGAGAGAGAGAGGGAGAGAGAAATTGCGAAGATGTACGGAGAAAGGGCGAGTGAATCATTCGTTTATTAATACTCCTAATCCAAAGCATATAAAAAACTATATTTATCTGACTAAATCATGTGATGCTGGTGGTATTGCACAAAACGCAATCAGCGCACTCTCCGTTAAACTTAAAATAGTAAAATATATTTTGGTGCAGGAAGTTACTTTTTTCAGAGCAAAAAGAGAGTTTTTCACCAACTAATCGAAAGTGTAGTCTCCATCTTATCGACGGAAATAGTGATAGTGACAGCCCTGTTTCATCGGTAGAGCGAGCGATCGGGCGAGAATTAGTCAACGGCGTATCGGCGTATGTACGAATGACAAATCTGTCGCGATCTGTGCAAAGTGCCCGATTACTGTTATCGTAACGTACAGTGGACGCGAGTCTTCCTACCCAGCGGAATAATGATTTTGCTCGAGATACATAATAGGATACTCGAAGAAACGTTAACGAACAAAATCAAGAATGCCTTGTCGGGGTAAGCGGCTTGCGTGCGAGCGATTTTCTGCTTTAAAAACCGCATGCTTATCTGCATAACCTCGTTCCGGAGGATGTGGCGCCGGGGCGGTGTCCGTCGCCACGTTTATATTTTCTCAGGAGAAATTCTCTCCCTAAACGTAACTGATTGATTTTCGTTTGCGTCGCTTTCAATTTGCCCGCATTCCCTTATATTGGACTCTACTCCAAATGTTCTGTTCAGCTCTCCTAAATTTTGAACTATCTGAGACAGTTGCATCTCTAAGATTTTGTCGAATCAAAAGCCGTAATTTTCATTTGTACATATTTATTTTTTCCTCATCAAGGTATTTTCCTCTTGCAGACACAAGCAGGAGTCAACAGACGTCGTCATAGCAGACTTTGATGGAGTGTTGTTTCATATTTCAAATCTTAGTGGAGACAAGTCAAAGCTTAGAGTAAATAGATGTTATTTTTGAATTTTTTTTAAACTAAAGTACTGTTGCCTCTTTAATATAATATTGATGATATATCCTTTTACAGATAAGTATTCTGCTCAAATTTTATAAACAGTTACAAGAACATGGTGCGGATGAACTGCTCAAACGAGAATACGGGTCTCATCTTATTGCACCAGAGAATGGTTTGATATCTGTCTTGATTACTTTAGTTCTTACCTGTAAATGAGAGTAATGAATTATTGTTAATTATACGCTGATTTTATAGGTTACAATGTATCGGTACTCATAGATCTGGAAAAGTTACCAGAAGACTGGGAGGCATTAGTGAGAAAAGTTGCCTTGTTGAAGAGGCACTGCTTCGCTAGTGTTTTTGAGAAGTACTTTGACTTCCAAGAAGAATACTTTGATTCTCCAGGCAGGCCATTGCAGAAAAGGGCAGTTATCCAGTATAGGGATGAAGAGACAATGTAAAAAATCTATTTTGTATGCTTGCATTCTTCACTTATTTTCAATGTTTGTGCAATGTATATTAATTTTTATTCCAGGTATGTAGAAGCTAAGAGCGACAGGGTCACAGTAGTATTCAGTACTATATTCAAGGATGAAGATGACATGGTCATTGGCAAATTGTTTCTTCAAGAACTGAAAGAGGGCAGACGTGCGAGTCATACTGCACCCCAAGTTTTGTTTAATCATCGTGAGCCCCCTCTGGAATTACAAGATTCCGAAGCAGCCGTGGGAGACTGCATTGGTTATATTACATTTGGTATGAATATTAATTTCCTCTTAAGTAACATTATAGTAGTTGCATAGTACGATCTCTCTAATTTTTTTCTTAACTGTTGTTTTGAAGAAAACACTGTCTTCAACATTAAGGGAAGAAGTATTTCACTATCCATTATTTTATTGTCTGGTCTGTCTGATATAATGATCTTCAAATTTAAATAATTTTGTTCCTCAGTGCTATTTCCACGTCACACTAATCGGGAGGCTCGCGACAACACTATTGACTTGATACATATGTTTAGAAACTATTTGCACTACCACATTAAGTGCAGTAAAGTTTATATCCACTCCAGAATGCGTACTAAGACAACAGATTTTCTCAAAGTGTTAAATAGAGCTAGAGCTCAGTCTAAGAATACTGAGAAAAAGACTATTACGTAAGTGCTAATTATTAAGTAACGAACTAAAATCAAATAATTATATATAATAAATATAAAGATACGAAATTAGTTATCTTTCCTTATTATATTTACAATCGATTTTTTTCCTTTTTTTTTTTCTTTTAATCTTTAACCCAGCTTGTCCTCTATTGAAATGAAATTTATATTGTCTCTCGCAATGCGTACATCTGAATCTGTAATCTTTTTCAGGGGACGAACGTTTATCAGGAAAGAATGAACATGTTGAAGTAACGAAAGTGTTATCATTTCTTAAAGAGAAAGATAGAAAAAGAGGGAGAGATAGAGACAGAAGGAGAACGGATACAGAGGATTATCGTGCGGAATGCGGTTCGAAACCGTAGACTATCACGTACGAGATTCTCCACGTTGGCATTCCTTGATTCGTGCTATCGGCAAGTCGAGTGCTTCGGACCTTTGAGTTTCAACCTGTTTATCGAACAGTGTCCTGTCTAGGAAATATATAGCATCGCGCTAAGTGGGTGAGAAGAGAAGATAATTGTGTTTCTCGTCTCATCGTCGACTTGTTCAACATGACGTGCAAAGCTATATCTACCAGGGGGGATACTCGAAGACACCGGAGTTACTGTATCCGCGTACCAACGGTGCTAGCGAGTATCGGTCGTCACAAAAGATATCGTTGGTCTTGACAGTGATCTAGGATTCAAAGATAGTGGCGCTGAAACTTGAAGGGGAGAAGCTTTACGGATTCGGTTACTTATTACACTGGTTGTTACCTCGAACGATTTATCATATGTTACGACATTCTCCCAACTACGTCTGGCTACTTCATGTACGAGTACGTGAAATGCATATTAGTGTTACGATGATACACCGCAGCAAGACATTTGCGAGAACTTCAGCAGACAGACATGAGATACATTTATTAAAAAGATACGTAGAACATTCAATTAATTATCAAGCTGCTCGAGTCTGTGATTTCCCGTTGCGAAATTTCCTCAGAATAACGTTGTTTAAACCAAAAAAAAGAAGCTGTATAAACCGGAGAATCACAGTAACAGAGGGATAACGATTAACATAACACTTTTACTTTCCACATAGCATTTCTCGTTTCGACAAACGAAAACGCCGAGCGAGCCAAATACTGTTAAAAAATAGCGCGCTCGATTGTTTCCTCTTTCAATATTTTTATCGTCTCTACTTTATCGCTATACATTTTTGGCTATTGTGAGATAATAAAACTTCATTAACAATCCACACAGAGGGTTACTTCTGCGGCAACTCGCGCACACGTATTGATCTATAATCAGCGAATGAACGGCGTAAAATAGGGAGTGTCGGGGCTTGCCGTTCGCAATTAACAACCACACCCATCCCACTGACAGCGCCGTGAATTTTTCTCTCAGTTCAGAGGTGTTCTCTCGAGGTGAATATATGCGTCGATGCGCAGGCCGTTCGACGGCGAGAAACCCGAGAGACAACCTCAGCACGTTGTTACTCACGTGAAATTCATTAATTAATTAAACTTACACGTTTACAGACTCGTTACGTGTGCCGCAACTCTTGTGCAAATAATTATATCGGCTCAAAAGCTAGCTGAGTTTCTTAGGATCTTCGTCTCGAGTTTTAAGTTCGAGAGGCCGATGGGGGAGCAGACGACGACGCTACCGACGATCCCAAGCACCTCGTCCTCATCTCCATGCTCCAATGAGATTTCCGCGAGAGAGGACTGCGTGGTGCAAGGTGCAGTGGAAAAGTGGCTGGAGAACGAGGCGTTCCCGGGTTTTCGCGTCTGGCAGCTCGTTGGCATCATTCTCTCCGTGCTGTTGTCCATCATCATCGGACTCTGCTGCTGTATCCGTTTCCGCGTTCCCCGGACCAAGCAGGAGATCGAGGCGGACTACATTCGCAAGAGAATCACCAGGAACTTCCGACGCGAGCTTTCGAAAATCAGCAATACAGAGATGGATGAGATGGATCTGCAGAAAGGTAAACGGACGACGCTACGTCAGTTCGAAGAGGAGGTTCTGAGGAGGGAATACGGCTAAGTAGATCGTAGCCGCGGGCTAACATCGCTTTTCACATCGCAGCTCTAGACAGAATCCAAAACGAGTTCGAGGGGAACGCGTCCGCCCCGGTGGCGAAGGAGCGCGCGGACATGTCGCAGCGAAGCGCGCAGCGTTGCTTTCGATCCAGATTCAGCGCCGTCTTCGATGGCATACGCGTGCGTTTCGGTCAGCGCGAGCACGCCGGAGAATCGAGCGTCATGATATAAGTAACGATGCGCAGACACGTTACTGAGATAACGGATAATCGCGCGTTACTTATTTATTTAGTTAAAAATGAGCAATCCTTCCCTTCAACAATATAAACAGAGGAAAATAGAAAGCAGTAAGACAAAAGAAAAAGAAATATTCGAATTTGATGTTCCGCATATTTGTTTACTTAGACTCGCGTCCATAGACATTACTTGAAACTTCGTCCATCAAGCAGAGGTCTTACGTGAAGCGATGCATTATTGTTATTGGATCATGCGTTCTTCCAAACACACAACCGTGTGTTTGATCCGAGTGTTCAGTTCCCTAGTCGTTAAAGTGAGCCGTCGACGGCGCTACTACGAACGAGTCGGACAAAATAGGAACTTCGTTGGAAAAGAACGAGAAATAATTGAGAAGAAAATGCGAGAAGTGCGAGGTCGGGAAAAGTTATAGAGGGAAAGTCAGCGCCGGGCAAAAATAAATTATGTATGACACTTTCATTGACTAAATATAATCTTTATTTCATAGATATATTTTTACACAAATTTATTTACTTTTAGCATGCAACAGTGATCTATAATAACGGATAGTATGCTTTAGAAAGCACTCCCACGGTATGAGTGTTTTTTTTGCATATATGTATGTCAGTGTTTTTTTCTACCGTGTCAAGATTGCTATCGATTAAATCCTTTATATCGAATAATTATTTGTACTCTCTCGTTTAACCGCTTATCTTATTTTACCGCACACCGGATTCATCTTATCCGTTTATCATAATTAATAAAGCTCGCAGAGAACTATATGATTTTAATAATTAATGACATTATGCGACAAAGTATCGACAATCGAGGTACGTTATGAAGAAAAAGAGCCTTCAATATAATATGAGATATAAAATGAAAGAGGTAACGGAAAGAATAAAAATGTAACTTAACAGAAAGAATTGCGACGAAAGAGAAATTAGTGGAATTTGATACTGAGCAAATTTAAAATTCCTATCGAAATATCTGCCGATGGCAGATTTCCTGCCGTGTTTTGCAGACCTACTCTATCGAATCACGACGATGCTACGCACAATTCTCTCGTTTTCAATCATTTCGCTGAAATAATCATAACGAGGTATCCCAGGGAAAGGGATCTTAATTGTTCATGCGAGCGACATCACGATTTCTTACTTAAATAAATCAAGGCAAAAATAGGAGATGAGGAATCTTGACAAAATAAAAGGCAACGGAAGATGCATGTTTATGAAAATGATTTATTTTAATCCGGGGAAACATACAAGAGACGACGGATTCTATGGAATCGTCGTATGACAAAACGATAACTTTGTCATTCCGCAACATAATTATAAACAATTTTATAATTATGGCAATATTTAAAAAAAAATGTATTACTCCGTTATACGCTTCAGCGAATAAAAAAAAAAAAAGAGGAGAAAGAGAAGGAAAGAAGGTCTAATTGCGATCGCCGATTGGGCGAGAAGCGAATCCATCAGGATGTCAATTACAATGCAACGATTTAATTATTATCTCAATTGCGAGAGTCATCGCAAAATTATATTTGAGCGAGCGGAAACGAGTTTCTGTGCGTTACCAACTTCTTCATTGTATAAATAATATAGCGGCTACTACTAACTAAGAAACAAAGTAGGAACCAAACAGTAAAAAATATATATAAAGAATTTTGTGTCACCTCGCGACGTTCGAGCACGTTGAGAGTTATTAAATCGCATTACTTTACTTTGTAATACATTTCTAAATCGTTTCATCATATTAAAAGTTTGTCGACACAACTGTTTAATCACATAATCATAATCCGTAGGACGATTAAATTGTTATCAATCGTCCCTCTCATTATGTGCGTGTTCATATGCACGTGATTCTACTGAAAAATTTTATCATATAACCAAATAAGTGACGAAATCTAATTTTCCAATGTATCTCTCTCGTAACTTTAAGTTTCATCTCGACGGAGATTTATGCAAGATAAAACCGTCGAGCTATGCCCAGTTATTTAATTCTCTTCAATCACCAAAGCGAGGTAACGACATCACCACGCAGCAGTTTCTACATCCTCATTTTAATATCGTGCAGATTATTCTTATCGATCGTTTTGTATTGTTGTTCACCGCGTATATCCTCCCTCAGCGACCGTGTCAAAAATCAAGGTTGCGAGAGACAATGTTCACCTTTCATCACTTCATCATGCACTTTTGTCAACGGAAAATCTCAACTCGAAATTCATCAAAGGGATTATATATCTGATCGTTAAACGCATAGATTCTCAATGTCTTTGGATCCTTACATTCTAGAATCTTCGAATGCTTCGATTATTGGATCGCGCTATCTGTGATAATAGTCTGGATCCTTATGTTCTACGATGTTGAAGTCCTTAAATTTTAAGATCTCTGAATCCTTACATTCTAAGATCTTTGCGTACTTAGATTCTAGGGTCTTTGGATTGTTATAGGTTTTTAGGATCTGTGGATCCTTAGATTCTAGGAACTGTGGATCCTTATACTCTACGATCTTTAGGTTTTCAGGTGTTATGGAATTTTTGCGCTCTTAGATTCTAGGGTCTTCGAATATCCTTTTGAAATTTGTGAAAACCAAAACGAACGAAGATACGAAAACTCAATGTTTTTAATGAATCGTTTAAATGACTATTAAGACTCTCAGTTCCTCGTCGCGGAACTTCCGATGAAGTCAAAGACAAGGGAATCCATGCTAAAAATTCCTAAAGATTATATCGAAAATAAAAGGTACATTTATAAAATAACTCAATTGACTGAGTACATTTTTTAAATGCTTCGGAAACTTTCTTTTTGTTCTAACAAGTAACAAACAATCGCAAAATTAACGCGACAAGTAACCTTTCTTTTTAATCTGCTTTTTCTTATGATTCAGTCACGTTGATTTCTTTGTTGTCAGAGCAAAAAGAAAATTTTCGAAGCATTTAAAAAATATACTCAATCGATTGTGTCATTTTATAGATATATCTTTTTATTTCGACATAATTCCATGGGAATGTTTCGCATGATTTCCTTGCTTCTGATGTCATCATTCAGGATATCTGCAACAAGGAAACAGAAGCCTTAAATGAGACAGGATGCCCAAAAGAAGTGCCCAGTCTGTTTCTTAAAGTAGTTCTTTTAACAGTAACACTTGCGTTAATTTTGTCCCTGTCCTGTAAGAATTCCTCTATTCTTGCTCCACTCGTTTCGACATTAAACGAGAGAAAATCAATTGGAAAAGTCGACTGGAACTTCATTGGCATTTCACATAATCTAAAACACACTTTTCTGATCATGGAACCATGTACACAGTAGGTAATTTCTAAAACATCACAGGACCACGGGAACTAAAACTGATGTTCTCCCCGAGCGGATTTGGAAAACAGGAGAGGGGATATCTTGCGCGCGTCGGAGTAAGAAGACGTCGAGAGTACCGAGGAAACTTCGATCGACTAGAGGATCCGACGATGCAAAAAGTCAGCGTAACAAATATACGATCATCATGGATTTCTCCCGTCAGTCGAAACAACTAGAAAGAGATCGTTACAAAAGTCTGCAAGTGGTTTCCCTTCATAGAAAGACTATCTGATGACTTGAATAGTTGATTACTTGATCTTGGTTTTTCTAATGTTAGTTAGAGTTCGAAATATCGACCATAATTTCGCTTACGTCTCATAAAAGTCTTTGAACTAACCACATACATTAACCACTGCACGTAGAATATCGGTAGGTCATCACGACTACTCCACGAGACCGCAATTTCAAGGAATGCTAGCTTTAAAGTTTAGCGACTTTTGCATTTTTCAAACGTCTGTGCGCACATATCAACATGTCACGAATAACTACGAGATGTAATAACGATGGATTCCTCTAATTGACGAAGACCTGTCGGAAGTGAATCGAATAGGCAGATAGAAAGATATACAGGCAAAGAAAGATCAAAGGGGTAAAAAGATGAAGAAGAACGGGATGAAATGGCGAGGAAGAAATGAATGGATGAAAAAAGGGAGAAAAATGAGTGAGAAAGGAGTGCGCTACGAGGTAAAACCCACGGCACATCGATGCGTTTTCTCGCGTTTGCAATAATTCAAATTGCAATATATACGGGCCGTCGTCGTCGTCACCAGCCACGAGTTTACTATTTATTGCTAGAGATTCTAGTAATAAATAACGACCACGAATCAATAGCCACGCGCGCTTCGCATGCACTCAACCGAGAACGCGAGAAATGCAACGAAGGTACGCCGTAGACTCAAGAGAGGTATTTTATACAACAGCTCGGGGTAACGTCGCAACGCGCGACTTGGTGCGGCGGCGGCGGCGTCGATGGCGCCTACGCGTGCCTTCACGAGATCTTGTTCCGCCACCAAGAGAATTTCATTTTCGGGCTGAGATACTGGAAACTGATGACTGACTGCGGGATTAATGCGAGTATTGGCAAGAAGCTGCCGCAGCTGCGGCTTTTCGGCTCCTCGTCGCTCTCCACCGTGGTTGTGGTCGTGGTAGTCGTAGTGGTCGCCGTAGTGGTGGTTGTCGTCGCCGGAGTCGAATATGGGTAAGGTGTCGACAGCGGATTGCACGTGATGTGAATGTCCTCGGGATTCCACTTGTCGCTCTTCGCATCGCTCTCCTTCTCTGATGGACCACCGCCACCGCCACCGCCACCGCTTCTCCTCTTCTGCTTCTTTTCGGCTGCAGCATTCGTGTACCGTATAACGCTATTCTTCTCGGATATGTCGCTGCCGTCGCCGCTGCCGTTCAGTTCGCACGCGAACGGGGTCTTGAGAGACGCTTTGCGGTATACCTTGGACCTCGGCGCCTTCGTCGTTGTCAATTGCGGCGACGACGCCGAGCGTATCGCGTCAGTGTTGCGAGATGTCTGAGAAGTTGGTGACGATGCGGGGAAATGCTTTTTGTCTCCGCTCTTCAAGGTCGCCGTCGCCGTCGCCGTCCTCGTCGTCATTATCGTCGTACCGTTTGTCGTCGTACTGTCGCAACGGCGATTTTGAAGAGGGAGGCCGAGACCGGCGGACAATTGCGCTTCATTGGTCCCACCGGGGACGAATGAAGCGTTCTTGAACCCTCAGCTATGCAGGCGCGAGTAAAAAGCGCAAGTCAAATCGTAGCTTTTGAAGTGATAATACTGCACATTAGTGCGCAGCCAGTCGCCAGAGCGATTCAAATAATCAGAATTTTCGAAATCGCGCGGACAATTAGCGGCCGCCGATTCCTTGTTGGCGAAGATTGTGACAAGAAATTTGCCTGGCTTGAATGTGTTCAGCACGCGTAAGATTATTTCGTCGTAGGACGTCTCGGAGACGTTGCTCTCGAAGGAGACGTAAGAAAATTCGGGTTCTGGTGTGATGTGAATTGTCATGTACTTGCCCTGAAAGTAGAGAGACGCGAGACGAGAAAATAAGCATGCTTTGCTATTATAATTCGACACAAACCGACAATCATCGTCATTGAAGTTCACTTCGTCGTTGAACTTACATTCTTCGACACCCCGTTCATGGAATACCCGCAGGGCTCGAACAGAAAGTCATCTATGATCATGTCGGGGATCAATTTGTCAATTCCCGACTTCACCGTCGCTTCATCGGCGGACGAGCAGACGTCTTTAGTGAAGATCGACATTATTTCCGGATCCAGATGTGTCATGAGTATCTCCAGAGTTTGATCTGGTTCCGGCGGATCCTGCAGGGTCTTATCCCTGGACAAAGTGTAAAGATACCAGCAGTCCGTCTCCGGTGAACCCAAGCAGTAAGCTTCGCCATCTGCGATATCAAGTGAAGCCACATGTTTGAAATTCGTAGGTTAATCCGATTCTTCCTCGCGAGTTATTTTATCTTTCTCTTTTTTCTTTTTTTCAACCTACCGAGTCCTGATAACTAACTGAAATAACCGAGAAACGTGAGAGCTGATAATTACCGGGGAAGAGGGAATGTAGCAAAGCGACTTCCTCCTCGAACGTTTGGTGCGGCGAGATCTGCAGCTCCGGTCTCTTGTAATTCTTGCGCGAGTAAAAGACATTCTGAAACATGCGCGAATGATAATGATGATTAAACGGCTATAATCTTCGACTCGAGTTTCCGCGCGCGAGCGGAATTTTTATTGAAATGTACGAAAGCCACAAAGAAAATAATGACTGTCTTTATCGTCGAGAACGACCCTTATCAGGTTCGGATAAGACTTCTTTGCTCGTTCAACTACTCGATAGCTTGAACATTAATATAATAGTACGCGATGTTGATTCGCGTTTTTCAATTCCGACTTTAGCACTTTCGAATCGAACATATATCGTATTTATCTTACGCTTGCGATTCAAGGTTTAACGATCTGTCAGCAATGTTTCACGTGCAAAGCACTGAGCGAGTAAAGTTGACTGATAAGTGGGTCGTTATAAACGCTATTAAATTAACCGATATAAAAACAAATATCAAATTCTTTTATTAACAATTAACATCCACGAATATCTCGACGCGGTACCTTCGATTCGGAAACGTCTGAACCCAAATTGCAAGACATTAGTAATATCGATGTCATTAGTGACGTGATAATCTTGTATTTGTCTCTGCTTACAATTAATTATTATCAACAATTTCCAATAATCTATCAACCCCGGTCTTTCGTTTGATATTTTATCGATTGATCCAAATGTTCAATCCCGGTACGTCTCGAAAGTCCATATTCTCTGAAGAAAAAATTAATTTTCCGCAGCTTCGTGACTTGTGACTCCTCGCAAATGGCACGTTTTAAAACACAACGCGGATTCGCTCGATACGATCTTCATTTTGGATAGAATCAATCTAGGGCGGGCCGAAAATAAACTCGTCGGTTGATAACCGCGAGAGGGAGAAAAAAGAAGAATCAAACGAACAACATTGAATTTGATAAGGGCCAGCGAGAGAGAGAGAGAGAGAGAGAGAGAGAAAAATCGCGAGGGAAGGAGAGAAAGAGCTCCACGCGCTAGATTGGCAGTTCGGCTCTTTTGACACAGAGAATCGTCCACGGATGTACAACTGCGGAAACGCGTTTTCGGGTGTGCGTGTGTGTGCGTGTGAGAGAGAGAGAGAGAGAGAGAGAGAGAGAGAGAGAGAGAGAGAGAGAGAGAGAGAGAGAGAGAGAGAGAGAGAGAGAGCACCGTACATACGGGATATCGCGAGACAGCCGAGATCAATAAACCAGGAGGCAGAGACGCATCTCACGTGGCGGAGAGAGAGACACACGTTCCCCGCGTATGTATATAGTCGTGTTTCTTATCCATGCACTAGGTCAAGTTATATAGCTAAGCACTTCTAAACTGAACAATGCTCATTCGCTCGGTCGCAGGAACGACGAAGTGCCGGAGGATCTATCGGGTAAGATCGCCGCGTATTCCCGATCCCGGAACGAAATGTCTTCACTTGACAAGTGAGGAATCGGCCGAGTGAGAAAACATTCCAATTCGAGTTTGCCGACTTGTCGTTTCTCCGGCGAATCTTCATTCTTGTTCCGAGGGAAATTATATTATCGAAGAAATTCAGGGAGCAACTGCGCTTCGCGTCGTTACTCCTCTGCTCCTTGATGTTACCTTACCTCGACGTCGTCCCAGCCGGTGTACTCTTCGACGAGCTTTAGCAGAGGCTCCAAACACTGTAGGGGTGTGGTGGTGCCGCATGTCTTCAGTATAAATCTGCGTTGTGACACGAACATACTGCTCTCGCTGCGGACGAAACAAATGTTGCAAACAATTAATCGTAGTCTTCGCGATTCGCATGAGGCATTGCATTAATAAGAAGCGAGAGAATGAATAATTATTAAGTCGATCCACGACTTTCGAATCGGTGCTAATGCTGCTGAAGTCGTTTGTTAAAGTCTGTTTGCTGAAGTCGTTTGTTAAAGAGGAAATATCAAGTCTTAGAAATCATTTTTCTATCAATCGATAGCCACTATAGATTTTTTAGCCCTCTTTCTTTTGTTTTTTTTTAAACATTTTTGTTTCTTCTTCGGAAAACTCAAATTTATAAATTCTTTGAAATTTTGATTTAATAGAGAAATGAGCTTCGAGATTAAAGGGTTAATTGAGAAGCCAACAGTCGTTTCATAATATCACAACTTAAAATTCCAATATCCAATACGATAAATAAAAATCGCTCACGACGAAGACGACCGCACATTAGAGGCACATACAGCACTAAAATAAAATAAAATAGCGATAGCTCAAAATTCAAAACGACAGCCAATCGTCGGTTTGTTTGACTCAGTCCTGTAACGTTTAGTTTACTAAAAAGGTAACCGGTCGTAGATGTCTTATCTTTCGGATAAGAAATAACATACAGATAATAGCAGCACTTTTCAGTGAAAACTAACAAAACTCTAAGTAATGGAAAGATTTCGAAAGCTGGAAAATCGAACACCGTCGAGAGATAGCTTAAGAGTTTTCGAGAGAAGTCAGATAAAGGGAAAAATTCGATAAAAAGTATATTGATATGAGAAAAGTTAACACTGTGACTTCCTATATTCTCCTAATCTTCACATTCTTCAATTCTTCAACAATTCATGTTATATGAATATATTTTCAAATACTTCGATTATCTGTAGCAATTAGTAGAAATGGACTAGTTGGTAGATATATCCAAGCCGGGCTTGGATGAAGCAAACAGCTGAGGAAGGTGTTCGTCGATCGCGAGTGGGTCCTACGAATATTCAAAAGGTACCAAGTACTCGAAGATTCAAAAGTACTTGAAGATCAACGAATTAAATAATATTAATATTAAATTGATATTGACTCGGCTACCGTTACCAGCTATTTTCGGAGCTTCATTAATAGATAAACTTATATACAGAGACAAGCTATACGAATACATGTACATAAATATTCGCACTTTCTCCGAAGAGGAGAGGAACTGCCGACACATGGACGTCAATGTTATATCAACAACGTATCATCTTCCCGATATACTCACTCATTCAGCGAATTAATTACACTCATTGATCCGTTATGTTAAAAACTTACAGCGAACGTTCGCGGTTTCATTCAATCAATCACAAAGATGTTCAGCACCTCGCGTATAAATTTCAAATCATCGCGATGACGTCTCGTCTCGGCATCTAATTCGCTGTTTATCAATTCGCAAAAGCTTTCGTGGACGATTATTTCGAGCTGATATGCGAATCTGTCGCGGCTCTTCTCTGTCCGAAACGAACATTTCTTCGAATTAGTGGCGGCAAAAAAAGGCGGGAAATAGGATTACTGTAAAAATTTGCTATAGCGTTTCGAAGGTTATCAACGATAGACGGTGACCTTAGATGTGGAGAGACAGACGCATGATAACGAAGTAGAAGCCTCTTAAACGTTGCTCTCTAAATATAATACGATAAATGAACACCAAAAGTCGATAACGCCGGCGAGTGACCAAAATGTCTTATGTATCTTGCATGCAGTATTGATAAAGAAAAATTCCATCAAAGTTAGATTATAGGAATCGTCAGAAGAAATGGCTCAAAGAAGAAATGGTCAGAAAAAATGGAGTTTGACGGCCCTGGGACGGGGCGTGATCAATTGGAAGGCGCATTCTTCAAGTTCCAATAAAAAATTTACAGCAAACACATCTCTTTAGTCTACGACAAGGTATTTGAGAGACATCCTGTTTGCTGCTGGCAAATTGCTACTTCTCACGTCGACAGTATAGAGAATGCAAGGTGGAACGTCGAAGCTTCAGCAGAGAGTTCAGGAAGTCATCAATCGTTCGGTAGTCAATGATAGCTCGATAGCTCACAAAGCCGGAGGATACCTTAAAGATGACCCATAAATCTTCACAAGTATTATCTCGATATCCTTTGTGTCGAAAACGCAACGTGTCATTCAATAGAGATCCGTGAAAATTCTCCCTCTTGGCGAAGGGGCTGATACTTGTTTCACCAGAGGTTTCCTAAACTTCACTAATCCCCAAAATCTCGTTTTGAGAATGAATTCTCAAGGAACACGAATATTTTCGTACGGGTATTTTCTCCTTGATAATTCATCCTGCCGACGAGCCCTTCGTCCTCTCGAGTCGCACACACTTCGGTCGTGCATCTTGGTTGTGGATGAAATCCCTAACTTGACGAAGCCGAAGAATCTGGGGATGAAATAAGGGCACCCAGCAACCTCGTCTCGGGTGATGTTCTCCAAGAGATCCTCCGTTCCAGAATACCATGAAGCATCCGGCATTTTGCGTCGCGCATTTCTGACTTCGAAGCGGATGAGGAATACTCGTTCGATGAGGGGGCGAACCACTCGAAAGTGTCATCTTGACTATATTTATTTATAGGGGTGGATCAGTATATCAAATTAAACCGCTCATTTTCGAATATCCTGGAGCCGGAGCACATCGCGTAGAGCGTAGTATTGCGTCACATCATCATCGTCGTCGTCGTCGCCGTGGCCGGCCGGGCCGGGCCGGACGGTGCACCTTCCATCAAAACAATTCAATATATCGATTAACCAGCAGCACGGGTGAGTGCCTCTCGGTCGTCGTTGCTTCCTCTCCCGGGACGCCCCGCGCCACGGCCGGCATGCCGCGCGAAAAATTGCGCCGTTTTTCCGCTACGACGTTTACCGCTCCTGCGAGAACTCCCCTGTTGTCTCCTCCGAGTGGATCCTGAATCCACCGTGTTCATGCGCGCGTGCGAGGGCTCCCTTCGTCGGGCTTCGATTCTCGCGTGAGTCATTTTTCCTGAGTCTTCGTAGAACGAATTGAAACGTGAAGGAAATTACTTTTCAAAACTTGAACCGAAGGTTTCCTCGTTCACTCAAAATTTCAAGTTTGACGAGAGCTGTGTCCTTCCGATGAATATTTCTTCATTAGTGTTGCCTCGGGAGAACAAGCGACGAATTTGCTGGTGCGGAAAATAACGAGGAAATTGCGCGGATAGCAAAAATAATTGACAAATTCTAGTCAATGCAAAGTCAATTGTTGAATAAAAATCAATATAACGGCAGATAAATATTATCTGTGTAGTATTTGCAAACCTGAGTATTCGGATGCAAGATCCTAAACCGCTTCATATTGACAACATTAGTAAAACCAGTAATCAAATTTAGCGCAGAAGAAATAATTCTAGCGAGTTTGATGTAAATTCAACAAAATCACAGTTTTCATGGCAACATTTCCGCATCAAGTTGAAATATGTTGAAAGCAAATGTGTCGACAAATTCAAATGCAACAATTTCCATGTAAGAATTGATATTCGAAGAAAACAAAAGAGAAAAGAATTAGATAAAAAAAAAAACGAATTACTTGGATATGGAAATACGTATATGGATATACGTTATCAAGTTCAGAGAAGAGCTCACGCTATGTACGTTATATTAAAATTAAATGATCGTAATCTCAGCGATCTCGGTTACAAAGACACAACTCGCAGAATTCAACATTGCTCGAGTGAGTATGAGTCTGAGTTAATGTAGTCGAATAGTTCATAAATAAACAATTCACAGAAGACAACTTACCTGAGCACGTAGGCATCCACTTGCTCATTGCGGCAGAAGCTAATAATCTCGCAACGAACTATCTTCAGTAACGATTCCCATTTTTGCCTGAAAAACGAACAACGAAAATCTGTTCACAGTCATTGGCGTGACATATGTGAAGCGAGTTAATCTAGAAGTTCAGTCAAAGAGACGATTTATAATTCGTGACAAAAATTTCTCTCTGAAATCTCACACGATGAAAAATATCTATGAACATTTCCACGCGGAAATTTATATATTATGACAATGAACGTGCAAACGTAACTTTGATTCTTCAAGTGCCTTCGTGTACACGACACGGAAAGTTACATACGGTATTCCATCCGGAGCTTCGGTTGTGAATTATAGAAACGTGAATTATAAAATTATTGAAACACGTTTTGCGCGCATATTAGTGAACTCTCGAACAACCTCACGTGACAGAAAGCGAGAAGTGATTGTTAAATTAAATTGGAATTTAACTGAATCTTCGAGAGACACTGCGGAAAAGTATATATGAACTTGTTGAAGTAAAATTCATTAAGAGATCGGATTATAGGCGGACGATTCCAGCCGCAGTATTTTAAGCATACAAAAGGCTTCACTTTGCCTTGTAAATTTTGATTAATTTTTAATTAATAAACACAAACCTTAATTTATTTTGTATTACAAAAGGATTTCACTGGAATGAGGCTTTGTTTTATGCCGTTAAATAAGGGTTTTATAATCTTACTTGTGGCGTACAATTCTTCCGAAAGATTCAGAATGATTTTCTTTCGTGCGAGAAGCTTTCTCTCCGAAAGAAAAACGCCACGTGGGAAATTTCTGTTTGTTCTCCGAAATTACGTTACCCGTGATTGCCTCGATATCGAGAGAAATTGACGATACGAGAAAAACAGCGCGAAAAACAGCTCAAAAACCGAGTCTAAAGGAATTAATCTTTAAATTATTCGAACGACGACAAAAACAAAGGTGTTAATAGAAAACAGGTGTTAACAAGAGAACCTTATCGAACATTCTGCTGAAATCTCTCGAGAAGAATCAAGTTCTCCCTCACTGCTCTCCCAATATATGTGACAAATGTTTTTCCAGCAAACCCATCGACAATCATCATCTTTTTCTTAAGAAACCTTTCTCTTAAGAATGCATATTTTCCTGTAATCCTTCCAACCTCAAGGAACTCTCGAAGAAAAGATTTGCAACAGTCACATTACATACTATATATAAGAATAAGACATTAATTAAGAATAAGAATATCCGTTTCGTCACATTCGGATGAATGAGAAATCAACCCTCACGAAGAGCCCTTTCACCCCGATTCTCCCGAGGACAGGATTGAAGTCATTTTTGTCAAGACAGTAATTAACAGATGAAACATTCGATTTCTTTCGGCTAGCTTGCAGCGCTGAACACACGCGCGGATCAACCGGATGAACCGATTGAAATTTCGCGCCGCGTCCGAAACTGATCGGACCTCGGGCGTTTCATCCAGGGTGCAGTTGCCATCCCCATCAGGCAGGCTTCTAAATTTATTGTCTCGCCGCGACATGCGATATGCCGAAATAAACAGTGGTCGCGGGCTCTACCTGAAGCTTTCGGCGTGCACCTAGGAGGTTCAACGACATTCTGATACGTTGCAGAGCGTAAACAGTAACAACGCGAAACCGTAGTCGTGCGCCTCGGTCTCTATCAATCACTGGCTTACATAATTACACATAATCGGTGCATATAAACGATAAAACACAGCTCGCTCGAATTCTTGCCGAATTGTATTACCGCGACATGGATACAAACGCGTGTGCACGCGACTTTTCCTTCCCCAAGAGAAGCCTCGTCGCCATTACATTTTTCAGCTAAATCGAGAGTCTTACCGAATGCGATAATTGTTCCACTATACGGGAAAGAGTGTCGTTGAATTAATAAAATTAATTAAATATCATAGTCGAAATATAAATCTTCTTTCTATCGAGTGTGATTATTGTTCGATTATACAGGAAAGAATGTTGTTGAACTAGTAGAATTGATCAAATATATCGTAGTCGGAGTAAATTTATCCTCGATTTAACAGCAATGTTACCAAAATTAATTCATCATACATTATTTTAATAATTCGAGTATTATTTTCGAAAATATAGCTATTTTAAATTCACAAAGTTTTTCTCCGATAGAATTCATTAATTTTATTTGTCCAACAGCATTCTCTTCTCCATTTACGGTGTGGTTTGTTGCTTTTGGGTAAACTAGATTGTTAAGCTAGGCATTTTCTTTGAAGTAAAGCTGTTCCTTTAGAGTAAACATACAACTGAATAACGAAGGATAAAGAAACGACATTGTAAGAGACGAGATTTATGAATCTCTTTCCTTCGCGTGAATTTGTGAACAATGACAGTTATCCAACTTGAAAGCATTTGGGAATTTCATTTTTTACCTGCAAAGGGAGTTTTAGGGCAACCCGCCAACACTAATGTACCTGAAAAGACCAAGCCTTTTGAATTTCTCTCAATGGCTTTTTCCTAAGTCCTTAGCGCGCGCTTCGAAAAATGCAGCGATCGTTTCAAGCATCGCAAGTGGAGAACCATAATGATGATCTCGAGGGTAAAATTTGCAAGGATTCTTTATTGAAGAATAATTCGCCATAACGTCATTCATAGCAAGCGTATGAAAGCAATAACGACACGTGTGTCACTGGTAATCTGGATTTTTGTCACCCTAACAGAGACGATTTGAATGGTGATCTCTCTGGTGATCTGAACGATACAATTCGCGGGAAATATGTTTATGGAAAAGATCGATGATCTTTCTGCTTGAAAAGTGACGACTTCGACATCGACGAAGGTCCCTGCCGAGATACACGCATATATCGCGATCCTCGGCGAGCGAACCCTTCGCAAGATCGCAGCATCCTTGACGTCTCATCGTGCCAACTTGCCGCTCGATAAAATACACGACATGCACGAGTCAGTCGCACGAAGTCGAAGAGAATCTCGTCTTTTCGTCGAACGTGGCCCGCGCGTTCGCGGGCTCTTCGTATTCGCGACCTTCGCTGGGCGAATTCATGGGCCGCACGAGAGGTCTCGCGACACACTGTCGCCTCATTGAAATTCGACATATTCCGAATGGCAAAAAATGTCCGCGTGTCCAGGTGGCGGATGTATCGTACGTACATCGGGAAAGTCTGCGCGCTTCCGCGATTTCCGCGGGACGTTTCCTCGAAGATTCCTCGATTCGTCGAGAGACCCTCGACGACGAATTCTCGTCAGCACCCCGGTGCTTATCGGCACCCCTCGCCGAGAGATTGTCAAGCACGAAGCTCGCAAGGTCAGTGCAGCCTTGCTGATCGCAGCCGTGCCCACACACCCGCCTGTTCGGCACGACTCCACTCATCCTGGATGCGTGGACACCTGGCGAGCCTCGTAGGTAGGTGATAGTCGGCGGTCCCTACACCGCTTTAGCGCTTATTTTTGGAAACTTGTCAAAAGCACCGTATCGCACACATAGATACTTACATGCCGTACATATAGGTACACATTTACATGTACACGTACGTCGACATCTCGACATCGACCGGGACGACGTGAACGATCAGGCCCGAGCTCGCGACTCCCAACGGTCGACGCCGGCGCGTCTCATCGGTGTCCGTCCTCTGGCCGGCGTCGACTGTCATCGTCGTCGCCGCGACAGAGACAGAGAAAGAGAGACAAGAGAGAAGAGAGAGAGAGAGAGAGGAAAGAGAGAAAGAAAAAGAGAGACCGAACGACGCCGGCGGTGCAACTTACCGCGGTATCTGCCGCAGATCACCCCGCTGGCCGTCCTTGGAGCTGGTGAACCAGATCTCAAGGAGCTTCTCTACTCCCTCAAAAAACTGCACGCTGTCGGCGCAGTTGTCTTTCGTGTCCGCCATCCTCTGGAGAATACCTCGCTGTTGCTGCTGCTGTCGCTGCTGCTGTTCCACTGTCGTTTTCCCCGGCGCAGCGGTGGCGCGATGCTCGTCGTCGTCTCGCGACGTCTCCTCTCTCTCTCTCTCACTCTCTCTCTCTCTCTCTCTCTCACTCTCTCTCTCTCTCTCTCTCTCTCTCTCCCTCTCTCTCTCTCACTCTCTCTTTCTCGCTCTCGCTCAATCCCGCGATTCTTCTCTCCTTCAGTCTTTCTCGCTCTTGCCTCTCGGATCCCGCGTGCGTGAGGGAACCGAATGAAGCGGGTATTCTCGGTGACACGAAGCAAAATCGGACACTCCCGGTGGACACCGATGACGAGCACCGTCGTCCGTACGCTCGCACACCGACTGACACACTAACCACACACCAGATCACACACTACTGGCTATGATTGACTGATGGATCCGCCGGTGCTGCCAGACACGCTGCGCCGCCGCCGTCGCCGCCGCCGTTATGTACTACGCAGGCGCCCTCGCTTGTATACATCGCCGGCGTTCGTTTCTCCGCCTGTGGTCCGCTGGTCGCCATAATCCATTGGTCCGTTCCGTTCATCATCGCGAATGACAGGACGACATCACGCACGCACATACTCCCGTGCGCACCCGCCATTTTTCGCGCCGCCAATGTCACATGACCCTGCGCCGGTACGTGCGCATGCAGTCGGCGATCGTACGAACTTTTTTCATCCGCTATTTCGGTCAATGACGACATGATTATACCTTCTGTCTCGTTCTCTTGTTGAACAGCAGTGGGACCGAGAGTCGAACGGCCGCACAGTTGACGGTGATGTTGCTGAGCGCGCACAGAATTCGTCCTCTTCCTCCAGGAAACCGCCGTCTTGCTCGCTGCACAGCTCGCGCGCGTCTGCACGGTGGCGCCACCCGCAGCCGCAAGTAGAACCATTTCTATGCCAATCGCTGACTAGCGATATCGAAACGCGCAATGTGTAGCAACTTCGCGCAATGTTTTGCGCCTAGTAACTCGAAGATTTGTTTTTCAACGATAGAGCGATTACGTCGCTGACTTTCGGGCTTTACGATTTGTTGCAACTTCTCTCCACTTCTTTGTTACATACCAATGAGTTATTGTCACATTGGGTCTACTTGAAAATTTATGAGCTAAAAATCTAGTTACTTCTCAGACGCGCTCTCGCACGATTTGTATCATGTGCGATTTATCTCGCCGCTAATTTCATGAAAACTTGGAATTTTCCATGATACTATTACGTTAAGAAATGGTTGAAGAAGCAACTTATTACAGCAGGCCAATCCTTGTGAAATCAATCGTTATTGACAACAAATATTAAATTACATATCGTGTTAATATTTGTAAGATTAACAGTATTAACAATTCCTTAATGATAGTTTTTTTTATATTTAATAACAAAACTAATCATTTAATGCAGCCTGTAGGTTTTATTTTACACAGTGCATCTACTCGCATCTCTTTTTATTCTTCATGCTTTTCTTTTTCTGCTTATCGATACGTCGTTTCACTGACGGCTGCTTCTCTACTAACACATCCTCGGTCATAGGTTCGATCACTTGACCGGACTTTGTAACTACCGATGGTTGAATCAATCGTCTATGAGCGTTTTCCGGCACAAAACTCCTACCCAGAGGAGCTCTTATGCTCGCCTCGAAGTCCTGGACAGTAGTAAATGGATATGGCAGTTCGCTGACAAGGTGCTCCTTCAACTTCTGATTCGCACCCTCAAAGATTATCACATCGCCTTTGTTCTCATCTTTACGCGGCGCGTCTTTGGGAAACTTCACTATAAATCGTTTGTTCTTACGCCTCGTTTTACGCACCATGATGTTCGTCCCCGCCCATTTCCCCCATCCAGGCAGACTCTTATCGATGTCCTGCGGCTGCGAGTTCTTAATCTAGGAGTATTTCGTATACGTGTTAGATTAAATTAATTTTTGTATTAATATAAGTTTTACTAATATTCAAGTAACATAAAAATTAAGGCCAATAAAAATCAATCATACTACTGATACTGTGCCAAGGAACACAAATATCTTCTTTTTACATACCTCCTCCTCCTTCTCCTTCCTAAATTCCTCAGCGAACTCGTCGTCCGCAAATGCCTCATCCATTACATCCTGAGTCTCCTCTTCCTGCTCACTGTCGTCCATCACGTCCTCTCCACCTGTATCTAAATCCGGCACCTGCGTCTTCAAATATTGTGGCTCTGTTTGCGCATAATTCTGCATATTAACGTCCGCAGTATGACCATTGATTTCATTCGCGGGTTCTTGCTCAGTGTTTGCTAATGTTTTCAAGCCTGTTAGATCTATGTCTTGTTGAGAATTTTCCCTGGAGAGAGAAATGGTTTCCTCCAATGGAAGATCCAATATCGGTTTCTGCTTGGACTCTTTAAATTCAAGACTCGGTATATAATCACTGTTCTTCTTCTTCTTATTCTTCTCTTTCTTAAGCTTATTCACTTTGCTTTCCGTCTCAAGGTTCTTTTTTATCTTTTGCATCTTCAGGTCAACTTTACATCTTATATTTTCTAGCATGGAATCAAACATGTCATCTACATCTATTGCTTTAAGTGTCTCTGATGTTTTAGAGTCTGATTCCTTATTACACTCTAGTTTTTCTACATCCCCGGAAGAAGTAGTTTCTGTATCTTGTTTATTTTTCATCTTAGTCTCAGTCTTCTCGTTACATATTTTCTTATTATTGCTTGGAAGTATAAAAGGTGCCTCACTCTCTTCATCTTCATCAGTATCCTCAATTACCGCAACTTTCTGCGTCAATTCTCTACCAATGGACAACTGCTCAGCAAGCACCTGTCGAGTCTAACAATAAGAAGTACATTAATATATTATTCTCAAACAACAGTTCTTATTTAAAAATTAATCTTGTTTCTCGTGAACTCTTAGATGAAAAAGATACTCACTTCTTTGTCATATTTAGCTCTAATCTGTTTGTTCTTAGCCCACTGACCCGTGCTCTTGTGCCTTAATGACATTCGTTCCTGCGCACGACTCTTATCCAGTTGTTCTAACCTTGCCAAGGCTTCTTCCGGATTAGTTTTCTGTAATTCTTCAAACTCTATCAACTGCTCTTTAATTTTCTTCTTCCGTTCAATGCGGTGAAACTTTTTGCTTTTAATCTTGCGCAGACGTTGCGCTTTCGCTTCTTTATATGACTAAAATAATAAAGTATATAAATTAAATTTGAAATAGACTCTTACTAGTTTCCTACGTATTGTTTCTTCTGTTGTTAGTAGTCTTTTGACAGTTGTATCACTACTTTCGCTTTTACCTGCTGTGCCCTAAGTCTTGCAAGTTTGTTTCTTCTTGTTTTCACATCCTCCAATGTCATTTTATTTCTTTCTTCCTTCTTTTCATCTTTATTGTCACTATTCTCCTTAGTTGAAAGTTCCTTTGGCTTTGGTTCTAGTGCTTCCAGTTTTTGTTGTAAATTAGACTTCAGTCTAAATCCATTTGAAAACTCTGTTAGAGGATTGATTTTTAATTTTTTCTTAGAAGTGTTTAATGGAAAGGACAACTGTGTTGCTGTTCTGTTTCTAGCAACTATAGCATTCCACTTTCCTAGATCTTTCAGAGTACGTTCGAACCCAAATTTCATTTTTACCTATATGTGGTTTAAATTAATATAATTTAATATTTTATATTCTTATATAATTCTTATTTAAATATCTTATTTAAATGTGATATTAAAAATTCTTGTGGTATAAGATATTTGAATGAGATATTAGATTTAATTAAATAAGTTTTACAGACAATAAACTGTCAAATCGGAAAACTTCAAATATTAAATTACATGAATACAATATGTAAAATAATTCAATAATATAACTTACTCTTTCAGCAGATGGTTTTTCCAATGGTTTCGAAATAGGTTTACTTTTTTGCTGAATAGATCGCAGTTTTTTTGTAATTTGACTCTGATATCCTTTTTGTCCCAATGATGAGACCAGTTCTGGTAAATATACAGCATTTTTGTTGGTTATTCCACTTTTTACAAGATGGAACTCTGATACTTCTAATGTAGGCTCACTTCTTTTCGCCTTATCCATTCTACAAAAAAAAGAAAAAGAGAAAAAACCATTAAAAGCTTATACAATTATATAACAAATTATATATTATAACAATTATATAAATAAGAGGAAAACGATTAAAAGATTCAGATCACTAGAGTCACAGTGTCAAGCTTGTTCAACAATACAATGTCCTTTTCACTTTTACCTTTTCTTTTTATCAAGTTGTGTTACAGCTTCGAGAAATTTTGAGTGATTCTGCGAAACTTCCTGATCGCTATCATATGCGATTTCTAAGTTATCCATCTTCGCAATCGTTTATTGTAATTTTTCTTACAGTAACAGTAATAAACAGTCGGTCTAGGTTAACACATCAACTCAGCATCCTCTCCACATGACTGATAGAACAACAATCACCCAGAATTGTAGCCGGAAACGGAAAGAAATCTTCGTTTCATTTTTCAAGTAGTATAACTCAACGACGCCTCAGACGATCTCTTCATTTACTAGCAAGCAAATATCCAAGCACCAGATTGGCTGAACTTCCAGCTCTTTCTTGCCACTCCACCAGGTGTCTCAGCGGTGGGCCGTGATCGCGGAGTGTGCGATGAGTCGCGGAACGCCGCGCTACTTTTTCGGTCGCAAACAGTCGGCGAGCGAGAACGCAAACAGCTGATCCTGTTTCTACGGTGCCGCTCCTACGAGCACATGTCCGCACGATAATTACATACGATATTGCGAGTCTCTACTATCAAATTGAGCGGCTGAGCGACGGTGCAGAGTCAAGGTACGTAATTGTACGTGAAGAAACGCCAGCGACAGCACCCGTCTTCGTGTTCGCATGCAATGAGCAGCCGGCGATAACCGGCGGATCCCATCGCCCACGTCGTCACCGTCGTCGTCGTTGCCGTCGTCGTCCTTGTCGCAGAGTATAACATGGCCGATCGCGATAGCGCATCCGAGAGTGACTCGAGTTCGATTGACGGCGGACCGATCATCATGATGCCGCCTTCGCCGGTGACTCGCGAGCAGCTTCAAAAACGCATCGAGTCATTGCAGCAGCACAACCGTGTGCTCAAGGTCGAGCTGGAGACGTACAAACTGCGTGTCAAGGCCCTGCAGGAAGAAAACCGCGGATTGCGTCAAGCATCTGTCATTATAGTGAGTGGCTCTTTTCTTGTTTCTTATATTGTTTGCTCGCGATTCCTTTATCGCGAGACTCGTGTAAACCTGGTTGTTCTTGTGCTTCTTAATAGGAGCTATACATGAAACAGACGTGTGTACTTGAGTATCGGTTAAAATTTTAGATCTTTTCAACATTGGCCTATGTTGCCAGGAGAATTTCATTGTATCGAGCGTAAATCTTCTGCTATGTGATTTATGTTCTATATTTGCAGCAAGCTAAAGCTGAACAAGAAGAGGAATTCATAAGTAACACCTTGCTGAAGAAAATTCAGGCTCTTAAGAAGGAGAAGGAGACTTTAGCTCATCATTATGAACAAGAGGAGGAGTGTCTTACCAATGACCTATCGAGAAAGCTGAATCAACTGCGGCAAGAGAAGTGTAGACTGGAGCAGACATTGGAGCAGGAACAGGAATGTTTGGTGAACAAATTGATGAGGAAGATTGAGAAGCTTGAGGCGGAGACATTGGCTAAGCAAAGTAACCTGGAGCAGCTGCGACGTGAAAAGGTAGAACTGGAGAATACATTGGAACAGGAGCAAGAGGCATTAGTCAACAAACTATGGAAAAGAATGGACAAGCTGGAAGCAGAGAAGAGGATGCTGCAAATAAAATTGGACCAGCCAATCTCAGACCCGACATCACCCAGGGAGATCAGCAATGGCGACACTGCCACAAACTTAAGCACGCACATTCAAACCCTGAGAAGCGAAGTTGCCAGATTAAGGCACACCCTGCTGATCTCGCAGCAAGAACGTAAGTGATATTTCTTATGCGGTTACATTACTATAAACACACCAACCAAACTCTGTGCCCTAAACTTACCGATTGTTCTCTAGATACGGAAAAAATGCAGCGATATGTTAACGAAGAGAAACAGATACGCGAGGAGAATCTGAGACTGCAAAGAAAGCTGCAGCTAGAAGTGGAGCGTCGAGAGGCCTTGTGCAGACATCTGTCGGAATCTGAGTCCAGGTTCGTGTAAACTTCGCTAAGTTTATGCTATTGCACACGACACATTCGACAATACGAGCCCAACCGAGTGCTTAAAGTTGCACTTTAACGTTTTTCCATCGTATTCTCTTTTGCTCTGTTCTCTCCATCTCGACAATTCTAATCTGAACGAAAGACATTTGTCCAATCTCACAGACAACTTGATGATGATTTTCGCAGTTTGGAGATGGAAGAAGAACGGCACTACAACGAAATCGTGATGTCCGGCGGGAATATAAGAACCCGTACGGTATCCAGTCCCGTGCCCTACAATCCTTCGCCTAGTTCCTCGAGGCCGCTAAGCCCAGGTGAGTGCTGAACCAGACGTGTCCAAGTTGTGTAGAGTTACAAAGATAGAACATGCACACATAGTAACACAGTAATTCCAATTAGAATAATGATTGATATAAATAGTTACATGGTAAAGTAATATATCTCTCTTTAATCCTATATGTGAGTGGCATTGATATAAGCATACGTATAAGTAAAACTAAAACGCTTTCCTTGAATGCATGTCCAGTATGGTTGTTGGATTGAGCGCGCATTTTATCATTAGGTGTTAACGTGCTAGGTTCAACGTCCAGAGAGGGCTTTAGCGCGAATCGATGCTACGCCTGCGGTCAACCGAGCGCTCTTCCGTTCGCAAGCTCATCGCCACCCTCAGCGGTAAACTATCATGTCGTGATAAGGAAATCGTTGTTAATGTTGGAAATTAATTTATTAGTCGATAGATTCGTACACTCGAAATATGTTTTGAGCATGTGTTAAGGAAGACAAAGCTTGTCGGGCTTCGTCCTTAACGCGAGACTCTTCTTCAATTCAAGCATTTAGCATTATGAATGATCGCGGATGATCGTAAGGCACTTTCTCAGGTCCTGACAAATCGCTGCTCGTCGCGTTCATTTCGCGAACCTTTGCCAACAGGGACACATTGTGGCGCCGTCCAGCAGACGTACGTCGGACCGCTTCGTTAAACCGGCTATTCCGCCCACCATCGTAAGTCCCGGTGGACCGCCAGCCATCGCTAACCCCATAGTGAGTGCCGCCGCTGCCGCTGCCGTCGCTGCGGGATCACCCATGGATATCGCGAAGACATAAATTGTCAACAGGGCTCCACGGAAACCCTTCTTATGTAGTCGCGCAAGGTACTTCTCTAAACGGTGCGTGTCCCAGGTAGGACACCAGAAGTCACCCAAGTTCGGTCGGTATTTCGCCGACACTTCTTTGCGAGCGATATACCCCCGTTCGTTAACTACTACAGTTCTAATGTAATATGGGCTACGGCTAAGATACATGGGACTTAATTAATCCAATGAGTCGCAGAGATAGAGTTAAACAGCGCATTCGCAGAGCCTCTCTTCGTCGTGGGGGTGATTTCCTTGGCGCCGCTTCGATGATTCCTTGTGTATGATGCCTGAAGTATCATTCAGACGAGCTCTTTGTCGTACGCAATTATATCATTTGAGTGTTCTACATAAAAGAAACATTGACATGTTGCTTCCATGTTCCAATTAACCATAGTATAAATGTTGAACGAACGCTGTGGGACAGCTACACGGTAAACGAATGCGAATTATCGTATCTTACGTGCGTTAAGAACATAACGAAAGTAACTAGGGTGTAGTGTTCGCGGTGTTCACACTTTAACAGATACGCATTTGTTTAGTTTTGAGCCTGAGTAATCACTTTAGCACACGCGGTACCGAGGCAGTAGCGTAATTCTACTAGAGGAAGGTTTCCTTGATTCTTTCAGCAAAGATTGCCGGATTGTGGACGGTAAAATGTGGAAAAATTGATTATGCCAGACTTCAAAGATCTCAACGATCTGATATTGGGGCGTTTAAGAGTCGTGATTACTGAAGAATTGTGGATCGCAAGGATCTGGAGATTTAAGGCCCTAAAGCTTCAAGGATTCAGCGACCTTATGATGTAGAAATCAAAGGATTCGCGGATCCAAAGACTCTAGATTATGCACTCAGACAGTTTAAACATGTAACAGTCCGAGACTTTTCGATTCGGAAATTTGAGAATTAAGTATGTAAGCTCTTGACATTTAATGTTACATTTAAAAGTATAAGTACTTCATGGCATCTTAATTGCACGCTATAACTATTATCTAAAAAACAAAAACTGACTGTATATTAAAACTCAAAAATTTTATGAACTTCCTCAATTTCGAAGTATCGCAGTCTTTGTCAAGTTTACGAATTTGCCATAGCCTTTCTCCCAGAATTTTCGGATCTCGAAGTCTTGGATCGCCAATACCTACAGAGCACGATACATCGGAACTTTGGTCTCTCTAATCTTAGATCTCTTAATGTTAGAATGTTGGGACTTAGAATCTTGAAGCTTTGATACATTGGAGCCACGAAGCCTCGGCATCTTGATATCGAGAAGCTAAGTAAGCTAGCAGATGAGAGATATTATGTATTCCGTTGAACAGTTTGTTTGCTAATAAATCGTTTTATATACCAACGATATGCTTATGCAATAGTTTGAGGGACTATTGTCGTCTATTATGTTACATCGAAATCGGTCTTCGAAACTTCGTAGTTTCAGTTGCAGCAACATTCGCGAGTATAATCAATTCTCGCAAATTCATTTAGAAATTCAGAACTTTTAAACCTGTTTCATAAGGCTACAATATCATCGTTTCCTATATTTTTGCAACCAGGCAGTCTTGTTTGGTGACCGTGAAATTTAAAAACTTATAAAACAAAGATCGGCTCTTACGGATATTACTTTTTTTCGTTTAAAGATTCTCGCTACTTTTCTGCATCAGTTACAGAGTGGATTACGATGCGAAGAGCGAAGCAATTGCAAGAAAATGTACTTTACAAGCGACTTTTGCTCGCAAAGCTTGAAACTTGAAACTTTACCAATGGTCTCGCAGTACTTCGTCTCAATTTCGTGATGTAACGTGGCTGATGTAAACATTGAGAACCTTGTTTATCAAACAGGTATATTATATATAAATGATACATACAAGTTCGGTTAAAGTGTTGTTTATTATGTTATATCAAACGGTATATATATGTATATACATATACCGTCGTATATATAAATATATATATATATAATATAGAATTTTATTATATAACAAGTTCTCTCATCGATAATTATAATACGCAGATATGCTTCACAAGAGCTGCATAGTATGTATTTTACTCAAGCTTTTATGAAATACAGTCACGTTTTTGCTATTATATATCGCGTCTGCTCCTCCCTACGAACTTTACCACATAAAAATTGATTTTATTTTTCTGAAATTATTGGTAAGATCTTTTATATTTATTTTACATAACTTTGATATCAATATTGTGATTGTAATTACTTTGATGTATTTATACTTGCTGTATCTTGGGCTATTGTTCGTTCACTTCTATTTATTAATTATAGATTCAAGTCCAATATTATTTAGTTTTATAATGTTAATATCGATATTATTATTAAGTTATTCATAATTTAAACTGCATTGTATAAACTACCTTAACAAAATCTCCATGTTATTCACAAAATACTGTCGATAACATAGTTGCAGGGAACTATTTCCGTCCGACCTGAAATATTATCGATCGTATCTCACAAATAGCGGAGAAGAGAACCTCTTGAGTCGATGTCTCATCGGTGCACGTGCTAAAGATCAAACGATTTCACAATGTGTCAAAGAATGTCGTCAACTGATTACTGTGTATTTTGAAACGTTGAAGACGGATGTTATTTTATTCGAAATATTTTAAACATTTCGTAGGTAAGGTTTGCATTTTCCAAAGTGGAAACTCAATTGATTTCATACATACACTTTGATCTCGTTAATAACTCTATTAACTATATATTTATAGCAAGTAAACAAATCTATTTTATAAGTCTATTATTGGATCCGAAATTACTTTATACAAGTACTACATAAGTGAAATAGTATCCATGAGTCAACGTTGAACATAGAAGCAATATCAAAGTACAATGAATTCTTGCACAAGGAAAAACGAAGATGTACTGGCAGAAGTTCTTGATCTGTTCTTGTTGCCAGATTACAATGTTGTCTCAACTACTTACTTGGATCATTTACTACATCACATCGCAGAGAACACAAAAGATTGTAAGAAAAAAGATATTTTACTTCGATATCTCATTATATCAGTAACTTATAACCTTATTTTGCAGGTGCTACAGTAGATTATGAATATTGCGAGGTTTTTCAGAAGTGGATAACAAAGGCTTTAGCAATATGGGAATCTGGACAGAAGGCTTCACAGCCTATAATCACATTCACATTAAAGCTCGTAGGGATTATCTCCCGACATGAGTTGCGTTATCACTACTGGCAATGCCAAGATGTGTACAACAGACTTTGCATAATTCTAGATTTAAACAGAGAGGATTTACCTGCATCCATAAAAATGGCATATACAATAATGTTGTCAGATTTAATTCTTCATCGAAGTGGCAGGCAATGGGTGGTACAATCTGGTAAGGATTCAGCAAAATAATAATATGTATATATCTACTATTTTCTAACAGATAATTTTTAATTGTAATTTCAAAATATGCTTAAAATTATTAAATTATACATTTATAGTTTCTGAATTATATTAATATTTAAACACAACAGGTGCATGGAAGAATATTATAAATTGTGTTCACTGGAATCATACAATGTATGTTACAAGAGAAAGCCAGAAATTTCTGTGGACATTACTGTTATATGAAAATAAAAACATTGAGACCTGTAAAGAGATCATTTTAGCTATTGCTGCACCACTTATGATGAATTCTTTGGATACACAAATGCATGAGACATTGGAAGAGACATATTTTGAACAGAACAAGTTATTATGCTCCACATTGGACTTGTTGACGAATATTTTGGAACACACATTGTTTGTAAATCTGGACAACAGTATTCCCGAGTTGCTCGAGGAACTTATTGACCTCGACAAGAGAGTGAAAGCACTGTTTGAAGCTTGCATCAGTACCAGGTTCCTCCATCATGTACACAAACTGTTATTATTGTCATTGTTTCTGAAACTGAGACAAGGTGTCAAGGAAAATACTGAAATCGTCAATGTTGACATATGGCAAAAGTTCCGCAATGGTTTATGCTATAGTTCTATGATGCTGCTGTCAAAAAAGCATATTGTAGATCTCGTCAAAACTTACAAATTAGCTATGGTGTATTGGAAGAAACTGTGCGCTTTACAGCAATTCTCCCCACCAGAGCTATATAAATTTGAACATCAAGCTATAGCATTAATGGTAAATCAGTCATTTACTTATCGTCTGTACTCTCTTCCACATATCTCGATAATATTAAAAGCATTATTATTCCTATTTATTAATAGATATTGCCGCTGTGTGTATGTATAAAAAAGAATCATATAAATCATGACTTCTTGGATATGTTTCTCAATAAAATCTTCGACGTAACATGCACTACTGTGCAGAGACTAGCTTACCACATAAGAGACATCATACGGAAAGACGATCTTCCCATGGAACAAATTTGTAAAGTGTCTATTGATCTGCTTCTTGAAATATTGGATATAATGGATAGAGTGAGTATATACACACATATATATATCAAAAGCAACAAATATATTACAGACACAAAACGTGGGGTAAGGATAGATCAGTTGAAAAATTGAAAATGTTGTGTAACACATAATATATTTATAATCACACAATACGATGATTTGAATTAATCTTGGAAGTTAATAAACGTAATTTATCTGAAATATCTTTTCCACTTTTCAGGATGTAGTGGTAATCACTTTTCAAGCCCTATGTCATGTTTTGAAGAGTTACGTACCAGATGTGTCATGTTTTGAAGAGTTAGGTACTCGTGAGGAGACAAAACATTCTACGTCGTCCGAAGTGCACAGTACTTCGGAACATTCACGGAAGCTTATATATAAATCGATCTTGCAAGGTGATCCTATAGTCGACAATCCTGTACTGCTGGCATCATTGTTAGATGGCTTGGCCGTCATGACGGAAAAATTCAAGTTGAAATGGCAGGAATGCGTGGAAACAATATGTATATTCTCTCTCGCGGAAGAGATCTTGAAACATCCCGGGATACTACCGATGGTGAATCAATATTCGCTGCTAAAGCGTTACAAATTATTTCCTTCGCGACTCTATTTAAAATTGTTGTTTTTCAAATTCTGCGTAGATCTGCGTGAAGGCATTGAAGCTATGCAAACTCGCTATTCACAACTTTATGCCGCCTAATTTGGCCTTGCTGGTGGACTCTGACAGCCATATGAATGACATGGGACCTACACTCTTCAAGAGGCTACATGACCCTAACTGGGAAGTGAGAGATAGTGTTCTCGAGGTTCTGAACACAATCGCAACAATTTCCGAAGACAGTGAGTGTAAATCACTCTATAAAAATTGATACACAACAAAAATGCAGTAATTGCTACATATGATATGATACTAATTCCATTTTCAAATATAATTATTAATACGAATAATAGATTTTGATATACATTAATTGTTTCTTTCTGTCGCAGAGTACCCGGCGTATCAAGGCTTTTTGGTAGTTAACCGATTTCCGGAAGTGACGATCGAGATGGCCAAAACGGATGCTGAAAGTTACGTACGAGCGTCAGCGTTAACGTTTATCGCAACCACCGTGCGTATCGGCAAGCTGTGGGAACAGCAACTGTCGCGAATGAATTTAACTGTATGTATATTTGTGCATTGCTCATTCATTTTCTGCCGTACCGTAAAAGCACAGAGCACAAATTAATTATTTTTTGCGAATCAATTATCTTGTAGGAAATGGCGATTTATTTACTCGAGAACGAAAGCGAAGCGATAGTCAGGAGAGAGGCTGTAAATCTAATAAAAGAATTATACGTTCATCAGAAATGGCCGTACGTAGAAGTGTTACGTGTAGTCACTAATAGTCGACGGTATTCGGCAATAATTGATGTCGCTTGATTGATTCGTAGAAGGGAAGTTATCGATTCGATGTTACAAGCTATGTCTATGGCAGCCGTATTCGATTTGCACTGGGAGGTGAAAACCAACGCGTTAACTTTCTGGGATCACTTCGTCAAATCGCATTTAACAGATCAAGGGATGCTCGACGATTCTTTCCCGAATGTGACGTTCTCAAAAGAACACAGGAAGATCGTATCGTTGAACGAGGCGGAAATCAAGCGGAGGTTGAATAAAGCGCTGGATGAACTGGCAAAGCAACAGTGTTTAGGTGTAAGTAAACATCAAAATTCGGAGAATTGTGATCTTAGATTTCTACCTTTATGTTCTAAAGATTTTCGATGCGAAATAGAATGTGAAATGAGCAGCATTAATCCAAATACAATGAGAGGTTCATGTTCAACTTCCAGGTGCTTTTAGTCAGTCTGAAAGATGACAGCGACTTCGAGGTGTGCAAAGTGTCCGCATCGATCATTGGCAAGTTGAAATCATGCTTGCTCAAGTACAAGCTGGATGAACCGTCGCCAGCTGAACCGCTTCCGGAAAACAGTGCGATATACGACACCATCTACGTCAAGGTGGCACCATCGATGTCCTCGCCTGTCAGTGAAAAAACGCAGAACGCCTCGCACATCATCAACGAGATCGTCGACGCAAACGATGCTAATCTATTGGCGATGATTTACAAGAGTTCTTTGAACATGGACGGTGAAGCGAGGAAAGAAGAGAAGGAAGAGGAAGAGGAGAAAAAAAAGAGGATGCTTCGTCATATCCCATCCGTGACGCGCGAGGTCTTCCTCCGTACGATCTTCAATTCCGACATCGAGGCTTATATCGAGGGAAGGAATCGTTGGCTGAAAACATATACCAATAGCTTCGAGTCAACTCTTGATGATATCTTAACGATGTACAAGAAGAAAGACATTAACTCGATGGACTGCTACTAAAAACTAGCGACTAGGAAGTTCCTTCCACATGTGTGCCTTAAACGACTTCGCATCCTGCTTGACTCATTATTTGCATTCCTTTTTATCGATTTATCCTTACTTTTTATCGAGGGATCTTCGAACGTCCAGACGTTGATAACATATATAGTCACAAATATACATTTTAGTACTTATTAAACTTATATCTAGTATAAGTATCAAAGTTGAATACGGAGAGTATATTTCTTGAGCATAATCAAATGTTTGTAAATTTAGCATTAAATATATACATGTACATAATAACGAGTACGGTTTGTCTTTGACCGCGGTTTCTCTCGAGAAGTTGCAGCAAAATTTTTGAATTGTACAAATCTTTCTAATCTGTTGGTATATTTAATATCTCTTCTACTTGAAAATCAAGAAGCAACATCAATTTATAAATCTAACTATAGATTTAATTTTTATAACTGCATTTTTTCAACCACGTTGTAGTCTTTCTATTTTCTTTCCTCCTGTCAAGGAAATATTAAATTTATCTCATTCTATCTTTTTTTAAGTGCGAATTTTTAAGTACATCTTGGGTCTGTTCTTTACAGCTGCACTGCTGAACTAGTGCAATAAATTAGAATGAGAGAAAATATAGTTGTCTCGTTTTAATTTATTGCACTAGTTCAGCAGTGCAGCTATAAAGATCTTTTGAGGCCTTTTGAGACCTTTTAACAAACCCCTTTTGAGAAATTCTGGTGCAGTTGTAAAGAGCAGGTTATAATTCTCATCAGTGCCATATAGTGCAGTTGAGGGCACTGCAGTATCTTGACCAATAACACGCATGCGCGGGTTCACTTTTTCAAACATTAGTCGTTTCCTAACACATGCGTGTCAGTGGCGCGCGAACCTTTGCATCGTAAGGTTGGGTGGGTTAATGAAATTAGCGGTACATCGAGTGATCAAATCACAGGCCAAAGTTGTCGGGGTAGACAACGATTTTCGTGTGCCGCGCGACGACATAACCGTGACGATGTCATTCTATTCCCGCAATGGGTCGAAATTCGCGGATCGTCCGCGTCGCAAACCCCGCAACGAGCTGATGCAAGAGATGCAGCAGTGCCTCAGTGAGGACAGCGATACATTCTTGGAGGATACCGGCCGAACCTTTAGGGATTCCTCCGACCGACACGTTCCCGGCTTTTCAAAAGTGAGTATATTACTCACAATTTTACGTGTGCAAATGCGGCGCTTTCTCTCTCTCTCTCTCTCTCTCTCTCTCTCTCTTTCTCTCTCTCTCTCTCTCTCTCTCTCTCTCTCTCTCTCTCTCTCTCTCTCTCTCTCTCTGTCTCTCCGTCTCTCCTTCTCTCTTTCATATTCTCTCTCATTCTTTCTCTCTCCAGTCCGCGTACGTATTCAGAATTCGATCGTATTTGAATACCTGCGAATACCTACGCACTTTCTCATTGACCTTTATTCTCATCCACCTACCTCGATCGATTAGAAGCCCCGGCCGGGGCTACTTCGCCCAGTCTCCGAATCGAATGTGCGCAGACGTTTTCAGTAACATTTGTGCCAATTTGTTATCGCACGATATAGTATGCAATGTTTCTACGAATAAACACGTATACATATTAACGTGTAACGACAGGCAGAAAATCTGCACTAACGTCATGACAAGCTCGAGAGATGAAGAGATAAAAAACGTATTAATCTAAACACCGACATCGGTGTTTTGATAAACACCAACACAGCATTGAACGAGTTTTGTCAATCTTTAATGGCGCATTCGCGCGAAATTTAAATTCGCGGCGAATCGGTACTGAAGCAACCGTCGCGCTCGTACTGAATTTCTTTATATTTATAGAGCTGTCCCAATTCTCTCTCTCTCTCTCTCTCTCTCTCTCTCTCTCTCTCTCTCTCTCTCTCTCTCTCTCTCTCTCTCTCTCTCTCTCTCTCTCTCTCTCTCTCTCTCTCGCCCTTTCTCTCTTTCTCTCTCTCTCTCTCTTTTTCTCTTTTCCTCTCTTTTATTGGAACGACCAACGACGACGACGACGAAGTTTTACCGTCGCGTGGATTCGCTTTTTCCGTTTTGCCGGTTATTCTTATCATCGCGATATTTTCAGATCGTAAAACAACAAGAAGGAGAAAAAGAGAGGAAAGAAAGAGAAGTTCACGAAGTACCGAGCCCGATGTTTTCGTGAGAGGACATTTGCGCGTATTCGATTCTCTCTTGCACATGCGTGAATATTAAAAAATCGCGTGATAGGTTTTCCTTCAATTAGAACACAATCTCCAAGTAAATCGTACAAATATATCAGTACCGCCAAGAATCATATAAATTACAGATTGACATGTGCCAATAATGATGTTCCTTAATTTTAATATTCTGTCATTTTGTCTAAGTCATTCTTATCACTTTAATTACCGTCTTTAAACAGATCGATCAAAAGGTTGGTTTGTCCTTCATTACAACTGTCAAGGTTATATAAGACAAGAAGTGATTTCAATTTAAGAAATAAGAAACAACAGGAATTAGTTTGAAAGTAAAACATAAAACATAGGAAATACGAAGTAGAGTAGTGAGCTCTTTCTCGATCTCAACTTGCTACACGACTTCATAAAGAAGAGAACGAAGCGGGGGGCTTTTCGTTGATTCGACATTACGAAAGGAGTATTGCCGCGTCAGCTCGATTCTTATCTCATACGCCTTTTTACTTTTGTACCTTAAAATATCCTGCGAGTCTACGAGAGTTTTATCACAGGTCATCGCTCGTCATCGCTCGTCGATGAATACTCTGAAAAGCCTATGAGACAGCGTCAAGCTGGTAGCTAGGACCCTCCTGAGAAGGAGTTCCGATGATATATTAGGGGGTAGTCCGTCCCTATCGATCTCGGTTCACCCTGAGAAAGCGGCACATTTCCCGACCCTCCGCGCGGGAGTCCCTTCTAATAACGAGCGATGTGTTTGATGGGGATCCCAGACGAGAGAGTCCGTCTGGCCATTCGCGCGATCTCGACGCAATTGCGTCCCGCCCAAGGATTGTTTACTTAATTGAAACGCTCCGAAAATACGAAAGTGTAACGCTCGGAGGCCCGATTTCGCGCGATTTCCGACGTGACTCGATACACCGATGCAGCATCGCGCACGTAGAGAGAGTTGAGACAATTCGTCGGCTCGTTTCATTATCAACAGCTTCGCGAGACAATGACGCGCTTTCGTTCGCTGTACGTGCCCCGTAATATCACGTTGCAAATCATCGAGTTAAATTAAATTACGAACGCGGTGATATTCAATGTAGACGACTTTGTCGTCAGCTTCGACGCGCGCGCGCGCGTTTACGGGAGAAAGCGTTTTTCGGCTTTCGCGAGAAGGCACATCTTCGGAATTGCGATCGAGAGTGCAGCGTCGCTTTAGTCCTTGACCTCTTGTACTTTCGTTTTCCCGTTATCGCAACAATTTGCCTGAAAACGATCGCGCTAAGAGAAAGAGCTCTCGAGGTCGAACGACCGACGGAGCCCCGAGGATCGATAACGATTCCGGGAAGCGATTATCGTCTTGCAGATAATGCCGCGCTGTGTTCTGCACGCGCACGCGCGCGCGCCTTCGTCTACCGCGAAGTATGTTAATTGGCGCGCCGACAATGCGGAACAGGTGATTCGGTTATGTATAGCGGCCGATAGATGCAGAAGAGAAGAAGGGAAAAGGCTCCATTACGTAAAACGAACTGCCGTGAGCGCTCAACGCCAGCTTCCTTCGCCGTCCTCCGATGACTTCCTTCGTCCTTAATTTCTCTTTGTCGCGTCAGAAGGAAGAGAATACAGAACGCACAGGGGTTTACTCACGGCTCGATCGAAAAGCGTGTTGCGTTTGCGTGAAAAAATAATTTGGATATGAATTATCTCGCGCTCTCTCTCTCTCTCTCTCTCTCTCGATCTCTCTTTCGATAGGGAGTTCCTTCGGGAGAAGCGAATGCGAATATCGAAAATACGAGCGCCGAGATATCTCATGACAACTTGCAAGAGAACGCGTGCAACCGCGAATCTACGCACGCTCGTGTACACGGTTGGCAGTGCGTTAGCGTTATTTATACACATTTAACATATTAAACTTGCCCGCGTACAAGTTGCACAAGGTCCTTGCGTAATGAAAGAATACGATTGTATCCGCATGTGCGATCTCCTCTTTTCGGCGATTACTAATTCGCTTCGTTTCGATTTCTGACTCGACTTTATGGTGCATCGAAGCATACGAAGGCACGCGGAAACGAGTTAATATGGTTCAACCGCGATTGGCGGGAGCCGAGGGTCCATGAAACGCTCTTAAGAGCGATCTTGTTGAGATGACGTTCGGCTCGTTCGAGAGCAGAACCGAAGATGGAATTTGCGTGCGATATGGCGTGCATAAATGCAACAATAATTAGCAGCAATTTGACGATTGCAAAAAAGCACACATCAAAGAATAGTTTTATTTTATTTTGCCATAAATGATATATGTATGTAGCTTCTATCTGTAATAATAGCCTCTGCTGAGACGAATTTAATTGTACATTGTAGAGTTTGTCGATTAAACTTTAGAAAACGACAAAATATTAATTTCTTAAATCTCTGTGATATTAATTTTGTTAAATTAATTAGATATTATTATAATTTCATGAATTTAATATCAATTTTATTAGATACATAATTTTCAGAATATGAGGAAGAAGCTTACTCTATTTAAAAAAAATTTATTTAAAATTATTTAAAAATTTTATCATGTTAAAACTTTTTTTATTAAAATTAAAAATTATAAAAAAAATTTTATTATATTATATATAGATTATTCTATTTTTAAAAGTTAAATCATGATTTATTCTACTCAAGATAAAAGTGTGATCACGTCTGACTTGATTTTATACGTCTGACGTGTCACAAATACATGCACACGCACGTATTTGGCAATAACACTTTATATAAATCAAAGAGAGAAGAAGCGAGGGACGAATAATTCAGTCATCATTATCGGGTTAAGCAAATTTCACGCTACGCGTCGCCTCATGTCGTGTCGGCGGGCGCCTCGCATGAATGAGCCTTTCGCCGGTAGACTCGCCGCGCGACCTCCTCGTGCCTCGTGCTCTCCTGGCAGCGCTATCGATCACCGTAGATCATCGAATGTCATTATCGATGATCCCCGAGAACGATCGAGGGGCGTACGCGCACGCGCAACGCGTCGCGATCTTCGAGATCGACTCGCGTCCCAATTCGGGAGTTTCTTACCGACTTATAGAGCCGTTTATTATTATTATTATTATTTATATCATGCACGCCTCGCGTGCATTTCATTTTCCGTCGATTAATCGTCGTATACGTTAAGCCGTGCATCGTATAACTCCATTTACGGTTACGGAGCAAACGTTGCTACGCGCGAGTCATTTTCGTCGAATTCATTATCCCGCGTGCATAACACTGCCGTTTCATCATCACTAAATCTCGCTTCTATTGTTTTTACAGTCTTAAATGCGACGCATGCATCTCGTTCTTTTTTTTTCTCTTTTTTTTTTCTCAGAACCTCTCGTGGTATTATCGCGGCGCTCGGCGATCAAACTGCGCGCGTTTGATTCTCTCAACACGCGCGATCCTTCGTGTGAAATCGAGAGATATCGAACTCTCTCGCATGAGAGAGTCAGGAGAGCACTTATGTCCTGAAAATACAAGTTATGCAGCGTATCATTAATTTGAAACGATCTCGGGACTCCGTTTTGTGCGCGAGAAAGACTCGATGTTTCCGCGCGGCGTTTGAGGTTAAGCGAGAAACTTCTGGCGAGTTCTAGCATGCTCTCGACCGCCACCGCCCGCGCTCTCTCGACGGTCACGTGATCGCGCCCGGAACGGCGCGCGACCCACGCGCAATCGCATTTAAGTTGCTTCCGCGACCCGCGCTACTGTCAGTTTCGCTGTCACCTGCGATTGCGGTGGTTGTGTATCTGATTAAGCACGCACAGGACACAGTTTTTTATTCATAAAAGCGACCTTGAAAAATATCCGACGGAGAGTGAGCGGGATAAAAAGAGAGAAAAAACGATAGAGAACGGAAGAGACTCGGGAGCTCTCTTCTAGTAGCGGCGCTTATATAACCGAGAGACTGAGGCCCGAGGAGGAGACGAGGAAAAGCCAAGAGAACGACGTGTGAGTGTCAGCTGCTGTGAGCGAGAGTGAGCGAGCGAGCGAGAGAGAGAGAGAGAGAGAGAGAGAGAGAGAGAGAGAGAGAGAAACGTGAAGTCGCGAAAATCCGGCGGAGATTTCCAGAAACACAAATTTCGCGTGAAAATTGCACAAAGTTGTCCCTTGGTATTTTTAGATCGCACTTTAAAGCCTGGAAGCTATTTGAATCTAGAACCGAGCGTTTTACAAAAAAAATTTCCTGGAGAAAGTATTCCGATACAGAGAAAGATCGAGAGAAGAAAGAATAAGTAAAGTAGCTAGTGCGAGCGAGCGCGCGCGCGAAGGAGAGAGAGAGAGAGAGAGAGAAAGAAAGAGAGAGAGTTTCACGTATCCAAAAACGGACGCGGGCCTACGGGTCCAGAAAATGGACTCGCCTGTCATCGTGGACGCAGCATCCAAATTCGGACGAGGGATCGATCTGGAGCGCTCGTTCCCCGTAAGTGACGTACCGTTTCTTTTTCTTTTCTTTTTTTGCTCACTTTCCCGCTTCCCGACGGTGAGAGAGAACGGCGCGTGGGGGACCGTGACGGTATCAGTTTTCAAAGGAAGAGTCACTCATTCGTCATGACACGAACGGTGAACGAATTGTAAAGCGCACCTCTCGAGTTTAAACGTCGTTCACGTGAGATATTACATTATGTCGCAGGAACCGCTTGTTCCGCTTTGCTCTCGGAAAAGTACACGCTAGCCCGACGAGTCTCGTTTTTGCGCGGAAGCAAGTAGGTCCGGCGCTCTTCCTCGCAGAAAACTCGTTCTGTCCATGGACGATTACGTTGCTCGTCGACGACGTTCTCTCGTCGAGTACGCCTCGCGTAAACGACTACGTCACCGATTACGCCGCAAACGCGGTTTACCTCGCAACGCGCCGTTTAAGTCCCGATCAAATGGACCCATACGGTAGCTCTCTCTCTCTCTCTCTCTCTCTCTCTCTCTCTCTCTCTCTCTCTCTCTCTCTCTCTCTCTCTCTTTTCTCTCCATCTTTCTCTTTCTCTATCTATCTTCGCGTTCCACGAACGAAGATGCAATCCAGACCTTAATTGCGATCATCGCACACCGAGTCGCACGTTCTCACCCATTCCGCGCTTTATTCGCCATGCTCTCGCCGGCCACTATGTCTCCCCGCTGATACATGCCCCTCTATTCACCTTCTCCTCCTTCTCCTCCTCTTCCTCCTCTTCCTCCTCTTCCTCTGCGCATTCCGCATCGGGATCGGCGTGGAAATCAGAAATAGCATTTGCGTGGAACGAACGCACGTATTTTTGCGTTGCGGTCGCGTCGCGTCGACGCGCCGCTCGAAAATCGAGACGATTCTCGATTCTCGAGCGCTCAGAATCTGGAGGGGGGAGGAGAGGCCCTTCAATCAGGCGCGAAAGTAATTCACAGGTAAAACGGAGAAACCGCGCGATAAAAGTCGCGCTTGGTTATCAGCCCGTCAAGTAATCATGATGGACGTGACCGTCAAACGTGCTGTACTGTGCTAGCACACACGGTGACGTCACGAACGCATTTAGGCGCTTCGAAAGCGCCATTATTGCATGATCGATAATACATACTAACACGTTACGTTGAAAGGCGCGGCAGCGAATCCGCGTGACGTCACGACGTCAGAACGACGTTATCAAATGCCGCGCGCGCGCGGGTGTGCTCGATGTCGTTCTACGATTTGGTGTAAAGTTTCCTGCGATCAGCCCGCAAGGACGATCGGGAAGTTCCGAGATGTGTCGGCGCGGTGTCGGCGCGATATCGATCGCTGATGAATATTACAAAGGAGTCATTCTGCGAAGAACCGCGTGGAATCAAGAGGCAGAGCTCGCGATGATTGCGGGTGTCCTCTAGTTCGACGGGATTTAACGCGTCTCGTGTATAATCGGAACGCTGTCGCTTTAATTTGTCGTCGTTATTGTTGTCATTTTGTAGATAGTAGCTTTGAAATAATCGGGATACCGGCGAATATCGCCGTTGGCAAATCTGCGGAATAGCGTTTGGAAGTGGAATATCGTACACGATATTAACGCGCAACACGTCTTCAACACGTTGCAATGACGTTTCTCGACTTGTTCTGGAACGCGACGAACGTCGTTCGCGTGGGTGTATTTGCGCGTGCTCCAACGAGGCGGTGGAGGGGGAGAAAGAGAGCGAGAGACGGCACTGGCTGATAGTTTCCTCGTATGAAATCACCCGGTAGAAATAAAAGAAATCCTCCGAAAATTCGGACTCATCTCTCCGCGCGGCGTTGGATACTGACAAGGAAGCACAGGGAACGCGGAAATTCAAAAAGTTCTGAAACTTTGTTCGACAAAAAATTCTGAAAAAAAAAACCTAATTTTCATTCTTAGCATATATCTTTTAAAATACGAAGCATATGTAAAAATGGTTTGCACGAAAGTTGTAGTGTATTTCATACTCTTTACAATCTGTGTATGCAGATTTCGCAAAATTGAAAGATTTTTAAAACCCCTTCCGCCCTCCAATTTTGCAAAATCTGAAACACAGTTGCAGCAAGTGTGAAGTACACTGCAACTTTCATATAGACCATTTATGCATACGCCTCATATTTAAAAATATATATGTTAAAAGTGAAAATAGCTTTTTTTTTTTTTTTTTTTTTCCGAAGGGTGGTTTCACCCTCTCAGACTAGAATTCCGCACGAACGAAAAAATAATTTTGCATTACGGATGAACTACTTTACTTCCACGCAGTTTCAGGATTTTTTGAATTTCTGCGTTCCCTATGTTTTCTTATGAGCCATCGCGTTTCACAGACGAATCGCGTGAACATTTTAATTACGTAAACAGTTAACATTCGCTCGTAAATCACGTTTGATTGTCGCTAGAAGTTCGTCGTGTTCGTCGAGTAGATTCGTCCTGAATGAATAATTCTTCAATTTTCATTTGAACAAAGATTTTCGAGAATTCGTTAACTTTACCAAAGGAGAACTCGATACTGAAAAGAGAACTCGGGAAGCGTCAAATATTCGCTCGAATTTTTAACGTCATATCACATATATCACAGATAGATAGATAAATTCTTGATAGTGTTTTTTGGTACGAAATGCGATACGCGTCGTTCTACTAATTGTTCGTGCCGCTCGATTGCCACGACGAACAATCGACGGTATATATCGCAGCACAAATTCGCCTCGGTTCATCGGGCCTCGTTGATCGTCATCGTCGGGCAATTAAAATCTAAAAATTGTATCCTCGTGCTCGCTCGCATGGAGTCGTCATTTTCACGGTTGACAAGCAAAAGTCGCGGCAACGCGGTGAATTCGCGTGCCAGCAACCGGCAACGTCGTGCCGAAAATAGGAAAATCTGATTATCGGGCGTAGGTGCGTGCGAGCATTTTACTCTCGCTCCTCCCACATTTCTCCCTCTCTCTCTCTCTCTCTCTCTCGCTCTCTCTCTCTCTCTCTCTCTCTCTCTCTCTCTCTCTCTCTCTCTCTCTCTCTCTCTCTCTCTCTGCTTTTATTATGTTTTTATTTCCTCCCTTTCTTTTTTTTCAATCCCTGGTAGCGGGCAGCGTGTATATAATTTCACGTCATTCATCGGTACGCACTTATAATACGCAATTTTTCACCGAGTGCACCCAAGGGACATAATCGCCGCGTAACGTGATAAATTTTCTCTCCCTCTTTCTTTCCGCTATTCTCCTCTCTCTCTCTCTCTCTCTCTCTCGTTCCCCAAGTCGACTTTCTTGTAAAGCCACCGCCGCCGCTAAGTGGAACGACGCGTGACCTCGATTCGCCGGAGGATTCGTCACCTCGTGCTCGATTACGCGAATTTCCTTGGCGCCCTTGCAGCGCGCGCGTGTGCAGGTCGATCGGCGTCCATGCGATTTGAACGTGTATCACGCGCGCGAAACGACACGGTTCTCTACAATTACAAAGACTTAACGGACCGACGCTGCGTGCCAAGAAGCGTTCGTACGAATAAAAATGAGAGCGACAGAGAGAGAGAGAGAGAGAGAGAGAGAGAGAGAGAGAGAGAGAGAGAGAGAGAGAGAGACAGAGAGGAACAGGTTACGTAAACACAATACCGGAAATTATTCCGACACAATTCCAGAAACGCGTGAATGTAACTAGATGTGCTTCGTAAAGAGAAGCACGAGAAACGAGAATCGAAGATATCTCGTGTCCGTTACAAAACATATTCTATATCTCGACGTACTCGTCATCTCGACGTCTAGGTAATTAGCCGGTCGATTAATTGACAAGGTCAAGCCGGCGGTAGATGATTTGAACTGAGCGCGAACTTTGCAGTAAAATCACAGCTACAATATATGTGACAACGTATCGTATGATTCAATTAAAATCTCATATCTAAACCGGACTTCATAAATCCATCTGATTCAAAGCCAAGAGGGTCTCAAGGGAGACAAACTTGAAGTAATGACTTGATACGAATCTTTAAGAGACGTCTTTCTCCGAGACGTCTTTTAACATACGTGTTGTGTAGGAACTTGGCAGAATATCGCGAGATGAGAGAGAGAGAGAGAGAGAGAGAGAGAGAGAGAGAGAGAGAGAGAGAGAGAGAGAGAGAGAGAGAGAGAGAGAGAGAGAGAGAGAGAGAGAGAGAGAGAGAGAGAGAGAGAGAGAGACAGAGAGCTTGAACCAACTTCAGAGTATCCGCACTTTTGCCGCAGGGTTTCCCGTTCGACGACGACGAGGACAGCAGCTACAGGAGGCATCGCAGCGACGGCATCCGCGCTCATCTCGAGAATCTCGCGTTGCGCCATCCCGAGTTTGCCGAGTTCCTGCTCGGTCCACCTTGGAATAACGCGCCCTTCCACGACTACTCCCCGCTGCACGACCGCCGTCGGCGCCGTGGTTCCGGTAGCAGCAACAGTGGCCAGAGTTCTCAAGGTTACCAAGCAGACGAAGACACACGCAGCCAAACGAGCAGTAACAGTGCCGCGAGCGGCGCGAGCGGCGCGAGCGCCGTCAGCTCGAATAGTGGCGAGTGGAATTCTTCGGTGCCGACGTCGTCTATATCGCAGTACGGTCTCCGCAACACGGTGGATATAGGTCAACAACAACGACGCGACATGGAGAACCCCGAGAAGGGTGCCGAGCGCGGCCAGCGCTCAATGTCGGCGCCGCCGGAGAATCGGCAACAGCAGCAATTTGAGGAGCAGCAGCAGCAACGGCAATCACGGAAGCAGTATAAACATCCGCACAGTCCAAGGTTCGTAACTCGCGTGGACATCACACCGCAGCATAATCGGAAACGCTCCCAGTCGCCTAAGCAGCCGCCACCTCCATCGTCGTCGACGCCCAGCAACGTCAGGCACATCCCCATCTTCGTGGAGGGTCGTGATAAGCCTGTATTGCCAAAGATTACAGACGACGACGAGTCATCACCACCGTCCTTCCACCAGCGACAGACGTCGCCGCCGCCGCCGCCGCAGTTTCACAGATCGTCGCACTTCAACGACCACTTTACACGGCAGCAGTGGCCACCGTCACACTTCCAGAACACGTTCTATGACCAAGGCTTCGAGCAGCCTATGCGACGCCGCGACAACCAACAGCAGCACTCGCCGCATCGTCAGCATCATCAACATCATCAGTATCATAAACATCATCAGCAGCCTCAGTACTGTGACCAGCAACCTCAGCAGACCCACTACTACAATAAGCAACCGCAGCAGCAGCATTATAACCAGCAGCCGCCTCAACAAGCACATAATGAACAACAGCAGCAGCAGCCGCTGCCGCAACAGCAACAGGAAACGCCTAAACCAAAGCCTCCGGTGCCAAAGGATCCTCTGGAAAGAGTCGCTCAAGTGCAGAAGGAAGTGGACGACTTGGCCGAGCAGGTACAACGTTACGTCGGCGGCTCTCGACAAGACAAGAAATACGTTTATCTGGACGAGATGCTGACGCGCGAACTGATCAAGCTGGACGACATTGAGACAGAAGGTAGGGAGAATGTGCGGCAGGCGCGCAAGAACACCATTAAGAGTATACAGAATACAATCAGTCTTTTGGAGACAAAGGCGCCTCTTGCCGGACAGCAGGAGCAGATGTGCGCAGAAGAAGAGTGCGCGGCAAAGGATCAACAAGAGGGAGTTCCGCAAACCGAGTTCATGGAGGTGGATCCAAAGCAAGAGAAGCAAAGCAACGAGCCGATTCCGCTTCCCCCGGCACCATCGTCGCCTACAAAGGTGAGAAGATGATGTAAATAGCACCTCATACGATTGCAATGTCGTTTTATGATTTTGCAATAAGTAATTAAATATCTTTGATATACATACTTCCTCGCTCGATATCGATTTATCATGTTACAGACGAAAGTAGAATCTTCGGATAAAGAAATTGGTGCAGCAACTATCTCCGAGCCCGCGAATCAAAGTGTCATGGCTACCAAGCAAGATAGCGAACGGACCGAAGTGACTGCTGAGCAGAAAACCGAGGAGAATCGCTCTGCGGAAAGCACAGAAGCCGTTGTCGCTCCGACGGCGACGAACGAGTCAGTGCGCGCGGACGAAACGAGTGAAAACTTGTCGAAGTCGAACGACGGCGAAAACGTGGAACGAAAGAACGGCGACGTAACGCAAATGACGGAAAAGAGTGATTCGACGACGACGACAGCGACGACAGAGGCGACGACGGTTGCAGCTCAGCAGCCGCAGACGGTCGAGGAAGCGAAGGAAGATGGAAAGACGGCAATGGACAGGCAACAACTGAGGCTATTGAAGAAGACGAAGAAAACGAAGAAGCAGCAGCAGCAGCAGCAGCCGGTGTCGGAGCAAGCAATTCCGTTACCGCCGCCGCCGCCGCCGACGGAGAGTGCGAAGTAGATGCGAACACGGAACGTTCAAGTGTTGTAATCAAATGCCTAAGAAAAAGCGAAGCAAAAAAGAAACAATTTGAACAATTTGAGAGTCAGCGAACGAGAAATGGAAAGAAGGAGAAAGATAGAGAGAGGGGGGGGGGAGAAAAAAGAAAGAAAGGAAGGTTAAATGGAAAGGAATGTGAGAGAAGCAATTTCGTTGGGTCGCGAAAAAAAAGCACACGACAACGCAGATGATGCTCGTCGAAGACCATTGATTTACCGAATTGCGCGCGCGCGCGTAAAATGGTTAAGCGAGTGTGCATACGTGTGTGTATGTGTGTGCGTATATCTGTCTATCTGTCTGTCTAAGACTCTGACAACTACTTTTTTTTTTTTTTCATTTTTCTCGAGACCAAGCTAGAATTCTTCCGACTACGGAGATAGGATTCTCCCGTCTTTCGTCGTAGTCGGGATCGACACGACATGTAGAGTAGCGTGTGTCGCTTGATCAGTTGTCTTAGAATCGAGGCCTTTTTTTACGAGGCCTTTCTTTTTTTTTTTTTTCTAAAACTGTACCAAGCGCGAGAACAGAATGTGAAACGCACAATGGCAGTGTCGCCTAGAAGCTCGTAAATAATCGACTTTTCTCGGAGAGACAGAGAAAGAGAGAGGTGCGCGCAGCCTCTTTGATTTGAGTTTTAAGAGGTACGTGTTTTGCTATCGTATTTTTTTCCATTGTCACGAAGAAGAAATTTACACGTTAGGAACACGCAACAGCAGAAGAATAGCAGAGTTTTTCTTCCTCCACTTGTTGCCAATTTGTCTTACTATTCTTCTAATTTAGTTATGTCTTCGCGAACTCGTGGTCGTTCGGATATTGCGAGACGCGTCGAATTCGTACAGCCGCCGAAGTGGTGCTATAATTCTTCGTGAGTTTAATGCGTTGAAGAATTTGCGGAACTCATGTACGCAAGTTTTCTTCTCAACTCGCGACAGCCTAAAATATGAATCGTCCATGCGGCTCCGGCACTATCTTGGAAAGAGACGCGATTTTACGTCGTTGTGCAGCAATGAATCTTATACGTTAAGCTGATCAAATCGTCACGTTATGTTGCACACTGATATAGCATTTAATCAATCGACGTTTTATCGGAGGAACAGTTAGTTACTTAGTTCATAATCAATCAATTTATTTATATCAATACAATTTATAATCAATCAAAAGCGTGGATTCGTTTAGCTCTACATAAACGCGATATGTAGTCTTCGCGAAGTTTGGAACGAGCCAAGTCGGAATTAAGTACGAGACCAAGGAATTTGTCGGTTTTACGGTTTCCCGTGCATATTATAATATACGCGCATATGTTCAATCGAGTAACAATGAAACGCGACAGAACACCGGATTACACACACGGTCTGTCCTGTGAATGTACGATCGTTATACTCTGTATAGCATCATATGGAGTATAACGCATAACGCATTATGATAACACGACGGTCGACGATGACGACGATAAGTTAATGTTAATTTTTAATTTATTGTATGTCTGCCCGAGAGATAATCACGCGCATTCGAGTACGTTTAATGTATAATCCGCTTCATCTCGTACGCACCATCAAATATCACTTCCAACGAAGTATGTGTGGGTGTATGTGTGTGTGTGTGTGTGTGTTGTATTGCGAAGTGTGTACATACTATATTAGAATCGTGAATGTGCGTCGAGATAATCGTTCGCAACGAGAAGACACCATCGTCCCTCGTCTCGTCTCGCATATTGACTTATATCGGTACGTAGCTCCGCTATTTCCGCCCGAGGAGGCTCGACATGTCGGATACCGTGAAAAAGGCAGCTCGCCAGAAACCGGCCTCGACGTCGTTAACGAATCTTATTCAGAAGTCCGAAAAAAAGTCTTTATCCGTGGCATCGCATCAAAATACGAAGAACGGACGAGAACGCATGCTGTGCATCATCCTTTGGTTCCTTGTTCATTAACGGATATGATTGTTGAACTTTCATCTTTCGTTCTCTCTCGTTTGTACGCGATGATGATTCATTCGCGTAGCGACGTCATTTCTCGGTTGAAAATTTTGTATTTTTTGCGATGTTCATGTGTATGTGCGTGCATGTGATATATATGTGCTTGAGAGAGGGGGGAGAGAGAGAGAGAGAGAGAGAGATCGCGTGACAAAGATATATATATATATACATAAGTATACGGTGAAAGTGTGACTATTTTATGAGATTAATCAATGAAAATACAAAGTCTGCTCTATTATCAGTTTCTCGTTTGTTACCCTCAGAATCATCAGTCGTGGAGATAGGCAAAAAGGCACACGATTCAGCTAACTTTATATGGATCAATGTTGGACAAGGCACTTTTTGCAGCCCCGTTCTCTGTGCTGCGCAAGCAGGAATTTCGCGCGGGTACCAATGACCTGCTAATAACAACATCCGCCAAACGCAGCTGTCTCGTGCATTGCCAAATTCCTGGGAATTGTTTGCACTTGACGCGCTCGATTTCTGTCATCTGGGAATACCCGGCGACTACACGACGAGGGAAGCAACTTGGAAACATTAGTCGCTCACTCGCGGCTTAGGGGCGGCTATTGTTCATATTTCTGACATATCGGTATTGCGTCGTCACGCTCTCGGGCTAGTTCGTACATTGGTAGAGAAATATTCTTACGGCTGATAGGACGAAGACGTCCTAGCGAGATTCTATTCCTGAACGAGAAAGAATCGTAGATATATTTCTATGAAAAAAAAAAAGAAAGGAAGAATCACCCTCTTTTCGTCGGTAGGATTTCTTTCTTCCTTCTCTTTTCTCGAAATGTTTCATCCTTGAAATCATCCTTGAAAGAACGTAAATTCACAATTGATACAAACTAAACTTGGTGGTGAAGATATATATTTTCGTTACGCAATTTTACTTATAAGAGGGAATACTAAGTAGAAGTATAATTTCAATACGGAGACGGGAGAAAATATTATGTCGGCGGGTCGGCGATGTTCTTGCGAGCCGAAGCGGCCGAGTTTGTGATTATTGTTAAAGCGCTTTTTACACATATGTATATTCAGTCTGATTATTTGTTCCCAGCTGTGTGTTCGGCCGACGCGGCGGAGAACACGAGCGGAACGCTCGTTTTGCGAGTGACTCGCGAACTTGGCACGGTAGGAGCACGTACGTCGTGCCAAAAATAGCATCGGCGTGTGGCGATTAAGCCGTTAGAGGAGCGAACGTTTTTGCGTCGCGACGCCGTCGTCGTCGCGCTCTCCGGGGAAACCCGTCGAAGTCACGACGCCACACACGCGACAATAATGCGTGTTGCGTGCTGCTTCGCCGTCGCCTGTCGCCTGAGAGAGCGGAAAGTTAAATGTTTACTATTCTTGGCTACAAAAAGAAACATCGGCAGAGAACTTAACAGGATGTAACTTTCGCAGAAATAACTGCTAACTACGTCGGCGAGTGGCATTTTATATCTTGCGGACTTTCGTCTTGCGAATATTCGCGAAGGAAATTTATTTACTCTTTGGATTGTTACATAAATATAGCTCCGAGATGAGCCTAGATTTGAGACGAGTCGCGATACAGACGCACCGTATAAACCAAAAATCGTATGCAAGCAACATTTATATGATTTAATAAAAATATGAACTTTGTATCGCGCGTAAAGTATTCATGATGCGATTTTTTGAGGAAACTATTTAACTTATTCGAACTATTCAACGAAGCAAAGAATGCCCTTTTAGCTTTTGATAGCACATAATAAGAAGGGAACACATTGATGTACGAGTTTGTTAAGCAACAAATAGAAAGCTACGTGTCCTTTTTCTAAAGATATCCTTTATAGTTTCGTCTGCTGTATTGATTGAATCATACTTGGAGAATAAAATATATGTTTGATTGATTATTTAATTCTCTAAAGGCTCGTCTACAATAGCTGTAAGAGTAAGGCTGTAAGGCTGCAACGTAAGCTGTCAGCGAATGAAAATATTTCATTTCGTGTCTTGCAACCTTACAGCCTTACTCTTACAGCTAATGTAGACGAGCCTTTACAACCTCGAAACTGCAGTAAGGAAAATGGCGGCTCGTAGCGGAGACCGGAACTAATTTTAGCCAAGACTCGAACCATTAGCAGGTCTAAGAACAATTGACGGATTTATGAAATTTTTATAGCACCCTTTTTATAAATAGCGATCGACGATACATATCCTACTTTATATAAACTTTTTTATAGGCGGGGCAGGATTTATAATGGCTGCGTTCGGACATCCACTGCCAGCACTGAAAATCTATAGTATACGTGACACAAACTATGTATTTTCAGCACTGGCAATGAATTTCGGAACGCAGCCATTATTGATTGCTGCCAAAGCGATTTGAATTTGTGTTAAGCCAGCGGCACACGGTGCTTGTTTTTCGTGCTGGATTACTTGCTGGATGAAAATACTGCGTTCTGATTGGTACTTTTCCATCCATCTTCGGAAATGTACCAATCAGAATACAGTATTTTCATCCAGCAAGTAATCCAGCACGAAAACAAGCACCGTGTGCCGCTGGCTTTAGATATGTTACAGACCCGTTATTTTACAAGTCAAAAATAACGGGTTTAATCAAGACTTTAGTCGGGACTCAAACCCTTTTAAAATTTTAGCCGAGACTCAAACCCTTTAAAAAAATGTTAACCAAGACAAACCCTTCTTGGTTAAGGCCTGCTGGTCTATAATAGGTGTTGTAAGCTGTAAGCCGTAAGAACTGACCAATTATAGCCGATTATTTTTGTAATACGTCGACTGTGAATCCTCCATTACGGCTTACAACTTACGACACATATTGTAGACCAGGCCTACGTCTTTAATAGTTCTTTAAGGCTCGTTAATGGTTCGAGTCTTGGCTAAAATTAGTTCCGAGTTCCGCTATGAGTTGCTATTTTTCTGAACGGAAATTTCAGGTGATACAACAAAATGATCGATCAGACGTACATTTTATTTCTCAAGTAATATAAGTCTACGACAAGTCAGACGGACCTTTATTTTTAAAGTATAATACAACAATAATTAGCCAATTAATTGCAATTATCTGATCAGCTTGTATAGAAATGTGTTAATATGAATATATATGTTTTATATATATTATTCCACGTCCATATAATTACACGTGTTTATTTTTTGTCTGTTAATTAATTAATTAATAACTATTTCTAGATTTATTACTTACCTTGTTATTTTATTCGAAAAAATATATCAGAAAACCCGTGTATGTAACAAATAAATATGTGGAAAATAATGCGAATAATGCAAAAAATGGAAACTTATTTAATATGAAATAAAAATAGGTTACTAGAAAGAAAGATTGAACTTGAGATCTTTGGACTCTGACTCTCAAGAGTCTTACCATCCGCGTAGAGATTATTAATAACTAACGTTAATGATAAATCTCCTATTTTTTCAAAACTTACACATCTCTCCAAACTAATAATTAACATTGAATATATACCAAATATATGAAATATAAACGTTACTTGTGTATAATTTTTTTACGCAATTCTCGAAAAACTCGGTAAAAAATGTTGACATTTGGTGAAGCTCTACCCATATTTGTGTGATATCTTAAGAAGTAAAATGTATATTTTCTAAAATATTTCTATAATTATAAGTTTCAAGCTCTGAAACGCTCGCCGGGTCAATTTATTATTATAATTTTCACGGAACTTACTTAATCCTTAAACTTAATTAATTGAATATATCGCGATGCAGAATAGTAATCGCTTAATTATCGTAGCGTAGCGTGTATGGCGTGTACGCGTAATTTGTAATCACCCGCACATTGTAAAAATCATAGCTCACGAAGATATCCCAATGGCCGTCTTGGATCCCTCGCCAGAAATTCGAAAAGCGTCGCGAATTATATTCGCGCGACTGCTCGTCGTTACCCACGTGACTTACATAATGTGCTCGCTAAAAATATGAAAGTAGTAATACGAGCGCACGACTAGCTGCGAGTTAGTCTTATTATTGCGTGTCGCAGTAGCAAGTCGTCGATGAGCGAAAGTCACTGAAACCTGAGGTGAGTCATATGAGGGGGCACCCCTTAAAGGGATCCAGCATCAACCCTCTATCGGAGATTCATTGACCGTGAGATGAGAAAAAAATAATATGCAATTAATTCGTGCTCGTGCAATAAATCGGAACAATGCGGCGGTTCGAATGCTCGACTCCCCCCTCCCCCCTCCCCACCCACTGAGTTTATATATACGTCAGTCGTTACGTATGCATGTAACATTCGAGGCGTTAATTAGATACGAGTCATTTAGCATTCGCGATCGCGACGAGCGGTCGTCGTCGGGATAACGATTATTTTTCATAAACGCTGATGACGCGCGCGTGGTATATTTCTCTTTTTCTCTTTCATTTTTCTTCTCGCCCCTTTCTTTTCATTCGTCGGAACATAAAATGATAAGATGGCGAAGGAGAGGAAGGAGGAGAAGTCTAATATTTATTTGATGTCATGCAGACGTTTGAAGTTCATAGTACAGGGACCATGATCTCGGAGATTCGCCGACGGGGGGTGTTCGGGGGTTCTCAATATGACGGTTTTGTCGGTTCGATTTGTTATACGTATCTTCTTTCACGTTTATTTCTTTTCGTGAGAAGTAGCCTTTTCTCTGTCTTCCCGGGCGATCTGAACGTTCCGGTTCAGTCAAGAAGAATTATTTTTCCTGGGAAGGCCATGTACACACGAATCTGGTTGAGCTTCTCAGATAACAAATCGTACCGAAGATATTTGAGTATATGATACATAATATATGATTGCGCCACCCGAGGGCAAATAAACAAACCCAGTGGAACAGAAAATTACGCGATCAAGTCGAGGCGGCAAGGAAGTGACTGTGAAGCTCATGTTTCGAACATGGTCTGATCATTTCCTCATCATTTTCACGTTATTGTGGGCCGTTATATTGTGCCAACTTCTTGCTGAGTTAACTGATCGTTAAATCATATGTGTGTCCTTCGATTTAAACGAAGACAGACACATGATTTAACCATCAGTTAACTTACCAAGGCCCTGTGACTTCCCTGAGCTTATCTAGGAGATCTGTCGAGAGGGGTTGGGCCACGCGATTGCCAGCTGAGTAGCTGGCGCCTTCCATCGAAATGTAATCGAGCGTGAGAAAACAAGATTCGTCTGGAGAACCACTGATTATCGACGACCGTCTCTCTCCCGTCGTGTCATCCCGAGAGAGATAAGGTGAAAAGAAATAAGCATGCGCCTGCGTCTGGAAACGGTCCGGTGACATCGCAATCTCCCGCAGTTTCCGCAGTCGAAAAGAGAGGAGCGCTCGGAGGAGTCGCGGTGTCCGAGAGCTGCGGCACGAATTCGATAACATCGCCTTGTAATAATTTTTGATCCGCACGTTTCCGTGCTTGGGAGGCGACAGAACGCGTTTCTCGAGAAATCGAGACTCAACAAAACTACGAGAGGTACACTCGATGGTCGCGGACACGGAGAGGAACTCGCTGGCGCGTCTTCGGCAGTCTTGCAAAGTAACTTTGGTTGCTCCAGCTTCTTGGTGAGTCAACTGATAGTTGAATCACATGCTTGTCTCTCTCTCTCTCTCTCGTTTCTCCTTCAACTTGGACAAAGACAGACACGTGTGATTTGACTATCAGTTAACTTACCGAGGGCAGGTTGTCCCAACCACCTCGGTAAGTTAACTGATAATCAAATCATACGACTGTCTTTCGTCGAAATTGAAGGGAACGCAAAGAGAAACGTAATTTAACTATCGATTAACTTACCAACGAGGAATTGGAACAACCCGCCCTCAGTGACCTTAGTGTCTCCGAGCGGAGTTTGACCTCGTCGCCTCGCGCATTTCACATCTTGCGGAGCAGACCTCCGAGCGAATCCAAGCGCTTCCTCGACCGTTCATAAAGACGCGCCAGCATCTTCCTCTTTTAATCCGCAACGACATCGTCGGCGGTCCCCAGGTGGCGCAATCACTATCGAACTCCACTTCGCCGCAGCGGCGGTTCGAATTTGCACTCTCTTCCTCCTCCCGCCCCTCTCCTCCCCGTCAGCCCCGTTGCCCGCGGCGGTCGCAACGTGCCTGCTGATTGACGCGAGTGTATGTGCGCGTGCGATTCGCGTCCTGACCCTCGAGACTGTCGAGAACGATCGAGCGCAAGTAACATGAAGTGGTAGGGACGACGGTTGAACCGTGTTCGCGCACAGCAGATTGCAAGGGAAGTGGGTGAAAAGCGAGAGGAAGACGGGAAGCTCGACAACATCGTCAGCGGGAATAGCAAAGAGACGACGACGACGACGACGACGACGACGACAAAGACGGCAACGACAAAACGATAGACGAAGGAAGAGGGTGACTGCTGACCATGTCGCACGCACGTCTGCGAGGCGCCGCTATCGTCGGTGGCTGGTCGTCGAGAACGTCGACGGCGGCGGCGGCGGCGAGGAGACAAACCGGCGGTTGCGCTGGCGGGGCGTTAATCGGCCGAGGAGTAGGGACAACGGCAGTGGGTAGGCGCGCCGTTGGCAGACCACCGGCGGCGTCCCGCTCGCCGATGTTGCTCCAACCGTTTATTTCCTGTCGCGGCATGGCGAGCACCGAATCCAGCAAGGTCCTCACCGGGGACAACGTCTTCGAGAACCTGCGCAGGATGGAGTACGCGGTGCGGGGGCCGCTGCTCCTCAGGGCGCTGGAGATCGAGAAGGAGCTGCAAAAGGTAAGGTAAGCCTCAGGGAAGAACGCGAGAGAGAGAGAGAGAGAGAGAGAGAGAGAGAGAGAGAGAGTGAGAGAGAGAGCGAAAGAGAGAGAGAGAGAGAGAGAGAGTGTGGATGAAAGGATGACGGGGTTGGGAAAACGACGCGTCCAGTGTCAAACTCAAGGTTGCTATGGTGAAGTGCCCTAAGCGGTGGTCAAGGAGAGGGAGGGAGGGGGGCGTAACGGGGGATCGAGTGGTTTTGGAGAATCGACGAGGAAGGGAGGCAATAATTGAGCTGTCGGGCTACCGCGAAATATCACGAACGAAAGGTCGCGGCGAGGATCGAATGTGTGACTCGATTGAACAATGAAAAAATAATAGTTGACTCGTTTCCCCTCCCCGCGTTTGTGACGTCTATGCTAATGCGATGAAAAGAGGAGAGACGAAGCAACTGTTCGCGATCGTTCAATATGGAATCGCAATCAGTCAAAGAAAACCGATGTCTTCGTGTTTGTATGTATTCTTTCTTAATGTATATTTTCTGACGTTTGAAGAAGACGTTCGCGAAGCATGAACGAAGAACGATCGAAAACGATTAGAAAGACAGAGAGCGAAGGAGACAGCGCGCTTATTTTCTGATGCTTTATCTTGAAATATGTGCCACGTTACGTCAGCGCGCGGCTGAGAGATAATTTATGCCGCGATTGGAGTTGAAACATTCAGGTTTTCGAACCCTGTCGAACTCTTGAAGTCGTATTTTCCGACGAAGAACGGATTACGCGTCGCAGAGTCGAACGAGAGAATGTCTCCTCAGGTACGATATGTGATATTGTTCTAACAAAGCTAAGACTGCGGATAGAAAATCAGTTAATCAATATTATGCGTGTCTCGTGCCTGTTGTGATTCAGGAATTTTAACACGTTGACTGCCACGGAATTTTTCACGATTCCGGTCTAAAGAGCCAATTTGATTTAATCATGTTATATTATTAAAGACTTTAATAATAATACATAGTAATAATCAAAAAGCTTAAAAAATGTTTTTTTTTTTAAACATTTTTTATTCTCTTTCCTGAGGCCATCTATTCATATTTACACTGTTATGCTACGAGTTTCCTCGTAGCTGTACAAATATGGCAAGTAATAAAGGGACGAGATAACTCGTAGTTAGGTCCTCGTCTTGTGGTGCGATTCTGTAACTCGTTATTGGAGTTAACGACAGTTTCGTTATCGTTGCGCAGCTTTTCTACAGTATACAAAAGCTGCGCAACGATAACGAAACTGTCGTTAACTCCAATAACGAGTTACAGAATCGCGGTACTGGGCAAGTAAACAACCTACGAGATATCTCGTAGTTGGCAGTCAACGTGTTAATATCAGTAGTTGAATCGAAAGCTGAACTGAATCACACTCACCGTCGATCGTCACTGGGCAATCATTCGATTGACGTGCACGATGACTCGCCATGGCCGCGACTCGTTATCGAGGCATCGAGGAAACAACACTAGTATAAATATACGATAACATATCGGGTTGTGATATAGAACGTCGCATGGCGCGTCGTATAATTGCAATTGATGAAACCAGCTGCGAACGTTATCGATTCTCCTGTTGATTTCCGCGCGTCCAAAGCGTAATTCGCGCGTCAATTGCCTCACGCCTTGATGGTAGCTTCATTTTATTATGACTAAACGAGCAATATCCCTTGTCGTGTCTGTTATCTTTATGCGCGTCCAATAACGTGCTATTTGCAAAAACTGATAAAAATTTCTCGGCAGAAATTGCCCGGCGGATACAATATGTGAAACGTGCTGTATTTTGACCGTTGAAAGTTACGCCTTAAAAATAGGAACGTCTACCTAAGCAACGCGAACGTCTGGTATTTGCTGGAGAAATATGCATGTTTTATCACATCGTGACGCTATCGCGCGCTGCGTGTACATTGATATGGGATAATCGCATTGTCATTGAACGCGCTCTTTTCAGCTTCGTATACAATTGCATAACAGTCGTCAATTACGCGCGGCTACGCTAGGTGATTTAACTATTTAATCTGCGGGTAACAAAAATATTCTATTCAATTATTTGTACATGTACATTGTACATTCAATTATTTGTACATGAAAAACACTGGAAAAATTAACATGCAAGAAGAAGATAAAATTATGTATTATCTTAGATTTCTTCTATCTTTTTTTTTTTTTTTATTGAAAAAGAATATATATAAATTATGATACAAGTATGTTAAAAGCAAACGCTCATGCGCAACCTCTGCATTCGAATGGGTGAGGTGCGTTTATTCTCCTAGATTAGGCAAATTCACGCGGTTTATTAGCGCGCGAATACGCGAGCTCGTTATTCCCACCTCTATTTGTTTGCTTGACGCGTCATGTCTCACCCAAACATCGCATCGTTAAATCATGATTGTCTCTGTTCACAGGGCGTGAAGAAACCTTTCAAAGAGGTGATCAAGGCCAACGTGGGAGACGCCCATGCGATGGGCCAGCAGCCCATCACGTTTTTGCGGCAGGTACTGACCCTGACGGTTTCCCCGACTCTGTTGGACGACCCGAGTTATCCGGAGGACGCCAAGGCACGAGCGAGAACGGTTCTTCATGGTTGCAAAGGTGGCAGCGTGGGCTCGTATTCGGAGTCCGCTGGCATCGAATGCATCCGCAAACACGTCGCCCAGTACATTCAGAACCGTGACGGTATTCCCTGCGACTATCACAACATCATCTTGTCAAACGGCGCTTCCGACGGCATCAAGGTGTGTGGATTTAACGCCTCGTTATGTTCTTCGCGCTGTTCTTTGCGACAAGTCTGAAGTCTAAAATCAGTGAATACCGTCTTAAATTGATGGATAAAGAGATGGAGAATTGTTGATTGAAGATTGGAAATTTGATGAATCAGGAAGAAGAAATTGAATTTATAGTTGATTGAAATTTCTAATCTAGAATTTTCAATCTCCGATCTGAGCTAATTTGATACCGGTTTAATATGTGCTCGTCTAAAGTGACCGTCTTCTTCTGGATCTGTTTCTCTTCTGAGTAAAAGAAGAGTAAACAAAAAGCAAGAGTCACTGTGCTGGAAGAATTGATATTTCGTGCTATTCTCACATCTGTTTCCTCCTCTCTTGCAGTCATTCCTGAAATTGTTCAACGAAAAGATCAACGGCAAACCATCCGGTGTGTTGGTGCCGATCCCGCAGTATCCTCTGTACTCTGCGACACTCGCGGAGTTTGGCCTCGTTCAGATCGGATATTACCTCGACGAAGACAACAAATGGTCCTTGGACATAAACGAACTGGGACAAGCCCTGAAAAAATCCAAAGAAAAGTGTAATCCTCGAGTATTGGTGGCAATAAATCCGGGTAACCCGACCGGACAGGTATTGACGCGCTCAAACATCGAGGATATCATTCGCTTCGCCCACAAGAATCACCTCTTCTTACTCGCCGATGAGGTCTACCAAGATAATATATATGACAAAGATAGCGCATTCCATTCTTTCAAGAAGGTCATGATGGAAATGGGTGAGCCATACTCGAAGATGGAGCTCGCATCGTTCATGTCTATTTCAAAAGGTACGCAAAGACGTATGAAATTAGAATATAGATTCTTGCTGAGTATAAAGCGAGAAGTATTTTAATCGAAACATTGCATATTACGCATTTTAACTGAACGAAATTAAAGTTCATGATCAAACAATCGTCGCTGATTTATCAGCTTAATTAAAAATCGAACTAAATGTTCGAACAAATATTTCGAACCAGAGATTGTAAAATTAATTCTCAAGAACTCATCGATGAAATGTTTTGTTCACAGGCTACATGGGCGAGTGCGGTATCCGTGGTGGTTATGGTGAGATCATCAACATGGATCCGCAAGTAATGACAATTTTACTGAAATCGATCTCCACGATGCTGTGCCCTACCGTTCTCGGCCAGGTCGCGATGGATGTCGTGGTGAATCCGCCACAACCGAACGAACCGTCGTATCAGCTATTTCAAAAGGAAAAGGCACATACGCTGCGATCTCTCGCTGAGAGGTCGCAGCTTGTCGTTGATACACTCAACAGTATTCCCGGATTTAAGGTGAGTCATCTACGAACTGGACTTGACCAAGCTCGATGTTATCTCACCGTATACCTTTTATCTTTCAGGCGAATCCGGCAATGGGTGCGATGTACGTTTTTCCGCGCTTCGAATTGCCGCCGAAAGCAATCGAGGCAGCAAAAGCGAAGGGCCAGGAGCCAGATGTTTTCTACGCGTTCAAGCTGCTGGAATCCACCGGGATCTGCGTGATCGCCGGCTCAGGCTTCGGCCAGAAACCCGGCACATACCACTTCAGGACCACTATCTTGCCACAGAAGGATAAAATCAAAACAATGCTCGAAAGTCTGAAGCAGTTTCATGTGAAATTCCTCAAGGAGTACAGCTAAACCAGATATCTGACAGAAACGGAAATTAGGAACGTGGGAGGAAGCGCTATATGACTTTGTGCATACCCGTGTGAGAACTAGTTTCTCATTCGAGCATCGAGAATGTGCAATATTTTTATTACGATCAATATCCGATGTTGAAGATCGTCAATCTTTGCGCGCTCCATTATTAACGAATTGTATAGAAATTATCTCACATTCTGAAAAATTGTATGTATAAAATGTAAATCATCACTAAATAACATTCGAATCGTGTAAATATTTTTAGCGTCTCGATATGTTGTTATCGTTGTGTCGATGACGATTAATGCGTATAATGGATTTCGCGGTGTACCATTAATAAAAGGAGAAACAGAACAAAAAAATCTTAATTTCAGGTCTGTCGCGAGCGTCTCCTCGACGATCATGTTAAATGATCGTATAGCGAAAGCAACTTCTTGCTTCTCATGATACATACATATCTTATCACTAAGCCGCTATTTACAACATCTACAATTGTTCGAACTGATCAGAGGTCCGCAGCGAGCCTTTCTATTTCCTCGACGAAGAACTGCATGTCAATCTCGCTTAGTCCCGAGTTCTGCAGCACGAGCCTGAAAAAGTTCGGCGTTCCTCTGAGCGGCTGATAAGTCATTAGCATCGTCCCGGCACGCACCATGCGTTCTTTGATCATCGGCGCGACCTGCAATCGTCCCGTCGACTCGATTAACGGTCAAACAAGTAACAATTGAACTTGCTTCATTAGAAACCTGAATATTCGAATCTTTGGAATTTTGGAACACCGTCTCGTTGATCGATTGACTACTGTCTCATTGATTTATATAAAACATTATATCTATGATGAATTGCACATGACGAATCAAGTAAGTGACCAACAGTGGCCGACGTTATAATTGTTTGATTTCAAGATACATTTCAAGAGCATTTGTTATACGACTGAGAAAGTTACCTTGTGTATCGCCTGGTCCAGCTGTCGGCCTGCCAAGTCTCTCATCGATGGTGGGATATACCGGAAGCAGACATTGGTGCACTCCGGCTCGGCAAGCAAGTGCCAGCCATCACGTGTTCTCACGAGGTCTGCGAAATAACGCGAAAGCGCGAACACGTGATCCACGTGTTCCTCGAGTCCACGAGTACCCTTTGCCTTCCACATGTACCAAAACTTAACCACGTCCGCTCGGCGGCCGCACTGCACGTGTCGGTCGCCACAGTCGTAGGACGAGTCATAGAACTTGTCGTTCTGGAAGAGGTAGCTCGCGCCGCAACCGTGCGCTGACTGCAATAAGCCTGCAATATGCCGAATTGAATTTTGTTAATTAAGAGATCGTACAAAAACTGTGATATATATCATAGCAGCGTGATAAAACAATTAAACAGTATTATTTTTTGCTGTTCGGTCTTCTCTCTCTCTTTTGTATCCGTCTTTGTTATTAAAAATAGATGCCCGAAATGATACGTTGGCTTATTCCAGACTGTTGCTCGAGCTTTTTGCATGTTAGCAACAATTCTTTGTTGCTAACATAACGAAGTTGTCATTAACATGACGCTTATTCGTTTGACATATTGAATAATATGTGTAACTAATTGAAGTATATTATTATTAATTATAGTTAACCTTCGTGACGCAGCAGCAACGTAGAGCATTGCTGAGGCGCAGCGAGCAGCTTGTGAGGATTCCAGGTGATCGAGTCTGCGAGTTCGACGCCATCCAAAAGACGACGATACGTCCTGGAGACGAGAGCGCCGCCACCCCAGGCAGCGTCCACGTGGAACCATAAACGGTGCTTCCTGCAGACTTCGGCGATGTCCTTGAGGGGATCGAACGCGCCTAACACGGTGGTACCCGCAGTACTGGATACCATCAACGGCACAGCACCTTCTCTTGTGGCACGAGCGATCTGTGCCTCCAGATCGGACACCAACATTTTACCCCTAGAGTCGACCTTGACCGAATACACGTTGTCATAGCCGATGCCCAGGAACGCGGCGAGCTTCTTCACGGAGTAATGCGCGTCTTCTGACGTAAAAATCACTAGCCGCGGCATCTGCGACAGTCCGGTTTGCTTCATGTTGGGGTATCTACGTGGTTAGACCGACAGAAGTATTTATTTATTTATTTATGTGAAATTTGTGAATTCTAAGATGAGAACAAAAACTAACTAACTAAAACTAATATTTTGTGTCGTATTAATATTTTTATGTATTATTTTATTTGTTTATATGTATTTATTTTATTATATATCAATATATTTTATACACATATTATGTATGTGTGTGTGTGTGTGTTAACATTTTATATATAAATTTTATTCTTACAGAATCAATACACAATTACCTATGATGGCGCGCCAAGTTGATAGCGTATCCGTTCGCCATGGAGCCGCCCGGACAAAAGAGACCCTCGCCGCCTTTCCAGCCAATGATGCGACGCATCTCTCGCAGCACATCCTCCTCCATCAGAGAGAATACCGGGGATACCTCGTAGGTGTAGACAGACGGATTGAGAGCGTCGGTCAGCCATTGGCCCAGCAACCCGTATGGATCCAAACTGGAGAACAGCTGATTGACGAAGTGCGGATGACCTGTCTTTACGCTGTACTTGATGACGTTACGCGTCAATGCCAGCAGCTCTTCGTGGCTAACGCCTTCGGCCGGCAACGAGAAGTCGACCACAGACCGCAGATCTGAGGGATTCATCCATTCCACCACTCGCTCCTTGCCGGAAGTGGACTGTGTGCAGACGAAACGTGTTAATTAACACAGTGACTCAATACGGTTTCTACGGCTGTAAAAAACCGCGTTGTATTTCTACGAATCCGTAATTCTTTTTTGCTCGATTAAGAGTCCTGGGTATACCGGAGTGACGAGATCAATTTGTCTGTACTGGACTCTACGAGGAACTATATTGTGCGAACGCATTTTCTTACTACGAGTTCCGTTTCTTTTTTCCGTGTCCCTGGTCGAACACCTGTATAATTTCCGTCTAGTTTGTCGAGAAACGGCGCATAATAAACTGATCAATACTAGTGGTTTAATAGCCGCGTCATTTGTAACATGATAGCACTAATGCTACCACTACTCACCAGTATGTATCACAAGCGGCGTAATTACGCCGCATTTGCGATGAATGGAGCGGCATTGAACATAAAAATGTGACTATGCGCTAATCACTTGCGCCAAGGTGCGAGGTATATCCTCGGGCCGAGCAATTTGCGCAATAATGGGGATTCTTACGCCATTAACGACCAGTAATGGTAAAAACTAGCAGTGTGAAGTATGTATGTGTATGTGTAAGTGGTTGTAGTATTTTTTTATTCCTTGCAACATGGGTTTTTACGAGAGAACTTATTCATCGGGGATTTTTTATCTTAGATTATCTCCTTTACATTCTCGTTACATTACGAAACCGAAGATCTATTCCTTTCTCTCACCTCTCTTTCTGCGCGTAATATTGCATTTCACATTAGCTTTATGATGCGTAAATTCAAGGCCCTGTAATGTGTACACGTAAAAAGAAAGTAAGTTTGCAAATGTCACCCCATATTTGGAATAATTTTGCACGATTACACGAGAAAGAAGAATGTTGCAATAATTTTACTGTTTTGTTATATTTATTTTATATTATTACATATTACATATATTTTTCATGACCAATTATTATGTAACGATAAATAAGTATAATATATTACATGTTATACATATATTATACATATATTATACATATATTATAGTAGATATATTATATATATTTATTATATATATATAATATATATATATATATTTCTTCTCAGAAAGTATTTTTACTTCTAATATAACAAAATATATCGAATTCTTGATATGACATCTTCTTTTCTTTCTAGAATTATTCCCTAAGAGTTGACGCAAGGGTTGTGCAAACACTTTCTTTATCTTTTTACCCGCAAGTGTCCGTAGTTGCAGATTATCTATTTTAATTATTCAATTAAAGGCGACACACACACACACACACACATATGTGCACATACCGTTACTCACCTGGAACACCGCTTGCTGCAACACAAGCTCGAAAAAGTCTCTAAAAAGCTTCTCGTGGATGTCCCGACGAGGTATGCTGCGGAAATTCCGCTCCTCAACCCTGCTGCTTTCCAAATCGTCGTCTACCGTCGCTCCTGGAAGGAGTGAAGATGCGAGATTTTGCAGTCCTCCGGACATCTTTCGCTGGGACAAGGAGGGACTTATTCTTCCCGGTTCTATCCGCTCCAACGACTCGTTGGAGGTATCCTCGTTGGCGGGCATAGTTTACAACAGTATGAACCTGCAAGAACGACGACGGTTTCCTTTATACGTATTAATTCCCGCGGATCAAGGACGTCTCCCTCCAGTGCGCGCTTTTCTGCGTTTGCGACGGTGTTTCGTCGATCGGATTTCTGATATCTACTTCTGGAAATACCCGGAAGAACTTCCGGAGATAGTTTTTCTTTGTTTTCTTAACGGATGCCGTCGAGCCGACTCGCTGGACACTGTCTGGACGGACACTGTCTTAAAACCTCTAAAAAAATAAAAAATATCGATGTATATATGTATGTGTTAAAAATAGAGAATAGGAAGAATGTGTGCTATATGCCGAATGCAAGTGAAGATAAGATAAATATCCGATTGAGATTTGGTACGTATTGGGAATAATAAAAAATCGACCTGTATCTTGAGTCATTCGCGATCTTTTCCTCTCTGTCAAGAATATAATAAATATAATAATAAAACCTTGAATATATGACGAATCTCTATAAAACATGAAATTAAGATAAAGTTGTAGATATAATTTTTCCTTGTAAGATGTTTAAGTAGCAAAAAAGAAAAATGTTTAGAACGAAGTTTTTTTCAATTAAATCTTTAAAAAAAGTTTATAGGTATTTCTATAGGCTCAAAATATTATATAATAAACATGTAATAAATGTAATTAATATTAAATTTGAAACATACATAATAATATATAAAAATATATAATTTATAATTGTGATTCATTAGTTTAATAAATTCCGATTAATATGCTTATTTTATAGCAAATAAATTAATGAGGAGCAATTATGCAACTATCTTTCGCGATTTCTTGCGACCATGACAGAATACAGTAGGATCACGAAGAGCCTTTGAGTTAAATGTCCCCCCTATCTCTCTGTTCTCATCCTAGATAGCACGGTAAGTTGCATTCTTTGTAACATCAGACATACTTTCCCATAAGAAGTTTCTTACGAAGGTATTGTTTTTTACCAGACAAATTAAAAAGGCTCTCGCAACAAGGTTTTATTTACGACAACCACGATACACCGTTCGCGGTGGAAACATCTATTTTTAACGCCTCAAGAAAACTACTTGTACGCTTCAATAGAAAATCATATGTTTCTCATAGATAAAACACAATAAAAATCTGTTTTGCAACTGAAACAATGTGATAGAACTCTTCAGCCTTTGTCATCTGGTAAAAATTGTCAACTTTGTAGGGATATTCTTACAGGAATAGATTAAACGCGGCGCATAGAATATTCATAGGATATCTCGCGGTAGCACTTTCGCGTTTTTGTCAGTGACTCCGTCCGCGTTTCACGTGCTACGCTGGTAAGGTCACGCACGATTCAATTATTGATAAATTTGTAACAGTCATATTGGTCCGGTGACGATATAGCAAAGAGATTTTATATCAGAACTGTGTCTCTCTCCTGCTTACACCGGGGAAAAGGACACGGAGTGAGGTTGTCGCTCGCGGGCGCGTAAGAACCAAGAACTACGTTCGCATATTATTTACGCTACACTACTCTGTTCACATACTTCGCGCGTATGTAGAGCGTGTTGAAAGTGTATGTTGAAACTATCGGATGTCTTACTAACCTACATAGATTTTTTAGCCGATTTAAAATCGAACTTTTTCTTCAATGAAATATCAAAATGACATTCTCGATATTTCACTAATCAACGATTGAAAGTAAGCTTATTTTGCGACTGAAAAAGGAAATTGAGAATTGAAACTGAAATTGAAAATTGAAAAAGAAAATAAATAACAAACTTGATTTTTCCGTCAATATTATAATTATCAATATTATAAGTAAGATTTTGATTTGCAAAAATTGGTTAGGTAAACGTGAACGTTAAAAACTATAGAGATGCGATTTTTCTTTGCATTATGATGATGAAAAAGTATCGTCGGCCAATTATTCTTACATCCTCTCTATATGTGAGAAAATATACAGACAATTGATAACCAAGTGAATATGAGGATAACTTGGCACGCATGCGAATTGACTATGTGAAAGAAAAGGAAACGAAAAGAAATAGGAAAGTTTGATGCAGCTAATATCATTAAGCGGGTAATACCGAGAGGCATCGAGTTTCCTCTAAGATTTGCTATGCATTTGAAGGAAACTTCACTTTCTGTTCAGCCAAACGATGATGTCATCGTCTGGCGTCTATTCCCAGCTAACGATTATCCCCATAGTCACGCAACGTCAAAATGTAATGGGATTTACCCGGTTGTAGAAGAACGATCTGGATTCCTCGACGCCAGATTGCTACGGAAAATATATAATTAAGATAGAAAACGAAATGACATATTCACGAAATAATTTTTATGAACTGACATAATTTATTTTTTATTTTTTCATGAACAGCTCTTATATTTTTAATTATTTAAGATGGTATTTTATAAGAAAACGATAAACCTCTTTGCAATAATTCTGTAAAGATTTTATTTTGATTTCACACGATCGAAAAAACCATCATTATTTAGTTTATAAAATTGCAGATATATTCCTATAGACGAGAGAAATTACACGCAATTTATACGTGAGAAGATAATAATAATAAGATAAAAATATATGAGGACATAGAAATTATCAAAACTAAATTATCAAAATATATTATATAATATATATAATTATAAATAGAATAGTACGCGATGAAAAAACAAGGTAATCGATCAATCTTACATCAATCTATCATCAATCAGCCTATCATTATATATATTTCGACTATTCCTGGAAAAAAGTAAGCAGTTTCTTTTATGGGATACATGCCACCACCTCTATTCTGTACAAGAAAAAATTAACAAATACTTACTTGACTAATTGTCTACTTGCACTATTGGTAAAAAAAGTTTATTAAAGTTTAATAATGAAGTTTAACGTCCGGTTGATAAAAAGCATCTCGTGAGCATAAATTAAATTCGAGAACATCGAGAAAATCGATTCTCCACAAAAAGAATCGAATGTCGATTCATCAGTCGAATATTGCAGCATTTCGAACTCTAATGGTCTGTTCTTTGTAGCTGCACTGTTGAACTGGTGCAATAAGTTAAAGTGAGACAAATATAGGTTTTCTCACTCTAGCTTATTACACCAGTTCAGCAGTGCAGCTACAAAGAACAGACCATAATTTTCCTTCAAGTTACGCATCTGGAACTCGCTGTTTTGAACGCGTGCTCTTCGTATAGGTTAGGGATGGCGGCTACCGTAGTGAGAGTCTTGTTATTCTGGTACTAGCAACATTGTTGTTCTCGAGTAATGATAATTATCTCGTGACTAGTTTACAATGTTCAAATTCTTGAGGGCACATACTATTTCGCTGCAAAATGCTCGCATCATGTCAATACGATCCACCACACATTGTTCAATGAGAATCTGTTCGTTTTGTAACTATTGCCACTTTACATCACCTAAGCGTACGTAATGCGTGGTATTGTATTATGTATTATATTTGCAATATGATCACAAAACGTATATCTTGATTTTATGAGACCGATCCTTTAAGTGAAAGATGTAGAATAACTCTTGAAATTACTAATATACATATATATATCATAATTACAAGACGTAGTCATAATTTACTTTCATGTTCACATTTTATAAATGAATATCTCAATTTCAAAGTTCATAATAATGAGATTAATGTTTGATATCGATTTAACGATAAATTTATATCATATTACATACTTTAATAACATACTTTTTGTCATAAATAATTTTGCTTTTAGTGATCAAGAATATAGTATTTCGCCGTTATGCAACAATGAATACGGCTGAACTGTACACACCATTAAGAAAGAAGACTAAACGTTCTAAGAAATATGCAGAATTATTAGAAGGTAAATTAATGTAAAAATTATATATAAATATAATAAATATCTAGATATGATACCTAAGTGATTATACAAGTGTGTGTATATATATATATATATATATAGAAAGAGAAAGAGACAAAAAGATAAAACAAAATAATAATTGCTTGTTATTCTATTTTATTAGTAACAGATCAAACAATCGGTAACAAAAAAACAACTGTACAGAAGTTAAACGCTGCTCATATATCTATATTGGTTGGACAGCGAAATACTACACTAGACAAGCTACATAAAATTGGTAGTTCTCATCTTAATAAAAAAACACATACAACACAAGCAACGGAGACCAGCACTAATTTAAAAAATAACTCGGTATATAGTGTAAATATGATTTAAATTTCATTAAGAATCATAACATGCTTGAGATTAAATTTTACTCTAATATTTTGTTAAAAATAAACTTGAAATTTTTATTTTGTGATTATTATAATTTTATCCGTTAGAAGTAGGATTAATTATAAATAAAATTGATTTGTTAAATTCACAGAAAGATAAGCTGGATGATGTGCATCATATAATATTAGAAGAATCTAAAAACAACTTGGAAGATAAAACCATGATTTTAGGGGAACTAGAAGAATCTGGCATAAGTGATAGCGCAACTTTGATTAAGAACACTACTTTTATAAACACATTGCATGAAGTAAAAAGTGAAGAAGAAAATCAGGATGATTTCATCAACAGCAAGTTACCAAAAACTTCAAAGAGTCGGAAAACTTCAGAGTTTAGTAAGATTCCTTTTACAAAAGAGAAAGATTTATTTGAAACGTGTCCTTCTGATCATAACTTGATATCACAACTACTGGCACACATAGATGTTTATAATCATAATGGAATGTTAAACAAAGGCTTTAAATTATTAATGTTGAAGAGAAGTCGACTCAGTGCAACCAAGATTCCCACTACTGCAGTCTACAATCTACTTATAAAAGCTTATGCTTCCAAGTTGCATCTGGGAAGGGTTTCAGAGATCTATAATTTGATGAATGAAAATCATGTACAATTGGACGCGGAGACGTTTGCACTTATGTTTCAAATGATAGGAAACATGAAGTCCCAGACAAAACAGGCAGAGATGATAACGAAAGTAGTTGAAGATATGAATCAGCATGGTGTCTTTTTTGATGACGTACTAAACATTTCGCAAATGAAAGGAACGCAACGTGAAGCCATTTACAAATGTGTCTGTTTGGCATCTCCGGAACACAATGCGTCATATCCAGATTTTGAACGCCCATATAACTGTAAATTATTGCAGAATCTAAAATTGGACAACTATCACAGCCCAGCCAAGGGAGTTGTAACCTTGGATGAACTGCGACAAATGATCCAAACGCAGATTAACACAGAGATGCAGCAAGAACTCGAAGTGAAGAATATCGATAGATTTACAGGAGATGTCAATATTAGGCTGCAGGCAGTAAGTTTGTCATTGTAGAATTAATTTTATTCGTATTTATGTATTGATAGTACTAATTCCATTGCTGATAATCGCCTATTAATCGTGTTCTTCATTTATGTAGATCGAACGAATCGCGGAATGGGAAAAGTCCTGGAAGTTATCTGTGACAGAGGCTTTTGAAAAAAATCTGTTCTACTTGAAACAAAAGGAAATGAGAGAGCAACCCGAATTATCTACGCTTTATCCATTTCTGCAAGTGTTGTCGCAGGAAGAATATGTTGATGCAATCTTACGCGAGATCAAACGCTTGGCCAGATCCTCCGACGCTTATAGCTTCTCTCTAACGTTTGTTTATTTAATATTAGGAAAATACATTTACAAAAAGTACGAGTTTCACAAGAAAAAGGAAGCTAAAGTCACGGACAACATCATTCAAGTCTATAATAAGTATTTGGAGTGGTATATACAGCAAAAACCTACCGACGTTGGCATTAACGGACGTATCAAGTGGCAACAGCTCGCTCAGGAGGTCATGAAAGCTGGTCTTTGCCCTGATATAACAGTCCCGGAATGGCCACGTCACATTCTAGTAAACATCGGCAAATTCTTATACAGTATCATCGTGAACGACGTGAAGATTCCATACGGGATAAAACCAGGTGCACCTGAGCGATTGATACCTGCGTTTTACTTGCTCTTCAGAAATCAGCATGCGTACTTAACGGAGGAGATCAAACCACATCCTCATTTACACAGAACTTTCAGCGAATCTCACCCTGAAACGTTGACCTTCGAAACGGTACTATTGCCGACTTACATTCCACCACGTCCTTGGATCAACACGAATATTGGAGGTTTTCTGTTTTCGAAAACCGATTTTATTCGTGACCCTTATGTGGGAGTACGTATTCTCTCTATGCTGTTGTTACTTGTTATTTGTTATTAGCTTGAAATTTCGCAAAATTATTTTGCTCTCACCGAGTACCGATATGTTTCAAACAAAACAGATGAGTTCGATGTACTTCATTAAAAACACGCCAACGGAGCAGCTTTACCCAGCGTTGGATTGTCTGAATCAACTCGGCTCGATACCGTGGAGAATTAATCAGCCTGTTTTGGATATCTTGATTCAGGCATGTTTTAACAATTAAATCAATATATTATATTCAAAGTTGCTTTATTTTATTTAAGGTTTAATATTGACGAGATAAGATGAAAACTTTAATGTATATATAATTATAAAACAAAATTATTATTATTAGGCTCATGCTTTAATAATATTATTGGTGTTTAGATTTTTAGAGAAGGTGGCTCAGAAGAGCTGAATGTACCTCAATCACCGTTGTCGTTTCCGTTTCTGTCTGAATGGATGAAAGAATTAGCAGAAAAGGAGAAGAGTAGGAGTAAAATATCGACGTTAGCGATACAGCATAGACGCAAGAAAAACGAGATGTATTCGCTGTGGTGCGACTGCCTATATAAATTATCCCTCGCTAATCACGTGAGTCTTTACGTATATATTATAAATATCCGATTTCCACAAGCACATATTCCGCACATCTCTGTACTCTGTATAATATACGATTTCTAGACTAGTATTTCTTGATACAAGGAATCTATGTCTGTAACTTTTGAAATTAGTTAATTAAGAATCTGTTTTTATCTTGCAGTTTAGAGATCAAGTATTCTGGTTGCCGCATAATCTGGACTTTAGAGGTAGAGCATACCCAGTGGCACCTCATCTGACCCACCTCACTTCGGATCTAGGACGTTCATTTCTCGTATTTGCGCAAAAGAAGCCTCTAGGTCCGAAGGGTTTGGATTGGTTGAAAATTCACGCGATAAATTTGACTGGTATGAAGAAACGAGAACCGATGAAGAAGCGGCTGGAATTCGCGAACGAGATACTGGATCTTATCATAGACAGCGCAAGAAATCCTTTGAAAGTAAATATTATATGCATTTGTACTTTGGCCTTTTATTATGTTGGAATAATTTTATTTTCTTCTGATTGTGTCCTTGTATGTGTTCAGACATAATGTACATCCATTTATAATAATCCATAGGGAAAAAGGTGGTGGACAGAGTCCGACGAGCCGTGGCAGACCTTAGCAGCATGCAAAGAAATAGATAATGCTCTCCAGTCTCCGAATCCAGAAGAATATCTCACTGGATTCCCTGTTCACCAGGACGGCAGTTGCAACGGACTGCAACATTACGCCGCTCTTGGTAGAGATCAGATTGGAGCAGAAAGTGTGAACTTGTATCCTTCGGACACACCACAGGACGTGTACAGCGTCGTCGTCGGTATGGTATGTAAAAATGACTTAACCGCTAATATTTATCGATAATATTAACGAAAATTTTAAAATCTCGAAATTTCGTTATCTGCAAGAACTGTGTGCTCTTCCAGGTCGAAGAATTTAGGAAGAAGGATGCTGAGAATGGTGTCGAAATAGCCAAAGTCTTGGAAGGGCATATTAGCAGGAAGGTTATAAAGCAAACTATAATGACTACGGTATATGGTGTGACGAAATTTGGCGCTAAGCTTCAGATTACCAGACAACTGAGTGGTCAGTAAAATTGTCAGCGGGGAAATAAAAAAATATCAGTAGAAAAATAACTTGACTCATATTCGTTTCATTGCGATGTGCAGATATGAAAGATTTCCCTCAAGAGTACATTTGGAATGGCAGTATGTATTTGGTTCAACAAACATTCAGATCCCTACAAACTATGTTCACAAGTGCGAAAGAGATCCAGGATTGGTTTACGGATTGCGCTCGTGTCATTTCGACACGGTGCAACCAATACGTGCAATGGGTGACGCCGTTAGGTCTGCCAGTCCTACAGCCATACAACAAGCGTTTCAAGACGACTACTGCTACTAATGTTTCTAAAATACAGAAGTAAGTGAGTTAGGCATTTTTATTCTCTACGTTTGGATCTACTTCTCTTTGCATATTTATATATTTTTCATGTTAATATATAGGGTGTCCCATTTTAAAGGACCCACTCAAATATCTCAGAAACACTGCGTTAAATCGAAAAATGCTTAAGACAAAAGTTATTTAACTTGAAGGGGGACATAGGACAGCGATAGCATTTTGTTTATAGATGGCTCCATTTTCGAGATATTTACTGATTATCAATTTCCTTAAATGGAAATCCAAATTTTTTATTATATCATCTTTTTCTACCAATTAATTTGAACAACTTCTGTCTGAAACATTTTTTTATTTGCCTAGTATCTTTTGAAATATTTAAGGAAAACTTGGTAACTTTTCCAACATTTACCTTACGATATCTCGTTAATTATTCGTCGAAAAAAAAAATAGTATTAGACTTTTTTACTTTATTTACTATCAAGAATATACTACTATAATAGTGCCCTAACTTTTATTAATTTAATAATTTTGAAATTTCCAAAGGTCGATAAGTTAATAAAAGTTAGAACACTATTAATATATTCTTACTAGTAATTCTTGATAGTAAATAAAATAAAAAAGTCTAATACTATTTTTTCTTTCGATGAATAGTTAGTGAGATAGCGTAAGGTAAATGTTGGAAAAGTTACCAAGTTTTCCTTAAATATCTCAAAATATATTAAGCAAATGAAAAAATGTTTCAGACAAAAGTTGTTTAAATTAATTGCAGATTGTTTAAATTAATTGTAGGTAGAAAAAAATGATATAATAAAAAACTAGGATTTCCATTTAAGAAAATTGATAATCAGTGAATATCTCGAAAGTGGCGCCATAAACAAAATGCTATCGCTGTCCTATGTCCCCTTCAAGCTAAACAACTTTTGTCTTAAGCATTTTTCGATTTAACGCAGTGTTTCTGAGATATTTGAGTGGGTCCTTTAAAATGGGACACCCTGTATATAAATTCTTATTTTTCATACATATTTTCATAGGTATTTAATACGATACGAATTTATACTTGATATTTGCAGAAAACCGGACACTATGAAGCAAAAGAACGCCTTTCCACCGAATTTTATTCACTCGTTGGATTCTTGTCACATGATGCTCACGAGTTTGCATTGCGAGCAGGCGGGCATCACGTTTATGTCAGTACACGATTGCTTCTGGACACATCCACAATCTGTAGAAATTATGAGCAAGGTAAGCGATCATTGATTAACACGAAAAACTGGATTATCATTTGAAGCATTATTAAATAATGTATTAGATATTATTTGGTATTTATAATATAGCAAACGATATTTCATTTGCAGATCTGTCGAGAGCAATTTGTTGCGCTTCATTGTGAACCTATCCTCGAAGATTTATCTCAATTTTTTCATAATAGATATGTAAAACACTTAATGAACGACAGGTGAGTGCTTCGTTTATTTTAAGTGAGTTCGTTTATTTTAAGACTTAGACGATTTTGAAATTTAAAAGTGAAAATAGAAAATTCAAAAGAACGATTAAATCAATTAATGTAAGAAGATGAAAAATTAATGTTTCATTATTCAGATTATTTTATTGAAATTTTAGAATCATGAACCGAAAGGAGGACCTTTCATTACAGGTATTTAAAAAACTACCAACGAAGGGCAAATTTGACATCAATAAAGTCTTGTCATCTCAATATTTCTTCAGCTGAAATTTAGCTATATTACTTTATGTTTCAAAAAAATTACATTTCAATGAGAAATGTAGGAAATGAGAAAGTGAATCACAAGTATCAAGGTGTATTTTTGTAAAAAAACGAAACTTGAACTTATAAGTGGTAACTGTTTAAATATAAAAACAATCACCTTTGATTCAGATTCATTGACCTTCTATTTGATCAATTGATTTATTTAAAAGGCTTTAAATACATCTTTTATCTCGAATTAGATTTATCTCGAATTAGATTTTTAATTATATTTGTAAACAAATGTAAGATATCTAAACTTCTAATTAGCTTCGATACAGTACATGTATTATGCAAATAAAATATTCAAATTGACAAAAGAATAAATTTTTGAAAATGTTGAATGCCCTGTTCCCTTTTGAACATATATTATTTGCATTGTATATTATATATATTCATTGAACATTAAATATACACTTATTATTTATATATGATCAATAATAGAATATAAAAATGTGACTGGTAAAGGCTATCTCACATATACTTTCTGTAAAACATAACAGTAAAGTTTTGACTATTTTGTATTGCTCGGTTTAAGCGTCTATAACTGTAACTATTTGAAACAAACAACATGATTAGTCAAAACTTTATTATTATTACTGATGGAAAGTGTGTGTGATGGTTTTAATTCTGCAATTTGTGAGTATTGTCGGTAATATAGGTCTTCTGTAACCTAATGTACCTTAGTGGTTACCATAACAACGTCCATCAACAAATGTAACCTACTTGCCATTATCTTGATGTTTATAAGTGGAAAAACGTAAATGGAAATATTATGGGAAGAACAAATGGGCATCGCCACACTCAAATTGCGTTCCATCGCGTGCAGACAAGTAGGAAACATAATTTGTCAACGATTTTTGCATGTTATGCAGCACAATAGAAAATACGGCACTTTTTTCGTGCAGTTAGTCGATGAATGTAAATAACACGCAAATGATAAGACTATTGCTTTAAACTTTGAATACTTTGTTGATTTTATGTAAAAATTTTGACTAGGTATTTATTACTTTATCAGCTTAAACAATGTTGCAATATGAAATTGAAGGATGAATCCTGTACATGGAATCTGTTGTTATCCCTGATAAATGTAAAGGTCAAGGATTAGCAAGACTCTTAGCAGAGGTATTGAAACATGCAACTTCAACTCTTAAATATTTCAAAAAACTTTCGAATAATTTTGATATTTAAATCATATACTTTGTGTAGACAGTATTCATATATGCTATAGCAAACAATTATTATATGTACTTACAATGTATCTACAAAAGTATTGCCTTACGATTAAAAAACTTTGATTTATAAAATCATATTATTGGACCATGTGATATTCTAGAGAATCCTAATTTTCTACCTTTGTATCCTGATACTATTTATGAACTGCCAGAACCCAAAGATTTCTAATTCTGATTGTAACAATGTAAAGATTTAAAATCTAAGTTTCTAAAAATTTATTTACTAAAAGTAGGAATTTAAGAATTAAGAAACTTAGAGATTACAATGAATATATTTAAGAAAAAGAATAGAAAAAAATAATTTTACATACTCTATATTTTCTGATGCATATTATTTCAGTATCAGTCCAAGAATTTGAGCAGAAGAAATATATAAGACGAAAAATGGAAGAAACAGAATATATAGCATTGATCGAATGGCATTGTTGCCAGCATTACTACAATGGGATGTTAGCGCAAGCGAAACAAGCTCGTGATGCTTATCCGAGCAGCGAGCGTTTGAAGCTTCTGCTTTGCTTGGCATATGCTCTCGTTGGTAAGACCCACGAAGCCATCAAGGAGAGCTCGAGTTTATTAAACTATGCAGACTTCATATTAGCGACTCTCCATGTGCAGAATACTGCCTATGCGGCCGATGGAAGCACCGAAAGGAGCACTGTGGCTCAGGTGGAAAACAGGATCCGGGAGGAGCGCAGGAAAGCTTCCTGCAACTCACTGTGTCTTGCAGCATCTGTATTATTTCTCTCTCGTCGAGTAGACAAGGCGAAAGAATACATCGACAGAGCATACAAGTTGAAACCGACGAACATGAATGTGCTACTCATCAAAGGATGGGTGGAGGCAAGTTTGAGTTATAGTACAGACAATCGAGAGGCAGAACGCTTTTTCGACTCGGTCCTGAAGGAGGAATTTAAGAACCTGAGCGCATCGTTAGGTCTCGCGAAAATGAAGCAACGTACTAATGATCATTCAGAAGCTATTTCGATAGTCAACTCTCTTATCGTGCGCTACCCCAAGTCAGCTCTACCGCTCGTGGAGAAGATGAAGTGCCTCTTGACCATGAAAGACTGGGAGCAGGTGCTGGAAATGACGAACAGAATATTGTCCGTGGAATCCAACAACTTAGATGCCATGAAGGCAAGTACTGTGGTAGCTCTCTGCAGAGACGGCAACACCAGCGAAGGTGCAAGACAGTTACAACTGTTCCTACGTCACTTGTTACTCGCCGAGCCGAAGAACGTGTTCCTGCTAATCGAGAACCTGCAACTGTTCTCAGGAATCGCATTACAGGATCACGGGATACTCTCGGAACTGACGCGAGCGGCCGAGAAGACGTTGCAAGTGTTAACATCGAACAACGTAGAATTAATGGCGGCACTCGGTGATCTCTACGCTGCTCTAGGCAATGCCAAGGATGCCGAGCACTGGTATAGAAGCACTATACGTGCGGACGAGTCATCTTTTGCAGCTCTCATGGGTCTGGCTCACTGCCAACTACTGGAAGGCTCGGCGGATGCTTTGGACTTGGCGCGTCAGCAGGTGGATTTCCTCATAGAGATACAGTCGCACGCCGTAAACGTGCGACTGCTACTCATGTCGGCGAAGATAGCGTCCGGCGTAGATGGCAGTAAGGCACTCGGCTATCTGGATGCAGCCGCCAATATCTTACTAAAGAATTGCGAAGGTCGTCCCTATGGCTACGAGTACTTGAGAGAACTCAAGCCGAATTTGTGCCTCGAGATCACGAAGCAACGTCTCATGTATTCTTTAAACAAATCTCTGATGAATGACGAAGTGGCCGTTGTCACGGAGAAGGAGCCGAGCGTCCGCTTATTGGAGTTACTTGTAGAGGCTTGTCCAGGTTCCAGCGTCGCGCTTTTGCTACTTAGCAAGGCCAAGATGCAAAGCGCGGACTACGAAGGTGCATTGAGCCTGCTGAGGAGATTGCTGGACACGGTAGAGCCATCCAATGCTCAAGCGCATCTCACGATGGCGCAAATTCTGGCGTATCAGGGCAAGTATCAGCTAGCATCGCAAAGTCTCGAAGTCGGTTTAAGCTACAACTTCAAGATCAGGGAGGAACCGGTCTATCATCTGATTACTGGAATGGTGCAACGGGAGGCTGGTGACCTAGATAGTTGCGTGAAGAGCTGTCAAATGGCCATATCATTGGCCGGCTTGAGCGGTAACAGAAAGTCCGATATGTCCACGTCGGACCGAGCAACGTTATATCTAGAATTAATCGCAGCGTACGGTAAAGCAAAGCGGTTCGCCGAAGCGTTGGCTCTTGTCGACGAGGCGAGGACGAATCTCGCCGGCACTAGTGAGCAAGGAAGAATCACGATCGGCACTGCAGAGGTATATTTGGACATGGGCGAGTTGGAGAACGCTGTTAGCTGCTTGCAAAATATCAATCCAGGACAGCCATATTATTTACAGGCGCATACCAGATTGGCCGAGATCAATTTGAATTACAAAAAAGACCGTCAAGCATTCGCAAAGTGCTTTAGGTACAAACGAATCGACCTCTGTTGTGTTACAATTAGGCGAGATAGATTTTAGCACATTATCATTAACGTTCATGTTTGTTCTACAGAGAATTGGTGGAACATCGCCCCGGCCCGAAAACATACAGTATGCTAGGTAACGCCTATATGTCTATACAAGAACCTGAAAGAGCGATAGAGGCGTACGAACAAGCTCTCTCTCAAAATCCAATCGACAAAGCGGACATTGCGAATAAAATGGGTAAGGCGCTCATCAAGGCACATCAATATGCGAAAGCAATCAATTACTACAAGGATATAGTGAAACAGGACAATTGTGGCGCTCTGAAATTAGATTTAGCAAACTTATACATGAAGATGAAGCAGTACGATAAAGCAGAAGCGACGTTGGTGCAAGAACTGCAAGGTAATCTTGCGCACAATAGAACATTAAAACATAATTATAAATCTTGCTTCAAACAATTAAGATCAATCAGCTATGTTTAGCTGACTATTATATCATGAATTAATTCCAGAAAAATGTAATCAAAATAACGTTTATAAATTGTATTATAATCTTATCTTCTTTTATTTAGACAAACGAGGGGAGATGGACATTCTGAGCCTGGAGATGCGAGGACAAGAGCTATTATTACTGGCCAAAGTGCGCGAGAAATCGGGCAACGTTAGAGGTGCGTTAGCAACATTAAAGGAAGCTAAGGAAAACCAACATAGATACATCCAACGTCTCGCTGTCTCGCCAGATATTGTAGATCAGAGACACGTATTGGCGAACATCTGTCTCACAATGGCCGACTACGCGACAACTTTGCGCAATTACGACGAAGCTATCATATATTATAAAGAAGCCTTATCTCACAAGTCTACGGATGTGAACGCTCTCCTTTCTCTGGCGAAGCTCTATATGCAGGTAAACATGTCATGTTTAAGTTTCAACATTTTAGTGTTTTACCTATAAATTATATTCTAATAGAAATATTAACCGAAAAGTATCGTGTTCAGTTATCAAATTGTACGTTTTTTATAATTAATTTTAAGAACTACACATAGAAAATTTTTTAGATAACTTATTATTGATAAATTTACTAGATAAATGCGTCTTTTGGTTTCTTTATTGAGATGAGTAAATTAAGTAATCATAATAATAATAGAAAATTTTTTAGATAACTTATTATTGATAAATTTACTAGATAAATGCGTCTTTTGGTTTCTTTATTGAGATGAGTAAATTAAGTAATCATAATAATAATAGAAGTAATAATTAATAAATAATAGAAATGTTAATAATGGATTTGTTCGTTAGATGAACAATTTAGACCGATGTGCACAGAACTGCTCGATTTTACTGAACGCCGAACCTAATAACGAGGCCGCGTCCGTGATGATGGCTGATCTCGCATTTAGGAAAGTGGACTTCGACACTGCAGCGTTTCACTTCCGACAGTTGCTGATACGCCAACCAACATACTGGACCGCTTTGGCAAGATTGATAGAAGTGTCACGCAGAACAGGTTTCAAATTTTCCTGGTTCTAAATTTTTATTTTTACTTCTCTTTCTCGAAGTATCATCGTAAAACTAAGTTGACCTTACTTACTTTACCTTAGGCACTATGGATGATCTGGACGAATGGTTGCAACGCGCGCAGACTGCGATGGGCGCTGGGAATGTCGAGGCTGGCTTCTACTACTGTGCTGGATTGTTAAATTGGCGAACGGGTAAGCTGAATTCTGCTCTACGAAACTTCAACTTCGCGCGACGCGATCCAGAATGGGGACAGCAGGCGATCTATAACATGATCGAGATCTGCCTGGATCCCGACGACGACACCACGCTGTCGAATGAGGCATTCAATGACGAGGACGCAGAGTATCAGGACTCAAGGACGATGGCTTTGAGGACGGCTTATCGATTACTTCAGGTATCGTATGAAATTCTCCATTCAAGTCTTCCATTATTATTTATATTAGAAATGAGTAATTGTTATTACTTATAGTTGTTATTCATAATAATAGTTTTCGAACATGATAATGACCTGAATGTGAATGTATACTTGAAATACGTTATTGCAGGAATTGAATCCTAAAGGAAGTCCGCACGAGGTGCTGACTCACAAACTCCTCAGCAATTTCTTCCTGTTAGCCACGAAGCAGAAGTCTAATATTGAAAAGGCTCTACAGGATTGCACCGCATTGGCCAGTCAGGACGCCCTCCGGGATCATGTAGGACCCGCTCTTGGCATGGCGACCGCTCACATCTTATTAAAGCAAACTCCACGTGCCAGGAATCACCTAAAGCGTGTTAGCAAGAACGTCTGGACATTCGAGGACGCCGAGTACTTGGAACGTTGCTGGTTGTTATTAGCGGATATCTATGTGCAATCCAGCAAGTACGACTTGGCAAATGAACTGTTGAAACGTGTGTTGCAGCATAACGCCACATGCGTGCGAGCTTATGAGCTGTCAGGTAAAAGACAAAATGAAGTTATTGAGTTACATTCTGATTATAACAACTATAAATTATAAATTATATTAAAATTTCTATTTACATTATATATATTTGATATGAAGAATTATTATTATCATCGTTGATAATTATTTTATTTATTATTATGCAATACTAAAAAATTGTAAATGAAGAGTATGGATCCCACTGATTATTATTGTTTATTTAATAACCTAGATTGTTGGAATCCTTAGAGATCTGTAAATTATATTTATAATATACATTCATGATTTAACTGTATATTTACTTTTAGGCTACATCGCTGAAAAAGATCAGAATTATCGCGAAGCCGCTACGAGATACGCTCAAGCCTGGAAATGCGGCGGAAAAACGAAGCTCTCTGTCGGCTACAAACTAGCTTACTGTTACTTAAAAGCAAAAACATACGCTGACGCTATTGAAGCTTGTAACGTGGTGTTAAAGCAGAGCACAGATTACCCGAGGATCAGGAAAGACATTCTGGAGAAGTGTATCAATAATCTCCGCACATGAAGTTTGAATTAATTCTGTTTGAACTTGTGTATTAGTCGATCATTTGAACTGTTGTATCATACATTGAATGTGCCCGTTTCTTTTTTTCGTTCCTCATTGAAGATCTAACGGACTAAATCATACATACAGTATAATACAATATCGTAATCTAGCGCTTGGTAGAGAACACGCGTGAGAAATATAGTAAATGCACGAAATGAAATAAATATAGTGAAATATATGAAATCGCCTAACGCGTAGTTAAGTGATTTAAAATTATAAAGATACAAAAGAATAATACAATTCTCGATTAACGGCTGTTTATTGAACTGTTAATCAACAGTTGTTTTGTGATGATCGGTTTAGCGTATGCCTACCGTCCTATGCAGGATCCACGCAGCTGAAGTGAATATCCAGAGTCGAAACGCAATTCACAAATCCAGATACATGATCTGCGTGGCCGACGCCGCGCCGCACATCGCCAAAACACTGGCTATGTACACCACTGCCACAGTACTTCCACACAGACTGACAATCGTGCCTAGGCAGCAAGACAGCAGGAATTGCGCAAGGAAGACCATAGAAGAGACAATAGCGATGTCGGTGCCTAATCCGCGCACGAAACCACCAGTTATCGCGTCCCCCGTTGCCGCGAGAGCGAATGTCGAGGACGCGTGATAATGTGCTACTAATAAATAGGGCATAGTGAACAGCGTGGAGTACATGACACCGGCGGTCCATGAGAAGATGATGACGCCGGCTGGATGTTTCGTCAGAGCCATTAGCAGCATGCCAGCACTGTAGAAGAGCAGGCCGTAGATATAAACCTGTATACATATAAAGAAAGATATTATTCGGTGCAGCCATCACTAAAAAGAAATTAATTATTTATCATATATTAATATACATTACATTATACAACAGGATTATCTTGTAGAATCAAGTACAAGGATGAAAACAGTAAGTAATTGTAAGTAACAAGTAATTATGTAAAATCATCAAAGATTTTTTTTGACAATGCTGTTGATACTCTGGTCTTGTTAGCAGATTTGTTATTCAGATTTTTATTCAACAGAAACCCTTACTTTACGCGCACGGAAACGTTGAATCAGTCGTTCAATGATCAGGGAATAACACGAGCAAGACAACGAGTACATGGACATCCCCCAACAACCAAAACGCACGCCCTCCTCGTAGAGTTTCCGTTCAAGGGTGTTCGCGGATGCTCGTGGATTTCCACCGAACACTGCCTCGCCTACAAAGTCCGTGAAGTACAAAGAGTAGCACACGTGTGCCATCCAGCAGAACAGGTTGGTTAAACACACCTGCCAATTCAACTCGCATTAAATAACTTGAATGTTTTCTAAAATTATGTAACAATATTTTCTAAGTACTGGTCGAGTACCTGACGAAGGCTGCGCGGCATGTAAACGATGGACAGCAGGTACTCTCTCAAAGTTGCCTTCGGGTTCACTTCTGTGATTCCAGCACGTGATTGCGAATCATCGAAGCCGTAGTTCACGTGGCCATCGGAGGCTTGTTCTTCGGGATGTACGGAAGTTTGCAGCGGATTGAGAACGAATTCCTTAATTGATAATTCATACTAGTTTTTAGCAATAATTTATTTAAAACTGTATTCTTCGTATATATTACTGCATAGCAATATTATCTATTAGTCTCCATTCCAATTAAAATTTTTTTTATAATTAAACTTCTTTTTATAATTAAACGATTTGGACCTTTATCATCAAATTATATATTTTGACTCATTAGCTGAGAATAGTATTGTATAAAATTATTGTAAACGCGTTCTCAAACTTACCTCCTTCGAGGAATCAATTTCTTGTTCATCATAGGTTGTGTCGTTGACCGTGCCGTAAGTGTATTTCGACATACTGTCGTCGGGCATAATTTTTTCGCGTTCTTGCTCGTTTTCTAGCTTAGTTTCCTGAATCTTTTCCTAGAGACATAAAGAATCGAAAGCGAAATCAAAGTGGTTGCACAAAAGTAAGACTCACAGCAGATAAGGCAAACCCACATTTGACTCGTCCACTCGATATTGATCTTTTTCTAACACTTCCAGAGGGATTTCTTTGAAGCTCGTAATCGTGCAGAAGACACAAATGACGAAGATGATCGTGATCAGAGTAAAGGTCGCATGTAAATGGCCTCCCAGCATAACACCGAGCGAGGTAGCATCCCAATTGATACCACCCAGACCATAGCCCATGAAGCCTCCCAAGCCTGCCATTATGGTGAACGTGCTTAGACCTCTAGCGTGGTCGTCTGCGAATGTTTGAAACGTTAATACGCAATCGATAATATTTTATTTCAAGATACAGATTATATATCATACCGATTATATGCTATATCGAATGCTGTATTATATATTAAATTATCTTCGTAAATATTTACCAGGTACAGTAACATCCAGGAGATAGGCCCTTGCAGGACTCTGGCAAGCGTCGGCGTCGAAGTCAAGTAGAACCGTGCCGAGGATAGTGAAGAAGATAGCCCAGGAGTGCGAAGAAGCCCTGCTGATCATATCAGGTGCCTCCTCTGATAACAGCTTCGCCGTGGTACGATGCCCAAGAGGAATCGTTTCGTTCGTGTCGGATGGTGTGTCGCCGAATGCATAGCCGATATGTTCACCGTTGGGTATTAGTATGAGACCTGTGACGAACACGAGAGCAGCGAAAATCAGAACCAAGGTAAACACCAAAACGTCATAAGACAATGTGACTAAGGTTGAAGAAAATTTCTGGCTAAATTTTACTATATGTTATTTAACAGATACTACGAAGCTTCTTTTGTCGCCTCAATAGGTCTGTTACTCAAAGGTATCTCGTACTTGCCTATGAAAACGCCCAAAGCTAACAGGAGAATGAAGGGTCGTCGTCTGCCGTATTTCATTCTACACCGATCGCTCATGCTACCGAGGATGGGTGTCACGAAGAAGCCCACGAGAGGACTCAGTGCCCATACTAGCGTCATGTGCTGATGATCGACACCAATCTTCAGCAGCGTCGGCGAAACGAAGGCAGTCTCCGCTGCATACGAGAACTCGATTCCCATCACGGCGGCCGACACGCGGATCAGCTCGGCGCGGGTTTTCCTCCTGAGATTATGGGATTCGCGAACAGACAACGGCAGATCATAGAGTGTTTCGAGAATGAAATGAACTATCGTATCACGTTACGTGAATTATATATATATTTTCTTAATCGAAAATGAAGAGAAATAAATCAAAATTGAAGTGAGTTAAGTGAGATAAAAATAAAATGATACTATATTGTATTACGACGATTAAAGTATATAGAAGAGTATTGATTGAAGTAACTGATTGAGACGTGAGTAAGAATCGTTTGACTCGATTGATTTCCTTGATCTTTTGTTACATTCTATTTTTATTCTTTGAAATTGAAATACCGACTTGCCGTTTATTTCTACGCTGTTTCGAATTATATTACAACTTCTATTACTTTTCTATGGTAATAATAGTGTAACACACTTTCTAATTTTCACTCGTATATCCAATAGATCGAAACTTTCACCTGTAAATGTGACAATAATCTTCCAACGTGCGCTCCAATTTGGGTGGCCCTCGCAGTTGATGCCTCAATCCGTCCAGGCCTTGATCCAAATTCAGACCTGACTTCCACTCCTTCCAGCTGTTCCATCTTTCCTTGATGATGTCACGAACACCGTGAAATCTACCCGCGAACCCTTCGTACTCGTGCAACTTGTCCACCATGATTGGACTTTTATCTCGTACGATACGGGGTAAACGATATCACGGTCAACCACTTGAATTCGTTGGAATACATTATTGTTTAGAAAGGTAACATCGAGTCGCAAATTTTATTTTTTTCTTTTATAAACAATAAATACAAAGTTTAAGGAAATATTGGCAATCAAAATTACGTTGGTATCGATCAAAGGTAATCACAATACATTACTCATATTATGTTTTAATTATTATTTTTATGAAATTAAATTTCTCTCAAAACGCGAATTTTATCAAGCTTTTACCCGAGAGTTAGAGAGCGCGAGATTTATTTATTTAATTGACTTATTTTACAGAGATGATAGTACAACACAAAGAACTCTCGATCTGGATAATTGATCCTTAGTTGAAATTTGGCGGGAGTATGACGAATCGTTCATGAATCGACTAGATCACATGTGCGACTTGTGCGAATAACTCGTCCGTGAAAGCACGGTCGCGGACGAGCGACGACTGATCGCCAAGTCACTGCAAGCTCGCTGTGAAAATACGAAAGCTCGAGGAATGTCCGCGCAATCTCGGACAAGCCGTTGCGAGGACAGCTCGTGTCGTTCTTGACTCGATGAAATGAGCTTTCCGTGTAGCGAACCGGGAGAACTCATTGTTCCTGATATCTCCTAATTAATACCGGAATTACACGAGCGTTCTCACTATCAGGTCCGTTGTCGAGAATGTAGATCATTATCTTTAAGAGACACAATTTGTTATTTATGCAATATGAAAATAGTTTTGTAGAATTTATCCGTTTGGAAAGAAGAGAAAAAGAGGTGCGTTTCGTAAATATTATTGAAGAACGCCAAGAGCGTCGAGAGAGAAGTGATCTTTTAATTGCGAGAGGGAGACCGTTCGATATCGTGGCCGTCACCGAGGTGATCATTTTCTCTTTCCCAGTAATCCCAGAAGATTTGTTGGGCTTTGCTATTGCCTTTCCCTCCGTGGTGCTTGGAGGTTTACACGAGGTCCAATAAGGAGGAAACATTTCTCTCTCGGCAATCCGATTACTGCGTATAACAGTAAATACATCTGAAATCAAGTAAATACGAGCATTTATTCGTCCTACTCTGTTTCTGTATATTATTCTTCTTTTACTTCTAAATTAAAGAGAATATGATGAAAGAAAAAAACGTATAAAGAAATAAATGAATTTTATAGGAACTGCGGAGATCGATCGATACAGTTTATCACCTTAATACGCAGCTACGAGCAAGGCCATTCACGCAACGAAAGCTCCACCGCTCTTTGTAGGTCTTCGTGGCCGCTGACGTTCGCCTGATGTTCGATGTTTGAAGCGGAAGCGAAGACGAAGATGCATCAAGACAAAAAGACAGAATGTGTCTACCTCTGGATTTCTCTTAACACTTTGAACATCAGCCGAAAGATTAAATCGAAGCCTGGAATCAGTCAATGTCTCTTTTACGATTTCTCGAATATTGAGACGTATGTCTCCGAGAATGGTACGACTTAATAAGATTTTCCCGCTTATGTAACTTTAAATTCTTCTTTAAAATTCTTAGCATACATACAAAACATCTGGAAAATGTTTTGTGTCCTTAGAAGAAACGCACATCGCGAATCGATGCAACAAGACGCGAGTCCATTTCTTCGCTGAACAGAGGAAGGAGAGAAGAGAAAGAAAAAAAGAGAAAGAGAGAGAGAGAGAGAGAGAGAGAAACTGATTGAAAATCTTCTTCGCTTCAGAAAGAGCGCGGATGAGTGCAGGATACAATTTCCTCGCAGGAAATTACGTCTACGAGTTGACGTCAGAAGAGCGCTTCGTTAATACGCCGCTGTCCTCTACGCTTTTAAAATGCACGCAGGATCGATATTCATTGTCACCGTATCGATGTCGTCTGTGGTGTTTAAGGTCCGAGGTAACATACCACCGATATGTAACGGAGTTATCAATAAAGAAAAAGTATTCTGACAGAATCTCGACAGGCAGCAGGAATTCACGGTCAACGTCGAGGTTCCTAGAGTTTTCGCGAGATGCAAGACCAAAATTTCAACTCCGAAGTTACCACCGAGACATTGATAAGACGGACAAGTGAACATGCGACGTATGCATGCAGATGATATACGTCTGCGTCTGTTGTGTCGATTTGGCTGGCGACGTTGCAATTAATAGTTTTCGCTCGTACCTTACTTGTTCTAATTAAGGCATCACGATATCCCGGGACACATCCCGGTATCAGCCAATACTTCTCGCAGGGTCGGCGCGAGAAAATGAATCTGATATCTCCTGGACTAAGTCTGTATCTGCATTAGAGGATCCTTATCTTCATTAATTGCATCGATGTAAAAGATTCGTCATTCTTCTATTATGTTTTAATTAAAAGAGGATTGACAAACCTTCCTTTTCTTCTTCTTCTGTTTCTTCTTCTTCTTCTTCTTTATTGAAAAGAAGTTTGTCAATTTTCTTTTCGGGGAACTTCAACCAGTAACTTCATGTAAAGATTACCACAACAACAAGTCTCAGTTTTACACTATCCCGACGTATACAAAAATACAATTCTTGGTTTATGCGCCTTGCTAATGGCACGAAAAAAACTATCGTCGACCCTGCACATTTCCTTGTCATTGGTCCATATTCGTCTAAATATCGCACTCATACCTAAAGCAGTTAAGGTCGCGGCCACTGAAAGTGCTGAATGGTAGGACCGCATCCGGAAAAGTTGATGAAGAACCTGGCCGCGGGGAGTCTTCCGTGATATTTCTAAGTCAACGTTTCTCGTGTGTATCTGTGTTCAGCATAATTTTTCCCAGGTAAATTACATGCATGCTTGTTTACATGATAATCCATGTGTAGCAATATCGAATAAGAGGTATTTATCAATTTCAATTGTAAATTCGAGGGTGAAAAGTCGCTCAAGTTCTTTTCAGTTAACAACAGACTACACCAGGAAATATTTTTCATATAACTTTTATATTCATGTATATTATCTCTTCATATGAGATAAAAAAGCCATTGAATAATTTCAGAACATATTTGTCGAAAAAAATATATATTTTTATTCTCGGCTAGGCGAGGAATGTGGGAGATACGTAAAAAAACACACGCGATGTTAAAGGACCAGTCGAAACGATAATGCGGAGCCAATTCACATGGGCGTTATCGATCGGATTCAGAGAAACTAATCTTTCACGGTGTTAACGAACAGGTAATTCCTTTTTTCTCACTCAGCAAACAAATCTTGGCGAGTCGGGCAGCTGTAATTACTTTGTGTTGATCGGTGATTGATTGTATCAGTGTGCGATCAATTGGGTCAATACCCGAATGAAAAGAGATTACGACAACGTTATCAAACATAGCCGTAAACGATGAAATTTAGACAGATTGCTGGCTCCGAATGATTGGATCATAATCGCGGTATGCGCCCATATTTATTTTTAATCTTTGTACTTGCGACCGAAGGTCGCGCGCGCGTGTCTATCATCGTTGAACCATTGATTGTTTTTTTTTTCCGATAGAGGTAAAGTACCTCGGTGTGAAGATCTCGGGTTGAAGACACTGTAATTCGGTAACTGACACGAAGATGTAAATGAGGAACGCGCAACATCGAGGATACGCGTCTGAATTTCAGTTTAATCACTGCAAAGATAATTGGCAGTTTCATGTGGCAAGAATCACGAAACGAACGACGTGTCGGAAAAAATCAAATTCGACTGAATAATAAGAAAATACGCATGGCGAGGTTTCGGTTTAAAATGCGAATTTTGCTCCGATTAGATTTATCTGTTAGACTCGTTTCTTGCTAATCGCTTGTCCAATCGGGTATTTATTTATATAAATATATCTTTTCCGATCGGTTATAAGACTGTTATCGATAATATAAATAAGTTGCGTATTGAGCCAATCCCGTCACGATTGCTCGATGTCGCATCGCAGGGAACGCGGAACTTACAATTATTTGTGTCCGTACGCGAGATGACAGATCGCTGTTTTCGAACGTTTTCTTATCATGTCTTATCGCGGAAAATACCGAGAATTCAAAACACAATTCAATTGTATAGGTAGGGAAGCTGGTAAGTAGGCTGCTTCTGACACGCTTTCCTATTGGCCGCCGATGATTGTCAGATAATACTCTGGTAAACGTTTTATATTTACCAAGGGAAGTGCACAAACAGTCTGTAAGAAGCGAAAGAAGATGACATGTCTCACGTGCCTTGGTCTTAATTCGTCGAGATTTCTCGACAATACAATTACGTAGTAAAGTATTTCGAATTTTTACGAGTAAATTACAGGAGAGTCGAATGTTCATCGCATGTCCTTTGTAATCATTTTACTAATTTTAAATTTCTTTCTCTTCGAAGATAGGAATATTGAAGTCCTTCTAGTTTTGGTTAATAGTTAATATTTGAAAATAGAGGAAATTATTTTCTTGGGTCATTTTCCCATGAAATTTGATAGGATCTCTACTATGGAACCGTCTCCAAATTTTAGACCAAAAGAAATTTTAATAAATGGATATTCAATAATCTTGGGATAAACTATTTTTATGTATAATCTTTTGCTATCTCTAACATTGCTAGGAATGTTTTGGATCTTTCATATACTTCCCGATACGACATATTTTTAATTACGCAATTACTCACTGCCGCTTTTTCTCGTGATTTCATTGATTTCTCATGTCGCAACATTAGATTCGACATGCCTTCGATATCGTAAATCTTCGATGCCGACGTGCTTTGATGAGTATTAGTCATCCTTCACATTACGGATCGATGGTATCTTTCACTTTTAACTATACGAAGAATTATTTCCACACAATTTCGGTCCCATTACGACATGTTGATACGTGAAGCGTTGGCGTAGTCAGTCCTTCCTTTTTCATCTTTCCTCCTTTATAATCAATTAAAATAATTAATATATATCTCCGATAATAGAGAATAATAAATTCAGGAGATGAATTGAATAAATAGAAGCGGAAGAAAGTAACTTATTACGTGATAAATTACGTTAAGAGACTCGATGCAGACTTATTAACGTAGAAATTAGATATCATGTTAATATTTTGTGATTTTGCGGTAACGTTGTACCTTATCATAGCTAAAATTCAGACACATTAATTAATGACGTAATAAAGTCGTCACACCGTGTGACATAATTCTGTGAAAATACGCTATCTCGTGAAATTGCAATGTAATAATGATGATCAAACAAGCGATTCGCCTCGCGCTGACATCCGTGTATTCGGGTCGTAAATAATGAGCTTGATGGCCTGCATCGAGTAATCGTTTCGCAACAGACATACATTCGTCACATGTACCACAGATCGTTATCGAGGGTTGATAACGAGATTTTGGTCGAAGAAGAGAGAAGTAGTAAAATATATGTAAGAGAAAAAAAGAGTCAACAAAACAATTAATTACCAATTAAATTATGATTAAGCTTCCTCTTCTTGTTTATCACTTTCGAAAATATACTGAAGCTTTCTACAAACATGTTTGACCCTACTTTTTAGAAGGATCATATCTTATCGTGGCTCAACCTCGGACAGACTACCGGAAGCCACCGGTATGTCAAGGTGTGCAATCATGGCCTCTGATCATTCGCTCAATCGCGATCGCGCGAATAACAGCTACCTCCCGATTGCGAGTCAAGTCGCTCTGTCGCTTTTACAGAAGCATCCACGAAGAATCGCACGATTGTGCCCTTCGCGTCGGTTCGTCGCTCACAAATCGACATTTCTTCGGCAGCAATCAAGCAGGGTTGGAATTCACGGCAGCGACGCCGACAGGATACCACCGGGTGTTCACCAATGAATGCAGGGCGTCACCCTCAGGCACAATACCGTGGCACCAACAGCACCAGGAAACGACACTGCGGCGGCACGTCAAAGGAGAATTTCCGTCGCGCGAACACCTCCAGGACGTCCAGCGACTTGAGCGGCAGCCATGGGTAAGTTTTGTTTAAACAGTTTGCATCTACGTCTGGAATAATTAAGAAACAATTTTATAATCATAATATTATAAGATTTTTCGCAGTTTTAATCGAACAAGAATTTAAGCAATGTTATTATACAATGTACTTAATTGAAAAAAAAGAAAAATATAAATAGATAGATAAAAAAAGAGAGAACTATATTCACATCTTCTTTTTTTCTACAGGACTCGACTTCCTGGCAGACGGAGGTGCCGACTTCGAGCATGCAATCACCGTAACAGGTAAGTATTCTACAAAGAAATTACAGCCTATTACATCTATAACAAGCTCAATATTTAAGTGTCAATTAAATTTAAAATTGATCCAAGATTTCTCAAGATATTGCCTATAATTTGAAGATACTTTGTAATACTTTTTGTGTCGCGATATGTGCTGAGCTCTTTATATATATATATATATATATATATATATATATATTTGAATATATTAGGAATTAAATTACTCACGATGATTCTCGTGTTCCAATATCAATCGCGTGAATGATCTCTATGATTAGGTTTTGGAAAATTTCACTATATGTTATTGATGATCTGCGGACTGATCTATATGGACACAGCCATCGGCGTGACAATACTTTCATTCGTACTCCCAGCAGCACAATGCGACTTAGAGATGGATTCCAGTGCGAAGGGTTGGCTAACGGCCTCTCCCATGCTAGGTAAGAGAATGCTCCCCGTCTGAAATTAATTTAGGTTCGTGTAATTTAGATTACGACATTTTCGGATAACGTTGCAGGTATGCTGATTGGATCGTATATATGGGGATGCCTGGCTGACACGAAGGGTAGGAAGATTGTATTAATAGCCACGCTTCTAATGGACGGCATTGTGGGCATCTTGTCCTCGTTTGTCCAATACTTTTGGGTGTTCCTTCTCTTCCGGTTTTTCAACGGCTTCGCGTAAGTGAACCTCGACATATGCGAGGTATCCTATAACTCTCAACCTTAATTTATATGATGAAATCTTCGATCAACGTGGAGTCGATTTTTCCTGAAAAAAATTTTAATGTCACCTGTGCAATCTCTCACACACACGCATACATATGTCTCAATTAAAAATTCTATTTAAACAAAATTCGAAATTGGCTGAAGAATATGATTTATTGGTTTTCCTAAAATCTCACTTTATAGAAAAGCTTACCTTTTTTACTTCATAAGCGTCTTAGAAATTCCGAAAAGTCGATTTCATATTTATTAAAGGTAGAAATCCGTTGTTAAAATTAACATAACTCACACCTACGTGTATAGAACTTGCCGTAACAAAGTTAAATTTAAATAAAGATAAGTTATAAGCAAAGTTTAAATTGATAGTTTGATCGTTATATAGTGTGACTGGCGCCATGGGTATTTGCTTTCCATATCTCGGCGAGTTTCAACCCACGAAATATCGCGAACGCTGTCTTTGTTGGATGGAAATGTTCTGGACGGTCGGTGTAATAGTCTTGCCATGTAAGTTACCATTACTCCTTTACAGTTTGTCTTGCAACATTCGAGATTCAGACGTCAAGAGATTCGAAATCAAAATTGAATCATTTTCAGTGATCGCCTGGTTGATTATACCGCTGAATTTCACGTATGTGAGCAACATGTTTTATTTCAAGACATGGAATCTTTTCGTGGCGCTCTGCGCCTTGCCGTCGCTTATGCTCGGTCTCTGGCTTTTCGCCTTTCCGGAAAGTCCGAAATTTCTGCTGGAATGCGGCGAGACCGAGGCCGCTCTTGAAGTGTTCAAATGGATCTACTCACAAAACACTGGCGCTGATCCTGATACATATCCGGTAAAAACTTTCTATCGTCCAAGTCATCTGAATCTATGTCGTTGTGAGGGATAGAATTTTTTTCTTTCTTCATTTTTCCTCACGCTGCTTTCTTCTTCTTCAGGTGAAATGTCTACAAGAAAAGACAAAAGATAAGAGTACCAGGTCGTTAAAATTGCACAAACGGAAAGATCTGAAGGTTCTCTTCACAGAAATACGAGAACTAACGAGCGCGCTCTGTAAGCCACCCTATTTGCGTAATACATTGCTCGCCTGTGCCATTCAATTCGGACTCACCAGCAGTTATTACACTTTGATGGTCTGGTTTCCGGAATTGTTCACCAGGTAATTTCTACTTTCTTACTTTTATGATAGTCTTTACAATGATATTTAAGCTGTGATAGTTTATAATGTCTGTCACGTTGATTCTTTCGAGTCCTCCTAAACTCTACTTTGTGATTTCGATAGGTTCGAAGAGTTTGAGCATATGAATCCAGGTGAGACCACATCGGTATGTATCGTCTCTGCTCTGCCAGATAACGCCACTCTCGTGGACCCTTACGGATGTGATATGACAATCGCACCGTCCGTTTACTTGCACACCGTATACATTGGGCTCGCATGTATCCCGGGTTCCGTCATTCTACCTCTTTTCGTGCACAAATTGGGAGCCAAATTCTTCTTAAGTAAGTAATGAAGTTCGGTGAACGTAGAAGAAACGTAGAGCGTAAAGATATGTTCTTCGATAATTTTGTAACATACAATTTGTATTCTTTCCAAAATAATATATTTGTATAAGAATAATAGACAATAATATAATTAATAGATTAAAAAAGAATGCAATGGTAATTACAGTCGTGTCGCTGGTGGTTTCCGGAGCAGTGACGGTGGGTTTTTACTATGTAGTAAACTCAATGCAGAATTTATGGCTTTCGTGCGTATTCGAAGCGCTCACGTCCCTCGGGATCTCTCTAGTTTATTGCGTGATCGTCGACATGTTCCCGACGAATCTCAGGTAAGCGAATTGCGAATCGAACTTCTCACATCCAATTCGAAATTCATCATGCATCAGTCCTTCCTAGTCCTATTATTGCAATTTCGTATCAAAGAATGTTGCAATTATTTAAATTGCTGGACATTAACAATATAAATCAACAATATAAATCTTATGTTCTTCTCATTTCAGAGTGATGGCCGCGGCTTTATCATTGACGATGGGCCGACTAGGAGCTTTGGTTGGCAACTTGGTGTTCGGTTATCTGATCGATTTAGCCTGCGTAATTCCTATTGTATTATTCGCTACGTTTTTGTTTGGTAAAATTTCACCTATATATATAAAATTAATTTTGATATTAGCCTATTCATTTTAACTCGTTAAAAATCATGAATGTGATAACACAAAATTTTAGTTGGATCATTATTACCATTTTTCAAATATTTTCAAGTAATATTCCAATAATTAATTAAACAAAAATTTAAGATCATTGTGTTTATATGATAAAATTTTGAAATTCTGAAAATGAGCTGGTAATGGGTTAAAAGACAAGGCGAGCTATTTTATTATTCATAAATAAATGATCGTTTATGAATGAGTAACAAAATTCATTTTCAGCATGTGGCTTCATGTCGTTTCTGTTACCAAGAACTGGGAAAGAAACATTGGAATAAAATTGAAGGGAGGAAGAGGTTGTTCTGTTTCTGTTCATTCAAGCAACTCGAGAAATTTGCACCTGGATCACTCATCGTTATATTTATTAATAAACTTATTTGTAAAAATTGTGCGAGACCATTTACGTTTTATCCCTGATGATAAACCTCTGATTTATCCCTAACGGACGTTTAATTAACTTAGCAAAAAGTTTATAATTAACAGATTATTACATCATTAGATAACGAGAAAGAAACAGAAGGGGGGAGGGGGGGAGAGAGAGAGAGAGAGAGAGAGAGAGAGAGAGAGAGAGAGAGAGAGAGAGAGAGAGAGAGAGAGAGAGAGAGAGAGAGAGAGAGAGAGAGAGAGAGAGAGAAAGTAATGAGGTAGAGTCGATTCTGCCAACATCAAAATTAATATTCATTGTGGTCACAACATCGTCATATCATTATAGGTGACATCATCACCTATGCTACCATAGGTCGGCATTATCATATGAATGGAAATCTAAAGAAAAAAGATAACCATGATCTAGTTAAAACTCTATACTACAATTATAATCTTGAATTTTAAATGGGAGTTAATTAACTAACTGCGCATAGGAAGCAAAAAAGATATCGTTTTATCTTGTAACCTTGACATCGCTTGAACAGCATTCATTGTACATGGTTATAATTAGTAATTACGTGATGTTTTTCACAGATATATTACGTTACATTGATTGTCAAAGAAACGCTGCTATGACGCCTCTTCCGTTCTCCTTTTTCGCTTCCGAAAGAGTGCACAAAGTTCATCAGTTTTAGACACCATATTTGCTATGTTTGCGACCATGTTTGCCACGTTTGCGAACATGTTTGCGCACAGGAATTGGCAACATTAATTTGAACCGATACCAAAAATCGTCAAGGAACCAGGATCGTCCATCATCGAAGGAAATAGCGACTGTTGGTCAGTTCAGAAGGTCAGTCAGTGTTTTGGTGATAGAGGTGTCAACGTGCCTAGGATCGATGATACTCTGTGAGGATGACGTAACCTGATGAAAAAAGACGCGGATGATCCCCGCGCTAGTGAACCGTCGAGCTCGAGCAACCTATTTTCAGGTTATGTTTGTTATGATGTCAGATCACTGCAAGCACATCGCAGCCGCCGCCCGTTGTTGAGAACTCCTCAGACTCTGTAAATCAGTTTATCTGTCAATTATATTTTTAGTATATTATTGTGCAACTGTTAGAGCATAGTAATATATAGTAACTAATACATTGCTTAATGCATTATATTTATATAGTTTGCATTCTTATCTAATGCAAATTTATACTAAAAAATTATACAGACTATCTAACAAGTTGTAACATACAAACATTGGTGAAAGTTTCTGTAATAAGAATATTACATCATCTAAACAATTTCAAAAGTTGTAAATGGAAAAATCTTCTGTAGTTATTAGATTATCAGACTAAACTATTAATTTAGTAATAATCTATTAACTTATAAATCATTAAATAAATATATGTGAATGTCACAATATGATTAAATATTTAACAATATATTACTTCCATATTTAGAATTATCTTTGAATAGTAAAGAACTAATTTGAATATTTATATTATATTTTTTATATGCTTTCTTTATTTTATGAGAAATTCTTGTTTTGCTAGTTTTATATGTTTTATCATGCAATCTCTATATTTGCTTGTTTTTAAAACTCATGTATTATATTTTATCTGAAATTTTCAGTTATTGTATTATAAGTTTTTAATATCATCTATATCAATTCTATATTTATTTCAGAAGTGGGAAAAGGAACAGCATTGCATTGTGGAATCCTTGGAAGTTGATTAAAAAAAAGTAAAAGAAAAACTTTCATAATGGTTTTTGAATCAGTTGTTGCAGAGCTTCTCAATAAAGTACTTGGCGAGTACATTGAAAACTTGGATTATTCTCAACTTAAACTTAGCCTATGGGGAGGTAAAACATCGCACAAAAATTATTTTATGATTTATCTTAGTAATTATATCTAACATAAGATTTTTTTGCTTCTAGGTGATGTTGTATTAAAAGATTTGTTAATAAAAGAGTCTGCATTGGATGTGTTAGATCTTCCAGTGAGATTGGAATATGGTCGTTTAGGTATTAAAATACTACATTGTTGTAATAATCTTATTTCAGTATGTAACATATAATATTATATTTTATAGGCAAGTTGATATTGAAGATTCCATTCAAAGATATGTGGAATGGCCAGATTGATGCAATAGTTGAAGAACTGTTTGTACTCATAGTGCCTACAAGTCAAGTTGCATATAATGAAGACAAAGAAATTAAAGCACAATTAGATGCTAAACGGGCAGAGCTCGTAAGAGTGGAGAAAAGAAAACAATTGGCGGACCTAAAATGTAACTATGTTTCTTGTACAAGAATTTAAACAATAGAGGTTATTTGATCTTTATTATGTGTTTGAAATTATAATTTAATGAATTTTGCAGCACAAGAAAAATTAGATGATTCGATGGTAGAGAAGTTAATTGCTCGTATGATCAAAAATATTCATGTGGAAATCAAGAGAATTCACGTACGGTACGAGGACCATGTTACTTTCAAAAATCACCCATTCTCTGTTGGCTTCACTTTGAACACCTTCGTTTTGGAAAGTTGCACGGATTCTTGGGAGACTACTGGCAATCTAAAAGACATGTATGCCATCCCACAAATCTACAAATTATGCGGTTTGGATGGTCTAGCCGTCTACTTAAATACGAGTGTGGAGCAGTTCAGTAAAAGCTCACATTCGTCATATCCTAGTCTCTTCTGCAGTGGTATTGCCACCATGGATTACACTCCGGCCAATTATCAGTATCTCTTGGGGCCAATTAACGTGAAGTCCAAGCTCAGGCTCAATCCTAAACCTGAGTCCGATGGCAGCAACTATACCATCCCCAAAGTATGGTTGGATCTGGAGATGCAGAGGTTACGTATTGGCTTGACTAAACGCCAATATCATACTTTGGTGCGATTGGGCGAAGGTCTAGATCAGGCTCAGAAAGCCGCTCCGTACCGAAAGTACCGACCCAATCTAACGTCGTACAGGAGCCACTACAAAGAGTGGTGGCATTTTGCGTACACGTGCGTGTTGGAGGAAACCGTGCGGCGATGTCGCCGCAATTGGGACTGGAATCACATGAAAGACCACCGTGATGCTTGTCGTTCTTACGCCCAGGCCTACCAAACAAAGTTAACAACGAAGAAACTGGCAAAGAATATCGAGGAAGAGTTAACGCACTGCGAGAAAAAGCTCGACATCTTCAATTTAGTGATCATCCGGCAACAGATTGAGATGGAAGTGGAAAGATTGGCAGAGAAAGAGAAGAGCCTGCGGGCGAAGCGAGGCTGGTTCGGTTTCCTGTGGACCAGTTCGCAGGCTGAAGAGACGAAGGAACTGAACTCTGCTGCTGCCATCATGCGTAGATTTGAAGAGGCGATGACGCCTCAGGAAAAGGAGAAACTCTATCGGGCGATAGACTACCAAGAAAACAGCGCACCCGCATACTACCCTGAGACCTACGAAATGATAGACACACGTTTCTTCCTGCATGGACTGCAGATTTCGTTGTTGGACACAGATAAAGAGCATTCGTGTATTTTAGACTTGCAGTTGCATGGTGTCCGAGCAGGCTTCAAGTCGCGGCCATCAGCCAATGGCATTCTCGTCACCGCCTCTATTAGCGACATGAAGCTCTTGGGCGCGATGCAAGACGATCGCGTGCCCTCGCTTTTCATTTCCAAACACGGCAGTTCTGATAGCGCTCTGCTGTCGTTATCCTACGAGAAGAATCCTATCGACAAATTGTGCGGCGACCGCGTCATTGTCAATTCCAGGTCTGTCGACATCGTGTACGACGCTCAAACCATAATCGAGCTAGTTAACATGTTCAAGGTGCAAGACTCGTCGACGTTGACTCAGCTGCAGACAGCCGCTGCAGAGCAACTGGAGGGCTTGAAGGAGATGTCGGCACTTGGACTGGAGTATGCCATAGAGAAGCATTCTGTGCTGGATTTACAAGTGGATATGCAAGCTTCGCAACTGATCATACCTCACGGTGGCCTCTACGACGACTCGAAAGCGCTCATTGTCGTCAACCTAGGTAGTCTGAAGATGCATTCTCTGGAGAAAGGCAAGAACGACATGACTGGCGCCAGCGTGAAACAGCTGGTCAGCATGGGGAAAAGCGAGAAGGACATACTAACGCATCTGAGGGAACACAGTTACGACAAATTTGTCTTGAAGATAGTCAACTTCCAGGTGCTGGTCTCACTGCCGAACGAAGAGTGGCGAACAGCCTTGGCGAGTACCGAGAGCTCTTTGACGTTGCTACATCCGACGACGTTGGAAATCCAATTTCACAAATGTCTGGTGACGGACGACCCGTTACTGCCTAAGCTCAGACTCCTTGGGCAGCTACCATCGGTGACTGTGAACATAACGGACGTTCGCTTGTTGCAAGCGCTTTGTATAGTGCAGAGTATTCGTTTGCCCACGGAGGATAAACCCGTGGAGTTGCAACGTACTTCGCTTTCGAAATCCATTTCGCAGTTGTCCCTGAGAGAACTCACCGCTATATCTACCAATCTTGCCGACAAGAAAAAGCAAGAGACGGCCTTACCGATGAAGCAAACGACCGACCTAGAGATGAAATTCGAGATGAAGGAGTTTACACTGTCAATGTCTAGACAAAAGAACGAAACAGCTTCAGAGTTTGTCAGATTTCAGGTACTACAATTGGAGGCGGAAATGTTGCAGCGCACATATGACCAAGAAGTGTTGCTGAGACTCGGTGGCGTGCAGATGAAGCAACGACACGAAGATCACGAGATCTTCATGATCAACACTCCGATGTCGGCTGGCAGGGATGAGTACTTAATTGTCGTGCGTTATATAAATGTGAACAAACGCTCGCCTGAGTTCACTACCAGGCATGGTTCTGTTGTGAAGTTGTTGCAGCTGGAATTCACTTCACTGGACACATTGCTGCACCAGGAAGCGCTTATAGAGTTGTTGAGATTCGGCACGTATATTCAGGATCAGATGAATTCCTTATCCACGACTTCTCCGAAGAAAGATGCAGCACGCGCAACACGACCGACTCATTTAGCCTCCATCCAGGAAGAAACGTCAGGTTTCTTGAAGGAACATTTGCAAAAACAGATGCTGAGACCTACTGGTCGACGTAAAAGAAGCACAGTCGAGTATATCGACTTGAAGGTGAGTGCCAAAATTGGCTCCATCAATCTGAAGATATCCAGTTCTGCCAGAGATATAACTGCACTGTACATTGAGAGAATCAGTGCCGGCTTCCTCAGCAAATCTTCCTACTCTCAAGTAAATGTTGATTTGGCTTCCATCAGCGTCAAGGATCTTAATCCCAGTTGCGCGTACAAAGATATTATCGCAGTGGAAGGTACGGAATCTTTGCAAGTTCAAATGGTGATGTATAATATCGAGCAATGGGAAGTAGATAAGAATAACATGTCCATCAAGGTAGTCATGGGCTGCCATCGCATCGTATTCCTGAATGCTTTTGTCTCCGGCGTGATGAATTTCCTGAACAATTTCCAAGCAGCGCAAAAAGCTATCAAGGACGCGTCGGTGGCAGCGGCAGAAGCTGCGAAAACGAACATCAAGGATGTTCAAGAAAGCGCCTCTCGCATCGAACTGGCTATTAAGATCAAAGCGCCTGTTGTCTATGTGCCAATGAATTCCAAGAGCGAGCACAGCCTAATGTTAGATATGGGCAACCTTATGATATGCAATGTCTTCAAAAAGCTGGAGGTAACCAACGAAGAATCTGGCGAGTGGCCTATAGTAGATGAAATGAAAATTGAGCTACAAAACCTGAAGCTTTCACGAGTGCGATTGAATATGGAGAAATTTGTGAGCGAGAACGAGGTATTGCTGTTGGAACCGGTAACCTTTACGCTACTCATGAAGCGCAATCTGTCCACCGCCTGGTTTACATCTATCCCGGACATCGAAATGTCCGGCAGATTGAACAGGATCAACCTATTGTTGAGTAAAGAGGATTACGCCACGATCCTGAAGGTAGTGGAGCAGAATTTAAGCGAGACCTTCGAGAATGCGAAACCTGCGCAATCTGCACTACCAGCAGTCAAGTCTGAGCACAGTGGAGAGTTGGAGATCCAGCCGGCATACAGGTACGAAGCCGATGCCTCGCGAGAACCCCGGACAACGGACACACAGCAGCAGCTGCACGCACACACATCGGTTAAGTTTGAGTTCATTATGGACAGTTTGATGATTAATCTGTACACGGGCGGCTCTAAGCTGCTGCAGTCGCAGACTTCGCCATTACATTTGCCAGAAAACGGACTGGCTCGTTTCAGTTTAACGCATTTCGCTGTGAAAGGCCGAGTGTTCGCAGACGGTTTGCTCGCCACGTCGATCTTGCTGATGAATTGCACGCTGGATGACACGCGGCAGAGTAGGGAGGGTTCGCTGGTGCGGATCATGGAGAGGACCAACGTGGTGGTACCAAGCGGCGAGGATCTCGATAAAGAAGCTAAATATGCTAGGAGTATGCTGGACGTAACGGTACGTCAAGGTCCGAACGATACGTTCGCAGATGTTCGCGTGTTCTCCTTCAGCATTATTGTGTCCCTCGACTACCTCATGAAGATCAAGGATTTCTTCGACGTAGACACCACCAATAACAAGAATACCGCCATCGCGCAATCCACATCGAAGTACTATAACGAGCAGATAGCGTTGAAGAAGAAACAAACGTCGCAACAAGCAGCAGCTGCTTCAAGTCCAAAGATGTTAACTGTATACTTGCATGTGGAGAAACCAGACATTATTCTGCTCGAGGACATGGACGATATCAACTCGAACTGTATTGTATTGAACACGGAATTACTGCTGAAAGTACGCATCATGGGCGAGCATCAAGTGATCAACGGCACTATCAAGGATCTTTCTTTATTGGCGGGGATATATAATCCAACTAAGAGAGCTGATTGGATCTATCAGGTACATTAAAATACATTATGGAATATAATAATAATTTTAATTATATTCATTTTGTGTGTGCAACGTATAATGTATCTAAAAAATAGCAAAGTATTTTAAATAATATTTTAATCGAACTATTAATTGAAACTCATTTATTCTAGTACTTATTACTAATGTATTTTTTTTATATAGGTGCTAAAACCATGTAGTATTAGCGTGGCCGGTTCTACGCCTGAAGGTAAAGGGCTTCACTTGGATATTAGTTGTACGGACATACATATCTCTGTTTCGCCAGGTAATTTTTAAATAAAAATCCTGAGTTGATCAATAGTATTCATGTAAATGACAATTTGCAGGTGTGATCGAAATATTGAACAAGGTTATTCATACGGTGACGAAGAAGGAGGAGGAAGATAAGGAAGTCGTTAAGCCTGAACCGAACTACGAGGGATTGTGGATCATCACGCCTTTTGAGGAAGATGATTATTGGTTCCTGAAGACAGGTTACGTAAACTATTTGATAATAAATTATTCAGTAATTGCATAGGGATTTACGTGTTATTAAGTGTTAATTATTGTTGTTGTGATATAAAATGTAATTTCTCTAAATCATGAATTTTGAGCTCAACTGTCAACATTTCTTTCTTCTGTAGAAGTTGCAACAGAAGCTCTCGAAGAATTCGTGTATGCAGATGATGTAACAATTTACAAACCCGAATTGGCACTCGTCTCAGCACCAACGATCTTACTGACGTTGGAGGCAGGTGTTGGTAACAAAACTCTGCCTATGCTATTACTCTGCGTGAGCATTCAAAGTAACATAAATGACTGGAGCACAAAAACCGTAAGTACTCGACTGTGTTCATTACTATTTTCACTATTTATCACTATTTTAAATTACTCAATATCTCATAAATTGCACTTCCAGATGAACGTAGACTGTACTATGTCTATGACCATGGAATACTACAATAGTCGCCTCGCAATGTGGGAGCCATTAATTGAACCGATACAGAACTACATCAATGGCAAACGCGTGCCTACACCGTGGGAGTTAAAGACGAAGGTGAACTTATTAACAATATATTATTTGACTCTTGTTAATTAATAACGTGCTTCCGTTAATCAATGGCGTTGCACTGTACCAGGTTCAATTCAATGATATACTGCTGGACTCCAGAGGTGCCAGCGCAGTCAGCCCCACTTCCGACAGCGAGTTCGACAGCGAGCTGCATCAGTCTACTAAGATGTCTATCGATATTACGTCCACCGTAAATGAAATTTATTGAAGAAGTCTATAAGATGCTACACTAAAACGTGAATTGATTAATTTTTCTATTTTGTACACAGGACAATCTGGAAATAACAGTGACGAAGACGTGTCTGGACGTGTTGAAGCAGCTTGGCCAGGCGTTCTCTTCAGCTATGGACATCAGTAGGAAAGGGCTCGCCAGAAAGGTGGCGCCATTTCTATTGAAAAACGAGACTGGCCTAGGAATGATACTTGACCTGGAGCACAGCCCTTTCAAGGTTATCATGAGGCATTACACAAATTCCCATTCGCACTCATATTTATTTAACAAATCATTTTTACTAAAAAATGATACAGGCTTGAAGATGATACTTTACCTGAAGCACAGTTCTGTTAAGGTTATAGGAATTTTATTAATTTTTGTATTCATTCATTCATACTTGTTTAACACAATCGTTAATATGTAATTCGTAAAATAATATCATGTTGGTATCCTTAACGCGATGATTTTTACAGATTTTCGACGATGGATCGAGGATAAGAGACAATAGCGATTCGTATATGGAAGTGATTCTTGAGACTGGAGCATCGATAGAGCTTGCACCGAAAACAACCAAACTGGATATACGCATTTTCGAACAACATGCTTTCGAAAGCAATAAGTTTTCTGTTTCTGTAAGTTACATGTAATTTAAATACACACGCATGCGTGACAGCTACTTATGATGATTATTAATATGATTAAAGATGACATAATGAGAAACTTAATAGTTCAAAGGTATACAAAGCAAATTGGCAATACCTGTGTTGAGAGCGGACAAGAGATTCTTCTCATTGAAGCATCGTAAAGAGGGTTCCGAGGAATGGGGTATCGTATCAGATGTCATCGTGGAGGAGGGCAGTACGATCGTCACTCTCAGAAGCATCCTTCAAGTAAGTAGAGGATAAAAGAGGACGATTATCTGCAATAATCAGCTTTGCTGTGTGCATTTTGTAGGTTCACAATCATTTCGCACAGCCGATATCGGTTTACTATATGACAAAACGCGGAAATGAAGTGGAGTGTGTAGGTACAGTAGCACCAGACGAGAAACTCAACTTACCACTGGATGCCGTTTATACCCCAACGAACATATACTGGTTGTTCTTCAGCGTCGATGGGTATGTTGCATTTATTTATATTGTCATAATGTTCCTTTATCTCTTGCACAAAAAGATTTAGTAATCTTATAATATATGAAAAGAACATGGATGTATAAAATGTAAAATATATAAAATATGAAGTATTTACTCATGAAATATTCACGATAGAACTTCGAAATACGAGAACTTTTTAATAGTTATTTATTATTTTGTTTAGATATATGGTATCAGTAGAACCATTTATCTGGAAGGATCTGCAAAAGACAGTTTCGATGACAAAGCTGTTGAAGTGCGAATCTCGATCCAAGCAAGATATTACAGAACCCTTTTACATCCAGGCACGTACTTTCCTGCGTGCAATAAAATATTTTCACTGATTGATGAATATTGTTGAATTAAGTTGTTAAAATAAGAATAAATTAAATAATTGGAAGTATATATTGATTTACAGGTATTAGGGGAGATCGAACAGGTATATTTCGAGAATACCACTCGTCATACTATGGCTAGTACTATCTACAACGTACATCTATATCCGTCTGTGTATCTGAAGAACTTTTTGCCGATCGACATAATCATCTGTTTGCCTGGTACCGCACAGGAAAGCTTGCTTGAAGCTAGTGCTTCCTTGCAAATTCCTACGATTGATCCAGTCAAATCACATATAATAATCAAGGTAAAACCTAATCTTCATTATTTTAAACTTACCTTTTTAAATTTGATTTATGTTTGATAATTAATTATTCTAATACTTTATAGTACATCTTCAATTAATTTTGATCAAATCTATCTTTAAGGTAGATTTTAATACATAGATTTATTTAAAATATTCATTATAGCTACCTAATTACCTAGAGAAAGATTGGTCATGCAGAGGCGAAATATTAGCAAATCCACCAGAGTTTGCAGTCTGGTCGTTCGAATCTTTTGATAGCGCACAGAAAGTTGTCCTGGATCTTGGAATGCACACGTCTCACATGCACGGATCGATCATCATGGCACTCTATTGTCCTTTCTGGATGTTAAACAAGACCGGCTTGATGCTGTCATATAGGGTACGTTTGGAACAATTTGACCTTTTGTTGCACTTGGTAATTCTGACTTTTTTCGTAGGTATATTCCAAAATTTATCATGGTTTTAACATAACCATGTACCATGCTTGTGAGGAGAGTTTTTTTTCTCGAAATGCCTCGAATATCATCACATCCTTTGTCAATGCACATTCCTTTCATGTCCGTTACATTAATGTCTGCTCGCTTGTCACCCATTTTTCGTATTACCCATCAATGTCTCAATGACTAACCACTTTATCCGCACTTTTCTCGCCCAGTATTCTGTATTGAACATACTCCGTTATTTTCCAGAAATCAAGTAAAGGTGGCAAAGAGCACTCGAGTCCAATCAAGGTAGAGATCTAGAGAATTTCCTGTTATCGTGTCACATTATTTTGTGTTTCATGTAGATGGTTAATTAATATCATTCGCAAATAGTTAAGAGAAGATCGGAATTGCTTCGTATCCTATTCTAATTATGGATCAATTATTACACAAGCTATCTTTTGTTAAATCATATGAACCAATTATGAATGTCCAAATTTCACACAGCCGTGAAAATGTACGTGAGTACGTCTTTCAGAAATTCGTTTCTGCTATGAAACCACATCAGCAACGCGCACGGTACAGGAAGAGGAAAACGCGCGCGGTGATGCAACGTTTTATTTAATTATTATCTCGCTGTTCTCGTGGTTGTGTACGCAATTACTCGATTATTGTGAGATAACAGTTGTGTCTAGTTTTAGCCACGTGTCGCGAAAAACTAACTAACCGCTGTTATTGTGTTAAATCCATCGTGTTAGTCTTAACACGCCAATCTAATAATCATACTTATGCAAAAATAATTCGAAATGTGTAGATCATACTTCCTCATATATAATTATAGAACACTGGCTATTGTATAATCGTATATGCTTCACCATATCAATCTTTTTTACACTGTATTTTCATCCAGTGCGTTGATTCACTCTTTTTTTAGATTAGTAAATCCTTAAATCCTTGAACTCCTAAATATTTGCACTCTTAGATTCCTAAACATAAGGTGTACCCCAGTCGTAATGCAAAGTTGATGAAGCTTATGTAACGACGTGCATAACCACGAATCTATCTGTTATTGTTACAATAATTGCATGATGCTCCGAAGAAATTACTCGATTGATTGAGATGTCATATTTGATTGAGATGAAAAAATTCAACTCGATTGATCTCTTTCAGACTACGGACGATCACCTGAACGTTCTGTATCACCCGGAACATTTCAAAGGACCCATTCTGTTCTCGTTCCGCTCCAAAACCTTCTTCGGAAAAAAGAAAGCCATGATCAGGGTGGAGGACGGTGAGTGGTCCGACAAATTCTCCATTGATGTTGCCGGTAGCGAAGGCGTGGTGGCTTGCAAATACAACGGAATGACTTATCAGGTTCGTTCGTTTTTACAGCCAATATCATATATTTCCTGCTTATTTGTAATATGTAGAAACAAAGAATTATTGATCGAAATAAAATAATGTTTGTTTCTGTTACAGATCGGCGTACATAATCAGTTGACGTATAACTCATTGACCAAACAGATCACATTTACGCCATACTACATACTCATCAACAACGCAAATTTCCTTATAGAATGCCAGGAGGGCGATCGACCAGCTGATTCAATGATTAAGGTACTTTAAAGAGAGAGATGTCTGCAAGACAATTATTACATATAATTAAATATTATGATTGTTTTAGACATACGTTACAGATTGTCGAAGATATTATATCGTTATATTATCGTATACTTATCATCACATATAATCAAAATTTCGTAATATTAACACAATATTGTTATTAAATTTCTAAAGGTGCCTCCTGGTGAATGTGCTGCCTTGTGGCCTCGTACCGAGCATGAAAACAAAACTCTGAAGGCAAAGGTCTCAGGTCAGCCTGAGAAAACTGCTGCGTTCATTTATACAGACAGCCACACGACTTTATTAAAGCTAGACAATAAGGTGATATGTAAAATCATACTTATCTTTGTTACTAGTAGTTAAATAATTACCTGAATTATTGATATATGGACTATTCATGCAAATTCTTTCGAGTATTTACCGAAATACTTAATTGTAATAACAAAAATTAAGTGTTCTCACGAGCCTTTACCAATGCTGCTTAACAATGTTAACAATGTTGTATCACAGTATGGAGGGATCAATGTAGACGTACAAATGAACGAAGGCGGCGTTTATATCTCCATGTCAGCTTATAGTCCAGGCAACGCGCCGGCTTTGATCATTAATCATACGGCACATACTATCAATCTCTGGGAAAAAGGTTCGATCAACGTTAGGTACGTGAAAAATATGTCAACGATTTGGAATGATAAAAAAATCTATAAATCAAGATAGACTGTTCTACATTCATGGAGTTTATTCAATGCAAATATTGATCAAGTGTTCGTTGACAGATCCGTGCAGTCATTCAATAGAATGTTTTATACTTGGGAAAATCCAGCGGGCCCACGAAAGATAGTTTGGGAAGATAACAATGGCAAAGAAATCGAAGACAATCTTCGTAAGGTAAAAATAAGAAAACAAAACAAGAGAAGCTATTTGCAAAATACAATTAATAAACGAGCGCCTTGTTTCTCTCTTTTCCAGGATAATCTCGGCGCCTTTCAATTGCCGGAAATAAACGAAGAAATGTTCTATGTGTCGTTCTTAGACGGTACTCAGCGAATACTTTTATTCACCAAAGCTCTGAAGATCGCCGAAGACTGCCAGTTAGCCGGTGATCTGGAAATTATCGACCAAGAAATCATAATGAACATTCATGGTATCGGCTTCTCTCTCGTGAACAACATCACCAAGTCCGAATTGTTGTACATGTGTATTGCTAGGTAGGTATACTTTTCAATATTAAACGACAGAATTAAATGAATATTTTCGATAAAATCGAATAAGCTTTCCCGATTGTATAATCACGTGAGAATTTTGTAATATTCCCTCATCATTTTTCACAATAATATCCAGAAGAATTAATCGTACTTTATCGTATTTTAGCTCTGGAATTATATGGGAGACACGTAAAAACATGGGTGGTCGGTGGCGAGCATTAAACGCCAAGGAAGTCAACGCCATCGAGGAAGGATACCAACATTATTTGAAAGAACTGCACGTTGGCAAGGAAGCCGATTATCGTGTTACGCTGGAACCGAAATTAATGGTAAAATATATCTTAATAGTTTTCTTTTTTCTCTAATTTTCCGCTTTGTTTTCCTGGTTTTGATTTCTTAACACATCTCAGATATTTTCATTTTTCCATTTCTGATTTTCTGTTTTCAGGTTGATTATTTGAATATGGAGATGATAAAACCACACCGCAGATACATGAGGCGTACCTTCCAGACCGGGCTCTGGTTACAGTATCGCACTTCAGCACATCAGGTCCAAATGCATGCTAAAATTAATCGTCTTCAGATCGACAATCAGTTATCAGAATGCGTCTTCCCAATCATACTGGCACCAGTACCGCCGCCGAAAAGTGTCACGCAGAGCACAGGTATCTGGTTATCTATTTGATGCAATAAAACTTAATGTTTATAAGGATATTAACACTTCTATCCGTAGTAATGAAACCGTTCGCCGAACTTAGTATGGTCAAGCGACTGTTGGAGCACAGCAACGTACAACAGTTCCGATATTTTAAAGTGCTAATACAAGAATTTCATATCAAAGTGGATATTGTCTTCATAAACGCGATAATGGGTCTTCTCGAAGCGAATGAAGTAAATGACGCGGAAGAAGTAAGTAGTGAAATAATATTTATTTTCTTGTTGTAATAAAAAGATCGAGATTATTAAGAACTAATAACTCGCGTTTTTTAGGCATGTAAATAGTGGTCAATTATTTATTAATCTTTGTTGCTTTTATGTTGCTTATTTATTTCCGTCGATTATTTATTTCGTTTTTAGAGCGCATTATTCCGAACCGACATGAAATTGGTCAACGAACCACTGATGTATCACGTTAATCTGATCACCACAGCTGAACAGAAGAATTTCTTCGATCTGTTGCACTTCTCGCCACTTAAGGTTTGTCGCATTTCAATCGCGGGTATACGAATATGATTACTTAGTCTATACTGAATCAAACTTTCTCTTCTCACTTGTAGATACATATCAGTTTTTCGATGACCGGCAGCGGAAGTGGACCCTCGGCACTACCGCAAGTGCTTAATGTACTGTTGCAAGGAATCGGCGTGACATTGACGGATATCAACGACATTGTCTTCAAGTAATACGTCTATCGTCGTCTACTTGGATCCTTTTGTTTTACCAGTCTTCATATGCTAAAAATGAAATTTATGTTCTATAATCCCTTTAATTTTTAGATTCTTAAATTCTAAGATATTTAAATCGTTCCATTGTATACAGATTGGCGTACTTTGAAAGAAATTACGTGTTCATGACACACAAGCAACTCATTTCTGAGGCAACCACGCATTACGCAGGCCAAGCGATCAAACAGGCGTATGTACTTGTACTAGGACTTGATGTTATCGGCAATCCTTACGGACTCGTAATAGGAACTATGAAAGGTATCGAAGATCTATTTTACGAGCCTTTTCAAGGAGCTATACAAGGCCCGGGAGAATTCGCCGAAGGCCTGTATCTCGGAGTACGCAGTATGTTGGGTCACACCGTCGGCGGAATGGTAGGCGCTGTGTCAAAGATTACAGGAGCGATGGGTACGTTTTTCTAATTTCTTTTTAACTCGTTAAGTCATTTTTTAGATAGTATGTACAACAATAATCGACTTCTCTGATTAATTATTCTGTTCAATATTTATAATAGTTTACTTTGACTTTTGTAGGCAAGGGTATTGCCGCTCTGACGTTCGACAAGGATTACCAGCGCAAACGGCAAGAGCAACTTAACAAACAACCCGCTAATTTACAGGAGGGAATTGTTCGAAGCGGAAAAGGCTTAGTGATGGTAAAATATGCGAATTAATTAACTTGTTAATTTATATCGTAATAATATAATCATATACTTAATTATTCATTTTCTATACGACAGGGTGTAGTCGATGGTGTGACGGGTGTAGTAATGAAGCCTATATCAGGAGCGAAAGAGGAAGGAGTAGAAGGATTTTTCAAAGGCTTCGGAAAAGGTGTCGTTGGGCTTGTCACTAGGCCTACTGCTGGCGTGATTGATTTCGCGAGTGGTTCTTTGGGAGCTGTTAGACGGTACAACTTATTAACTACGCAAACAGAAACCTAATAATTTTGCTAACGAAAAGCAACAGCTATATATACATTTTTATTCATTTTAATATATATTTTAGGGCTACCGAACTAAATGAGGAAACGAAAAAAGTAAGGCCGCCTAGATTTTTGCAGCCAGATAGTCTCGTTAGGCCGTATATCAAAGACGAAGCCGAAGGCAATAAGATCTTGATGGTAAAAATTCCATTCTTTTAAAATTCTTAATATTTTTAAATTTAAATTTAGACATCCCCGACAAACTATCTTATATATATCTACAAAAGTATAATTAATTTTTATATCTACTTGTGCGCAAGAGCAGAAGTTTTTATGAAATTTCTCTTATAGGAATTGGATAAGGGGAAATACGCACACACTGATGTTTATCTTTATCACGTATTCATTAATAAAGACGTGTTATTGCTTACTGATAAAAGATTGTCATATCTCGAACGAAGTGATTTGTTAGGCGGTTGGCGGGTTGGTATTGATTACAATTAATTACTTCTTGATCCATACTTCTTGAAATTCACATTTTGTATGTTGCAATTTTATATATTGTACCCTTGATCGTTTCAGGTTGACTGGACTTACACTTGGAATGAATTCAGCGAATCACCGAAAATCGTAGAGAGAGGCGTACAAATTTTCACTAAAGACGCCAGTAAAAAGAAGAAACTTGGCAATCTGTTCGGTAGCGCAGATCAGTCAAAGATAATCTTAATAACGGATTACGATATTAAACAGGTATGCACGACAGGTTAATTTTACATTGTAGTCGTACTTAGTCCATACATCTTGGTCATACATCTTTTACAGATCCATGTTATATTGATTTGGTGAACGATAATTTACCGAGTTACATTTTTTCATTATGATATATTATATTTTTTCACTCAATAATTTGCTGTCTTTTTCTCACAGTTATTATACAGTAAGATGCAAGAGCAGATGAATCAGTGCGGAATATAATAGAGCAACGTATACATATGAAACGCTTGAGCAGCTTCGAAAAGAAAAAAAACAAGATTTTTAAAAGAAGAAAAGAGAAGAGCGACAAAGGAAAAGTGCTTCTTTACTTCAAAGACGCTTTGCGAGCAAATTCGCACAATTTCTATGCGCACTTTCTACGAATACTACTTATAAGACTGATACTACGTAGCCGTGATAACCTAAGTCAGAAAGACACCAATTATAGTATCGAGAAACCGATCGCGAAAGAACGTGGTATCTTTTCACTTTTTACCATAAACGCATAAAAAATCTTGTGTTGTCGGTATCTGTACCGAGCGAGAAGTATTAGGTTGTATGGTGCGAATAATTCGTCAGAGTTTAACAATAGAACTGTATAGTTCCGAAATAATTTTTATCAATTAAGATAATCACTATTGTGTGTAATTTCGGTATATATATTTTTTGTCATTTGATAAGAGATTTCCCAAGTCTTTCCAAAAAATATAAATCAGTAAATTCGTTAAAAAAAGAAGAGTACTTAATGGGGGAAAAAAAATCTTGATACTTTTGCACCAAATAACTACCAGTGTTTAATAGCTACATTACAAGAATAGTGCAAAAGAATAATTTTTGTTGAGTTTAAATTTATAGTATATATATGTACGTTTCGTCTGAACCAGTGATTCAACTGAATCGTCTTAGTCGCAGTAAAGTTACCATTTAATTGTAGAAATCTATTAATTTGCGATGGTCACGAAATGAAGTGAATAGAGTCGATAGAGTCCTATGATCGTAAACTACTAAAACTGACTTAAGTAACATCAAGTTAAAAAAAAAAAAGTAAAACAATTCCTTTCTGACATGTTTAAAAAATCGATAATATATAAAATCATTTATATGTAATTGTTGAAATTTTACGTAGAACTCATGTATACATCACAGACAAAAGTTTAACATAAAGGTTCAGTTATAATCTATGGAAAAACCGAACACATCAAACTATATCAACTACATTGTTATTCTTTGTTTCAAAGTGCAAAATGAACATAATTCTAAACAATTTGCTCGTCCATTAATAATCAAAGCAGTAGTACGCTTACCATTCTGCTAAAAACATTCGGTAGGAACGTTATTGACAGATTTGCTAAGAATGCTACCGACACATTGTTGAAATATAATAAATTTTATTACTGAGCTTAACACCTAATCAGAATGCACATGATTCTACTCTACCTCGTTATTAATTACTAATAATTAATAAATTAAGGGTCTACAGGAGGTTGGGTCAAATCAGTTTGACAAGGACGAACAATCGATCGCGCTGTCCTTGTCTTATTCACTCGGGCATTTCGCCGGCCGATACACGGCGAGACAATGCTTTCCAGGCTTTTGGGTGAGTGAGCCAAGCATCGCAGCGACTTACGTGCAATACTATTTTACAAATTGACGTATTTTGTCTAGCTGACGTTATATATCACCGCCAAATTATTATAGCATGTTCCTTATATTATTCCCGAGATCTCCATAAAGCCAGATTTGCAATCCGGCCGTCCAAAATTTATGAAAAATAAATGAAGCGTCCGCCGTACCAAGCATCGCAGCGAATCACTCCAAAAATTATTTTACGAGATGCAAAATTTCGCCTCGTTGACGATATAATTGCTAAACTGTTACAGCATCTTCCTTGAACTATCCCTGAGGACCTTACACAGCCAGATTTTGCAATCCGGCCGTCCAAAATTTATAATATATAAATAAGGCATCAGCCGTGCCAGGAGTTGCAGCGAGTCAGGTGGAATACCATTTTACAAGAAGCAATATTTTGCCTTGTTGACGTAATATATGACCATGAACTTGTTATAGCATCTTCCTACAACTATTCCCGAGATCTCTACAGAGTTAGATTTTACAAACACGCCGTCAACAATTTATTATACATAAATAAAGCGTCAGCTGTACTAAATATCGCAGCGAATCAGGCAGAATACAATTTTACAAGAACAAATATATTGCCTCGTTGACAATATATATATAACCGCCAAATTATTATGGTATCTTCCTTGAACTATCCCTGAGAACCCTACAGAGCCAGATCTTGCAATCCGGCCGTCAAAAATTTATCATACATTAATAAAGCGTCCGCTGTACCAAGCGAGTCACTCGAAATATCATTTTACGAGATGCAATATTTCATTTCTTTGACGATTGTTGTTTGAAAAGAATGACTATGGTAGAAAATACCAATCTTATAAAGTTTAAGTTTGAAGTTTGACGACGCTACGTTGTTTAGTATTTGTTTGGTAGCCATCAATAGTGAACGCTCTCAGTGAATTTGTAAACATGGAAAAAATTGGTCATCGTTATGTGATACAATATTTTCATTTGAAAGGCCTCGGTCCAACCAATATCAAAGCGGAGCTAGATTCTACTCTGGGGAAGTCTGCTCCTTCGTTTATAACAGTAAGATATTGGGTGGCAGAGTTTAAACGAGGCCGTACGAGCTGCCAAGACGAACATCGCAGTGGTCGACCAAATGAGGTGACCACGTCAGAAATGATGAAGAAGTTCGAATTGCTTCCTCATGCACCCTATTCGCCAGATTTAGCCCCCTCGCATTATTTTCTGTTTCCAAAGTTGAAAAAATGGCTCGGTGGTAAAAGATTTGCCAACAATGAAGAGGTGAAGTCTGCGGTTGATGGCTATTTTGAGGAGCTCGACGATTCCCACTATAAACAAGGTATCGAAGCTATTGAATATCGCTGGGAAAAGTGTATTGAGCTAAAAGGAGACTATGTAGAGAAATAAAGATATTTTTTCTCAAATTTTTTATGTTTTCTTTGTTAGGTCGGGTACTTCTGGGACTACTCTCGTAATTTAATTTCACATTCATATAATCTTCACAAAGAATTTTTCGGCTAAATCGCTATTTCTACGAAATATTTTAATGACAACTTCAAAATATCTTTATTGTACTTTTATTATGTATTATAATTTTAACTGTCATTTTATTACGTATATATATAATAATAAAATTATTATAAATATCTTTTGTACTTTGCTTCTGAAATTTAACTTTATCATTTAATCGCGCGTTTGTTTAAGTTTGCTTCACATCTTTTCATTATATATATTATGTCAAATGTTGACGATATATGTAATTATTAGACATGTAAGTTTCATTTTATGCATGTTAATTCTGTAAATCTCTTGACGTTTAGCAATAAGTAATGTTAAATGCATTAAATGCAATGTCACAATGCAACTTTAGAATGTACACAATGTACGCACGATTTGTTCCTTCTTTTGTTAATCTCGCGTGGTTGTATTATGACAGATCAACGTAATTGTCATTTATTCAGACGCATACCGTTACGAGTGTAACGAAAATCGGGAGAAAAGAAGAAGGATTTTGATATATACACACGAACACGTAGTTTTATTCGGTGTATCCAATGCAATCCAACGAAGTTCAAGAATTACAACAAATTCCGCAATTTATCCCCGGCCCTCCGCAATTGCCGACTTTAGTCAAAGGGCAGAAAGTGAAATCCGTGAGTAATATTTCAGTTATGTTCAGTTATGTTGAGTAATATTCAGTTATGTTGATAGCAAGCTTCAATATATTTCATCCAAATTTTATTTTTAATTGACTTCATCGCCTTATTTGCCTACATTGCAATTATTTACGTATGTCATCTATCCTATTGGTTTTAATAATTCTCATAATTCTAGGGACCATATACTATCACGGTAACTGATGCAATGGTAGCACGGAGAGAAAGAGAGAATCTAGAATTGTACAAAGCTTGGATACATGAACAGCGCAGGAGAAATATGCTACCAGAGGAAAATGCGGATGAATACATAGGTGACTTCAAGCAAGTGATGGTAAGAAGGAACTTTGTGCGCAAAGTTTTCTGTCTCGTCATGCTGCAGCTGGTGTTAACCATGTGTGTCGTAGCTGTCTTTATGTTCATGTAAGTATTATATATTCTACAGAGAAGTCTTCAATATCCTAATTCTTTGATTTGCTTGATTCTGCTTTCAGTGTTGAGGCACAAAAATTTATGATATTACACTGGTATCTGTGGATTATCGCCTTGTAAGATAATGAACAATATTGATCATTAAACTTACATAACTAAGGCCTACATCTAACTGAAAAATTAACTTGTATTTTGATATAGCATAGTCTTCACGATAACATATTGTGCTGTATCTTGTTCGATGCATATCAGGCGAACATCTCCGTACAATTACATATGTTTGTTCTTCCTGGTAAAAGTTTCTCATTTGTTCATTTTCTCATAACTGTTGTCTAATGTAAAATGACTAATGAATTTGTTGTGGATGTTGCAATTCAGACATTAGCAATATCCTATTTGACCGCAGTCATCTCTGTGTTTTATGACATTGAAGTGATCCTTATCACTTTGGGCATGACAGCCATGGTTATAATAATAATAATTTTTGTAGCAACATTCACCAAGGTACTTCTATCTATTTAAATATTACGTTTTGTACTTTCATCTTAAGTAATATAAATTTTTTAGGGCTTCTGGGTTTATAGAATATGTTCTACTAAAACATGTTGAACAATATTTTTCTTTAATATCTAAATTCAAGTTCCTGTGTGAATGTACACTTAATATGTTTTTTCTTTGATCTTCTTATATATTTATTCTATTCTTATATATTTTATATTAAATATGTTATACAATAAAATTAAACAAATTATTAATTATAATATTAATGTGAGTTAATATTGATTAAAGTTTGACATGACAATGAGACGAGGCTTACTGATGGTATTTACCTGGGTTGTGATTATCTCGATGGTCGTAGCGCTAATAATCATGTTGTTTACTTATGTACATGTCCTTCGATTGTTTATTTCAATTATCGTAACGCTGCTGTTATCCATGGTTAGTAAAATAACAATTTTGGGACCTAGACAACATATACTTTATTCTTTTAAAGATTTATGAAATATACACAAATAATCGACATAATAAATTAACATGTAACATCAAATGTCTAATGTTTTATATGTTTTCAGTATCTATACTTTGATGTACAGACTATCATGGGTGGACGCAGAATAGAATTATCTCCTGACGAGGTCGTTTTCGCAGCTACGCAAATTTATGTTGACATTATACTGTTGTATCAATATATATTAATGTTCATGGGCTTCTTCCATGATACATGATATTATCTCAAGATATATTACATATTATATACTATATTGATATGTCTTTATTTACATTTTTATGTACATTATGTGCATATTATCATTATATAATACTTTTATATCCTTCTGACAAAAATTACTTGCAATATTTATAAATTTATCCTTAATATGAAAAAAATAAAAAGTAGGCAAAATTTAAAGAGGTTTAACAATAAAGTAATTTAGACATTTTATATAATAGCTTGAAATCTCTAATTTCTAATTATATTTTTGAACATAAAGTTTATGTTTTGCAATATTATTATGCATAAATTGAGATTTGTCAAATATTTGAGTTCTCGAAGAAGATTGTCAAATACCGCGCGGACGAAAATCATATAGATGGTTCACACTGTTTTTGATATCAGATATAAAACTTTCAATATCTAATAGGATAGCTTATTTTTAAAAGAAAAGTATCATTAGTTGAGAATTTTCCGAAAAAAATGAACATTTGGATATCGGTTGTGCATAGTGCGAATCCTCCATTATAATGCAATTTTAGAGGTTTAGGGCTTTAACTTTTTAGTATATATCCACTAGATGCTCAATTAAGGGTCAATTGTTCCAACTTCGTAGTAAGTTAACTGATAGTTAAATCATATCTCTGTTTTTGTCTAAGTTGAAGAAAAAACGAAGACAAACATATGATTTAACTATCAGTTAACTTATCAAGAAGTTGGAACAATCGGCCCTGAAATTAGTAGCTAAAAATGTTAAGGTTAAATAAAATTTTCTATAAAAATATTAATATTTATAACAATTTTCAATAATTTCTATATTTACTAATCATTCGGACAGTATTTTAATATCCAGTGGGTAAATCCAATAGAACGCAGGAAGTTCCACCAAAATGATATGGTCTATTCTTTTCAGCTGCACTGCGGAACTAGTGCAATAAGTTAGAATGAGACAACTATATTTTTTCTCACTGTATCTTATTGCACCAGTTCAGTAGTGCAGCTAAAAAGAACAGACCAATAGTCTATACACGCTAAATCTGGCGCCATACGAGTTATATATTTTGAGTCCTATTCATTAGTTTTGATCAGACTCCGAAAATTATGCGTTTTTCCTCACTACACTGTGAATAAATTCTTGAAAACAATTTAAAGACACTTATCTCAAGATACTTGAAAGAATAAAAATAACGAATGCCTGAAAACAAGTAAGTTTATGAGATTGTAACCTTAACATTCTGAAACGAATGTTGTTTTATTTATCTGCGATTTATACGATTATGGCGATATTATTAGTGACAATGATTATTTTATTGATTTGTATAATTTTGTGTAATCGTATAGTTCTGTTTTCTTAGTTAGTTATTAACATATTAAATTTTTACATATGCTGTTATTTAATGGATTTAATGGCCAAAATATGAAAGTACGCAAATATTATGTTAATTCATGGGTGAATTTCTCATAGGGAATGGAGGGCGATCGATTAACTAGTAAAAATACGAAGGAAGGGGATGATATTAAGACTAAGTCCAAAGAAATTTTAGGTTTAAGTACTACAGTAGCTTTGGATACACTATACCATGATGTTGAACGGGTTTTACAAGAGTATGAAGAGGATCATAGGAGAAATAAGTATAACAATCGTGATTATTTTGAACAATTAGATTAATGTTCAACTTGATATCTAATGTATACCTTAATATGATATTAATGCGTGTACTGTTATAATTATATTTAGGAAATTCAAAGCTTGGTTAAAAGATGCCTTACATCATCGTAGCCAATATACAACACTTTGTTGGACTTCGGCATTTGTATTGCTAGTCAATGCTGTCATTCTCATTGTTGCATTCTTTACACTCAACGAAACATGGTACATGAAGCAGTTTAAGAGCTTACATAAAAAGTTTTGCTACTTGTTTTATTAACATATTGTGTATGGATATTAATAACATTTGTGTCTCATAAATAAGTATGTCATTGCAGGTATTCTACACTGCCATACCAAGGACTGATAGTTTGTTGTTTAGTACTATTAAATTTTATTTTAGTGGTGTCGGATAACAAATTACGACATGAGGAAATTCCTCATAGGATAAAAATTCTTCTTAACCAACTCAATAGTAAATACATGAATAACTTATATATGTATTATTTACATGTTTATATTATGTTAAATTCATATAGAAATTTCATTAATGTACGAGTTGACTGTTGCCATATTATTGTCATCACATATAATTATATCCTAAAATTTGTAGTTGCTCGTTCTACATGCCGATGGAAGCGCGAAAACTACCCACATCTGTGTAGTCCACAATCACCTTGTTTGACATTGCAATGGACATATCGCGATGGCGAGATAGTTAACTTACCTTGGGCGTTGTTGGTAGCTGGTGACATGATAGTGATGAAACCAGGCCAACAAGCACCCGGATATTGCGTACCGTATAATGTACATAAATTAATTTTCATAGCGCTAATAAACATATATACTATAACATATATACATTCGGATATTTCTTCAGGATGCGGAAGCACCGATCTTGCATGCCAGAGAAGCATACAGTCCCACAGTGCACAGCGCCAACGAGATCTTCTCTACACCGCAAGCTCGTGTGCCCTTGAAAAATAAGATATACAAGCTTCAGGAGACACCGTATTTGATGAATTTACGTATGGCGTTGGACCAGGCCCTCGATCGGCCAGTAACTTATCACAATCGGAAGCGTCATCTCTTGATGATCTGCTGCATTGAACATCTAGCTTATCCAATACTCTTAATCGTCACCCTCGTAATCAATTTGCTTCGCTACGTATATGTGGCTGATTATTTTGGTACAGGCCACTGGAGCGAGATGTTTCTGTTACAACCTGTTGCCGTGAGTCTTCCTCTGTTGCCGTTAGTGTTCCCCGCTTGTTGGATATTTCTCAACTGCTTCGGGATGGCTCGTTTCAAGGCATTATTCAAGTTATATCTATCCTCGAAGAAACTTCAGGTTGGTGTAAACATTTAACTTGCAGAAAATACTTGAAAAAATTATAGTAATTTTTAAAATTACTTTTTCATTTTTTATATATATAATCTTATACTTGAAAGGAAATATAATATTATTGTGAAAAATCTTTTATCTGTTAATTTCTTATTGTTTCTATCATTAGACTAAATATTCTTTTCCTAAGTCCCCCATTCTCGGAGTCAAAATTGTTTATTAAATATCATTTAGATATGTATCTTCTAAATATGAAAATAACCAACAATGTACGTGGATTCTCTATAGATCTTTACAAACCTAGTTTGTAGATCCTTTTGAAGACGCGGATATCAATGGCCCCAATCACCCGGAAGTAGTATACAACGGACTTGAACTCAAGGATTACTTTTTCGACATCCTTTGTGGAAAGGAGCACATGATGTCAAGATCCGCAAGCATTTTGCATGTTCTGGGCTCCGTGACCGTAAGTATCATAACATCAAACAATTATCTGTGCATCATATAATAGCTTTTGTAATTTTGTAGGCTTTATGTTGTGTAGACAAAAAAGGAATTCTGTCGTGGCCTAATCCTACTGCAGAGAAAGTATTCTTTCTACGTAACACGAATAACACTCTATCGCCAAGTTCGAGGTAATCATCTTGCAGTTATCTATAATCACGAATTAGCGTTTTCAACACCTAAATTCTCAATGCTTTGTACTTCAAAGAACTTGTTGTCTAAATATAACACCCAATTATTTAGAAGTCCAAGAAATCCCCTTTTATTCAGATAAAACAACTTAAGAAAATAACTTGAGTTTATAAAATTAAAATATATATTCGTAGGGTGATTATGGTTTCATTACTTTACAGTACCGGTAGTGTGGACAAGACTGCTGACAAAAATCAAGAATCTGAAGAAACTCAAATGAATTCCAATCGGATGTCCTACATGCAGCATGGTAAGGAAATAAAAACAACGAAAGTCCGGCACAGTATGTCGAACTACGTTTCTTCGCAGATATGTCACACTCCACCGCCGAAGTATTGGATCTCACGCACGACCACGCCCTACCTTTTCGACTACAGTTCGACGATCACTCATGGCGACAACACTTGAACTCCCTCAAGCCGCTTGGCTTAGCAATTCTCCTCAATACGTGTAACATGAACACGCAGGAGCATTATATGCAGTTCTGCTGTCACGTTACCTGCGAAGCTCTTTACAACGAAAATCTAGTCCCTGTGACAAACAGACGGTGCGTGTCACCTCTCATCCCATAGAAATCAATTCGTTCGATCTCGCTTTCTTCACAATTTTGCATATTTCATCACAGAGTTTTCTATTCACTTAACAATCATGGATTGTTCGCGCGTTGACAGTTGCCTGTGCGAACTGGCGAAGCAGATCGGCTTCCAGGATCAGGCACAAAAAATATTTCAGCTGGAACAACAATTTTCCACATTCAGACATGTGGTAAATGTCTAATGATCCTAATTATTCATGCGTCCAAATGACTAAAAATATCGTTAGACACTTGTAAAAAAAATGAACCGAATTGAATTGTTGATCGTAGCAACCGGAAATGGTCAGACGAGATATCAAGTTCGCTCGTTCGCTGAGCATCGCGACGAAGCTGAAGTTTCCGTTTCCTCACATGGTCGCCGTAGTCGTGAGGGAACGTAGCGGCGGTGGTCTGCAGTTATTAACGCAAGGGACAGCCGACATAATTCTGGATTCCTGCATCGAATTTTGGGATGGTCATGATCTCTGTCCTCTGTCTGCGTCGGACAGGTACAATCAAACAATTTTTCAATTGATTTTTCTGCGAATTATGTGTGACGTTTCCATGATATTTGAACAAATTTTGTAAATCCCTTGATTATAAAAAATAATGAAAAATAGTAAAGAAATATTATAAATAGATCTGCAAATATAATCATCTTGTGTCACGTATCCTCGTTCTAATGATATCTTTTTTACGTTACAGGAAAAAGGTACAAGATTTTTATCAAAGGACCAGTCTGACGTCGTACTGCACTGCATTCGCATATCGACCGTTGACATGCGCCATCAGCGACAAGATATCCGATATCTATTTGGAACTTCCCGCGGACAGCAAACACTTATATATACCTCACAGAAGTCCTACTCCTTTGCCATGGGATTTCAGAAACGTTCTTGATCCAAGAGTACGAGGAATACTTGGGCAATTCCACTCAACAGGTTCGCCCCATTAATTGCTGGTGCTATATCTATGTTTTCTTTTTTTTTTATTATGACGTTCTTACTGTTTCTACTTCCTGCATAGATTCTTTATTATGTAACGAAAACAAAGACGATGACGTTAACGATGTCGAAGGCTGCTTCGAGGTTCAGTGCAATCAGATCTTCATCGGAATGGTCACTATGCAATATCAGGCACAAACAGACATGGTACGGACAAGTACAAACGGAAGTTACATTGGTCTTTAATTAACTTGTAAAGCGTAATGTCTCATTAATTTACAATAAATTCATTCGACAGGTGCAGTTGATTGAACAGTTAGATCGAGCATGCATAAGGTTCGTTCATTTTAGCAAGGAGAACGAACTACGCTCGCGTGTTTTCTCTGAAAAAATGGGTCTGGAGAGCGGCTGGAACTGTCATATCTCATTACTTAGCGAGGGAGCCAGGTATCGCACAAAGACGACATACTTCTATGTCTTTCGAATTTCGTCGTCTATCGGTGTTTTTTAAAATTTTTCATGGGGCATATTCGCGACTTACTGTCCACGTCTCTGATACCCGATGCTTTAAAAATGTAAAAAATTTCGATACCGAGTGTTAAAAAGAAATTATTTTTCTGATTTTTTCAAATAATTCCGTAATTTTTTTAAGTCAAGTTCAGTCAGAATTAATTATAAAATCGATTGTATTAATCCTCCAATTAATAATTATTTAATTAGCGAGGAGCTGTATTTGCAAAGCTCGTAATGTAAAATATGTCCATGTATATTGCAGGAGACAGCAATGGCTGGAGAGATATCCGCATATGCTCCCGTCGTATATGTTTGTCTATATGTCTTTTATCTTCGTTATTATTAATCGTGATTTGTGCATGTTGATCGTTATTACACAGGACGTCTAAACATATATTCTATAGCTATGTTTGTGAAGATTGTGATTTATTGAGATTCAGAGATTCGTTGATCCAAATTTAAGAAAATTTTTAAATTAAATTTAAATTAAATTAAATTTCAGAAGCGAGTAAATTTTGTATTTTCCAAGACATCCTGTGTGGCGTTTTCAATCCAAAATGGATAATGTCGCGATCATTTGGCTGCAGTGTCCTAATATCTGATATGTGTATTAATACCTCATTATTTGTGCGGGGTGTCTAATCGCAATCGTTTCATGTTATTTTATTTTGTTTGTTCGTTTTCATGACCTCGCGATCTTGCTTCATTCTGATTTAGTAATATTCGCATTTTAGACGAAAAAGGATCAGCATTTCTTTCTTCAATCCTTACTTATCCTTAGTAGAAATCTTAAGATTTAAAAACATTTTGGAATTTCGCAATTGCGAACCGACACCTACTAATTGGATTATATAACACAGACGCATATGAAAAATACACATTCATATAACTTCATTGTAACTAACACACACGACAATATTAGGTCTGAGAGTCCAGTGGGTTGGTGGGTGAGCCAGGCGGCAGCCATGTCCTCACCCACTCCCTCACCCACGGCCCAATCTCATCAGCATAATTACTCCTGCATGGACGAGGCCAGCCACTTGCTTAATCGTGTCTTACCTCGGTACGTACGTTGGTACGTTATACCGGTTACATGCAAAAATGTACGACTCAGTGTACATGAGTTATACTCGGTATAAAATACGATCTTTGTCCTCTGCTTCTTAAAGAAAACGAAATTTTCAACAAATGACATTATTCCTAGAATGCATATTCTACAAGAGCTAAGTAAAAGTAAAAATTCTAGTAATTGAGAAATAAGAATTTGTAATTGAAAATGTAACTTGAAATGAGCAATTGAAAATTTGATAAATTTAAATAGAGCACTGTTAAGAGAGAGAAATTAAAATTTCTCAAAACGAAGAAATACTGCATATACAAAAATCAATAGATCTCCCTTTTACATCCTAGGATTAGTCATTCGCAGAAATGTGCAGCATGAAAATTTCATTCATTTATCGCGAAAATTTTGTTAAGCCTAAAGCGACTTTTGCAATAAGCTAACGCACTTGTGGCTTCTTCGCATCGATGTATTTCTACCAACGGCTGTTACATTGAGCAGAGAAGAACACTAAACGGCATTCGCTCTATGGATCTTTTTGTTTTTAGCACTAACCTGAACAACAGTCGAGCGATGAGCATGTCAGCGCCAAGTGCCATCAATACAGATTTTACAACGGTAAAATTCGACGATGAGACCACCGAATGGAATGACACGGGTACATCGCAAGTGAAAAGTGCCATGAGTCACAGGTTTGTAAATGCCATATAGACCTGCGTATTTTAAACTGCCGATCATTAGGTGTATCGTCAGTCATCGTGTAGATTATATATCATTGTCATAGTGTAGAAATTAAAAACAAAAACTTTATCCATAGAGAGCAAGATACAGTGAGAAGTGAGGATAGTGTCTTGGTGCAGAGTGTCGATTTGGGATCAGGTCAAGAAGGTTGGAGGTCTATAAGCTGCCTCACCGATAGCACGGAACAAAGTGCACCGGTCAACTTTGATCTGTCGAACAGAGTAAGCGGAACTTTCTTTAAATCAAATTCAACTTTGCGATGCATAATATTTTATCTTACCTACCTAAACGCAGGCCAAATTGCCGAGGGGTATAGACAAGATACGACCGCACATAGAGTTGATAGACAACGTACCTTTGCTGGTATCTCTGTTCACCGATTGCAACACCACGGTGACCCGTGAGATGTTGCACATCATGCAAGATTACGGCGAGGTAGTATGCGTGCTCGGTTCTTCCGCCAATGCTGAAAACATGCCGATCTTTATGCAGGCTGATGCTGGGTAATTCTGCTTGCTGTTATTCGTCAGATCTCTCTGAGATCGGCAATCACGTTGGATCGAAAAGTTAAATCTTTTTCGATATTCAAGATCATACTTTTATTCTCTAGAAGATAAATATTTCAAACAATATTCTGACTTTAAACAAATTTTTTAAGAAGAAAAAAGCGTGATTCGTATGATTGTCGATCACTTTAAAGTTTAAAAAAGATTCGTAATTTGTTTGTAGCGTGGCAGTAGAACCTTTATATCCCCAAGTGTGCCAAAAGGTACCCGTCCTGATATCCACCACGGAAGACCAAGGAATATCACCTGTCGATCTGAGCAGAGCCCTGAATTCCGTTGCGTGCTCGTTGAGCGTAAAACGCGAAGACCCCGTAGCGATTTTCCATCTCATTATGGAGGTATAACATATTAATGCATAATTTTTTTTTTTAATTGATAAGATTCGATATTACGTATAACATATAACTTCAACCATTTTTGAAAAATGGGCTTTTATGGATTGATCTGATATTAAACAAGTGAATTTTCTATTGAACACATCTTTTTCTTTACATATAGGCGCGTCATTATATGAAGAGCCTGTGGAACTGCGTGCAATTCTGGCTCTGCTGTACAGTCACCCTCTCATTCACACAAGTTCTTTCGGCGTTCTTGTTGTTACCGCCGCTGTTCACTGTCGAGCAAGTGATGTGGTTGTGTTGCTTAATTATTCCTTTACTGTCAATATCTATGATCGCCACGCCGATAGATGCGACAATCATGCAGCGCGCGACTGGGAAGAATCAATGTATAGTCAATGGAGAGGTGAGGAAAATGCCGTGAATGTATAATATATAAATCTTACCATAAATGTTTTTCAATTCGTATACTTTTTGTATGTTTCTGCGAATCATATAAATTAAAAACGTTACATTTATCTCTATTTTTCATGATCGTATTTTAACTAATGATTTGATACATTTATCATTTGAGAGATACATAATTACATATACAATAAACAAAATCATATAAATTTCAAGGAAATCTCGATAAGAAAAGCTACATATTGCTTATTTATGAGATTAGTAGGTTGTGAAACTTCTCAGAACTTCTGACATAAAGATATAAATGTATAACATGCTATGATATCATACATACATCACAATCAGGTGGCGTTGTTCGTACTATGGTGTTATGGCAGCAAGTTCTTGCCGACAGTGATCACAATGATCCTGTCGCAGTGTGTCTCATTTCTGACGCTCTGCCCCATCTACGCGGCGCGCAACAATTCCAAGTGTATGTATATATATCCAGACGTACGGAGCCAAGATTCTTGGGGCGGCTGGAGCAGCACGCCGAGCGTAATTTCGGTCGTGCAGCATTTGGCCCTCGCTCTCATAGTTTTACATTTTGGTAATTACATTTTGATATTATCATCACTGCATTTGAGACAGATTTTAATAAAGAAATAGCAAAACTCTTTTGTTGCCATTCTTCTAATTTAATAATATATTAATGTATATTTGTACTTTGAAACATTTATTAATGGCTGCTTCTTTCGTAGCGACGATATCTGTTAGCTTCGTGCATAGAGAATACTCGATATGGAAGAAACATCCTGTCAATAATTACATATGGTGCCTCAGCACGTTTATCGTGTAAGTGTAAATCGCGTAAATTAAACAATGAGTAATAAAACTTATTATTGCCTTATTGATAAAAGCACATTTTTAATTTCTTCTTGATTATTCATATTTAATCATTACATTGTAGGTTGTGCGCGCAGGCAGCATTCTCCGGTACAGCATTCTGCAGATTTTGGAAGGAGGAAGGCAAAAATATCGAGGACTTCCCTATGCATCTGGCGTTGTTCTTTCTGCTCTCTATCCCGTTAACGTTCGCTGTTAACGAGTTGATTAAATGGCAAGAGATTAAGTAAGCCCTTTCAATCTATTAATATTTCAAATGCGATTTGTACACATTGTCACAAATTCCTCTTTTCCAATCTTTGAATCTGAACATTTCACTCTTTTCCTCTATTTCATACTAACGTTTCTTTTCTCTTTTTCCTTTCAGAGTGAACGTTAGATACCAAAAAAGAGCGCGTCTAGAATTTGGCACAAAGTTGGGAATGAATTCACCATTCTAATTTAATTATTATTTCGTTACATCCTGTAGAATCGGGTGTGCCTGCAGAAACCATAGAAATTAAGCTTCTGCAAGAACTCGAATATTCGTTCGAATTACTAATGCAGAGTTTCGTGTACTTACGGCCTCGTCCCAAATATTGTCAAATGATAGAGGTTTAAACAAAATAACGGTATTTTTGTATAATAAAATGTGTGTACTTAAATTTTACAACATAATTATAACAGTAATCATTTGTACAATGGACACGCCAAAGGCACGTCGATTACGAGCTTAAATAAGCCTCGTATAGAAGTTTACACAATATATCGGACTGATAGCAAAATATCCGTGACTTTTTATTCGGATGATACAGTTTTGTTCGTGTGCATTACATTTTGTCGCTTCCGATTCAAGATGTCTAATATAATCGTTGCTGATTAAATTTCATTTATTCGTTACGAACGATTAATTCAGAGTAACAAATAATTTCGCGATAAATCTAAGACATCTTGTATCTAATGCCTTTGGTATTAGTAGTATACTTGTACATACAAACATGTTCCTATGGAGAATAATTTATTTGTGATTACGAAGCTAATGCAAATTTTAGAGAACTTATAGTAATAAGTGTTTTCTGCGAAAAATCACAATATATTCGCGTCAAAGTATTATGAATTTCAAGATTTGGGAACAAGAAAACTATCATGGAACTATTTTAATTACAATAGAAATTCGAATTTTTATTGTAATTAAAAAAAAACGAAAAAAATGGAAGAAAAATGAGTTTTTTCTTCAATTTGCTATATTTCTTTAAATTATTATATATGAATCTCAGTATATTATAAAATTTTATATATAAATTATCTTTCTTTCACAAGTTCCATAATACGTGCATCTTGATTTCTCGTGATTAAAGTTTTTCGGTTGTGATTGATAATAGATAAACGACGACAGTTTTTAGTCGCATTTTGTTTAAATGAACTTTTTGATTTCTTTCCGATCAAATGAAATGCGACATCTTGTCGAGATCTTTTTTAAAGCTAGAATAAAATTTCCGTTGAACGATATTCCACTCTCGTCACAAATTTATTTTACCACCAAGTGTTTATTGATATAGAATATATTAATTTTTATATAGTATTTTAGTACTGTGTTTCAGAAGTAGCTTTCGGTCGAATATTAAAATTCGTGCAGTCAGAACTGCGACGTCGTCGATATTGATGTATAATTAGGTGTCATTGCAAGTTGCAACTTAATTACAACTAATACTAGTAGCGTGCTGCAACACATTATCACGGAATACATTGACTCGTACAGCAATTTCGGCGAAAATACTGACCAGATAAATAAATGATGACGCTGTATTGTAATAATGATCGTATAAACGGTCATCGTGAACAGCCTCCATGTGATATAAGTCTTGCTTGTTCGCACAACAGTGTCACTGTACAAATAAGAATTATCAAGAATAAGTTTACTCGTTGATAATGGTTGTATTAATGTAATATATTAACCTATCTGATCTATATAATATGTAAGAAATTTATTAATTCATCGACAATTAAATATTTCATGATATATTTTATATTAAATATTTTTTTTTATCTAGATGAGGTGCGATTGCATAAGTGAATTTGCAATTTCAAAAATATATGAATTACTTACGAATGCGTTTCATTCAACTGTCGATAGTAAATGAGCAAGAAGTAAGCCAGAACAGGAGCAGAATAAGTATTGACAATTAAATATGCACCGGTGATGAAAGGCATATAGGAACGTAAGCCGACATATCCTGCCGCGACGTCTATACTTGCGAGACTATTGGAGTTGCCCTGAAACATATCGTATGATATAATTTGTTAACTTAATTCTTTAGGTAATACGAATTTTTAATTAAATAAGAAGAATCTAATCTCCCATCCAGTAAATACCTGATAAAAATAGAACACATTGCCGAGCCAATAATGCACAAAGACACTGAGATCGAGCAAATTATTCTCTTTTAATACAGTATCGATCGTCGAACTCGCGACAATCTGCATCGGCAATAAGATTACATTGTACGGTTGATGCAACATCGCCGAAATCATTACCCACGTATTGATCATGAAGAATAGCATCGTGCTTGTGAAACGTTTTCTATTATATTTGATCATTAATCTCACTCGATAAGCGCAGCTCACAAGAAACAACGCCGTTATTCCCCAAAACGTTTGTACTTCGTATATTCCACTACAATAAACAACATATAATTAAATTAGTACTTAAACATTACTTTTCACTTGGTCCGCGTAGTCGTTTCTAAAATTCCCATTTATGAAATCAAATTTTAAATACCTCGACGAGAAATATGATGGAATCTTTCCGACTGCGTCATTAGCCACGTGGCGAAGATATATACATACTGCAATTACTGTATTAAGAATTAACGATTGCCACTTGTATTCTTTATTCTCGCAATCGTAAGCGATCCAAATTAGAAAAATAAGTGCTGAAAGACGAATATTTTATTTTGGTTCGAAACTTATTATATATTTATCTTTTTTTTTATATTTAACTCTCTGGAGAATGTCACGTTTGCTTTAAACTTTAATGACGTTTCATTGGGAGGTAAATTGTTTTTTATATAAACATATATAAAAGCAAAAAAATGTATGAAAGATAAAAGAATATAGATAAAAAATTATTCTACAAACTTGATAAATAATGTTATGGTTATTAAAAACAGCTTCAGTCGTTGTTAGAGCTTTCTTTTTTCTTAGTTAAATTCTTTATTGTACTTAAACAATTTACCAGTGAGCAGTAGGAGTGTCATGCCTACTCTGCTATTATCTTCCTTCAACCAACTGGCTATGTCGGGTAGATGGGCGTACTTATCGCCGGTACTATTTAGTTTTCGCAAAATTCTGTGCCCTATCAGTAGCAACAATAACTTAATGCAAAGTACGTGGAACTGATGACTAGAATCACTGCAACTTGGATCCAACCGAACCTTTACGTTCGTGATATCAAAATGCTGCCTATCGACAGGCAGAAAAATTCATCTATGACGCAACGAATGTTCAAATCTGACTTGGATTTTACCATTTTTCTTTTCTCTTCAAAGTCTTACGATGTCTTATGATTACGAGAAATCAATTGTTGATTTCCTCTAAGTTTTTATAAATGATATCTAGAGTAATATAATAATAGCAGCAGAATAAAATTTCTTCAAAATCTATATAATGAATAAAGTAACTGTTTGCTTCTTTATCTATGTCATGTATCTAAAATAATGATTCAATGTCTGATTTGAACGAACCTTGTGCTGCAAAAGAAAATTCTACTCACTATCGATGATACGCGAACCATTTCCCGGAGCAACGATAGAGCAAACACGCAACGGTACTACCCCAGAAGAAATACCAAGTTTGGTGTTCTTCTTCAATAAAGCTACTGCCAGAAAAGCTCACTATATGCAATAACGTACCGATTTGGAACATTCGCATCTTTGATCCCTTTTTCACCTATTTTCAGAAAATTAAGATTTATACATATATATAATCTTAAGAAAGAATATTTACTCACATATTAGAATAATAAGAGCTGTTTTACCTTCATTAGAAATAAGTCGCTACGTTTCACGCTCGACAACAAGTAGCAATTTATGCATAAAATAATAATGATAAGTACAATCAACAGAAAACTGAATACGTTCGTTGGATAGGATGAAGATGTACTCTCAGGATCCACGAAGAAACTTATCCCAAGACATAAACTTGCATTTAGCAAGAAAAAAAATACCATCTTCTTGTATATAGATCCAGCAAGATATCGTACAACAAACAAAATGCAAAGTATCTGTAAAAAAAATCAAGTACAATATTACTTTCAACTTTCACAAGTTTGAAAAATTTTCAGACCTATTAATTTCTTCTATGCTTGGATTTTGAAATTAATATATTTTATATTCATTCTACTAACATGAAAAAGAAAGAGTACAGCGACGGTCATTAAACGAATATCGTATTTGACCATATTAGCGATTAAAGTACTCTTTATGTCCTTAAGGATTGCATTGTACGAAGAGGCGATGTATTCTACCATTCCGCTCGGTTTCTCGTTTGCATTCAACCAACCAATATGTAATCTCACGGTGTTTCTATATTTTCGGTGTATATCTGAAAAATATCAGATCAATTTTTTTCCTATCCTTTCACAAATTTGATATATTCTATAAACTATATTGAAATGTAAAATTGAATAAAGATAAAATTTATTCATGGTTTTTAACCCGAACATCTTATCCTGTTTGATACATATTGCATGAATATATATAATATATAAAATAAATTTAGGTATTTACTTTGTGACTCGTTAATGACAAGCTTCCGAAAATGATTGAATAGCTGCTTGGTGTTATAATAAAGAAGAAATAATCTCTTAGAATCGGCAAGATTATAAATATTCTCTAGAAATATAGAGCCGAGATTTGTGGAGGGGATGGGTAATCCCAAAGCGACTGAAAGAGTTGCTGCTATGTCTAACTGTTCAATTTCAATCCACTCTGATTCATTTTTTTGCACAGGACAGTGCATTTGTCCTATCGTGATGAACGGCACTACCGTTTCGTGTAACGTTGAGCCACCGTGGCCACCTGAGTCCTTCATTCCGTGATCACCGCAGACGACGAAAAGTGCAGAGGTATCGTTATCATTCTAAAAATAAAATAATAATATTATTAATTTATTAGTAGTTGAGATATATTTTTTCTTTTTAGAATATAACAAGATACTCCTTGTCACGTTCACCATCCTTTTATCTTCATTTTTATTTTTCTTAAGTACTAACCCAATATTGCACTTTACGAGCAATCTGACCAATAATTTCATCCATCTCTTGTAGTTTAGGCTTAATTGATGCACCAAATGGGCCCTCAATATGACCAATGTGATCTAGTCCAAGATAATGCAGGATCATCACAGACCAATCATCATTATTCAATTCATCCTGTATATGTCTAGTTACATTACTGTCTACCTATATATGGAATTAATAACTTAATAATTATATCATACAAGACAGATTCTGTATTAAGAATTATGAGATATACAATAATTATTTATAGTATAAAATATATGCTAATTACCTCTGTAAAGTCTGTAACAAAAAATGAAGTAGTACCATCATACCGATTAAATATATTGGGAAATAGGGAGAGCCAAGTTTCATCCCCATAAAAAACCAATTTGTGTCCTTGTTTCTTTGCTTGAAGTAACAAACTGTCACTAGACAGAGGTTTACTTCCAAAATTCAGAATTATATCTACAAAATTTGGCACTGTACCAGTCATCATAGCCTATATCAAGAGAAATATATGATTTATTTTTATATAAATCAACTCTTCTCTTAATTTGTTCACAAATTACTATCTTACTTTTATCCTGGGCATTGTTACTGTCGGTGATTGCAATTTAGCTCTTAATAAGCATCCAGAAGAGTTTGCTAGTAAACTATTTGTTAATGGCATAGCAAATTTTCCTACCGGATTTGCAACAAAATCCCATCTTAGTGCATCAATCACCATGATTATCAGTTTTTTTACTAACGGTTTATATAGCATATCTGTTTGTATCCTGAAAATAGCATCATATTAAATATAATTTTTGAATTATACATTCTTGAACATATTATTACAGGGAAATTTCTTACAAAATTTATTAATTTTAATATTTTATCTATTTACAATGTACTTTTTACATATTTCAATTATTTTATACTTAAAATAAAGATATAATAATGTATTTAATGTTATCTTCTGATTACCAAAAAAAATGAGGTTAACTCACCTAACATTCTCAACATGTTGCGGAATATCTTTTCGAGTGGCGATTTTGTCACCATAATTAACAGTTGGGAAGAAACCATATAAATATAAAGCAATGGAAATTGGTGCAATTAATAATACATAAACCAATAGAAAATCATTTGTACGCATCTTTCCATAATTTTATCAACAATAATTGACACACAGCTGAGTTTCGATGCACCAATACCCCAACATGTAGCTAAGGACGCCGGGGCTTTGTCCCATACGTCATTCTAACAGCTGAGTTTTCTCTCTCTCTCTCTCTCTCTTTCTCTCTCTCAATATTGGCTCCAGATGCCTGTTAAGGCAAATCTCCAACGCCGTTGAACGATAAATATGCCATTTTCCGTTTGTATTGATAGGCAAATAAATAAGCAGAGACAAAACGAGTGTTATCCTCCAACCAAAAATAACGCATTACGAAAACCACGAAAGCTAAGATACAACAGTTGAACTGAGCGCCAGATATCAAAATCGATATTCTCGATTCTTCGATTATTCCAGACATCGAAAGTCGATTTGCCCACGCGGGAAAATATAAAATAATATTTTTCGTGATTCTAATATTTGATACATTAAAAAATATTAAATATACTATTTAATATTTAATAAAAATTCCTTTATTTTTATATAATTCATGTAGCTAAAAAGAATTTATTATATAAAAAATGTAAGTAAATATAATATTAATAAAGTAGGTTAAAAGTGAATTTGATCATTTATATTATATATTCTTATTAAATTCTTATTATATATTCTATTAAATTTATAATAAATTTTCTTATACTTGGTATCTATATCGATATTAATTATAACGGTATCAATTATATTTTTTTCATCAAAGTTACATGACAGTTAAAGACAGTTAAATGACAATTAAAGAAATCGACATGATTTTATTCCGTGTGAGATGAAAAGATAAATTCTTCCGTAGAAAAATAATAAATCATGCTTAAGAAAATAATATTTAATGTGAGATTTTCTCAGGTACAATGGGAGATACAAATTTTCGCATTCAAGTCGTTTTGTCATTGCAGACACCCTATATAGAGAAGCTTGAACAAATCGGCCGACGAAACCGATCAATAAGTAGAGGAAGACTGTTTTGTCGGCCAACGCAACGTAACGCGCCGTGCTATAGAGTAGTTACAACGCGTGTGAATCATGTTTCGGTAATTCCCACTATCCCGGAGTACCACGGGTTTTCTTTCGTCTATCAAAATAATTGTGAGTGTACAATATAAAGTACATACCCAATGTTCACACGAATATCAAACAGAGCTTGTTTTATATGAATATGTTTTGTAGATTTGTGTGAGGGCTAAAATGTCCATATTTCTATTCAGATATTCGACTCGTTGAATTTTTGATTCCACATGATGATATTACATAATTTTATTTATATTCATGTTTTGTGCCATGATGGAAATTTTATATATGTAAATGCATAAATATTTAAATACTTTTTAGCTTTCATATCTCATTTCTCAACTTTATATTGTTGACTATTACGTAAGTAATTACAAAATTATATTCTATAATTTCTTATAGTGGATTTTACTTTCTAATTTCTTAATATTCCATGTTCCATACTTGAAACAAGGATTTTTTGCATATGAGTCGCAAATGAACACAATAATTAAAGTTTATTTATGAGAGCCAGTTCCGTAAAAGTAAAACTTATGAAATTCAACATTTCGTATGCAATATGATTGATAAAACTAATATTTGCAGCAACAATGGTATCGCTCGAAGATAGTTGGAAGGAAGCCACGGAGGGCTTAGACGAGGTGGTCTGCGATACTTGGTTCACGAGGATACAGGAAGTTTACTCAGAAGAGAAACGCACGTATCATAACCTGGACTCACTCAGAGAGAAATTGAATCATTATTACGAGATCAAGAACAACCTGAAGAACCCGCAAGCCGTATTGCTCGCAATATTCTTTCAAAAGCAAGTATCTAAATTAGAAGAAGTAAAATGTACTCTATGTACATTTATTGCATTTTTATTGTAATATTTATTATATTTTTATTTTATATCTACGTTTTTATCGGTAATAACTGGCCTCAATTCTGTTGTAGTTTCGAATACGAACCCAAAGCTATGGATGATGAAGACAAGAACCTTGAGCACTTTAACGCTTTCGCTGATGAAGCCGAAATTCCACCGGTGAGTGTACATTCAAACTTTGATAATTTCCACATATTTTGTATATTAATTTCTATACATTGATAGCAACATCTGAAATATAGCACAATTTCTTATCATGTATCGTTCTTTATTATGTATCTAATTTATTACACGTTTATATTAAAATACGAAAATAATGTGTATGTAACATGTATGTATGGGTGTATGTATGGGTGATCAAATTATGGGAATTAAAATCGTATTTTTTAATTTACCATGATTGAATAATCAAGGATGCAGAGCTCAAAGAGGAGACGTGCGCTCTGCTCAAAGTAGCGGCGACTCACAGTACCGAGGCTCATAAGGTGGGTGGTGCTTTCGGCGGCGAAGATGCCCACTACTTCTTGGATTTGGACATGGCGGTGCTCGGCTCTTCGCCGGGCAATTATGCCGAGTATAGGGAGCGAATACGTGGAGAATATTATTTCCTTAGCGAACCTATGTACACGGCGCTACGGTTGAAAGTGAGTTAAAATAAAAAAGAATAAATAAAAATAAGTAAAAAAAAGATGCATTAAAAATACATAATATAATACAATCAATTTCCTGCGATTCTCAACGTGATTTTACCGTTAAGGTGTTGCAGAATTTCCTGCAAATCCCGAACATCTTCGCTACTATGGAATTTCGCGACAAGTTAGAGGAACAAGCGCGACAGAACATCCAGGCGGAGGTAGAGATGCTGTCTTAGAACATCCATTGTTTTGTCTTGCTTCAGAACTACGGAAAGAAAATATATTACTAAATATTTAATATTAAATATTTATATATCACACGATTATTATAAATATTTAATATTAAATATTATCGAGGGTTCTCTCTCAATATGCAATTGCTATTCGATTTTTAATGAGAATCCGCCGATGATAAGAACTTGCTTCAATCTAACCAAAGGTTTTGACATTGAACATAATCAGTAACATGGTGCGAAGAGGATTTCGACACCTACCTCATTACAGTGACATGTTCGTTGTTGATTCCGCGCAAAGGTACAGCGAATGTCAAACCGCTTATTCATTCATAATTAATGAGAATCTCTCGATGAATGCGGAGAGAACGTTAATCCGCTGTTTCTCGTGCACGAGTCACCTCAAGTATGTTGAATTTAATTATATATATTGTCGTTTTCCGTAATTAGTTTATATATTTATTAAATATAATAATTGTACATATAATTAGTTCTTCGTTCCAACTATTTTTTTCTGAATGTACGAATCTATATCATATCATATCTCATCGCTTACGCACAATTTCTCCATGGAGATACTCTGTATGAAATTTCTTGGGTGGAAATTTCACGGCTCGTTAGTACAGTTTAATGAGTTACTTTAATAAATTTAGTTAGATAAGTTAACTTAGTTTAATAATTATCTAATTGATCGTCGGAATTATCTCACTGTTCGGACTTGCGTAATGGGGCGAGAATGAAACTTAGAGAATAATAATCGCAATTGTCGTATCATCGGAATTTATAAAATGGAATTGACACGCGTTTATGGATAAATGTAATAACGAGTATATATATTTTAGAAAGAATATTTTCACGCGAGAGAGTGATCGAAAGATTGCGAATTTAAATTCGGAAGTAACGCTTTGCTCACTCCACACGTGCAGCACGAAACGCTCTCTTTATCTTTTATGACTTCGAAGATCCTTAGAGATTTTGAGAACTTGTCCGGGATTCTCGGCAAATTCGAGAGATTCCTAGGAACTCTGATACGTCCATAGATCTGAGTGAAAATCACTGGTGCTTCTCGAAGATCTTCGAGACAAGCTTATTTCTTCGACGCCGGTAATTGTCGGATTTTGTGCAAATAAAGTTTAATCGATGCTGCAAAAGAATACATACTTTAAGACTCGTATCGAAATATTGAGAAAAGAGTTGTTAAGTAATGATTAAATCGCGGCATTTGGAAATCCACGACCGAGACAAAATTCTGGCCGAGATATTACGAACGATGTACAATGAAATAAAGATGATTATTAAGTACATCTGTTTTCTTACTACGATACAATATATACTATGTCCTTACATACTTGAAAAAATCGTATATATTTTATTCCCAATATTTCCTCTACATCGTACTAACATTCCATATCAACTACATCAATATCGTTTTTATTTCGAAGAAACTGATTTTATCTTACGTGAGATCTCATATCGTTTTTTATACAAACATAATCTGAACTTTTCAGCATTTTTTATACTTTGATACTTTGAAAGTGATTTTAAGATATGTATATATGAACAAGCATTCATTTACGTTCATATTGATTTCTTTTCGCGGGGTTTCCAAGTAACTGTGGTTTACCTTAGATACCTCAGTAAGGGCTGCTAACAAGCCCTATCGCGGGAGATCAGGAAAATCGTTTTGGTATATAAAAAATCTATTTATCGATTTATCATCAGAAAACGTGTTATGCCGTTGCAACTTGAGGTGAACGACAAGATTTGCGACGACAATGAGGTAACAGCGATGTGTGTAAAATGCTATCTATAGTCACATTACATTACAAATATGTATTGAGAGAATTCACTTTAATACACAAGACCCATTCTTAATCTCAGTAACAAATTTTTTAAATCACATTCTCCTCTCTAAAGCACGAGAATCAAGATAGAGAGTGAATTGTGAAAGAAAAATATTCTATACATTGAAATTAATTCTTTTCATACTCAATATAGAATATGATTTAGAGGAATACGTAGAATGTTCAAAACTGTACGCACATTTTATATATTATGTAACATACAAAAGATTCAAGTATACAAAAGTATATTTATATTTAAATCTTTGTATATACATAAGACTTAAGAATATTTGGTAGAAAAGGCTCTAACGGATTATAATAAGAACGAAATCTTAGAAGATAGCGAATAAAAAACAACGATTTGTAGGTGCCAAAATATCAGAATACTTATCATATGGAATCACAAAATCCTTTCAAGACTGATCAAGTTGATAAAATCGTGAGATCGGTGATGAACAATCGCTTGGATGAACTTACGTATGATAACGCAGAAAGTATGAAATTATGCGGTGATATCGCATCGGAAATCCGCCGACGTATGAAGAAACTCAATTTTAACAGGTGCGCTGAAAATTTTCCAATCTCAACCGCAAAATGTCCAATAAATTGCGATATCTCTTGAATAAAACTCTTAGGAAAAGAAAGATATTGTTCATCGTGTCTTTCCAATTTCCAATATTTTTTGTAAGCCTCGAGCCAAAAGGCTATGGAATAAAGCAGACTTGAAATTAATTGAAAAGTATCATTTTGTTCACTGCTTATCTCTCTGAAATTTAATTTGCCAAATATTTTTTCTTTCTTCTGAAATCGGACTCATTGAATTTCAAACTCATAATTATGATGTCACAATGACATTGTCACCTTTGTCAAAGAAAATTTGGCATATCACCTTTGTCAAAGAAAATTTAATTTTACTTTAAGTTCATGAAAGTGATTTATTAATTGATTATTATTATATGAAAGTCGCGTGAGTTGTAGAAAATTCTATTGTAACATGTAAATCCTAATTGCAGAGCTAAATGTTAACAAAAGTGATAGACATTACAAAGCGTGATTGACTTTACAAAGCGTGTCCCTGAAGACCGCTATTTTCCAATTCACTTCAACATTATAATTAGAAGAACGTTCTTGAAAATATGTACTTACAAGACACAGGGAGACACTCGTTACGCTCGACGGACAATTTATCATCGTTACTTCTAGGTACAAAATCGTCATCGTCGTTACGATTATCGAGAAGGTCAGTCAGTCTGTGGAGACTACTGTTGGTTACTTGTGGGACAGCGAAAAGGATAACTACTCCGTTTTCTCCTTCGAGGGCCGGACTTTTCACGCTTATTGTTGCGTATTTGGTCTCTATTACGAATAACTTGTAACATGTTTTGAAAATATTATTAATATCAAATTATATAAAATACATGTCATATCAACGGGCATACAAAATTATCTGTGAAGAATAGTACATTCATAATATAATTAAAGTGTAATTATGCGAGATAATGTTCGAGGTAATCTATGAAAAAAATAAAATAAAAACTCCTAGTATTCACGTGTAAGTCGCATAAATAGTTGTCATATATCTACAAGTTGAGAGACAGTCCTATTCGTGACGTCGATTCAACAATCGGACTTGTTTCTTCCGCCAAAACGATTACACGGATATTTTGCTTCACCTCGATGGGTATCAACAAGGATATCATGCCTCTCATACTTTAGAATTACAAAGATGTGGCCCACAGGAATTGGAGAGCATCCCTATCAACTTCTTAACTGTTTTTTACAAGCTGAGCTACGCATATGCGACTCCTCGTCTATTATCCCTGACGACACGATGATGAAAATATCTCATTTTAGATGCGACTCTAAGGAATCTCCCTTCCCAAAGTCGCTTTCTACCTGGTAGAGAATCCCGTGATCCTCAAGGGCTGCAAAAATAGAATATGTGATTGAGTGAGGTTGAAGGAAATGTTGGTCCTTGTGTTGCAGACGATTGCGATTTACAACTATGTGGCGTAAAATTTTAAGGAGGATCACATCAAGATATTCGACAGAGTTTTATAAAATTGTGATGTAGAAGAAAAATCTATCAAGCAACAAAAACTATGATCGCATGAACATTGATCAATATTCGATAATTCACTCTTTGTTATACAAATTATCTCCCCTGCCCCCCCCAGTGAGCAAACTTTAGGGATAACGCATACAGGAGAGAAAGGATCGTGCTTGCGTCTCCGACGTCGTGGTAGGAAGGTAACGGGGAAGGGGTGTAATTTTTATCTTGCAAGCGCAGAATTGACTCGTCCCAGTATTTCAGGGTTCAAATTAGGACGGAACGCCGACGTTCGTAGCTAACCAGGTCGAAGAGGTCGCGATACGTCAGGTTTAAAACGTTAGACATGCGCTAGGCGCCGGTTGCTAGAAGCAACGAAGCTCGACGACCTCGCGACGGTATGGCGACAGTGCCGCACGAACTGCCGTGGCGAACGGTACTCGCGATCGTGTCTAGGTACACCCACATACCTGTTTACATCGTACGAATACACTCATTGACACATACGAATACACACTCGAGTCTCGTTCTCGATTTTCCTTCCTACGCCGAGCGGCGTCGGCGGTAGCTCGATCAGCCGCACCCTACAAGTTCTCGAGTGACGTCTTGGATTCTCGGATACCTCCTTGGTAGCGAGCGTCTCTGAATTGTTGTACGTATATATGAATTACGCCGAATTTCTATTCACCATGACTTCGTTGAAGAATGAGTTCGGCTTGCTCCTGAAAGTAAAATATCCCTTAGGTAAAATTGATTTAGAGTTAAAATCGCAGAGCGATATTGGGCAAGATCAAACTAACGGCGTACCTCTTGAAGTCTGAAATAATCGGATCAATGAACATCTGATTTTTAGCGTCACACAGAACCGTGCTATTTTGAATGACATTTGAATTTTTCTTCATAGATTGAGTTCAACTTCCTTTCAAAACATTAGAATTCTCCGATCATTGGATCATTAAGGACGTGAATTTTAGATTCCTCATGAACTCTAGTGATCATAAATTATCAGATATTAAGTGCAAACATTGTACATTATGCTGAGGCTTTTAGGACGCATCGATCCTATATTTCTCATTTCCTCAAACTTTTTATATATAACAGTTAAAATCTTCAATTAACAATAAATAGATCTTCAAGATCCTTGCATTCCTATTCCTATTGGATACTGGAAAAAATTTAATATTTTCAAATCACTGAATGACGTGTGTGTTGAAACAACGCCGGAAACGACCGATTCGCGACCTTAAAGTTAACATGAAATTAACATATCGCGCACTGGCACGCTCGCGCGCCACGAGATGACAATTTAATTCGCGCTTCGCATCAAATATCACATTAATCTCGTGTGTCGCGTGATCGCAAGCTCTGTAATCCCCGCGAATTCCCGCGATTCGGACAGCGAGAAGTGCGCATGCAGCGTTCGCTTTCACGGACGCCACCGATCGCTGTCTCTCTCGCCGACGATGAATCGAGCGAACGAGTTGCGCGGATTTCACTGAAACACGAGCAAACTCGCACGAATAATTACAGGTACACACTTACTCCTGCTAAGAACCATCGAGCGTGACCAACGTCGTCGTCCTACTTTCATGAACAATTGTCACGAATGCGCGGTCTATCACGCCGTCATTTATTGCTGCGCGCGCGATACTCCCTAATCGGAAGAAAATCTTTACCGAAAACCACGTTCGCAGCACGAGACAATGCTCGGAGTGAAAATGTGAAAATTAGTTTTCTCTTTATGGAGCTTGGTTCCCGAGAAAATATTTCGCATCGAAAATTAATAACACATCATTCTACCATGTTTACATTGAATAACTCTGAATTACTTTGTCCACGCAATGTATCTCGACAGTGGCTGTCGGATCGGATTACATAAATTATATCTTGCTTAAAAAAAGATTAAAGGATAATTGATAAAAAATTGCAGGACAAGTTATTTGTAAAATATCAAATTTCAATATCACCCGATTCTTATATAACATATTATGAACAGTCACATACGATTATAAAAAAGACATGACATCACCTATTCTCTCAAATTTTTATGTTTGACCCTCTGAAAAACGAAATTTCTCGCAAGAGACGTTTTCATCCCGTCACTTAATTACACAGAATCGCCCCTACTCTTAATTATACTATACGAGTAACGAACGATTCTGCGTATTACACTGCGCTGTTTTCGAAATAGCATGTAAAGCAACCGGCGTGTAATGGATTTCACATTGAAATGAGAATTGCAGCCAAGTTGGACGACGGCACTTGGTACTCGCGGACATGAGAAATTAAGTATAAGTAGGCCAAGTAGCGAGTTGTTAGGATAAAAGAAGGTTCCGCTAATCGCCGAAGTCGTGGTCAATCGTATTATCGTGGACTTACGTCTACGCTATTTCTGTACGTCGTCTAGCAGTTACAATCCTCGATTACAAAGTACCGAGGATATTGTTGCGGAGATAGATCTCCGAGGCAACATCGAAACCGGTTTCCGTTGTGCAATACGAGTGCTAACGTAATTTTATTCGCGTCTCGTTTCTTTCGTAACATTATCCTTGCCCTTGACGTCTACCTCCTCAATACAGTATGTTACTTTCTCACAAAAATATATCTCGACAGATTTCTCATATCCTTACAGACTGACGAAAACTACGAAATGCTTGAATTGCTCCAATTCTTTCAGCATCCGTTTCTCAAATAGTATTCCTCGAGACATGAGATTCCTCGTTTCCTTGAGATGTCAGAACCAAATATTCTCCTGCAAGAGTGATATTTAGAATATAAGAATAGATATAAGAGACGGAGAAATAATCGAATCGCGCAGGTGTAGGTAACTAGATACGTCACAGTGACTCGCGAAAATCGTCGTTCATCACCTTCTCTCTAATTCATCGCAGTTAACGCTTCATCGGCATCTTGCGCTTCGCGATGATCTTAACGCGCATGAGAATACGCGCGAACACTTCCGGTTACGCAATCGCGGCTACGTTACGCTAGCGCAGTAATAAGTTACATTCCGTGATGTCGTCAGCCACGCCGGTGAAATGTAGGTTTATGGAGGTCCGCGGAAAGCAAAAGGAAAAACACATTTTTCCAAGAAACTTCCCGCGTGGCCCACAAAACGCTTCATTAAAATCGCTCGAAAGATTAGTTCTTGAAGCTATTATCGACGTAACCGGTTGACTACACCTCGTATAAATTTCTTTCGCAAAAGTGGTGAAACAAACAAAATGTTTTTTAAGCGCGAAAAATCAAAGAAGCAGGAAGAAATGATGAATGGACCGATCTCTCAGATCGGTCAGAATTAACGAGAATAGTTGACGCTAGAAGATATATGGACGTCGTAACAAAAGATCACAACTACATACTAGAACAAATCGAGACGTGATTCATCTACATCCGCATGAGCGTTAACGTTACGAAAATATCCTTAGCCGATGCTTAAAGATTGAAGAAAGATTGCATGAAATCGCAGGTCAACAACCTCTACAATGTCTACGCTACCGTCGCTATTGGTGGTCACATCGCTCCTAGCCTTCTCGAACGTGTTCAAGTGTTTCCACGTGTTCGCACGCGATGTAGATTATTGTTTCGCCGATGAAGATGATCCATATCTTTACATGGCTACCAAAACAGCCTATCACTTCGTTCATGGTGGCAAGACTCGATTCCAGACAGTGCCGAGTAAGAAATCGTTGTTGGCTGGTCGAATAAATAAATTAATTAAATAAAAAAAAAAATATATATATATATATTCGTGAATTATGTTATATATTACTATAATATTATAACATTAATATATAGAGTCAAAATTTAATTTGGAAAACTATCAAAATTGTTATCGTTACCGTCATTTGTATGTTTAACAGACTGTCGGCCAGTGCAAATGTGGATGTTAGCTACATATGGCACTCGTTGTCCAACTCTCGAAGAGATCAACATGATTAACTCTTTGACCGATATAAGGGATCAGATACTACACAATCACGAAACGCGTGGGGGTGAGTCCTTATAAACAGGTATTTTCGTGTTTCTCACATCGACTTTCCTTGAATCGCCAATCACTTTCTGATACACGTCATGTAGTCGGTCATATGTGCAATCGAGACTTGGACAACTTGAAGAGATGGCAACCGGACGAATATCTCAAGCCGCATCGGGCGGAGGCATTGACGCCGCAGGGAGTCGAAGACATGAAGTTGTTGGCAAGAAGATTACAGAGCAACTTTCCAGAACTATTACAGCCCTTCACAAGCAACATATCGTCCAGCAATTACAAGGTGTTCCTTTGCAATTGCAATTTCTCGACTACAAGTATAAACGCGCAACATTAACGATATCAGCTAATTCGATCGAATAATTCGTCAGTCAATAAGTAAAATCGAGTAAATTACGAAGCAATCGTAGCGATTGATTTTCAGTTCCGGGCCAATGAAGCGCAGCGCAGTATGGAATCTTTCATGGAAGGATTATTCGGAAGCAGGAATGCTGTAGTCCCCGAGGAGAGTTTCTTAAACGACACCCTACTGAACGTGAGTTCAGCTGCGTGCTTCTTCACTCTTTTTTTCATGCCTATAAAGAAAATATATATTAAAGATAAAAAGAAAACGTAATCTGAAATTCGAAACGCAAAATAGCAATCGGAAAGATCGTAATCCCGAAATCGGGAAGCTTTTCGGAATATTATTCTCCATTTAATTTCACAGGCATACAAGACATGCGGTGTGTGGGAGAACGACGAGCATCAGCAATCATACGAGAATACGGAATACGACTTGTTCGTCGTTGGACCGATATTTCAAAATCTCGTACATAACGTCAGCCGACGATTAGGATTTCTCTACAATATCTCTAGTGGTGCGTACGTCGAAGTGATATCGGTTTTATCGCAATTAATAATTTCATTTCTAATTATTTGAATTATTAACGAAAGAGTTATTTGTATCTTTATAGATCGTATCAATGCCATGTATGAAGCGTGTCGATATGAAAAGGCTTGGACGGTCATCACATTGTCGCCCTGGTGTGCTGTCTTCAACAAAGAAGAACTTCGAATCCTAGAATACAGAGAGGACCTCAATTATTACTACAAAGCAGGCTATGGACGTGAAATCAACGCTCGGCTGGGATGTCCCTTGTTGCACGATATGATGCAACATTTTTGGTAGCTCTTTACGAACAAGTTTTACCTCAACTATCTTAATATGAAAATTTCCACATTTTCCTTAAAGTTTTTGATATGTTATTCTTAATTATGCAAAATACATTATAAAATATCTTCAAATTTTTCATTCATTTTCTTAATTTGTTTTTCCAATTTTTTTTAAATTGATATTGTTTTTTTCTTCCTAGATACGGATATATTAATATATATTATTATAAATGCACATACATTTTAATTAGGAACATAGCACACGATGAGACATCGAACGAACCCATGGGCATCTTCTACTTTAGTGACATTGTTAGTCTGCAAAACCTTCTGACCACAATGGGCATAAATGAAGATCAAACACCATTAACTGCCTTCACTTATAAAGATATGGCCAAAAGACAATGGCGAACTTCTTTAATATCCTCTTTTGCCGCGAATCTCATTGCAGTATTTTATAAGTAAGTGTATGAGAAAACTTTTCTCAAAAACATGGACAATTGCTGGTTATCATTTATTTCAATTCCACTAACTTTACAACTAGTCACTTTTATGACTAAATTGATTATTTAATTGTTATTATATATTAAATTTAATACAAACAAATAATTGCTAAATTTATAATTATATACAACTCTCACAACTAATTCATATACTAATCCAGAAATTACAAAATTTTTTTTATTTTTGAAGTACAAATAAATTTCTATTGGTATATTTGCTACTACTTTTTTAGATATATAAAAATTTCTTTGTCTTTGTATTTCAAAAATTCTGATTTATATAAAATATTAAATATTTTTAGGTGTAATGACAGTAAAGACAACAATAAAGTAATGTTTTACCTGGCAGAGAAACCAGTACAATATGATGGTTGCTTAGTAGGACTCTGCGACTGGGAATTTTTGAAGAGCAAATTTGGACAGCTAGCATCTAATTGTAAGTTGGATGTCTGTTGGATAGAAAGTGGAGCACCTGCTAATCTCTTGCTGAACTCCATAGCCATCCACTTTGTGTGCTTCATTCTAGTCCTCCTTGGCTATTGACTGTATATAAGATAATTTCTTAGCCTTTATTTCAACTACATTAAAAGTTGAATTGTAAGATATTGAACACAATATTGTAGAAAATTATAAGATATTAAGTTATAGATGATTGTTCATTCTTGATTCTCTTGATAAATGAATCGCGGCTTTATATCGGCGTTAAATAAATTATATTTAGAAATGTAATAATTTTGAATATATATGCGCGGAAATAATTATTATTAATAATTATAATAAATGTAATGATTAAATGTTCACAAAAGTAACTAATTCTGCATTTGTAAGTAAAGATTATAAATCAATATCCCATTTTACTCGCAAATATATAATGATATGCTTTTCATTTACATATAAATAAATAAATGAGTGAGTGAATGCTTCGATCTCTCCGCTTTTGTACAAAGTATAAAAAGCATTCAAAATATTGCAATAGGTGAACCTCAAAATAATCGCAAGGTTTATAAATGATAATAATACTTTCATCATATCAAAATAATTTCATTAGTAATTAGCAATTAGCCAATTGTAATAAGTAACTTATGACAAAAAATTATCATTATTATCAGTCATTATAATCGTTATTATCAAAGTCAAAATGTTTTTCGTGTAGAACTCACCATTTTGTCTACTTTCGCGGTCACTCATATTTATTTGAAATATATCAAAGTTATCGAAGTTGGTAACCGTTGCTAAGATGTCGATATACATAATAATATCGATGCATATAATATCGACATTCGATTGCGAACGACCTCTTGCGGAGAGAACTTAACTCTCTTATGTGACGTCACTGGGATACGCCATACACTATGCAAGTGTTAAAATCATATATATGGTTAAAATCGTGTTCGACTTTCCAATATGTCCACGTAGGATGAAATTTTCCTGTTCCACGGAAGAATCACTAGACATGATGACTTCGTAGCCACGAGGTAAATACGTTTACTTCGGTATGTCATTCCTGGCAGATTACTGTCAAATATTTTAATTTTAATATTACCAGAATCACTGTGAATGGATCTTCAAATGTTAAATTCTGGTTTGATTACGTTAGCTGTCTCGTATATTCTGCATTCTGTCAGGAGAAAAAACAGTTATGCGAGTTTAAGAATTATAAAATTCTAGGATCTTTACTCACAATATTATATTAGTTGTATATTTCAGAGCTTGACAGCTGAATGTGACTATGGCCAGCCCACGGACGCGACGAGTGCTCGGTGAATTGAAACCAAAGGATGAAAACAATGTAAGTTTTGTTAAGATAAACTAAAATATGCAATATGATTATAATCTATAATAATTTATCAATTCTCGATAAAAAAACATACTAAATCATATGTTAAATATTAACATGTCTTATATACTTCTATACTTAAATATGTATGCGTACTTTGATTGACTTTTGAAATATGATTTTGGAAAGCTTTCACTTTCCTTTTATTTATTGTTAACATATGGAATATGTTTTGTAATTATATTTTAAATATATAGTATACATTTTAAATCTCCTATATGTAATTTAAATGGCTATTCATATATATCTTCTATGCTACAGTCTAGGAGATATTTTCTGTTATAGCTAGTCTTATTCTGAATATATATACAAAGAGCTATATAGACCAATTTTCCTATCACTAAGTATATTAATATATTAATGTATACATATGTGTGTATATGTATATATTTTCCTTAATTATACACCTAAGTCATACACACACACATACACACATACATATTTGGATATATACTTTGATCTATCATAATTAAGGAAAAATGTTTACATCTTTAAAGTTTGTTCATTAAAACCATGAATATTTATATAAAATCTATATAAATTGTAATAACTTTTAATTGAAAAGATATAATTTTTTTTTATATTTTTTAGAAATGTTTTGAATGTGGAAGTCATAACCCACAATGGGTATCTGTGACATATGGTATTTGGATATGTCTGGAATGTTCTGGCAAGCATCGTGGTTTGGGTGTGCACTTGTCATTTGTCCGTTCTGTCTCTATGGACAAATGGAAAGATGTGGAACTGGAAAAGATGAAAGTGGGTGGCAACAGAAACGCTCGAGAATTCTTTGAAAAACAACCTGACTGGGATGAGTCCATGTCTATCTCACAACGTTATAATACAAAAGCAGCAGCATTATATAGAGACAAAGTAAAATACCTGTGTATAGATTGTAGTTACAAATTAAAAGTGTGAATCTTGATCTGAGAATAATACATAAAACTTAGATTGCTACATTGGCACGAGGAGAGCCTTGGAGTCCAAGTAGTTCAGGAGCTAAAGATTTCCAGCCTTCCATCTATCTCGAAAGCAGACAAGAGCATTCGTATCAAAGTGACTTGACTCCAACATCTTATCAAAATATAGACTCAAATAGCTTGAAGGCACAAACGGAATCTTTCTTTGCTAAGAAACAGAGTGAAAATGCCAATCGACCAGAGTCAGTAACTATCATATAATACTATATTCTTCCACATCCTATTCTCTATATTTATAAGATGAATAGTTAAATAATTTTATACCATGTCCATTCTTCTTTCCTTTTTTTTTCCTGATAGAAATATACCACCTAGTCAAGGTGGCAAATATGGAGGATTCGGCTACCAAATGGACCCACCGCCCAAAAGTTCATCTCAAGAACTGTTTGATAATGCAGTTTCTTCATTAGCAACTGTATAGTTCATCTTTGTGCAATTTCTACAAATTTAGCGAATTAGCCGAACTATTAACACAAGACAGCTCATTCTTGCAGGGTTGGTCAATATTTTCCTCCTCGGCTTCGAAAATAGCAAGCAAGGCTACCGAGAATGCTATCAAAATCGGAGGGCTCGCAACACAAAAGGCAAATGATCTAGATATCAATACAATAGCCACGAACGCTTTGATAATCATCAGTTATAAATATTTGTCATTTTTGTAATATAAAGATTCTTTTCTATTTCTTTTTAATCCTAGTTAACTTTTTTGTCGATGCATATTGTTTGGTGACATTTATTATTTTCCTTTTTAAAGTTGTATTTTCATTTTGTTTCTTCTCTCTTCTATTAAATCGCATTATTAGGTTCGCGATGGCACATTATTAGAAGAAGTTGGGGCCCAGGTCAATCATTTAGCTGCAAAGGTATAAGTTTATTTGTTTTCAACATCTTTTGTTTAATTTTGCTTAAGATTATGTTATATATATATATATATATATATATATATATATATATCATGAAGTTTTTAAGTTACTAGATAAACATTAAGAAATTTAATTCCTGGAAACATGCACAGGTAGGAGATTTAGGAAGAAGAGGGTGGGGCGACATCGCTGGGACCAATTCAGCTGAACAAAACCAATATGATTCCATGGACCGGTATCAATGTTCCAATAATACATACCAGAATAGCGATTCGGTACAATCTAATCGTTCCAATGAAAAATCGTCTCTTGTGAGAAGTTCTAGTTCGAAGTAAGTTTGTTTCAAATCCCTCCCATTTGCATTTTCATTGATATAAAAATTTTGTACTAATTAAATCGTCAACAAAACTAAGGATTTATTAACGTTCATGTGTAAATTAATAAACACATTATTAATATTAATAAACAATTAATATCCACATGTAAGTGAATCCAATGTTTTATGGCAAAGGAAAAAGTAATATTTAGTTTCTTTAGTTATCAATCATAATTATTAGAATTTTCATTTTTTCCAAAAGCAAATACAAATACACCAAACAAAATATTCTGAATTTCAGTATTATACACAACAAAGTTTGTTATAACACTATAAAAATATTTGTCAATCCATTACATTGTATGTTTTTACTGCTACATGTAAAAAATATAGATTAACATATGAAATTGATTTTATAAATTTATTCAATGCTTTGCTTATTTTAGGGGTAATATCTCATCCACTGGAGGTTCTTGTAATATTTCAAATTGTGATTGGGAATGGGGTAGTGACACTAAGCAAATGAATAAGGCCTCGAAGAAACCAACTAAGGAAAAGAAAGAAGAGTCATTGATTAATTTCGAAGCGGACAATAAAGCACAGAACTGGAACTCAAAACTGGAAGATGATGCCTGGGAAATATTAAACAATTAATGATGATACTATTAGCGCAAATTAGAAAAAAAATATCAATACACATTGAGTTTAGCAGATTAACACGTTGACTGCCGTGTTGATTTCCTATTGATTGACAAAGACTTAATTGACAAATTATACCAAGTTAGTAAAAGAATGTAACTTGAACTGCATGCATCTTTTACATTATCTCATTGGTTCCTTATTGGTCATATAACCAACTGTTCAAATACAATTATATTTTATATGTAACTTCATGTGACACGATAGTACGATTATTTAGATTGATCCTTAATGACCATCATGACATTCAACGTGTTAAAGAAAAGCAGATTTGCCTTTCTGTATTTGGCAGATTTCTTAAAGAGAAGTTCAGTTTTCTAATATTCATAGAGTAGAGAGCAATTTAATTTTATAATTCATGTTGTATCAGTTAAGTTATTAATGGTTAATTAAATGAAACAAAAGCTACCTACCCTTACAGTCTTGGAACTATGTCAGATGATGATATTTAAGTATTCAAAATTAAAAAATATTAAAGAAATGTAAAAAAGAAGAGATTATATATAATTCAATATTAAAATGACTCCTATCTATCAATGGTTTAACATATTTTGTTCTTTCTTAGAAATCCTCTCTGAAAAAGAAATATTAAAACATTACATTTTAATTATCATAAAATAAAATCTAAAATATAAGAAAATTCTATAGCAGAAACCAACTTTTCCCTTGATATACTCGTCTATGAAGTGTTCTTCTATATTTAAATATTTCGCTACAGTATGTGAAAAGTTCCTGTTGTTTATCCAGCCATGCTTCATTTAATACTTCTGTAATTATAGTGTGTAAAACTTGCGCAGATTGCTCTGAAATGGCTGCAGGAACTTGGTTCATTGTTAATTTATAAAGAAAGTGGTATATTTCCCTGCAAAAATATTTATCAATTAGCTTTTCTTTTTGATATTTAACAATAAATAAGGAATTCAAGATATCTTATGGTGCAAAAGGTAACAAATTTTATAAATATCAATTATATCATCCTATCATTGATCCTAGATTGACAGTGATAATGTACAGTTAATTACAATAGAACAATTGTGGATATTATAATTATTAGTTGTAATTAATTTATATTTACTTTTTATTATCAACCTATAACTAAGCAGAATATGTATAACAGTATATACATACCTAAAATCACATTCTGCATTATCCTGATGAAAAGGATGTTGTTCATACCATTCAATGAATAGTAATGCCATTGGTATAGATTCGTTACTCTTGAATAACCCACCATGTACCCAATGAACTAATGAAGGTGTATCTTGAAAAATAATACGTAGTTCATCGAGTCTTATTTTTAATACTTTTTGAATTTCTTCTCGAGGCACAGAAAAAGATTCAAGTGGAAAATTTGGATATCCATATTTAAAGAGAGACCTCAGTAACAAAATCTGATCTTCCTTTTTTTTGGATAACAATTTAGCCACATTATTCAAGATTGCATCATTTTCATACGTTTCCTTTTTTGTTCTGTTATTGCTCATCCTTTAACAAAAAGATATCAAAATACTGCAAAAGCATGATGTAAAGATTCATTTAGAGAGTAAAGTTCTATCGGACATAAACATTCGAAAGTAATAATCAAGTAACAGAATATAATCAATCAACAAATTAACAAAGTTTATATTTCTTGCCAAGCCATATATATTGATAAGGTTATACATATTCTGTTAAGATGTCACTTTTAAAAATTTCATGTAATTATAAAAATTACTTTGATTAACTTACGTACTGTCCTATATTAACGTTGGTCTTGACAAGATAAAATGATTTCGGTTAATTTCTATCCGTTTATCATGGGATCTGTTTTTTTCAAGGGGTACAAACTCCTCGCATTTTAGTGGTGACGGAAGTGATTAGTTCGCTTATTCTTTCGGTACGTAGGCCAAGGGCAGTACAGTCGGTTCCCCACTACCACCAGAGAAGAACGTGAGAGTGGCCAACACGGTATTTTCGACGACACCGACTTTCCGCACTGGGAAAGGGCGCCAACTGCATCCATTTTGAGAGAGGAACTACGATGCTACATTCACTTTCAGGTTTCGGCGGTAAAATCTGTATGTGGTGGCATGTTCGTGCTACAACCATAATAGCGTACTTGACAAGCACGGTCTCGCACATTGTTACACATTTATAACATGAATTAACATGTTAACATGTGCAAAAAAAAAGAATTGACATTGTATATGATTAATATCATGAAGATCATACGAAGTGTCCGGTAATTAGCTGCCAACCCGAAGTGTGAGGGTAGATTGGATTGAGACAAACATAAAAGTCCCATACCATTTTGTGAGATTCGCAATAATTATCTAGTTATTAATGACAGAACAGACAGAAATCTGAGGAGTAAAAGCGCGCCGACATAGATGATTTAAAAAGCGTTTCAGCTGCTCGGGGCAGCGATCATGAATCTTTTCCCTAGCGTGGACTAATAAAAAGTGAAAGACTTCTGTGAATCAGTGAAAAATGAAAAATTTTATATGAATTTGTGAAAATCGAAACATTTCACACGACAATTGAGTCGTTCAACATGGCAGTTGGGGCGTTCTGGATAATTCAATGAATACCAAAGAAATCAAAATGATGAAAATAATAATGTCCGTGTAGTCCGAAGGATATTACGTGACACGCAAAATCCGCTTGTATATCCAAAGAATATCCGCTATAATATCCAAAGAAAATGTTTCAAAATATGTATGTACAGGTAATATAAACCCTATGCACCGACGAGATATACTACAAAGACTGATAGCCTTACGGGATTTAGCGTACTAGAGAAATTTCCCTGGTGAGGCACCCGGGCGAAAGAGACCGTCTCGCATTTAGCACAATAAAATTTAATGGGAACTAATACTTTTCAATCCTTTTCTTCGGATCAAAAAGATTCAGAATTCAGACATATTCAAAATGTCAATACTTTTTAATACGTTTCAATTCGACATTTTATACAGGGAAGAAGGACGAAGGGAATGGGATGCCGGCAACGATACATCATGCGTCTCCAGACGTGTCAAATTGTTCATTATAGAGGAGACTTTGATACGGCAACATGTATTCGAATATTTAATCGTCCCATGGACCACTTATATATAATAAATAAAAAAGTAATTAACGCGGATAAATGAACGATTCGTATCAATTTTTCCTTTCCTTATAGAACAATGGAAGAGTAAATCAGTATCGAAAATCGAATGCCGATTAATACCATAAATCAGTGTCAGAAAATTGTCCAATGACAATTTGTTCTCATTTTTCAAGTAGTTACCACTGTAATTTATATAACAAATTAACTCGGTTAAACGATCGATTCGTACCAATTTTTCTTCTTTTATAAAGAAGTGACAGAATAAATCAGTACCGAAAATCGAAGGCCGATCAATATCTAATTTACTCATCAAATTAACGCGGATTAACGGACGATTCGCATTAATTTTCTGTTTTCTTATAGAGAAATGAAAGAGTAAATCAGTACCGAAATTCGAATATCGATTAATACCATAAATCAGTGTCAAAAAATTGCACACGTGCAATGATAATTTGTTCTTATTTTTCAGGTATATATCCCTCTAATCTTATTCAACAAATTAACTCAGATAAACAAACGATTCGTATCAATTTTTCTTGTCTTATACAAAAATGAGAAAATAAATCAGTGCCGAAAATCGAAGACCGTTCAATATCTAATTTTTTCATCAAACTAATGCGGATAAATGAACAATTCGTCTGAATTTTTTCTGTTCTTATAGAAAAATGAAAGGAAAAATCAGTACCGAAAATCGAATACCGATCAATATCGAATTTATTCATGAAATTAACGTGGATAAACAAACGATTTATATCAATCTCTTTTTCTTCTAAAGAGAAATCAAAGACTAAATCAGTACCGAAAACCAGATATTGATCAATATTATAAATCAGCGTTAGAAAATTGTCCAAGTGCAATGACAAGTTGTTTTCATCTTGCAGGTACTTGCCCCACTAATTTACTCAACAAATTAAGTCGGATAAAAGAACGATTCATATTCAATTTTTATTCTCTTATAAAGAAATTAAAGAATCAGTCAGTACCGAAAATTAAAGACCGATCAATATTTAATTTATTCATCAAATTAACGCGGATAAATGAACGATCCGTATGAATTTTTTTTTCTTATAGAGAAATGAATGAGTAAATCAGTACCGAAAATCGAATATCGATTAATACTATAAATCAGTGTCAAAAAATTGTCCAAGTGCAATGACAATTTGTTTTCATTTTTCAGGTACTTACCCCTCTAATCTTATTCAACAAATTAACTCGGATAAACGAACGACACGTATCAATATTTTTTGTCTTGTAAAACAATGAGAAAATAAATCAGTACTGAAAATCGAAGACCGTTCAGTATCTAATTTTTTCATCAAATTAACGCGGATAAATGAATAATTTGTATCAATCTTTTTTTCTTTTATAGAGAAATCAAAGACTAAATCAGTATCGAAAACCGGATATTGATTAATACTCTAAATCAGCGTTAGAAAATTGTCTAAGTGCAATGGCAAGTTGTTTTCATCTTGCAGGTACTTAGCCCACTAATTTACTCAACAAATTAAATCGGATAAAAGAAAGATTCGTATCAATTTTTATTCTCTTATAAAGAAATTAGAGAATTAGACAGTACCGAAAATTGCAGATCGAACAATATTTAATTTATTCATCAAATTAACGTGTATAAATGAACGATTCGTATGAATTTTTTTTTCTTATAGAGAAATGGAAGAATAAATCAGTACCAAAAATCGAATATCCATCAATATCATAAATGAGTGTCAGAAAATTGTCCAAGTGCAATGACAATTTGTTCTTATTTTTCAGGTACTTACCCCTTTAATCTTATTCAATAAATTAACTCGGATAAACGAACGACTCGTATCAATTTTTTTTGTCTTATAAAAAAATGAGAAAATTAATCAATACCGAAAACCGAAGACTGATCAATACCATAAATCAATGTCAAGAAAATTGTCTAAGTGCAATGGCAAGTTGTTTTCATCTTGCAGGTACTTACCCCACTAATTTACTCAACAAATTAAGTCGGATAAAAGAACGATTCGTATCAATTTTTATTCTCTTATAAAGAAATTAGAGAATCAGTCAGTACCGAAAATTGAAGACCGATCAATATTTAATTTATTCATCAAATTAACGCGGATAAATGAACGATTCGTATGAACTTTTTTTTCTTATAGAGAAATGAAAGAGTAAATCAGTACCGAAAATCGAATATCGATTAATACTATAAATCAGTGTCAAGAAATTGTCCAAGCGCAATGACAATTTGTTCTCATTTTTCAGGTACTTACCCCTCTAATCTTATTCAACAAATTAACTCGGATAAACGAACGATTCGAATAAATTTCTTTTGTCTTATAAAAAAATGAGAAAATAAATCATTACCGAAAACCGAAGACTGACCAATATCATAAATCAATGTCAAGAAAATTGTCCAAGTGCAATGACAAGTTGTTTTCATCTTGCAGGTACTTACCCTACTAATTTATTCAACAAATTAAGTCGGATAAAAGAACGATTCGTATCAATTTTTACTCTCTTATAAAGAAATTAGAGAATCAGTCAGTACCGGAAATTGAAGACCGATCAATATTTAATTTATTCATCAAATTAACGCGGATAAATGAATGATTCGTATGAATTTCTTTTTTCTTATAGAGAAATGAAAGAGTAAGACAGTCAGTACCGAAAATCGAATATCGATCAATACCGTAAATCAGTGTCAGAAAATTGTCCAAGTACAATGACAATTTGTTCTCATTTTTTAGGTATTTATCCCTCTAATTTACTCAACAAATTAACTCGAATAAACGGATGATTCGTATCAATTTTTCTTGTCTTATAAAGAAATGAGAGAATAAATCAGTACCGAAAATTGAAGACCAATCAATATTTAATTTATTCATCAAATTAACGCGGTTAAATGGACGAGTCGTATCAATTTTTTTTTCTTGTAGAGGAATGAAAGAGTAAATCAGTACCGAAAATCGAATATCGATCAATACCAGAAATCAGTGTTAGAAGATTGTCCAAGTGCAATGACAATTCGTTCTCATTCCCGAGTCTTTCCCGAGTCGAAATATTAATTCTACATTGATCCTGCAAATTGCATCCAATTTGAAAAATCAATGTAGAATATCTAGGTGCGCAATAGTGAACAAGCTTTGTCCTACCTGAACGTTACATCTGGCTACTTTCGCAGTCTCGCCCATGATGAGTCTTCAACAGCGACGTATTCCGCAGTTATTTAATACTCGTTTATTTCGATAATGTATATGTACTTAATCCTTATATTCTTAATTTAAATGAGCAATTTTTGTTGATTTTGATTATATATTCGCTTAACAGCGCAAGAAAGAGAACAAAGATAAAAACGTAAATAGAACTGCCTTTGTTAGAATTGCGCGTGAGATAAATATATAAGGATTAAATAATCATATAAGAATTAGAGGAAATGGGAGGGGGATGAAAAACACTTTTTATTCTCATCATTCTTAAAGTTCTTTTTTCCTTTTTTCTTCTCTTTTTTTTCTTTTCTTTTTTCTAATGAGAATGATGAGAATTGTAGCTCTTAAAAGAGCTGAAGCTGCAAAAAGACAACGGTTATGTCTAATAATGCTGTTTCACTAATAGAGATTTTAATTCTGATTCGGTATAATAAGAAAGATAAACAAGAATGAGAAACGGACATTCTAGCAGATTCTAAACGAAAACAGCAATCTGAGCATTATTAGACGAATAAAAATCAACACTTGTAAAATTTATATCAGATTCTAAGATCATTATTCATAGTTTTTTTAAATTATGTGCAATTTTTCATTGAGAACATAATTAAAAATTTGTATTCATAAACCTTAGCTTGCCTCAGCAACCTTGCTTGAATAGACATTCATATTTTACGAGAAAAGAAAAGTAGAACTCATGTTACGTGAAATTAGTTTAACGAATAATCAAATCTCAAGCTATTTTTCAGATGATAAACTATGAATGCTGATCTAATTTCGACTCGGGTATGTCCTTACTTCGAGTAAGGTCCGTTAAAATTAGAAAAGTCCTGCGTAATAATAATTACTCGAGGTACCTCGAATACCATACATGATGTATCGCTGTCCTCGGCTACGTCTCTCGGCGCGCTCCGAGTCCTCTCTCCATCCTGACTTCTCGATCCGACGTCCTCCTGGTTACTCCATCGCAGCACCCCTGGATACTCCATCGTAGCACTGGCGACGACACTGACTCTAGCTCTAACACTCGCGCAAGTAAGATTCGGGGACAAAGAAACGCGTATTAACCGACACTGCTCTGCCTCGCGGCATGCGCGTCGTTCGTCGGCCCGAGGCGCAATGTCCTTTCCGCAATCACGGAGTCATATATAAGCGTACGAAAACAAACAATCGGGAAGGCACGGTTACCCCCCACCTTGCCGATCAATGTTAATGCCTGCGTCGTCCGTTAGCTGAAAATGAAAACAACTCGTGTTTTCAAAGCATGCCTGAGAGAGAGAGAGAGAGAGAGCTTCAAACTTCACAATAATTATTTACGTCTGTTCCAAGAATCATATTACGCTGAATTCAAACTGTCTCTATTTTGACATGACATACACGAGATCTGCGATCACATCATTGATCTTTCTTTGGACAAGAAAATCCTGAGAGGAACGCTGTTCGAGAATATCACATCTTATGTTTCAGGTGCCTTGCAAATTATCGAATCCGATGTAACAGATCAGGGAAAGTATGAATGCGTCGCTATGAATAACATGCGTGGGCACGGAGTACTCCAAGTCAATCACGTTATACGTGAAACGTACGTATATTTAATATTATATAAAACTTACCTTTTTAAACAAAAAGGTAAAAAAAAAGGCGCCAAGTACAAGCGCAACACGTATTGTGTTATTTTTAGAAGTACCAAACTCAAATTATTTTTTTTTATTGTATATATGTGTACATAAGATTTTACAAGTAAAACTTATAACTATAATAAAACTCTGCAATACTTTTCTACTGTACAAAAGAAGTGATATATTAGAACAGTAGCGCCAACTGAGAAATTCCGACTTTTTATTCCCGGAAAATTCGTCAAACGTCAAACGAAGGGCAAAAAGTGTCGTCGCTCGCGAGCCGATCAACACAATCGGCGCGATGTAAACATTGCGGACCTCGGCGGCGGTTGAAGCAAGAGAGACTTGCCCTTGGGCATCTTTTCTTTTCTCGAAGGTTCCGGGACAACGAGGGAAATGCGAGGAGGCCTTTCAACTGTACGCGACATTGATTTACTACTTATTGATTACTGAAAATAAAGAAAATTATTCTGTCGAAGCATCGGATATTTGTTAGCTTTATGTTAATTAAAGATGTGTACGATTAGAAAATATATTAACAACTAATTGTACAGAATGTCAAAGTTGTTGTAACGCCGTTTTCGGAGAATAATTAAGGGTCATGGTAGCGTTAAAGAGTGGAATTTCATTTCATGCGAATTTTGTCTCGTTCTTATTAAATGTTAGATTATCCGCTGCGGACAATAACTCTTCTACTTTTCATTTAATATTCAATGATGATAAATAACATTTAATTGCATTCGTTTGGCTTTTTTATTTCGAAAATAAGAAAATATATACCGGGGTGAGATTTTACCCATGACAACATTAACGTGATTTTCTTTGATGCTTTTTTTAAAAGTTCAAACATTTCGTCGACTCGCGGGATATTTATAATCGGAGTCTCGTCACGTTAATTACGTGAATAATACGTGCTCCTCCGAGCGGATCGAATGCTCACCGACGGCCACTGTCAGTGCCACGAGCGAATGTCCGGAGCGGACGGGATGCTGAATTAAAAAACAAGACGAAGTGAACGGGACGCGGATAACGATACATCATGCGTCTCCATACATGTCAAATTGTTTATTATAGAAGAGACTTTGATACGGCAATATATATTTGAAGATTTAACATTTAATACGTACTTTTATTTTTTCTGCTCCTCTCCCCCCTCTCCCCCGCTCTTTTTAGACCACTGGGCATAGTCTGGCATAGAGATGGCAACTGTCATTGCAGCACGGACATAAACCGCCTGAAAATGGATGTAGCATGGACTTCCACCATATGCAGATTTTACCACCGAGACCTGAAAGTGGATGTACTATCGTAGTTCCCCTCTCAAAATGGATGCAGATGGCGTCCTTTCCCAGTGCGGAAAGTCGGTGTCGCAGAAAATGTCGTATTGGCCGCTCTCAAGTTACTCTCTGGTATTAGCCGCTCTCACGTTCCTCTGTGCCACTACATTACGTATATAACCAGAAGAGGATTGCCGAATATATTGGTTATCTTGTTTAAAGCCAGCGGCACACGGTGCTTGTTTTCGTGCTGGATTGCTTGCTGGATGAAAATACTGCGTTGTGATTGGTATATTTTCGAAGATGGATGAAAATGCACCAATCAAAACGCAGTATTTTCATCCAGCAAGCAATCCAGCACGAAAACAAGCATCGTGTGCCGCTGGCTTTATTCTACTTGTAGTAACTTGTAGCCAATTGCTATCGAGTTCGTGGGATTTGACATATTTATATTTTATGGCGGTTCAAGATTCGCAATACGAAGTAATATCTTTTTACAGTCCTATGTTTGTAATTTACTATTATAAAACTGTCTAATTTTGACGAGTAAGTATTTAAATAACATGGCAAGTAAAACATAAATTATTGTTTAATATGCTAATAAACCTTCACCTCCACAAAATTTAATCAACTGAATATCCTAACCTAAACGTTCTTATGTTTTATTTTAATTTTTAAACAGCAATATATAAGATATTCATGTTGCACCTCATGTGATATCTTCATAAAAATTTTACCATTACAGATATTGTGAGACAAATGTAAATTTGCACATATACAGAATATTTCTCCATTTTTATATATATTGTATTTAGTGTATAAAAAACACCTTGTACCTTAAAATAAAAAAAGTCCAAAACATAAGTACATTTCTCATACTTTTAACAAGGAATTACTTGTCTCAAAATGTCACTAAATATTTTGTTTCTAGAAAGGAACGTAACCGAGCCAGCATGCCAGAACCTGTGAATCACCAGGTGAATGCCGCTCGTAAGACGTTCCAAACTCTGTACCAGATTTCCAAATTGCTGAATACAAATCTAGATCCAACCACACTGAGCATGTGCATCAGGCTATGTGAGAATGGAGTAAATCCACATGCTCTTGCAGCTGTGGTAAAAGAACTTCAACGAGAAGTCAAAATAATAAACAACGCTCAGTTAGAGTCGACCAACAAGAATGATACAAATAAATAAGTACAGAAAAATAATTATTATCCTTCTCTCTTTGTGTAATTACTTATTTTATGTTAACCAATAAATCTTTTCAGATAGCATAAGAACCATTTTATTCAGTCCATATATTTTAGTAGGAACACATCTAACACTGTGCCCCTTAAATAAATTACATCACTAACAAATGTAGAAAAAATATTGTCCAAAAAAATTTCTATTTAGAAATATATAAGTAGAAATATTTAAATAGATTTAAGTAGAAATATTTGAGAAATGCTTACACTGAGACATCATATACATAATGTTACAGATCAACCCTGGTTTGTTTCGCTTTTGCAGTTTGCTTCTTTACCAATTCATCAACTGCAGCCTGAAAAAGAACTAACATTTGTTTTATTGCTCTCATTTCATACACTAATTTGAAAAATGTAAGTTTGTATAATATAGGAAACAACCTGTTGTTGACTATCCCTATAATAAGTCTGCCCTTCAAGAGTGAGATGAGATAGTTCAGGTTGCTCTAGCAAGTAATTTTTAGCATCAACAGCCTGAGAACCATCGCGGAACATGTATATTGATCTTCTAGTATCTATTGGATACCTGCATATAGTATAAATGTATATATTTTCATATATTTGAGTATATTTGATATTTTTTCAGTTCTCTTGTGATATATGGTAATAATCCAATGACCGTATTCAGTTCTCTTGTGATATATGGTAATAATCTAATGACTATATGCAGAAATCAAGTCAGCAATAACATATTGTGACTTATTAAATATTGTTACATGTTATTTATTTTACCTCTCTGCAATGATATGATTATTTTGCAAACTAGTCTGCCAAATACGCATCACAACATCAGCTTGCTCTTCTGAAATATCTTGCCTCATATCCACAAACATCATAACACCTTTTCCCTTTTTGGTTACTCTCAGTAAATTATCTGGATTTGTAGTATCTATCTATACAATAAACTATATTATACACAAATGCAAAAAAGCTAATGGATCCACAAATATATAATATATATATAAATAATTAGTTATGTGAGATTCATTGCAAACATAAAAATTTATTACCTTAGACAAGTCTATTTTTGGACTGGGACGTAAGTGCTCTGGCAATTCATCTGGTTCTAAAGGTTCATCATTTTCCTGAAATATTATATTGATACTTTGTTAGGATATAATTTTTATTATTTAAATTTTATTTAAAAGAACATATTTTTTATCAACTTAATAAAATCCTAATCTCATCGATTTGATAAAACCTAAGGTCATGCAGAGTTCATAAAAAGTCAGATAGAAATAGTAGCCTTACTTCCCACTGATCCAACAAATGTTCCAAATCTGCTTCTGTCATATCTCGTATATCCTTGTCGCGCCATGATTTCTTTTTCGGTGTATTTTGAGTGTCACTGGCCGATGTTGCAAGGAAAAAGAATATGAATAAGCTCAAAACAATTATCTTTGGTTCCATTTTGTAATAAAAAAATCACGTATCTACTTCCAATAAATTATCATAATACGCTGCGTACATCACCTAAACCTGAGAATTTAAGATGAAAAAAGATTTCAACTTATTATATATTACTATAATTTAACGAATATCAGAAATCAACAAATTCTTCTCAATTAGTTAAATATTTCTAAGTTATGTTGAAATTTACCAGCTTCAATATTATATTATATAAAATATTTTGCTAAATTTTGATAAATAAAAATGTATAAATTATGTAAAACCTAGAATAGATATTGTCTGAAACAAAATATAAAAATATTAACAAAGTTGTTAATTTATTACCTTAACTCGTACTCTTGATAGATGGCCGATAACTGCTTTATCGTCAACGCATATTGTCATAGATAAAGCACTATTGAAGACACAAAATCATCGTAAAATTTGAAGCAACCAAATATTACGGAAGGTCACGCTCCTTACGTCACCCAATAAGAAAATCTGTTCTTTATGGGCCTTCTACAATAAGCTATTAGTCATATGGTCTGTTCTTTTCAGCTGCACTACTGAACTGGTACAATAAGTTAAAGTGAGAAAAAATATAGTTGTCTCATTCTAACTTATTGCACTAGTTCCGCAGTGCAGGTGAAAAGAACAGACCAATAAGTTCTAACCAAATTGACCAACCACAGTCGATTATTTTTGAAATAATTAATTGTGTCTGGTCAATTTGCTTATAGCTTATGACTAATTACTTATTATAGAAGGTTTCTTAAGGCCCATCTATAATGCAAGAATAAGGGCAAGAGCATAGGCTTTTGCATAACACATAATGCATAACGCATAAGAGAATAAACCAATTAGTTTTATTCATTTCCCTCCTCAGGACAGAAATGAAGAACTCTGATTGGTTGATTCTCTTATGCGTTGTGTATTATGCGTTATGCAGAAGTCTGTGCTCTGGCTCTTAAGCCCTCTGCACAATGCCAGGCAATAGGTAATAAGAATAAAAATAGACCAATCACAATCGACTATTACAAGAATAATCTATTGTGATTGGTCTACTTTTATTCTTATTGCCTGTTGTCTGGCATTGTGCAAAAGGCTTTATTCTTGCAGCCATTGTAGATAGGCCTTTAAGGCTCGTCTACATTAGCTATAAAAGTAAGGCTGTAAGGTTGCAAGACACGAAATGAAATATTTTCATTCGCTGACAGCTTACGTTACAGCCTTATAGCCTTACTCTTACAGCTATTGTAGACGAGCCTTTAGAATTTGCAACTGGTAATATTTTTATCTCTTAAGGCTCGTCTATAATAGCTGTAAGAGTAAGGCTGTAAGGCTGTAACGTAAGCTGTCAGCGAATGAAAATATTTCATTTCGTGTCTTGCAACCTTACAGCCTTACTCTTAAGGCTCGTCTACATTAGCTGTAAGAGTAAGGCTGTAAGGTTGCAAGACACGAAATTAAATATTTTCATTCGCTGACAGCTTACGTTACAGCCGTATAGCCTTACTCTTACAGCTAATGTAGGCGAGCCTTTAGAAACGAAGTTTCCTATTGGATATTTGGATCTTGGTATATTAGATATCAGCGTAGTTTAAATCCATTACTTGAGAAACATAGCTGATAATGTAGAATGTCTGTAATTCTCTTCCTCTAAATTTATCAAATTTGTCGGTAATGTAGATTCTCGGTAATATGCGTAAATCATGTTTTGTGAGATTTCTTATCTTTCAATATTCGTCTTCGATCCTTCCTCTCTCTCTCTTTCTCTTTTGGCACGCGATTATATATTTATTACATTTTTTGGATCAAAAGTGCAATACATACATAACATAGATAACAGTACATTTATTAACATTGCAATCACAAGGCAACGGCATTAGAGTACGTTTTCGTATACGTAACTTCGGTGTTGTTACCATTGCTATATGTGATATTGTGAACTATATGCGCTGAGAAAATATCACGTACAATGTTTGTCATGGTTTCCTTGAGGTGAAACAATCGTATTTCATGCGTATATCGACGTATGTGAAAAATTACATACCTATTTATTTAACTTTTTTATCCCAGACCTCAGTTTTAATCACAGCGCAAACATAACCTTCAAACGCGTTTATGCAACTTATTTAGGTTCATTAGAGATCTACTTGATATAATAATGATGGTTCGGAAATACGTCAGTTTTTTAAACAAAAATTAATTAAAAATTTAGATCACTTTTAACAATAATAATTAAGAGGTTCTTTTTTTCTTTATCGGAAATTATTAGTATTTATAATATATGTAGTTATTAGTATAATAACTTTACTGTATGTATATTAACAAATTCTATCTGTAGCAAAAATTAGAACAATATTTGTATTATTCCAGATATCATTTGTAGTAATTGCATCTAAAATTAAATTAAATTGAATTTATTATCAATCATGTATACCAATGAATTTGATGCTTATGAAAAAATGGTATATGATGAGATGACTGAAAAGTCTAATTTCATCCAAGAACAACCACTACAATGTTCTATCTTATCAAAACGTGAATGTATTGGAGAAAGTCTGGTAAGAAATTCTTATTTATATTAATTCCTTTAGGTTAATTTAATTAAATATTTAAAAATTTGTATTATATATGAAATATTTATGCTTTATAGGTTGTAGGAGAAGAAATAGTTGTAGGTAGTGAACATCTATTTGGTGGGTCTGATAGTCAAGAAACAGATACAGCTATGTATTTTAATCACGATCTAGAAGACTGTAACAGAATAGATATTGAATATGAAGAATCCAATACTTCTATACCACTGACAGAAAATTCAGTTATTGACAAATGGGATTGTGAAGATGTTGATGTATCGTTGTTAAAAGTATGTGTATATATATATGTATATATATATATATGTATATATAACAAAGTCATTTCTTTTATTGGGCTGTTATTTATTACAAATAAATAGATTTCGTATGTTACAATCAAGTATATTTATATGATTTATCAATTGATTATTTTAGTTAAACTCTGATTTGTTAAATTTCATTTATATAACAGTTGAATAATGTGTGTAGGAAAGTGAGTTTAATAACATCTATGATGAGCAAGATGGCGATGAAGAAACTATTGCCACTTTTGTCACTGCAGCTGGACAACAACTGGCTTTATATGCTGTGGAAAACTCAGAAGAAATATATGCTGTGGCTCTATATGACGAATCCGGTGAACCTCCAACTAGTTTTCAATTCCTTATGAAGTAAGTAAGAAGTATGCTTATATTTATGTAAAAATAATAATATATTTTTGTATAATTATGATATCAAGGAATAGCCAGTTGTGAGAAACATTTACAAAATATAAGAACATTTTTTTACAGGTTATTTTGATGCTTCATTAAAGAAAAATCTACTTAAGTTTCAAATGAAATATCCAACATGTTTCTTTCTAATTTTTAGTTAATTTTTATTGATTGTTATTATGAAGATAAAATATATATACATACAATTAGAACTTTTTTAACTTTTATTTTCCGGTTGCAACTTTATATGAGAAATTTGCAAAGAGCAATTTTCATATGTGCTTAATATTTACTCTTAAATGTCCTTATAGGGCAGATGTGGAACGTCTCATAGGAGAGGGAGCTGTGAGAACAGTGAAAAAGCCAACACAGATGAAGAAACGATTGTTGACTACACAGTCATCAGTGTTTCTTCAAAAGGAAGATTTTGAGGAAATGGTAGAACAAGCCCAGGCAGATATCAACAACGAAATTACTACTCATAACATATCGATCGATGGCGACACATGTATAGCGCAGCAAGGAAACTACGAAACGGAATATGACTATAAAACGACTTCTCGTCAAAACTACAGTGATTCTTCCACAATTCCATCAGCATCCAATGACATTATTTATAACACAGCTGAAACCAAGCCTGATATCACCACGTATCTCTTGATGAACGATTGTCCTATGGATATCGGTACGTATAAGATTATAAATAAATATCTTAGAACAGAAACATAAATGAGTAAATTTATTTTATTTCGTAGTATATACAACTTTCTTAAATTTTTATACTCGTCATAAAAAAAATAAAAAAAATAAATTAAAGAAAGTTATCTTAAGAATAATAATTTTATAATTTTCGTTAATTTTTCACTAGAATATAAAATGAAACTGGAAAATATGTTGAAGAGAATATTTCGTTAATAGGACAAACGAACAAGAATGAAGACACCCAGAAAATTAAGGAGATCGAAGAACCAATGGAGCGTACTACCGTACAGTACATCTTGCTCGACGAGGATCAATCTGACTCAGAACTCACGTTTGATGAGATTCAAAGGACGTTGGAGAAGCTGAAGAAACCTCGTAGAAGAGAGTCGAGAAGCGCATCCGTGGATAGCGAACAATCAGATAAAAAATCGCAAGACGATTACTCTTGTATCAAACGAGAGATCTTGCGCGAAACTTCGATGGGACTTGATTCGTCATTAGAGATGGATACATCTCACTTTGAAGCACAATCTACATCGTTCACGGCACAAACACCATCGGAAAACGAATCGGATGATCGGCAACGATTAATCGACGCTTTGACCGACTCCCCGACAACAGAGAAGACGCAACCACGTCTGAAGCGATCACGCAAGCAGCAGTTGACTTCAATGAATCGGGACGATGGCGAGATAATCATCCAGCCGGCATCGATGCTGAGTGAAGAAGAATTAACTGGCAAAAAACGGGGCAGACGACGACGTTCTAGGCTGCCTCAGGTTTGCATCGAACAGCAGCACACATCTAAGAAGATAAAGCGGAAAAAACGACAAAAGGTAATTGTATTATGCATGAGAAATTGGCGATCGAGTCGCGATTAATGTCGTCCAGTTTTGTTCACTCGATTTGTTAAATTAACTTTCTGACATATTGCAACTCAGGTTGTGGAAGTTATTGATCTGGATGTCGACGAGGAAGAGCAGCAAAAGCAGAACGTGGTCGAGATTACTTTGGACGATAGTAAAGATGACAGCAAATATTCTAGCGATAAAGAGAACGAGATCATCATGGTAAGGGACTCAGACTCGGACAACGACGAAGACGATGACGAGGAACGAGAAGAAGAGGAGGAGAAACGATCTGGCGACTTGAAGCTTACTAGCATGATGCAGTGTAAACATTGCTCTAGGAGCTTCCGTCAGCGACGTGCCTTCGATACTCATCTCAGAGTATGCCAAAAGTCGCCGGAAAATGCTGTTAGACTCAACAACAAGAGGAAAGTGAAAGAACAGGTCAGGAAGCAGTACGCTTGCAAGATCTGCCAAGAGAAGTTTGACGTAGTGGTCGCCCTGGCACGTCACGTCCGTGCGGAGCATTCGCAGAGGAAGAAACAGAGAGGGGGCTCTGCTTCACAAAAGTACGGATTGATGTTTTTGATAAGAAGTACTTTTATGACAGGATCATATTCAATAGCAGTGAGTGAGGATGTTTCTTTGCTATGTCCTTCAAATTATGTTTTAAGAAAACTCTTCTGATACGAGTTGTATCGAGTGTTTCTTACTTTTACTTTTTTGAGTGTTTTTTATTTTTACTTTTTCATAAAATTACTTTTTCACAAACAGACTTCCTGATAATTTTATGAATAGATGTCGATTTACTAAATTTATTTGTTGTACAACAGGACCCAAGATAAATCTCTGACATCGGTTCAACAGAAACAATCTGAGCAAGAGGAAGAAAATGCAGACACAGAAGGGGAAGAAGAGGATGAAGACGATAAAGAGGAGAAAGAGTTGTCTGATGACGATATGGGAAAAAGGGAACTTCGCATGCTCAGCAAGGTGAAGAGGAAACAGCAAGCTGAAGAAGACTGTTCATGGGAGTCTAAAAAATTCAGATGTGCTAATTGCGGCAAATATTTCTTGAATTCTGCATTATTGGACGAACATAGTTTACAGCATGATGCCAAGAAATCCGGTATGTATTTGAAAAATCAACTCGTCGAGATAACAGAAATAATAGCTCTTGACAAGTAAATTTCAGAATCATTGATATCCTAGATTCTGTCATTCTCTAACTTGTTCATTCTCATCTTACTTGCAGAACCACAAGTGCGCAAATGTCACATCTGTAAGAAGATTATGAAGTCCAAGTTGTTGTTGTTACGGCACATCAAGATGCATAACGCACGATACAACTCCAGCTCAGGAACGTCGCAGATGCTGCGAAGAAGACTTCGTACTCGACCTAGCACGCGCATTATGTCTCTCAGAAAACGGGGTCGACCGAGGAAGTTCTGATTGTTCGTCCGACGTCAACGGCATGTGTAATACTGTAATCCGATGTACGGAACTTTTTTTAATGCGTTTTTCAGAACTATTTCTCACGCAAGCATTAGCTATCTAAATTAGTATTAGCTAATATTAATGTAAATAGTTCCGAATTATCCCGGTTACATATCCTCCTTGCATGTTGTCCATTCGCGTTTGAAAGTTACTTGTTAATAAGTGAAGGAAGTTTAACTGTTTGCCGGACAATGATATGGATGATGCAATTAACTTGTCAAAAAGGCCGCTTACAAACAACGGTGTTTAACAGAACGGAGATGATAAAATTTCAATTTCAACTTCCTGGTACTTCGGAGGAGGACTTTGTTAAGGTTGTATTTTAATTTTAAACAGATTTTCGCAAGGGAGTCAGTCAAAAATTATATGAATCTCCGATCAATTTTAACCGTGTTGTAATATCGCGGATCACTGTAAATAAAGTGATATTATAGATTCGTTACAAGCATATTATCGGCGATCTAACCGTGTATATATACTATTAAGTGAGATACGCTGATAATAGTGCAATGTCTTTTATACAGACACTGCGACGTCATCTAGTGTACTCGCTCCTATTTCCTTGTGAAATGCAATAAAATCATACGGGAAAAAACACGGAATGGCTGATGTATCTATGCTATGAAATTTACGTATGCGGAGATTTGATTAAAAACAATACAAAAACGCGATATATTTATTATCCAATTATATGATCGATATTTCCTATGAACATGCGTTGGTTCCTTCAAACGTTGATTTTGCGTTCGATTTCGCCATATGCCAGGTGAGTCTGTCCTCGTAGAATCGAATAACAACTTGAGGACACTGTACATTTGCTTCCTTGGCAGGAACCAAATCAATCTCATCTGTCCCTTTCCTGTATACATAAAATCATCTTTGTTTAATCAATTAACTGATAATTTTCTAATTTATTTATTTTCGCTTCAATTTCTCTTACTAAATGCTTGCTTCACACACATTTTATATACCATACTATAATAAGAATTCTATATATTGTAAATAATATATATAGTTTCTAGACATGTATTGGACGTGGTATATAAATAGAGTTTTCATCTACCATTGCATCAAGAACATCAACTCCCCCGTGAGATCTGCCGCACCAATAATTTTATCTGGTTCCAGTGCTCTCTTAAATCCATGCATTTCATCAGTATTCTTGGTTATCTTTTCTTTATTGTTCATCTCACAAAATGGCATAAGATGACGTAGATGAATAATACTATCACTGGAAAAAAATTATAGATCCAAAAAATTATACAATGTTAACTACTACTGTACTACAATCAGTTTAAAATAATACACTCGAACTCTACACAGTATGTCTGAAGTTTCTGAAAATAATGAACAATCAAAAATTAATATTATAAAAAGCATTTGTTTTGTTTCTAATCATTTAACATAAACTTTGACTATTTGTATAATATAAAACTGGTTTTATCTGTATCTATATAATCAGCGCATAAAACTAATTTAACAAATCTTGATATTATAACTACTGTTATAATTACTTGTACATACAGACGCATGTGCGCAAGCATGTGTATATATATAATAACATCCTATTTATATAATATAAGGAAGCTATGATTGTTAAATCAATTTAATACTAATCAAATGAATGCAAATTAGATGTTAACAAATCAATTTTGATTTAATAGTCACTATATACAAACACAAGAACAGTAACATAAATATATTATTAATATAATCTTGAGTCAATTTTATATATTAAATAGATCAAATTGTCAGTTACCTTATTTTGTGTCTCTTAGAAGCATATAAACCAATAATTAAAATTAAATTGAGTCAGAGCTTTGATCCCACAAGCTACTTGCATCATTTTTAATATTTTGGTACATTTCCCAAAGCAAAGTTTAACTACCACTCTGCTAGAAGTTTAAGTCCACTCTGTACTACAATGTAATTGTAAACTTCAAAAAATTATTTATTTGCCTTCTGAGAAAAATATTTTCATATACTTACACTATTGGGGTGAAAAATTAATATACATTTTTAGTAGTAGCTGAATATCGTTGGTTTTGTGTCATAAATTTACTAAATTTGAAACTGTTTAGACGTACTATACACCTGCAAAAATAATAAACAATAATTGGGGTTATGTTAACAACGGAGAAACGTACCAATCTTACGTGTTACACTTTGCACGTTGCATATTTATGTCGGTCATATTTAAAAATGGTTGTATGAAGATTTGACAAGATGTATATATCTTGATAAAATGTTGTCAGAAATAAAACAGAAAGACACGAAGCGTTCTTTGGTTGCACAAAGAGTTCAGTAGTTCAGTTCGGTATATGGCTTTAGATAGAAAGGTGTACCCATACGCCATTCTCCACTGCGTTAAGGTCATTCTACGATACGTGTCGTAAGTTGTAAGCCGTAAGAATTGGCGAATCACAGTCGATTATTACAAAAATAATCGGCTATAATTGGTCAGTTCTTACGGCTTACAACTTATGACACGTATTGTAGAATGACCTTTAAGCGTCGTCTACAATGGCAGTAAGCAGTAAAAAATAAGCGTAAACGGTAAAAAATAAACCAATCACAGTCGATTATGACAAAAATAATCAACTGTGGTTGGTCTATTTCTTACTGTTCACGCTTACTTCTTACTGCTTACTGCCATTGTAGACGACGCTTTAGGGCCATCATACGTAGAAAAATTTTAACCGTAACCGTAAGGTTGTAAGAAAACTGACCAATTACAGTCGATTATTATAATGTCACAAGAGAAAGGATCGACTGTGATTGGTCAGTTTTCTTACAACCTTACGGTTACGGTTAAAATTTTTCTAATTTTTCTTCTGTGATGGCCTTTAAGGCCATTGCACGTAAAAAAATTTTAGTCGTAACCGTAAGACCGCAAGCAAATTGACCAATCACAATCCAGCATCTCGAAATATACGAATTGTGATTGGTCAATTTGCTTACGGACTTACGGTTACGACTAAAACTTTTGTACGTGCAATGGCCTTTAGTTGCACAAGGAGGTAAACAATTAATTGACACTTCGTTGGGTATTTGGCTTTAGGTAATAAAGTGTACCCATACGCCATTCGCCCAATGAATTGACAGACGAAAGTGAAGATAAATCTGTGATCTTATTTTCAATCAACGAAATAAAGATATGAAATAGTCGGCAGTCGGCCAATTAACACAGTACGGCGGTTGGACATAACCAACCGGTGCAAAGGTTTATCTGGTGAATTACTAAATCTAACTAATCATTTACTTTGCGTCCAATTGTGATGTGTCGAATTCGGGGGCTGCGTTCCGATATTCAGTCGCCAGTACTGAAAATATATATTTTATGTCACATATATTACAGATTTTCAGTGCTGGCAGTGAATATCGGAACGTAGCCCTCTTGTAACTACAAGCAAAATTTCCGAAATCAATTTCGGAACAGGCTTATCGAAATAGGATTTCAAAAGAAGAAATAGTCGATTCTCGAAGAGAGTATAGAACAACGACCTATCGATCCTGACAGCCCATCCCTACCAACAGCAGCGCCAGCAGCTACCGTACAGCCATATTGATTTTTTGCTATGATTACAGGAGGTGGTGAGGCCACGGTTACGTGAGAAAATGCTAATCTCCTGGCGTGGCCGTGCGCACGCTGCTCTGAACGCTGTGTGACGCAGAGTGCGTGGCGAGAGGCGAGATGTCGACGTCCCGGCTCCGGGGCCACGACATTTCCATGGAAACGTAGACGCGGTCTACGCGGGAGCACTTGCCGCGCCCGGTGTTGCTACGCGATGTTGCCCCGTACTGTTCCTTGCAGTTAGGTTATCCACAGATTGCACTCCGTCGTAGCGATCATACCAATCACGTCCACGGGCTCCGAACGTCATCGTCCTCAACCCGGTGAGATTTCCCCACGACTTCTCTCTTGTGACTCGTTGAGTTGACGGTTGATGCTCATAGCAGCGTCGAGCAGAATTCGATGGTCGGTTCGTTTGTTATGAATAAACGTAAAGGTAAGATGTAAAGTTACCGTAGAAAAATCTCCGAGTCAACGAGTATACGACGAGGAAGTAAAATTTTCAGCGACGATACGACGTCTTGTTGAACGCAAGAATGATATAAAATTTAAACAAGATCCGGATTCGAGAATAAGTTAAGGGAAAATATTGAAAAAATATGTATTCTGCTTCCAGCCCAGTTAACAAACACAGAAGGCCTAGAATTTGGAGAGCACACGTGACGTGACATTAGAGAATAACAAGAGAGTGCAAACTGCAGTGTTAATGTTCACATGACGTTGCCATCCTTATATTTCGTACAATGAGCAGCTGGACCGAGAGAATGCATCGACGTGCCGCTACACTAGGAAATGTTGTAACCAGCTGTGGACATCCTTCCTCGGTATCACCATATCCAAGACGCCTTGAAAAGTTAGTATATCGCTTAAAAATATTATGCATTTTTCCTTTCTGTTTTGCATTTTAATTGATCCTATTTTTGAATGTACATTTTAACTAATAACATATTAGAAACATTGCATGTTATATACTTCCCTTGGACAAATATATACTGGCATGTTTTGTTGCTAGAAACTATAACAATATGTACAATAATTAGTTCCAAGAAAAACAACTGATAGTAGTTCTTGTGTTTACATTTAGTGTATATGTACATATCATTTATTCATGTGTATATAATAAATTGGAATATACATGTAATCTTTAAAGATCTTTTGATAATTTGGAACTTAATGATGCATCTTTAGCTAATGGTAAAAGAAATAAAATATCCATTTGTTATCTATTGTCAATAATATATTAATATAGATATAAATATATTTAAAATAATTTTTTGATATAAGTTAGGAAGGTGACTCCTGATAAAGATAATTTGTAATGGAGTATATTAGCTGAAGGGCAACGAGAATATATACTGCTATATCTATCTGGAAGTAAATTGGGATAATAAGGAATTTTTGAATTTTTTCACAGATGTGATAGTTGATATTTAACGATATGTCGAACAAATATTCGAAACATTCTGCATTTATGTTTGATGGTCTGAGGAGGAGTATGTAGAATTGTAAGTAATGGCAGTTTGAAAAGAATTACATGTCACGTGTTACTAATATGTGTTGATGTCTCAAAATTGCATTAATAGCCAATCGCGCAGCTGATTCCACTTAGCGACGTCAGAATAGAGATGCCATAGCACAATTTTGTATAACAAGCAGAAAATGTACCATCAGCTTCACCATGAAATTTTTAATTCAACATGCGTACTCCAAAACTGTCTCGCATTTAAGACGAAATCAGCTTTGGTCCAAATCGTGTCCAAAGTTCATGCATTTTCTTACTGTAATCTTTGGAGTCGCAATTTAATACAAAAAGTGTGTTTACTATAATAAGTAATATATGCGAATCTGTTTTGTTTCCATAGAGTCAAATTTGGGGTACCTCTTGACGAAGTGTGTAAAAACGATATTCCCGGTCCTTTACTGGTAAGTATACCGAATATCTTATCATCATCGAAAGTATATACTTTTGAAACATGTGGAGCAATTACAAGATATAATAATTTCCCTTCATTTCCCACAGGTTCTTATATTGAAATTAAACAAGGAGGCTCCACTCAGGAAATATATTTTCCGGGCACCTGGCCACCAAGCTAACATGAAAAAACTCATTCACTTCCTGCAAACTGGGCACTTGGTCAATATGGACAATTTTAGCGTTTATACGATAGCTAGCGTGCTGAAAAAATTTCTACGCAAAATACCGGGTGGTGTGTTCGGGAAAGAAGGGGAGCAACAATTGTTCACTGTAATTCAGCTGGATAGCATAGAACAACAACGGGACCAGATACATAAGTAAGTCTCTTGCAACGATTATTTGCCACGTTATTTGAATACAAAGCTCGCCTCGCCCCTCGATGACTTCATTGAGGAATTCGTTTCGCAGATTAATCACTTCCTTGCCGATATACACACAACGATTGTTGGTGCTGCTATTCGGGACATTCAGGGTAGTAGCAGTAAATAGCGAACGAGCACGCACGGAAATGTCCAGCGAAGCCCTGGGAGTATCCGTAGCACCGTCGTTTTTTCAGAGTTGCGTCAGCGACGGCAAAACTGTCAAGATGGAAGATGTTCTCAGATTTAAGGTACGCAACAGCACAGAAAATCTCTACTCTATATGGATTATATCATCACAGAGTTGAACAATCGTTTCTTGTCATTGGTGAAATTCAGTAATAACGTTGACGCTTTATCTTTAGGTTGCCACACGCGTCATGAAGTTTATGATAGACAATTTTGGTGTGTCGAATCTCTTTGGCAGAGATAATTACGAATTTTACGCGCGAATAACCGGTAGAATATTAAAAGTGGAGGAGGACTGGATCTTTAGTTTTCGATATCCACCGAATACTCTCGTGTCGAGTGAGTGATATACATCCTGTATTTTCTCGCACGATTTCTCGTCGCGATTGAATCGCAAGTATAACGCGGCTCTTACGAACTTCTAGGACAATTATCGTTGGAAGCCGAGAAAACGTGGTTGCAATGTGAATGCGAGAGATGGGGACTAAAGTTTAATTTAGAATGTAAGTGGGTTTGATGGACTGGATTGACTGGATATTATAAATTTAATTATCATCCTGTATATATAAAATAATGGTATAAAACGACTGTTGATCTATGCGAAGGTATGTCGCATCAGGAAGAGTCGCAGTCAACCCCGGCGCTAATTCACATGCCAGAATCCTTGGACCTCGCTTCGTCGTTAGGCATGATACCCGAGAACACCCTGCTCGAGAGTTACACGCGCCTCTCAGTTAGTTTAGAGGAGAACGGCCTGTTCCAGGTATACCGTCTATAAAAACAAGATAAAATCATAATCATAGTATGTCGTTTGCGCATTACCTGAAGTTTTGTGAAGTAAGAAATGGACTCGTTTCTCACAACAGGCGTCCAGTCGATCGTCTAGCAACGGCAGCCATCATTCTCGACATGCGGGAATGACGTTAGACGAGCTTCGCGCGGTAAATCGCTACGCCGAGAGCACCAAGAGTCTCAGTTACCTGCCGCAGGTGAGGTAACTTGTCTTCTTTCTTCACGATTAAGTTTAGCTGAGTGATTCATTAACGTCGTCTTGATGATTGCGTGCGATATTATTACGAATTCCAATTAGCGCATTCACAAGTTAATGTCACATAGAATGTTACAACAAATGTTAAACGATCTTTCGGATATCAAGCTGCGAAATTTTGGAAATCCTCGACGATAATCTTACGTTTCAAATGTAAATCTTTTGATGGGGAATAATCAAATTCCATAATAAATTGAATAATTGGTATTAATTCTTAGATTGTTAGCTTCTCGATTTCTTTCTGTCATGTGAAGTTACAACATGTTAAATGCCATTCAAAGGAATTCACGGTCTCGAAACGCTTAATAAATGACTCATTCGTTCATTCGCTCGCTCATTCGTTCAATCTGTAGGTTCACGAAAGGCAAGCCGCACGAATGCGCACCCGATCCGAGTGGTTTCTCACACCGGTCGGAGAAAGACTGACCGCGACGGACAGCGATCCCACAGCGATACATGTACTGCGCGGTTCTAACCGGTCTTCTTCCGGCAACATCGGTAAGCGAGCGTTAAGTGATGGGGTTGAACGATCGAAATAAATGCACATATGTGCACCGTTCTTATCTAATTTGCTCCGCTGCTGTGATTGCAATCGTCTCGCTTTCCACAGCCACAGGTTTGAGCGCCAGCGCGGAGTCCGTGAAGCGGCCGAGTTTGCGACGAACGTCCTCCAGGGAGAAGCAACGGCTGCACCGCAGCTCGTCCCGCCGCAACAAGGAGAACGGTGCGAAGGCACGCGCAGCAGAGGCGGCATGCAAATCGCGCTCCTTGGAGACAATGAAGACGAAGATCGTGCGAGTGGTGACAGTGGAGCAACCAGTCGAAAAGAAGATCTTGGATAACAGCCGTGAGATCATCGAGGAGCGCCCTGTCAGGGAACACGCGTGCACCGCTGCTACCGTTCGCGGCGGGAGCGGCGACGGCACTATCGGTCCGCAGGATTGTACCGAGATGGACGTGCAGACGTTCCACGTCACTCTCACGTACAAACCGCGAATATAGACGCATTTTAGTTTAATCACGATGTTCAAGAAAGCATCGCCAAAATCTCGATAAGCCGCCTACTATCGGCAGTTGATCTTTACACGAAGTCGCCTACGTCGGTGATGTTAATTAATATACGTATCCGGAAATCTATATTCGTCCCGTATTATCGTAAACTCCGAATATCCATTGTTCACCATCCTAATACGTGGGGACGAAATCCACGAAGTCGCGAAATTTTCTCGTTTCAACGCTATTCGCTTATATTCTCCGTAACGACAACGTCGTTTAATCGCGTCGTGCATGCAACAGTCGATTTTACGTTTGTACGATACGGCGATAATGCAGGCGTTTTATTTAACTTTAATTTCGCGAACGCGCGTGCTTTCGATTGCTCGAGTAATAGACAATGATATATATGTATATCGTGGCATTCCAAATGCATTTACTCGTTTCTCTGATATTTTATTTCGTCTCACGCGCGGAAGACGACACCGTTTTATTTAATCGACATCGCGCGCTTTCTTCTCGCACATGTTTACCGCCAATCACCCTGCACATGCCCTGTATATTTATTCTAAGCTACAAAACGATTTGCAGATGCACCCTTGGCGGAATTACTCACTGTCACGTCCTGAAAAACGCGAGTGTCACTGCAAACCGATTGAATTTGATAGATTTTTGTAAATATCATCACGTATTTTGTGCGGGAGAGCTTTATGAACCTCGACGCGCTAGCAACGCGCCTACGATACAGAAACATAAATGCAACGTCACGAGGTTGTTACATGCCAAATTAGTGATAAATGTGAGCCATCATCGATTAGATATATTATGATCGTCGTACTGTCGCATACTAACCGAATCGTTTACATAAGACTTCGCTACAATAGGGGCTAATGAGATACACAACGTAAGACACACTACTCGATATTATTCTCGTCCGCGAGAGCGAATTCTCATGAGCGAGCGAGAGACATTTACATTGTATGTTATGTTTCCTTTTGTAAATAATGACGTATACGTATGTAATATGCTACAACGAAAGTGTTCCATAAGTAAGAGGAAGTATGGTATTTGATGACCGAACGGAAAGTTCGTGCTCGCACGTGACGTTTCTCCAGTCACCGGCGATATCTCATGCCACGTTAACGATGGATTAACCTTATCTTGTTACGATAGAAAAATATCGTGTAATAACTTTCACGGTTGCACGCTAATCGAATATTATGGTTCGAATACGTTGCAGAAGAAACTTATTACAAGATTCATGTAACCGCGAAGAGCGTCACGACAGCGAGTACTTGCAACAAGAAAAAAGCACAAAAGAAAAGAAAGAAAAGAGACATTTTCATTGTCCGTTCGAGGTTTCGCAATCTCTATTCGTGCGGTAGCTACTATCGAGAGAGAGAGAGAGAGAGAGAGAGAGAGAGAGAGAGAGAGATAACTATGTAAATTATAAATTATTATATTTATGGCTGTATGCGTGCGAGCGTATAGCATGTAAATATTTAATATACCAAAAATGTAAAGTGTGTTATGATTATAATTATTAGTGGATGTAATGTGTGTATGCGTGCGGGCGTACGCACGCGCGCATGTGTGTGTACACATATATATATAAGTGTAAACGCGAGAAAGTATGTACGAATGTAATTGATATCATAATCGAATTAATCGGTATTAAATTGTCGATGTCGTCCCCCGTCGCGACAAGGGACTTCAAGTATCGAGCAGAGGAAAGAATATGCATGCCCAAATGATGAGACACGCGATTAGGAAAAGCATCAGCCTCAAACGAAAGCTATCCCAACCGACCACGATCACCCGCGATGTTGCACCTCCGTCGCTCGCTGCTGCGATGACTGAAATATAAAACACGCGATCAAAATATCCACCGGTGCGCGATGTCTGACGATGGTGAGATAGGAATGGATGGACGATCACGTTGTCGTCGTTGTCACTGTCGTCCCACGTCGGTTTCAACATGCCTCGAAGCTGCTGCTGTCGCATCTGCGCTTCTCGATCCCGCGTGCCAATCGGTTGGACGCTGGTTGTTACAGGCTGCTGCTTGTTCTCGACAACAATGTCGTTTCCGACCGCGCGAACCACCGTGGACCGCGACTCGCCAAAGCGATCATCGTCATTGTCATTATTATCATTATTATTATCGTCATCGTCATCGTCATCGTCATCATGTTGTTTCGCGAGATACATGTTCGATCGTGCGCAGTCAGTTGTATTTTTCAACGACGACAATTTCACCGTGATGTCTCGGGGGAGAAGAAGGGAGTACGTTTAACACACATCAATGCTCTCTAAGAAGTACACTTAAATTGTGAATAATAATAAAATCGCGCATCGTAAGATGAAGTGAAACAAATATCTTCAACGGCCCTTGCGTTCTCTCTGTTGATGCGAGAACATTGATCAAAAATGAATGAAAAAAATCGTGAAACATCGCTTCTTGTTGCGGCGTACGATTGGATTAACAAGATCAATCTCAGATTCATTCTCTTCTTCTCTTCGTATCACGGTCGTCTCCAACTTTCGTCTGTTAGTTTTTGCCAAAAAAAAAAGGAAACAAATGCCACGGAGCATCATTAATCTTGATCAAGAAGTTCGTTTTTATCTTTTTTCTTTGTTTAATTAACGTAAGTGTCTTATGGGAGGAAGGCGAACGAATTTTTTGATCGAACCGATGTTTTATATAGAATTACTAAAAAGAACACAGGCATATATAGCGCAATTTTTAAATATTAAGGATCTTCAGTATTATTCGTAACTCAGTATAAAAAAAATTTGTAGTGTTTTTTAATTTTCTAACAGCGACAACAAACTTCGTTTGGAACCTGTATAGCAGTAAAGGGTTAATTATTCTACATGTATTACATATATAACAACCGTATTTTACTCGAATATTTACAAACGTCGCAAATATTTAAAACAATACGAAATATACAATATTACAATCCGATTTACAGAGACGTTTACGGCTAATAATACGGAAGTCCCTCCGATTCTCCTTCCGAGATTACATCCTTCCTGAACTCCGGACTGCAGATTTCATTGCGTCTCGCCGATAAACTCGCCGGGTCCCGAACGTAATACCACGTATGATCGCACGTTAGGTTAGTATGTTCTCGAGTAATAATCCTCTGTTGGAAGTGCTCGGATAGATTATCTTACGACATATTCTGCAGCATGAGGCCATCGGAAGATTCTACATCGTGTGTCTCATCATCTCTTTCTCACATGGAAGAAAAAACTGTTCCAGCATGCGAGTAACGCGCAAGAATCGCGCAGGACTAGCCAGGATCGTCAGTCGTCATCACAGGAGACATAAAGCCACGTTCATCGCGGGATCATCATAATGATGGTGGAAGCTGTAAGAGATCCAGGCTTGCAGGACCATAGGACCTGTGTAGCAACCACGCACACACACACACACGCACGTAGCAATCACACGTTGATGAAGCCACGTCGGTCAGAGGTCACAGGATCTGATACTGGTCCAGTAAGGTGTACACTATGACCCACAGCAGGAACGCCACGATCACGGACACTAGGAAGATCGTCTTGAGCGTGTGCCAAGGACTCTCGAGTCGCGGTTCGGCCCGGCTCTTTCGCACCTTGCAGCTGCCGTTCTTGCAGGGAAGCTCGCCGGTGCGCGGCGATGTTGTCGACGGCAATGTAGACGTCGGGACGTTGTTGGTGGGTAGCGTCGCGATCACCTGTACCTCGCCTAGTTCAGTTTCGCCGGCGTTGTGGCGCATTTCTGTTATCTTGGTCGATTCGAATCTCGATGGCGGATCTACCTGTAAGACACGATTAACGATAATTGTCTTTCGCGTTGCTTTTAGTTTCATTCGACAACAAGCACTTTCGACGTACTCGTCGAAGCAAAGAATTCTCGCTCAAATTATCTCCGAGAATACGATGCGGGAAAGAGAGAGAGAGAGAGAGAGAGAGAGAGAGAGAGAGAGAGAGAGAGAGAGAGAGAGAGAGAGAGAGAGAGAATTCTGCTCATCCGATCACCTTCGATAACTGAAAGAGGTATCCTGGGTATCGACGAGGGTATAAACGGGGACATATGTTATCGTACAATGTCGTTGCTCACGAGAAAGAAAAAGAAAAACTTAGCAGTCCGAGAACAAATAAGCAGACACGATGTCTGCAAATGTATACGATCAGTCGGATAACACTTATCGTCTGTCCGTGGTTTCCTGGTGGAGTCCGTAACGTAGTGAATTTTTATCTCAGTGTACATTGCAGACTTTTCTACTTTTCCAGCAGAATCGGGACAGAGTTCCCGTACGAGAGAGGAGTCCCGCGAGAATTTCGAAAGGAAATACTCGACCGCACGAGAGTAATAGAAGGTGAAAGGAAGGTACGGCGACGTTATTACGCGTACTTGAGGAATCCGGCTTTTCGAGGGGAAGGGACCTCGCTGCTTCATCGACGATACCGCATACACTGTACTCACGATCGGTGACACGTATATGTAATTCCATATGTACCTGAGCAACGGTACCATCATCATCTATCACGATCGATAATGCGCGTTAGTCAGTCTCGACACTCGAAGGGCGCAAATGGAATACAGTGAGAAAGTTGGATACAATTAACAGCATGCTGTCCGACTGAATGTGCCGTTTTGTTAACCCTTTCACTGCTGAATTAATTTCTCTTGAGGAAATTATTAAAATATTTGGTAGTCCCACGTTTTTTAGGTCGCTGATTACGAATCTAAAGTCAGATTTGCAAAATTCAAAATGGCAGACTCAATATAGCGATCATAATGTATAAAATTAATGAAAATTCCAATTATTATTGATGGTGTATGGGTTTTTCGGGTCGCCGATTACGAATCTGAAATCAGATTTGCAAAATTCAAAATGGCGGATTCAATATGGCGACCATAATGTGAACGAAAGTGATAAAAATTCTGATTATTATTGATGATATATAGGTTTTTCGAATCGCTGATTATGAATCTTTTGAGTAAAATAATATTGATAGTATGCATAAGATGGAGATACAGAATGAAAAAACTAGGAAAATAGAGCTAAAAAGTGCAAAAAAATCAAATTTCGGCCGTTTGTGTAGAAATATTTGTTTATAAAAGAAAAATCTAGCCTGCAAAAAAATATACTGAAAAAAATATATGTTTTTGTACGTCAGAAACGTCAGAAAAATATTTGATGAAAATTTCAGACCTCTACATTCAATACTCTCCGAGGAATCGATTTTTCCCTAAAAAAACATTTTTTTCAACTTTAATTTGTTATAAATAATCACAAATGAATAATTAGGTATAAAAGCGTATTGGAGTATGTTGAACAGCTCTATTCAGTTATCTGGAAAACTCAAATCCCCGATTAGTTCTTCAAAATTATGTAATTTACAACGCAAAATTGAAATTGAAGAAAAGGTGGGAAGTATACTTCCCACTAATAATGAAAGGGTTAAGCTTTCTGCAATTGCCACGACTCTGCTAACGTCTTCTTCCATACTCATAAACTCATAAACTCTCAGCAGCTGTCCTGCAGTTAGAAAATACAAAGAAACATGAACATTTGTCCTTTCTCTTCTAAAATACAGATATTATAAATTCCTATATTGCATTTGAATTTTTGCATCTAATCGCTACATTGCTGTTATTGCATCCAGCTCCTCATTTTGTTTCTCACATTGATATCTCACACTGTCACAACATTCTGTGTAGAAACGCTTATATCGATTCGAAGGTTCGGAATTTGGAATTGCCGTCTGGACGACTCACGTGTACGTGTGAGCCAATATTTCCCGATCGAGCTGCGCTTTTTTTGAACTCATTACGTTAACACGACTTTCACTACGTCGATCGCGTCGTTCAAGGATCGTAAGGACAGTCAACGACCTGAGGAGATCGACGTTACCGCCGTCATATTTCAGCGAGCCCCTACTTTGTCAGGATTTAATCGCTTTCTCTGATAACACCTCCCGCCGGGATACAATCGCCGGCATTGTTGTGAAATAGAACAGAAAGAAACGCGACAGTGAATAAATAATAGAGCCGCATTCGAGCCGGAGAGCGTAATTTCATGAAAGATTCGTTTCAGACAATTTCAATAGCATTTGTATTGTAATATCAGGTCTCTCTGTGGGCTGTGGCTTGTATCGGTTTCACATCGGAGAAAAATAATGTCATCGGAAGATAATGAATAATTGGAACGGAAAAAATATGAATTTTATGCGGAAAGTAGCAAATACCTTCGACGGTGTATCTATTAATTTATTATTAATCGAACGTTAATGAAAGTAGATATTATGTTCTCAGCATATTGCAACCAGACGATTCACGTTTGCGAATTCAACGTGGAATGCGAGAATTGATTATCAACCAATATAATATGTGAATAACAATATAATATGTGAATTTTTGTACTTTTGCTTGTACTTTCTTGTACTTGTAATTTTTGTACCTCACTGTCGTGTTTCGCGACAGTGAGACACGATAATACGATATATCTGACCCAACGTATTACAAACACCGCACAAGTTTGCGAAGCTTCGACGAAGAGGAGGATTACCCATTTTTAATCTGTAATCTGTATGATTTCTTGACAGGGATCGCGACAGTTCAGTATACATACTGCTGATGCGAGACAAATTGGAACGACGCGTTTCGAAGACAGTTATTACATTCGTCGCGGTTACATTCACCTGCTCGAGCAAATACGACGAGAAGATGGATCACGGAAAATAATCGATGTTTGTCATGTAACGACAAAAACGGGACCATACGCTCACACTTTCTGTACACATATCGCGGGCCTGTACAAATCTCCTTCCGCAGTTTCACCGTCGAAATCGTGTGCGCATGTTGTGTGCCGTTGCAAGCGCGCTTTCTAAAAGTAATACGACCACACACAAGTACGTTTTCGAAAGCGCTTCTTCCTCCGTCGAGGAGTCCGTAACGGTGCGAGATAAGATATATTCAATTCCGTCGCGCGTGGTCGAGGCACGAAGACGAGGAGGAAGAAGCTCCGCTCATGTAAGGTACACTCACGTTATCGCGCGTGAATCCATACTTTACGGCGCGGCGTTCATCCGTGCTCATATTTGACGTTTCATCGTGTCACACTTCGGATTCTACGCGAGCTGTCACACCTGCGAGAAAGGCGTTCCCTCCGCTTCCTCAAGCGTTAATCGCACCTGTCGCACGTTATCGCTTTTGGAGAACGCATCAATGGCGACTGCTACCGCTGCCTGCTACTCCGCCGTAGCTCGCTCACGCGATTCACTATAGGAACTGACCAGTTAAACGTCGAGCGCAAGTTATAATCAGTGCTTATCAACTGCGACCCCTGACCAGCCGGTTAATGCCGGGATATGCCCCTCTTACTCCTCTTTCTTCTCCTTCTCTTTCTTTTCCTACGAAGGGGGCACGTTTCGCCGAAGATTTTCCAGTGACGATCGCGTTGCTTCCGCGCGATACAAAACTATATGGCGAGATGCAAAAATATATTCTTACAAATTAGGTGACAAACGTTTTCTTAAATACGCGCACAATAAGATGGACAGAGACACGTATATATCTTTTTGGCACACCGAGGAATTGCGGTTACGACACGTTTCCGCGTTATGTACGATGTACGTAATAATCATCGCTACCTTGCGTAACTATCTTCTAGATTACCTCGCGCAACAACAGGACATCCATGAGGAGCACGGTCAACTCCGTGTTATCTTTAATACGGCGACAAAGACCCGCATGACACGCGAAGAATTCGACCGACAATAAATCACGATTACGAGCCTTGTCTATCCGGCGAATCTTGACGACTCTTGGCGTGATAACACGCGCACGTGTTGAAGTGAGCCATCTCATAAGAAAAAAAAAAAAAAAGAAACTAGTAATATTTGTTGTGACCTTGGCCACGTACAGGTGACGTGGAAACATACGGTTGTGCAACACCGACGAAATTCATGAGTCATTTGTACATGGCGTTCGATAGAAATTACGTTGTCTCTTGTTGTTCTTTTTCCGCTTGCTCGCGCGTTAATTCATAGAGGTCCTTTCGACCATTCGATTATTAGCGAACGCAATCTCGATAGATTTAGATTTGCTCGCTAAACTAAGCAGTATGCACGGGGGCGTCGTCAGTCCCATCTTGCTCGAGGAAAAGAAGAAAATATGCCGAACGGGCTCGTCAAGGCGGTCAAGGCGTACTTGTGCCTAGTGATAGACTTCGGTACATCCGCGTACGACGACCTTTAAGGCACTTACAATTTACTCTTTGTACGATAGAATTTGCTGCTACATTCCAGCTCCCAGCGACGGCGAAGGACACTCCTGGATGTACCGGAATGGCGCATCGAAAAATTGAGCGCAGAAACTCAAGGAGCTCCGCATTAAGCCCCTTGCACAATGCCAGGCAACAGGCAATAAGAATAAAAATAGACCAATCACAATAGATTATTCTTGTAATAGTCGATTGTGATTCGTCTATTTTTATTCTTATTGCTTGTTGCCTGGCATCGTGCAAGGGGCCTTACTATCGCTTTACGTGACTAACTAATAAATACCGATGATAAGAAATAATGCGATACTTTTCTGTAATTTAATGTAATTCTGCAAATTTATTTCGACTATTAAAATAAATGCTGCACGAGTATATCTAGCGGTGCACATCACGTGTGCGATGTAAAGCCCTAAACACAATGACAGGCAACAGGCAATAGGAATAAAAATAGATCAATCACAATAGATTATTCTTGTAATAGTCGATTATGATTGGTCTATTTTTATTCTTATTGCCTGTTGCCTGGCATTGTGTTTAGGGCTTAACTATCGACGAGATAATTTATAAGTAGAACGCAAAGAAATGTTGTCAGTCGAACGTTGTCGGCGGTTGTATTTTCGAATGATAATAAGGTGGTCGTCGTCAATGTTGACAGGCGAGTGTCCGCGCGACGACGACAGACAAAAACAAAAACCACGGCCGTGTTTGCTATTTCCTCACCTGATGCACCTGTTCTGGTCGCCAGGTGTGCTTGAAAAAGCTCTGGAAACACCTCATATTGGTAGTTCCACCACTTCCTGGTCGGTCATCGCTTCATTATTTGTACGGCTATTATTCGTGAATGCGCGATGTTTCCCTCTTCTGTTTTTCCCTTCAACCCGATTTATACACCGCTCGTGCACCGATTGTGAACACGCAGCGTGCACCGATTGCGAGGCCGTCCAACAGAATCTAGTTGCATAGACGAGAGAGACGAGTCAACGCTGTGTGGACGCGAACACTGAATTCTAGACGAGTCGAGATCAGGCACATCATCCTCGGATCGAGGATCGGGAACTGCGTTCGCCGCTGCGCGTTCGCCGACTAATGAAGAGAAAACTCGCGGGAGAGAGAGATGCTGCCAGCGAAAACACGCCAGCCGCTGCTCCACGTTCCTACATGGTGTTGCGCGAATACCATGAAAGTGACAGTCGCACACGGTACGAGAGACGTGCGAGGCAGCACATAATATACGAATGAAAAATAAACTGATTATTAAATAAGAACAATATTTTTTACCGCGCGCATAAACGAAGTTAGCAGATCTTACCGATACATATTTATGATCCTATATATAGTGAATACGCGAATATCGCGAAATTAAATCAGTCAGGTGTCCTTGCGAGAACAACTGCTACGACCAAATTTTTTGCAGACATATTTTTCCTCAATAAAAATGTCAAGAATAATCATCATATATCTTAAAGTTTGCTTAAAAAGTTAATCAAAGAATGGCCTTCTATCTTCTGATGATTCTCTTCTTCGTGCGTGATGGATATAGAAATTTTTATTAATATAATTTTACCTTAAAAAAAATTCAGTTTCTCAGTTTTTATTATAAAGATTCCATATATTTTTATATTTATTTAAATAAGTATTAATATTAATTAATAGCTTATATGCGTCACACGAATGACTTAATTGTTTCTACTCATTAGCAGACTCTTGCATCTCCGATTCATTTCGTTTTTATTTCCGTATCTCGAATTTCGAAAATGACTGCTCGGAGATCTCCTTCTCGTTGCGGAATTCCACCTTGTCGATTCGCGATTGTGGACTGCCGGTGTGACGAAGCCATTGTTTCCTGAAACGATGATAGAGACGATCGGTGCGACTAATAACATTCTTAATTTATGTTAATGACAATCACTCGTGGTTTCCTTACATCTCCTCCACTTGTTTTTTCTCTCCTTGCAGGTGGCCGACAACGGTACCGTTTGCGGTATTCATGCACCATCCTGTCAAACCCAACTCTAGGCCGCGCTTTTGGGTATACTAAATTCGCAGACACACAAACGATCCGTGAAATATCCTCACTTGTTACAGACATAACGAAATCACGGGTGAAGGGAACGACAATGTTGTACGATACGTTCATGAAGATCGAAAGTATCCTTGAACGAAACCAGGTAAATCTTTTTAACGATTTATCTTTTTAAGGTTCGTTTTTAATAACCTATTCAATTATCGATCGCAGGTTAAAAAAGGTTATATAACCGTAATCACATGCCGATGATAAAGAGGAGACGCGTTTGTATCACGGTACGTAATATAAGCAGTAATGCCGGTCGTCCGATAGATGTCGCGAAATGGAAGTTCAAGGTCCCGGAACGACGTTTCGGCCGACTAACTTCGATCTCATTCTCGATGATTAAAATTAATTGTCGGAAACCCCTTGTCGGATTTGTATCGGTCATTGCTCACCTTCCTGAAGAATACACCTGCGAAACACCACGAGTTCTGTGATTAACGACTGGAAAAGGTAAGCAACGGTAAGCGACACGCGACATCGAGCGCAGGATGATTACCTTGTACGATGCCGAACACTTCGAAATCTAGCGCGATCATCCTTGACATTTTCGTCCTTTCTATTGTTAGCGGGAACTCGCAAAGCAGCAACGAGAAAAGTAAACACGCGAGATGCACGAATCTAATCATTCGCACATCGAGAGCTTGATCCAAGCCGTCCGACAAGGTCGACTGTTTGGCCAGATGTCGCTAGTTCGTTTGGTCGCGCGCTATATGTTCCGGAAATAATTGGCAGGGTAACTTGGCGACGCTTATATTCACGAGGAAACGCGTGTGTTTTCGAGCGACGAACTTTTCAACAGTCTTTCCGGTACGTCGAGAACGAATAAAAGGACTACTCGAGACCGAGTGTCTATTCGATCTTCCAACATCAATCGCGTTTGATCACGTCTCATATAAATACGTATCACCCGTCACGGAGTGATTGTAAGTAAATTTTTTTCTCTCGTCTTTCAAAGCGCCATGTTGCTTCCTCAACCCCATTCTTTCGCGCCTTCATTTGCACACATCACAATTTTCTCGCCGAAACTCGCAAATCCTTGCGTCCGAAAATACGCCTTTCCTGCTCTCTCGCCCCGTGTCTCTTTGGAAATGCGGCAGTGTATTTCGAAAATATCCTTCGCGACGACATGTTCGATTCGAAGCAGCAGCGGTAGTAGCGCCATCGGCAACCGCGAGATGGTGGGAGAGTAGATGGCGCGAAATAACACGTATAAGTATCGTACGCCGCGCCGGTGGAGCAGTCAGTCGACTTCTATCGGTTGGTCGTGCGATACATTCTCGTTTCGCGTTTCTACGACATCTCTTCTCCCCTCTCTCTCTCTCTCTCTTTCTCTCTCCTCTAGCCTCTCTTGTACAGGTTAAGCTCCGCGTTGCGTCCCGATCGCCGGCGGCTATGCCAAGGAGTGCGAGGCGCGTGCGATTTCGCGTCGCCGTCTCCTCTTTTTGCCGACGGTCGTCTGCCGCGCGGGTTGCGTAAGTTGTATAACGACGGTACAGACGTCGTCGATGAGGTGTCAACGGCGCGCGCGCTCGTACCTCTGACGACGTCGTCGTGTGTCAGCCTAGCGTAACGTCATCGGCCTACGTCTGGCAACGATAACAACAACAATAACAACGTCGGCGGCGGCGAAGACGAGGACGACGACGACGACGAGAAGGAAGTGGAAGGCGGACGACTCGACGACGATTCACAGCGGAGCTACGGAAAGGAGAGAAAGAAAGCGGTTGTGGCGAAGGAAGAGGAGGAGGCGAGGAACAGGAGAACGCGATACACTCGTCGTGCGTGTGTGCGTGCGTGTGTGCGTGCATGTGTGCGGGTACGGGCGGACCCGTGAGGACGGCGGGAATCTATGCGAGACACGCGGGACACGATGACGGCGATGCTGGTGTCCGTGGCGGAGCTGTCCAATATCTTCTCAGTGCTCGCCGTGCTGATATGCTTCTGCGGGGTCATCCTGTTTATCATGAGGTACGTGCAGCAGGCCGCGCCGTCGGCTCATCTTTCTTCGCGCAGATGCGCCATTCGCGACGACGACGACGACGACGACGACGACGACGACGACGACGACGATGACGTGCGTGTTATGCGGATTTTAATAGATACAGCATTAGATGACGAAGACGTCATCGTGGCTGTTTTTGTTATTGTCATCACTTGTCGCTCGTTCACAGAGTGACACCGATCGCTTCTCTTTTTCTCTCGTTTCTTCTTCCGCCGTAAATCTCATCATCTCACGCGATCGGAAGTGGTGGTGTGTCTCTCGTTAACTTCACGCAGGTACTCGCATTGAAACCCGTCGTGTACCGGCTTTGAAACACACGTATGGTGGACGGAGGTTTATCGAACAGTTATTAATGGGCGATTTGTCGTAAGCGTCGAGGTAACGGTCGAATTGTTACAAATCCACGCAAAACGGAACTCTTGATTGCAATCCTCTCCTTGTGTCGTTTGTCCATTTATCTAGGATTTTCGAGTCGATATTCGGAAACTCGAGGGGAATCTCAAACAGAAAATCGCAAGAAAATCAAAGAAAAAATCAAAAGAAAATCGCAAATTTTCCCCCTCGCGTCTCGGCTGTGGTGCGATTCTTTAACTCGTTATTGGAGTTAACGACACATTGGTTATCGTTGCGCAGCTCTTGTATACCGTAGAAAAGCTGTGCAACGATAACGAAAGTGTCGTTAACTCCAATAACGAGTTACAGAATCGCACCACAGTGGGGCCGCATCCTGCGCGTTGCGCATGAGACTCAAGTCGCGCGGCGCACACGCGCGATTCGGCAACGCGACTTCTTCCTCAAGTCAAACGACACGACGACGACGACGATGGAGTTCCGCACTCGCAAAACGAGCGATGAATGTTTCTCCGATTTTCTCGAGTGACGCAGCCACTTTCGTGTGTACTCGCGTCGGGTAGTCTCTCGACGACACAACGCGGTCTCTCGAAAGTAGGTACTAAATCGAAAGCGTCACACTATTTGTAAATCGTGAAACTCCTGAATCGCGAGCTCTGTTTCTGCTCGTCGTCGTTGTCGTCGTCATCACCATCATCACCAACTACCACCAGCATTACTACCACCACCTCGCTCGCCTTGCTCCGTACCTCCGGCTTTCGCGGATCTGCACGTCACTGATACCAAGTGGAATTCCACTTATTATCTCTGTTTACACTCTTTTCTTCCGCGAGGAGTATTTTCTATCGTTTGCGCGCCACGTATTTCTTTGTTAAATAACAAATCGGAGATTAAATCTCGCTCGTCGCTTGTCTGACTGATTTAATCTTAGGCGTGTCTTTTTTCCCTTCTTTCGCTCAACACTCTCGCTTCCTTTGTCGAGCGTCATTTCTTTCGTCATACTTTTCATTGATGTACGCCGATGCAACGTAGTACGTAATGCAAGCGAGAAATTGTCGCTTCGGCGACGGCACGAAATAAACGCCGGCCTGGCCTGCCGATTACGCGAGAGCCGATTTTAGCCGCGTAGCAATTAACGTGTCGGAGATTTTAAATGTCGCGCGATCGCCGCCGTCGGGCCGGGCAAGCGGCGGACGAATGGGAGGGACAATGCTTCTTGTCGTTACCGGTCGCGCCGATTCCGTCGATTTACTTTTTTGTACAAACGCACGTACTCGCGTCTCAAGGCCGCAAGGTCACTGACAGAGCCCGGCTCGGCTGCCTGGCGGCAGGCCGCTCGCATGTTAATTGTGCCGTCTAACTGTGAACGATCGTTTTAATATTAGCTCGGTCGCGTCGCCGAGGCGTTGAATCGAACGCGCCGCGTTAGCAATTATATAGCATATATTTCTTGCGTTTGCAATTGTTTCCGGCAAATTCCGTTTCTCATTCCCGCGGTCGAGCTTGAAATTATTAATCGAATTTCAAAAGTTGACCTCACGCGCGTGATTCATCACGAGCACGAGGTAGAAAAGGAATAATCATTATGCCCTTCTATTGTCCCGCGTTTAAATGACCATTAGATGTATCGAAGTGTAAAAATAGCGGTTAGATATTGAAATGCAATAACGTGCTCACATCTCGCGCTCACGAAGTTATCCCTCGTTCTTCGTCGATAAGTCATCCACAGCTCGGTTTTCTACGGTATTTATACAGAAAAATATTTCGCCAATACTTTTGAACTCTTCATCGAGATTAAACCGTCAATAAGTTCGTCGACCATCGATAAGTTTATCGCTGATAATATATCTGTCGCAATTTCCGTATCTGACAAATTATAAAACAAATGTAAATGTACGAGGTAAAATCAGACGATAACGATGTTTCTCCTCGCTTGTGCGCAGAATGTAAAACGTTCTTTTCCTTTTATCCTTCAATGATAATTCAATAAGAGCGAAATGGAGCGATTCACCGCGTGGAAACTGTCGTAATTATTTCTACCCCGCAAACCGCGGAGCGTGTCATTTCTCAGTCTTTAGACATCAATATTATGAAATCCCCCCCCCCCAACGAAATTCCAATTCGGATCTCGAAACGTTAGATCGTACATAAAATTGTGGAATCACTCATAAAACTTTATACAAGAAAAAAAGAATTTAACGCGACAGTTTTAGAATTTTAATAGCATTCTAGTATTAACAAGATTTCTGGTTCCTTTGAGAACCGAATTTGCTTCGTAAAAACCAGAAATTCTATTTCCTTTGACCAATATGCATTTGGTTGGTTCGTCATCATTTTAATTCAAACAAGTTTTTTTCTTCGTACGAAGTCGTTCACAAAGAACGGTAGATTCTCTCGTGTTCGATCAACCCTCCGCGTCGTAAAATTTCTTTAACAAAAATTTGACGACGCCTCGTTTGAATTTGCGCAGGAACATGATGGTGCTCCGCGTCCACGGCGACGACCTGATGTTCGGCGGCAGCGGAGGAGTGATAACGCATACACCTCGAATACCGCAGATGGAAATGATGAAGGTGCACATTCCCTTCACCTTCAAGCTCCACGAAAGCTTCAAGAGCACGTACGCCGGTGAGTCTTGACACTTTTGTCCACCTTTAGCTTCTAAGATTTCGCCTTGTGCAGGCCGTGTCACGCGAAACTCGTGACTCATGAGTTAGCTGCCAAGTCAGCGCGGTGTCGCGCGATAATGTGCACTATAACGGATTCTCGCGATCGTTCGCGTCTGTTTTCGCACATAAAACGCTACGCAAATCCTGGCGGACTTTCTCGCTGAGGTATGACTGCACGTGTGCGTATCGTAGCGGTAATTCGACGCTGAGGATATCTTCAAGCAAGGAGGCGTAAAATATCTCGGAACTGTTGGAAAAAAACAGCGTTATGTTGGGACTAGAAACTACTCTCTTCGCACGCAGGAAAATGTTGATTAAATCAACGTGAATGAACAGTGAACGAATCGAACTCGCGTTCTGGTTGAAGACAACAATTTGTGATTTTTATCAAAATTAAGGGGGGAATTACATTAGTGGAAGGCTGTTTTTTCAAGATTATTTTTACGAATTTTTAGAAACAGTAAAATCAATGGACTTGAAATTTTCACAGTGTTTAAAGTATAAAATAAATTTTATTGAATCACAAGAACTGATCCAATTTGTAATTATAGATAAAAAATGCAGCAAGTTATAGATAGAAAATGCAGTCATCCGTTTGCGAGCTCTATGTTTGCTGTCGACATAATTCCGGGCCTCTCATTACTCTGAAACCAAAAGAATGAGAAAGATTTTTAAAATATACGGTTGCCGTTATAGTCTCGAAAGAAAGAAACGTAACAAGTATCAAAATGAAGGCAGTGAAGCCAAGTATGGAAAAATAATGACTGTACAAAAAAAAGTATCGAAAATGAAACTTTTTTTAACTTGTAATCATGTTTAAAAAAAAATGAACGAAATAAAATATAACTGTTCGAGATAGGGGCGAAAACTACATGTTCTATACATCTATTGTATATTGTGTAAAAATTTCAAGTTATTTGGTTCAGTAGCCTTTGCGTAATCGTGTCGACAGTTTAAGAAAATGGCGTTCCCAGATAAACGCGTTTAAAGTTTTATGTGCACCTTCCATATACAAATAGTGACAAATTTATTTTATACTTTGAACATTAATGAATACACCGTGAAAATTTCAAGTCCATTGATCCTACTGTTTCTACTAAAAAAATTCGTAAATATAGCCTTGAAAACGGTCTGCTCCGCCTGTAATTTCCCCCTTAACTTCGTCTTGGATTTATTTGTGTATCACATTTCGTAGACCTCTTCCTCGTCAATCTGTTCGTAAACGAGCGAATTTAAATTTCGCAAGTATGAAATATGAATTGGAACGACCGTTTTGTTTGGTCCTCTTCTTGGGTCGGAGAGGTTCCTTTTGATATAATTCACACGTAATACTCTTGGATAACATTTACTACAATATCTCTCGCGTTTTGTGCGTTTCATCATCGACGTCGCGCGGCGGTGGCGGCGGTGACGGTAACGGTAATGTTTACCGAAAGAAAGAAACGACAAATACACGCGGCCGGATAAGTTCCTAGAAAATTCGAGTTCTGCGCGCTCGCGTCAAAGAGAAATCTCCGGGTGAAGGTTGAGAGCCTGGTTAAAGGTTGTCTCAGCAGCCGGCCAGCCACGCTTGAGGGTTAAGAGTTAATTAGCTGAAGGAAAGGAAAAAAATGAGGAAACTGAGGTAAAGGAAACCCGTGCCCGTGTTGCCACCCGACCGGTAACGCGGTGGCGGCTGTTCGTTCACTATTCGCTCGGAAAGTGGGTTATCTCGACGCGTAACAAGAAAAAGACGAGAGCGTCGCCATGTAATTGACATGCTGGGTGCGAAGGCACCCAGTTGAATTACGAAACCGCCACCTTGACCGCGTGTACAGTCGGGTCACCGCGGGACTCGCTTGACTTTTATCAACTATTGATCATGACTCGTCTTCGCGGTACAATAGGGTCTTCTCTCTCTCTCTCTCTCTCTCTCTCTCTCTCTCTCTCTCTCTCTCTCTCTCTCTCTCTCTCGATATCGCGCGCGTCGTGTATTTTTATTGCTTCTTTCAGTGAGGTACGAACGTCGCGTGTCGACTACAATTCCCACTTGACAATGCACTCAGCCGAGTCGGCATTGCATTCGTGTAGTTGTCATCATACTTTTCGTTTCCCATTTACTTCTCCTTCGGTGCAGTATGTCCATTTTCTCCCGAGGGCGTCTATATATCGACCGCGGAATGACTTGCGTGACCCTGATTTCATTGTTAGCTCAGGGGTCGCTGATGGTCTGCGCGATGATTCCAAGACGACGCGCCTTCGTCTTCTTCGTCTTCGAGCCTGCGATGATCGCGTCTTGGGAATGATATCCCGCCTGGCTAATACCGCGCGATTCCACGGAATCGAGCGAGAATCAAGGGCAATCGATCATTTCGAATTCCGCTCTCGTGACGATCGTGTAAACTGCGTACGGGCCCTCCGATGTTTCGTATTTTGAGGACGCCGCGTCGTGACGTGTTGCGTAATCCGAGTCAATGACGCGGCGGACCATTTGACTGGTGTCAACCACTAATCATTGTACAGATCGACGGTATTCGCGTGACGTGTTTATCATTGAGGCGCTTCGTCGTACCGATTAAACTCCGTCTCGATATAGCATGCTTAGTAAGATATTCAAAACACTTGCATTACCGCGAGGGCAAATTACGTTTTACATTGGAACAATCAAGTCAGGATAACGAACGAAAGTATCAATTCGGCAACACTGTATAAAATTTGGATTACGTCGAGCTTGAAGATCTTTTCCGGGCATTTAAAAGTTAAATTTCACATATTCGCCAAGTCGAGTTAATGAACGCGAAAATAATCGAAAGAGAAAGAGACAGAGAGGAGACTTGATACAATGCCAACGCAATTTTTCCTTCAATTGTATTTCTCAATACAGTGAGAATTTCTTCTTTGATACGAAATTGTTGACTGCACATAAAATTTAACGCTTAATTAAAATTCAAATTACAAGCGTGGTAACTTGTCGGTGTTGATTAATGAAATGAAATTTAAATGAACGGATAGCGTATGTTTTGTTCGCTTTGCCTTACTTGTGAAAAGTAATGATTGTCAACCGGTAGAGGAAGGGGCAGGCTTTTGTGATAAGCTTGCGATAATAATTTATCGATACAACTGCTTCGAAATGGAGAAATTCGTTTGGAGCAAAAATACGATAAGATATTGAACAGTTTTATTGCCTTTCGTACAATGTAAGCCCACAATGTCGTTGCACAATTTGGTCCACGTTACAGCGAAAGGAAACTCTATTTTATTTGCAAATTCAAGGAGGTAAGAGTGGGTCAGAGGAGGGTCGTCGAGCGTATCGATGTGTAACGCGGAATTTCGAGGATTACGTTAAGAGACAAGAAGAGAAAGAAGAGGCCGGAAGAATGGAGAAAAAACAGATGGATACTTAACGTGATATTATTCTGTTATTTATTACAACAATAATATACTGTTATATACACTCTCTGAAACCAGAAGCGAAACTCGAACCTTTGATTCCTCTTGTCACTCCTTTTACAATAGAGAATGACGATCTTGCAGGCAATACAAAAACTGCCAATCAGAACCTTGTTTTATTACTCGTGGCTGAGCGTGTACAAGATACTATATTTCGATGTGCAACGTTAGCTTTTATGTTTGTATTTTACACTGGTACGTACTCGCAATCCATACACCCAAAGAAAAGTATTCTGTTTGTAAAGTGATTTTTCCCTGATAGTCTCATATTCTGAGCGAAGCTTTTTACAGGAAAAAGATTCCTCTTTCGATAAAGCGATTAAAGTGAACCATTTATTTAAAATTTATTAGATATTCTAACCGTTTTCCTCTTATCTCAAGAGGATTTCCTCTTATATCGATTTTCCTCTTATATGAAGAGGAATATGTTGATTTAAATGTCCGCTTATTTTGTCGAGTCATGCTCTATCTATCAGATATGAATGAGAAAATAACCAATATGTTCATAGGTCAGAATATTTAAAAAGCTTTTCCAAAAAGGGTGTGTGTGTGTGTGTGTGTGTGTGTGTGTGCGTGCGCGCGCGCGCGCGCGCGCGCGCGTGTGTGTGTGTGTGTGTGTGTGTGTGTGTGTGTGTGTGTGTGTGTGTGTGTGTGTGCAGTAACATATAACGAAAATAATTTCCCCATATTTGGTCAAATACAGTTTATAACCTATTGCAAGAAGTTGAATAATATATTCTTTCTTTCAACCATGTTTCATACAATTGGTTATGATGAACATCTTTGTTAGCTATGAAATCCATAACAAAACTAATTGGAAATTTACTTGTTATGATGATCTTATTTCATTCGTATCTACTTATTGTAGAACTGGAGACAGAAGTACATCTATATATATATATATATATATATATATATATATATATATATATATTATTTTTCGCTATACATTATAATTTTTTTTTTTCAAATTAACCAATATAACCAGTAAAAATAAAGTATAGTAAGAATAAATAATAATCCTCTGAAAAGAAGATTAAATAATCTATGTATAAGAGGAAATTTATATTAAAATCGATAAGATTTGCATTATATACATATAACATATAATTCCTTTAATTTTGAGAGCAATGCATTGATATTTTTTTCTTAATCTCAGAGGAATTCACTTGAAGCCATACATAAGAATGAAATCCTCTAAAATTTAGGTGATGCCGCTTGTTCTGAGATTATATTTTTTTGGGTGTATACGCATGTCCGTAACATTACGTTTTTTTCATCTTCATATCGTAAGAACACGCATTATCGTCATCGCGCAATCGTCAACAATGAGAGACGCCTACGAAATCGGCGTACATATGAGCCCCTTTCTTTTATATGTGCCCAGGGTTAGTGTTTTACCGACTCTCGGACGTGGAACGACAGGCCGGGTTAAAGAGAAAATAATGACGAATATTTCAACATGTTTGTCGTGTTTATGTAGGTACACGATGTGTGTTTCGAGCGTAGCGCGGGCGCGAGCGAGAAGCG